CTGTGAGTTGGAAGGTAATGAGAATGGAGGGGGAACAAATGTTTTAAATTCACGCTCGTCTACCACAGAAATGGAAGGAGTGGATGGAGAACACTTTAGTCTGGATCCAGCCCATTCTTTTTTAGGGAGTGCTCTTTATCTTCTGCTTTATGAGTCTGGTTTTAATTTTCTTGCTTTCTGTAGATTCCACAGGTGAAGTCCGGACCCATGGAAATAAACGAGACCCCTCCCAGCAAATTACAGCTGATAGGAACGTGTCCAGGTCCTGTCAGCAAGCAGCCTCCACTTCCAATTTTTGTGGAAAATTGGAGCTACTTTAAACTACAAGGTTGCGAGACTCTACTGTCACAAAAGGCAGCAAGCAAGAAACCCAACTTACCTTTGACATCTTACCAGCCGCTCGAGCGCTTTGGTTTTGGAAGCACCGCCATCAGCCACCCACCAGGAACGAGTCAAGGCGATTTAGACTTTCTCTCTCAAACAGAAGTGCCTCTCAGTGTGGGTTCTGTTGAATCCAGCCAGCCACTGGTTTACAAACCCCAGCTGCCCCAAGAATCCAAAGCAAACACACCTGGATCCGATGATGAAATGGTGTGTTTAACTGCTATACACTGTTGAGCTCTGTACAGGAGCTGTTTCTAGATCAATATCCTAGTCACTGAAGGTGGATGTGGTTCAGTCCTGCTGGCCACATGACCCGGAAAGCTGCCTGTGGACAAACGCCGGCTCCCTTGGCCTGAAAGCGAGAGGAGCACCGCAACCCCATAGTCGCCTTTGACTCGACTTAACCGTCCGGGGGTCCTTTACCTTTTGTGGAAACAAACAGAGGTGGTGATCCTTACAAACATTCCTCCTCATAGTGCAAATGGGGACAGCACATCTCGTTGGAAGAATTTGCAAAGTGCTCTTTCTTCTGCTTTCTTCGGCTTGGTTCACACATTTAGGCCACGAACTTACGGTGTGGCAGAGAGAGATTTGGTGGCGGTTACTCTGATGCACCCAGGTCCCTGCTGGCTCCTTTTGGTCAGTGTGGAAAGAAGCAACTTTTTCTTCATTTTCTCTTCCATTCCACCCTTAATTCCTACTGAGCACAAAGGCAGGGAAATTAAGCATGGTATGGCTTAATTTTCAATCTGGTATGGCTGATCCAGTTAGGGGAACGGGGAAGTTTTGGATCCTATGGATCCCAGGGCACTCTGTGTCAAGTCATCGCGTGGAGCTGGCTTGAGATTGTGGCTTTTTCTAAAGCTGCTGTCAAGGACTGGCTGAAGGCAGAGGAATGGTGGGAGGAACCAGCTGGGGAGCCACTAAGGGAAGGTGGATCGTATGCTCATCCCCTCCTCCCCCCCCCAGTCCCTTTTCCTTTTGTGTTGTGTCTTTTACACAGAGAGAAGAGAATCCCTTTGCACTGATATTTGTATGCCAGTTTGGGAGTCTTTTGGTGGGTGGAAGAGCAGGGTAAAAATAAAATAATATTTTTAAAAGGTGTACCATTCTTAGGTCAGGATTTGCCTAATGAACCCCATCAGCAGAAGGCAAGGCCTTCCACTTACGCAACAGGGCTTTCCCCTGTATTGGCTGGGGGGGGTGTTGTGAGACCCCCCTAGAACATGCAATGGAGGAGGGAAGGGGGGTTGTTCCATCTGGTAAACTGACATGCTTGCACAGACAGAACATTCAACATAGCGCAAGCTTGAATTCCACAAAAAGCATGCACGTTTCTAAGGAATTCAGCTGGAAATGCTTGCAACTTTTCAACAAGGCTGGTCCAGTCATACTGTATGTTTCCCAATTAAATTCAGTCCAGAACCAAGTTGCGCCTTACTGGTTTCTTTGCATTTAAATAATACCATTTGGGATTTCTTTAAATGTTGACTGAGATCGCGGACCGTTCTACTGGAGCCTGCAGGTCTTCAAATGCTTTCCACTTGAGTTGCTTTTGAAACTCTTTGAGAACTCCTCAATAGTTTCAAAAGCACTTTTCCATGTGTTGCAAGAAAATGCCCATAAAATTCAAGAGCGAAGTGACACTGAGTGGGCAATCTTTTGGTTCCTGAGGAGTCTAATAGGTAAAGGTAAAGGGACCCCTGACCATTAGGTCCAGTCGTGGCCGACTCTGGGGTTGCGACGCTCATCTCGCTTTATTGGCCAAGGGAGCCGGCGTACAGCTTCCGGGTCATGTGGCCAGCATGAATAAGCCACTTCTGGCGAACCAGAGCAGCGCATGGAAACACCATTTACCTTCCCACCAGAGTGGTACCTATTTATCTACTTCCACTTTGGTGTGCTTTCGAACTGCTAGGTTGGCAGGAGCAGGGACCGAGCAACGGGAGCTCACCCCATTGCGGGGATTCAAACCGCCAACCTTCTGATCGGCAAGTCCTAGGCTCTGTGGTTTAACCCACAGCACCACCCGTGTCCCTAGGCTCACATAAATACATAAGTTTTATTTGTATCCCTCCCTCCCTGGCTGAAACTGGGCTCAGGGCCGCTGACATCAAATCTATAACTGTGGTAGAAAATCAAGCAATAATTAAATTGCCTCCTAAAAAACAAGTCAGGGTCAAATTAAAATCAAATTAGATGGCTTTCCGCAGGATTAGGGTTGGGAACAGTAAATGCTCATCTAATTGGCCTCTCTCACCAGCTACTTTTCTTGCCCAAGTCATAGCCTCTCCAGGATGCTTTTCGTTTTGAAAGGAACAAAACAAAAATGCCTGCCCTTCCAGCTGTTGGAATCCTGCTCTCATTAGCCCCAGCCAGCCTGGGGACCAATGGTGTGGGATGATGGGAGTTGCAATAATAATAATAATAATAATTTATACCCTGCCCATCTGGTTGGGTTTCCCCAGCCACTCTGGGCGGCTTCCAAAAAAACATTAAAATACTGCAATACATCAAACACTAAAAGCTTACTTAAACAGGCCTTAAATTCTTCACTCTACTCACGGGTAGTTACTTTAAGATCAAATTGTCCACAGGAAAAAGTCAGCGCTCTCCGGCAACAGCTATGCGACTTCGCTCCGTGGAAAAAGCAGTCGATCCGAAGCACCGCGCTGCTCACCCCACGTCGCTCCGGATCCCCGAAACTGGGTTTCCCCGCGAGTAGGGGAGGCGCAAAAGGTGCCCGCCGAATCCCACGTTCACAGGCTTCACCCGCCTGTGATTTTTAGTGGGTCTCCGCCGTGGCGGCCAGACCCGAATTTCCACGAGGCAAATTCCTCCCGATCAGAGGAATTCTGCCATTGCCGGTGGCGCTAACCCAGAAGTCCGCCCTATATACCGCCCTATACCTGGAGTAATAATAATAATAATAATTTATTATTTATACCCCGCCCATCTGGCTGGGTTTCCCCAGCCACTCTGGGCGGCTTCCAAAAGAATATTAAAATACTGTGATACATCAAACATTAAAAGCTTCCCTAAAAAGGGCTGCCTTCAGATGTCTTCTAAAAGACATCTGGTAGTTGTTGTTCTCTTTGACATCTGGTGGGAGGGCGTTCCACAGGGAGGGCGCCACTACCGAGAAGGCCCTCTGCCTGGTTCCCTGTAACTTGACTTCTCGCAGTGAGGGAACCGCCAGAAGGCCCTCGGTGCTGGACCTCAGTGTCCGGGTAGAACGATGGGGGTGGAGACGCTCCTTCAGGTATACTGGACCGAGGCCGTTTAGGGCTTTCAAGGTCAGCACCAACACTTTGAATTGTGCTCGGAAACGTACTGGGAGCCAATGTAGGTGTTTCAAGACCGGTGTTATATGGTCTCGGCGGCCGCTCCCAGTCACCAGTCTGGCTGCTGCGTTCTGGATTAGTTGTAGTTTCCGGGTCACCTTCAAAGGTAGCCCCACATAGAGTGCATTGCAGTAGTCCAAGCGGGAGATAACTAGAGCAGGCACCACTCTGCCGAGGCAGTCCACAGGCAGATAGGGTCTCAGCCTGCGTACCAGATGGAGCTGGTAAACAGCTGCCCTGGACACGGATTTGACCTGTGCCTTCATGGACAGCTGTGAGTCCAGAATGAGTACCAGGCTGCGCACCTGGTCCTTCAGGGGCACAGTTAACCCAAACCTTGCTATACACTCCACAGATTCACTTATCTGTACAGTCGACTTCCTTGCTTTTTTGTGTGCTTTGTGGGTCACCATCGGCCATTTCTGAACAGAAACCAAGGGGAAAGAGAGTGAGTGGGGACCATGATCAGACAAATCATAAGGAAAAGTTGGATCAGTGAGCACAAGAGGTCTGACAAACCTGCTGTTTCCTTTGGCTGTAGTGAGTTCAGGAAGAAACAATGGAGAGGGAAGGGGGAGAGATCAACCAAATCTTGCATTAGAATATGAACACTCACCTAATGAACCATTCATTGGAAATGCATTGTGCTTATAAAGCAGGAGCTGTGAGTATCTTCAGTTTCCTAATTCATTATCCCAGCTACAGCTGAAGTGGTCGTGGCTCAGGCGTAGTAGAGCATCTGGACCAATGTTCAACCCTTGGCAACTCCAGATAGGGAGAGGCCCCTGCCTGAGATCACGAGCGGCTGCTGCCTGCCAGTGTGGTTAACACTGAACTAGATGGACCACTGGGTCTGACTCCCAGGTAAGTCAGTTGAGTAGTATTAGGTTACAATGCCACCTAGTGGGCAAAAGGAAAACTCCAGGTCAGCTTTAAAACGAAACTAAAAATGAAGGGTGAAGGGAGAAAGCCACAGCGAATAAAAGGTCAAAAGACAAGACAAATGCTAAACATCAACAACTCTACTTGGTTGTTCAAAGAAATTAGAATTACACGGGAGCAGAGACACAGACAGGACCTGCCCTGGTCCATCACTTTCCTCCGCGCATTGGCAGACAAACGTCTGAATAGGGCTAATGTCTCAATTCAGTGGCAAACCTGAGTTGCAAAAACAAAAGGGATATTTACTTAAATTTGCAGTACGGCGATTGGCTTGGTACCCAGCAGCCCCAAACGGTGCAAAGGGGCTCGGAGATGGTGAAACATCAGGCGTTTTACTTTAAGAGAGCAAGTTCAAAGTCCATTTTATTAACAATGCATCCCTTTGATAAGATAATGCTTCAGGAGGCTTTTAATGTTCATAGATGTGAACTGTACACACTGTACAAAACAAAACGAAACAAAACTCCAAAAAAGGAAAGAGAAACAAAAAAGAGATCAAGAATCCAGATGGGCAGATCCAATTGGGGACAAAGCCTCTTCAAAATTATACACAGCTCAATGAAATATTCATACAGAAAATATATAAATACTTTTTCTTTCTTTCTATGTTACAGGTATACAATATAAATCAGATTTCAATGTCCATTCAGTGACCTACAAACAATATAACTTCCAAATATGTAGCAGCTTGTCAACTGAAAAAAAAAAAAGAGGAAATATGACCACATGGGGTGGAGACAATGAGCTTTGAAGTTTTTCATACACTCTTCTCACACTCCTCAGAATGATTAATTTACATAATCTCTAACATCACACATAGTTTGGGTTATTGGCAGCCACTATTGAAGCACATCTCCCCGCCCCCCACCCACAAATTACACCTACAAAATACGCCCCTCCCCCTCAAAACTTCTTGCGTTTTGTGCTAATCTAACCTATGCAGTGGCAGAATGGCAAGTTCTCTCGCTCTTCTTTTTTTTTTTTTGGCATAAATTACATTTTTCAAATTAAATAGTGTCTATTTTATACAAGCAGGTCAAGCAAAAAAAGTGCAATTTCTGCATGCTGTGGCATCGCTATCCAACTATTTTACAAAAGAAAAAAAAATCCAAATGAAAACCACATTCTTGACTGAATTAAAAAATGATAATTACATAGCAAATCTGGATGTTTGTGCTGAGAAGTCTAAAAAAACAAAACAAAAAACAAAGACAGGGCTATTGCCATTTCTAGAAAAGGAAAATTTCTAGTAGGGATTCTACCATGTTCCCATCACCACTAGCCAGCATTTAATAGTGAGGTACATTTAACTGGAAAACACATGCCCATCTGCACTGTCACATTTTTCTGCACAGGAGGGCAAGCGGAAGGGTATGGTTACAGGGATTGTTACAGAAGGCAATCTCAAAATAAGAATTTTTTTTTCCTATTAAAAGCAAAAAAGAAAAAGAAAGAAAAAGGATCAGTATGTTTAAGGCAATATTCAGCCAGAGTTAAGCCCTAAATTTAGAAATGCCTCTTTGGGTCAGACCCCATGCCCTCTGAAACTTACATTCACTTCACAAGTGGGGCATCAGCTTTGCAAAATCTTTATACAGAGAGGGCTGCCAGAAACGCAAGCAGCCGAGCTGCCACCAAAATGCTTCCAGAATCTTATTTCTTCCTTAAACTGCTATTCGAAGAGTTACTGAAGGACATTCTCTGCCACCTGGCAAGTATTCTAGAATGTGTCGGATAAAGCAAACTTCTGAACGCGTCGACCCATATTCTAGAATACTGAAAATATTCTAGAGGAATGAAAACCGATGGTGCCTAATTAGCAGCAGCCTATATGGCGGATATAATGAACAAGGTCTTTTTAGGACTGTATGGGCCTTTTGACACACATCTGATAATATGAATTGGATCTTTTGTGGTCTGAGTTCAACGATCTGAGCTTGCCTGCCTCCAGCTTCCCTTTGCCCCTTCAAAAAATAGGATCCTGGGAGTTGGAGGGGCCTTTGGGACTAGAAGGGCGAGCCATTGGCAAATGGAGAGGGAATTGGCAGAAATCACCCTGCTTATGTGAGCAGAGGACCAACTCGGAATCCAAGCCTATATTGCAAGGGGCTAACACTTCTTTGTCTGATGATCAGACCTCTGAAAGACAGAGAATTAATAACAGCTAAAGGTTTTCTATGCCTATCATACAATCAGGCTGCCATACGTATTAATGGAGGTGCTGAACTTGAGGTACTCAGATCTAACAGTCTGCGTCACAGCCAATATCTAATCCTTAACATATCTGTCGTGGGGAAAACAGAACTCCTACAGAGTTATATTTGGAATGCACTGAACAAAAGCAGAAAAAGGATGTCAATTCAAAGTGTTCTCTCAAATGCAGCTTTTTGGAATACTACATGCTCCCCTTTTCCCTCTAAAAGACCTGGAGAACTTTGGGATCTTTGTTTAAAATCCCTTCTGTCCAACTTTTACTGCAGTAAGTAGGGCAGGACAGTGTGTGTGCATGAGAGTGAGATAGATGCATCTAAACAAGTCCCCCATGCACTGTAAGGGTCCATTCTGAAGCACTTAGAATCTCCTCTGTGACGTACCTCACAAGGTCAGAAGGGGGATCATTAGCAAAGGATTTCTACAGGGATCGGATGCACTGATCTCTCAGAAGTCACTGAGCCAAGCCCGCAGTTCCCACCCCTCTGCAAAAGCAACAGTGGGACATAGTATGAGGGGCATGGTCCACACCACCCACATAATTCAAACTGTGATGCTAAGAGTTTCCCCAAGCGCCATCGTATTTTCATTTTCTGGGGACGTTTCCTATGGTTTCAGCTTGGTGCCCAATTCCTGCGCAGGAGCACCTAAGGCTACCCTGTAGAATTTGTGATCCTCCAAGCCAAACGCAACTGACCAGGTATATACAGCCGCCCTCTGATTTTTCTGTATCTCTGAGACTGATGAGGTTGTCAAAGAGCTGGCAGTTCACAATTCAGGGCTTTTGCATTTGGCTTGATGAATTAAAGGTCATCCAAGTACACAACCGAATGAGATGCTACTGTGACTGGCCAAGGAGTACTCAATTCAAAGCACAGCTTTTCAATGAAAACCCATTGTGTTACACTCCAGAATATATTCTGCCACATCAAATTAATTGACAAATTAAAGTAAACGCAAGGTATCATATATGAAACACTCAGTACTGACATTATTACATCCTCGACACTTACGGAAATATGTTTTCTTTCCTTAAATGTACTTGAAAAATTCACTTGATGTTACTTTGCAGTTTTCTTGGTGATGGTCAGGATGGAAGTCAGAGTTCTTTGCACTTAAAAAAAGGTAGTGGTGAATTTTCTGGGTGTAGATGCTGCAATCTAAGTTTACTGTTTAATTTTCCCTATTCATTTTTCATGTCCCTTCTTTAAGAGCTGGGTTGGAAAGCCTAACCACCTGAACAATTTATTTTGTTAAATATAGATTTTTTTTATTTTTATTTTTTTAAAAAGCCTCAGCTACCTTTTGTCTTGGAAGCAGAAATGTAAACTAGAGTTCATGAATTAACTCCAGCTGGAGTCAGCAATCTATAGGTCTTAATTACTCTATCCTAACTGAGGTAGTGTTCACTACTACTGTATTAGATCAGGTTTTTTTGTCCTGTTTTAACCGTGAGTACTACATTACTCCTTTGGGGTTTACACCACTATTTGGTCTACTGTAGCTAGCATTTTGGTTTTGCAAAGGAGTTATATTTAAGTCCAAACAATATATCTGTAAATACTGGCGGATAAGATTAATGGATTCCATGCGGTTAATAGGTAGACATTAATTCAGCTGAAGCCCCCCACCTAAATCTCCAAAGAGCTCTGATGAAAATGGGGAAAAAACAAAACTGAGGGAACTAATTTTGCTGGGAACCCTCCATTTACAAAGGCCTAAAAGGGTTCTACCAATTAAATTATAGTGAAGGCCACATGACCCGATGAAAGCAGTTTGAACAAGTAATACTATAGGAAGGAGGAAATGGCCAACTCCTAGAAGGAACCTCCACTGCCACTCCAAACATTCCTCTACAGCTCAAGGAAAATAAGACTTCTGGTTGGGGAGGTAAAAACTGCCTCTACAGGCCCTCTGCTCCTTCATGTCACCTTCCAGTTAACAACTTCCAAAGGCAACAAATGGGGGGAAAGTAACTTCACAAACCTGGTAACGTATCCTTTTCCCACCACCAACCTCCCCCCCACTGCCATCATCGTATGTGAAAGAAGGTCTCAAAACCTCTACAACCCTGTAACCCCACCCAGTGTCGTATTTCTTGGAACCAAAGTCATCATCGTGTCAGAAGAAGTGAAAATGAGCATGCCACCAAGACAACTCCTGTTCCTTTAAAATTATTTGTTCCCCAATGGCAGGTTAGAATGGCAGTGTAGACAGTGCAAGGAAAACACAGAAGCTGGAGTTGAACACTGAGCTCATCGAGCCAGGAGAAAGAGGCTTTGGCAAAATTAAGCCAGAGTGTGATGGGGAAGATGCTCTCAGAGGAGCCACCGTGGTGAATGTGGGAGGAGAAAAGAAGAAGCGGATTCGGGCGCTGTGTATCCAAAACTTCCAGAGGTCAAGAACTGCTCGTTCTTCCATCTGCCCTGTACAGGAAGGGCAAGGAGCCTAAGCAAAAGAAGGCCTCACGAGGAACTGCAAAAAGGAGCTTGACAAAAAGATGTCGGCTGTAAGCACTTGCCAGTCTCCTACTAAGAAAAGCAGAACTCTTAAGAGGTGGTTTGGCTCTCTGAGCCAAATGAAAAATTCAAATATTCTTAACGTTCTATAACGTGGAACAAAATCCTACCACAAAAAGAATTAGCGCACTGATTAAGCTGCGGTAAGGAATATGCAAAACTGAGCTAATTACACCTTGATAAGCAAATCTTTGAATTTGTTTAATTGGGGGGGGGGAATGGATGGACATAATATGATTGCCAGTACAGTCCCGCTGTACTATTTTCATACACAAGAAATTACAGCGTAACCTCAATCCACTACAGTCAGTCTTTTGTAATGAAAGTGGTTGGGCATTTGTATGTACAGGTTTGCATATATCAAGTTATTTGATTCGGAGGGGGGGGGCTTTCGGTCTGGGGACAAGATGCACGTGTTTCAAGTCTGCACTTCTAGAAATTTAGGAATCGAACTAAGGGTGTGGGGAGAACTGACCTATATATTGTCACCATCATATCATCTGTGCAAAGGATCTGTGAAAGAACAATGAATTAAAGCAAAGGAGTGTTCATTTCTGCATTGCACCTTTAAGGCTTTTCACTACCATTACCGGTATTATCTTGCAATTAACCTTTCACATGTATAATCAAAGCTAAGTGGTAAGGAGAAAAATTAAAGACATGGAATGTGGTTTTTTTTTCTTGCCTCTTTCCTGATCAAAAGCAGCAATGGGTAGATATTTCCTAGTTTTTCTTGATAAAGTATGCACCCTTATTTGATGGAAGTCATGCTTGTTAAAAGGTTTACATTTAGACAATTTACATACTAGATGAGCATTAATGTAGAAAACCCGACCGAACAACATGCATTATTATATGTACAGGGAAATTTTGATCCCAGGGGTCTGAGAAGTGATTTGTTCTTTTTTTAAAAAAAATCAAACTGTAGTGAAGTTCCTTAATTGGTTCAGTTAACACATTATCACATGTAACTGCAACAAAACTAGACCGACTGCTAAGACAAATAAGGATTTTTGCTGTTGAAACAATAAAATAACTTAAGACTACCCCAAGTTACTAAGGATTCTCTTTCTCTCTCAGAGATCAGAAATTCTCCAAGTAGTGTTTCACAAAGATTAGGAAAAATATCACAGAAAGCCATCATTAATCCCCTGACGTCCACAGTCCGAGCAGCTCCATTGGTGACAATGGAGATAGAGCCTTAGATGCTCCGAGATCCAGGGTTTAAAAGGCATCACTCTCTGTCCTGAACGGAAGTAAAAAAAACCCAACCATGTACAACACGTCCCCGCACGCTGTCCTCTATTATTACGATGCTGCGTTTCAAAATAAGTGAAATGAAAACCTGTGCAAGTGTTCAGTGCTTCGTTCTCCTTGCATATCTTGGTAATTGCTACTTTCATTGTTTTAACAATTCTCATAGGGCTCAGATGGATGGATGGGAAAGCAAGTTTCACGGAGGAGAGGTTCTGTTACTTGTACCCAGAATGCTTCTCTTCTCTTCGCCCAGTCAATTAGACGTTATTATCCGAGGCTACCGACGACTTCATATTTAACCACACCACAAAAAGCAAGGGGTCAGGATTCAGCCGATGGGTTAGTTGTTTGCTGATTTGTTGCTAGTACGGCTTCTGCTTCTTCGTGCATCTGGAAGTAACGAGATAGAATGCTGGTAACTTAGCATTAAAGACAGAAGTCGTATTGGAAGCTTATCAAGAATTAGCTAGATTTCACTTCGACTCACTTGTAAAAACTGGACATCTTGAAAGAGCTCTTGTATGAACCTTCGGGATGGTAATCGAAATGTACAGTGCGCTAGCAAGTAGGACACTTCAGAGTAAAGGCATATGTCATCGAATGCTTGGGGAAACTTCTCTTTAATTCTAATCAGAAAGAAAAAGAAACCAATTCATGCACCATGATTTAACTGTTCCATCAAAACCTAATACCATAAACCTTTAAGGAAGGAAGCTGAGGCAGCTATCTGATATTCCATGCAAATCTATGAAGACAAATCTCAGGACATCACAATCCGAATTCAAGTGAAAGAGGAACAAAAATACAGACTGAAAAGGCAAATATGGAACTGAAAAGGCTTAAACGAGTCTAATCCGAACCTCAAAGGGCTTATGCTCACAATTACTGCAGCATGTGATGGACGCAGGAAAATAGTTTTGCCAAGATGGTCATATCCCCATTACCAGATGTTGGATTCAACTGCTGCAGATGCTACACTGACATTGTTGTGTCAAAAGCAGATCTGATATGAACCGAACACGCCCACAACAATCTTACCACGGACAATGCATGAACTTGACATCTCACACTTGGGTGGTTATACAGCTACTGAAGCCATGACGGGTAAGTAATTTTATTAACTCTAAAACCAAGTTCAGCAACCACCTTTGCTAAGAGATTGGCTGATGGGTCACGGTTTCAATGCCATCTCTCAAAGGAAGGCTTTGCCAGAATTGTCAAGGTCTACAAACACATCTACGATTCTAGACTGGCAAATGGGATAGTCTCCACTCCCTCCACCCCAATCAGCATGAATGATTCTCATTGTGTCCTCTTTGGTAAGAGCTGATGATGCCAGGAGCTCACCCACATCCTTCCTCCCCACTCTTCCCAACTCCAAAGGATTAGTGAGGAGCCTGAGGGGGCTACATCTGTCAGTTTCCATAGAATCATAGAATCATAGAGTTGGAAGAGACCACAAGGGCCATCGAGTCCAACCCCCTGCCAAGCAGGAAACACCATCAGAGCACTCCTGACATGTGGTTGTCAAGCCTCTGCTTAAAGACCTCCAAAGAAGGAAACTCTACCACACTCCTTGGCAGCAAATTCCACTGTCGAACAGCTCTTACTGTCAGGAAGTTCTTCCTAATGTTTAGGTGGAATCTTCTTTCTTGTAGTTTGGATCCATTGCTCCGTGTCCGCTTCTCTGGAGCAGCAGAAAACAACCTTTCTCCCTCCTCTATGTGACATCCTTTTATATATTTGAACATGGCTATCATATCACCCCTTAACCTCCTCTTCTCCAGGCTAAACATGCCCAGCTCCCTTAGCCGTTCCTCATAAGGCATCGTTTCCAGGCCATTTCTTAGTGCAGAAAGTATTGATCTGATGTGTAGAGATCTTGCCTGTTCTAATTAATTCAAGATGGTTCTGGAAGCTTCTCTGTGTGAAAGAAGCAAGCAGAAGGTTCCTGGTGTTTGGGTTATTCCTTCAGAGAGGCTGAGTACAGCTGGCTTAAACTGGTCCTGTTATCTCTTTCAGTCAAGGTCATGATGACTATAATACTAAGGCCAGAAGGAGCCTGGGTTTCACTTTCTCTCTCTCTCTTCCTTCTGGTGTGGTGTTCTGTACATAGTATGCTTAGTGTTAAGGTTTAGACTTATTATAAGTTATTGTAAGTTTAAGTTAAGCCTGCTGGAACTGGATTTCTTATGGATAGTGCCAATTCTGAAGGTATTGGATTTGTGACCATTTATGCTCATTTGCCTTCAGTAGCAGTAAAACTACAATTGCCTCTGGTCTATTTTTGGGGAATCCTGCAAGGTGTTTAAGTTTCTACTCTGCTAACTATCTTCGTCTTCTTTGGCGATCACTCGTAGCTGAGTAAGATTGTCTTCTATAAACATGGTTTTAACAATGAATCCGTAAGTGACTGTGCAGGCCAATTCTGGATCCACATGTCCTTCCACAGTGGGGACATTGGTTTCCAGGCAGGAGTTGATCACGGTGTGGATTTGCCAAGCGTGCCTTCCTCTTAGCATGTTTCTCCCTTGTGTCCTGAGTTCGAGTGTCTTCAAAGCCCATGACACCTTTGGTAAAGGCTGCTGGAATCGGCTCTGGATCAGTACTGAGTAGAATTCCATGACAACATCTATCCCCCTTTCCTCTGCCTCCCTCATCCACAGCTGACAGACTATTTGCAGAAAGCTAAAATTGTAGTGTGAAGAGAGTGCTACTTACGTCAAGAGACCTGTTTCATGTCCTTTAGTTCCTACTGAACTGCTCAAGTTGATCACTAATCGCAATACTTCCTTTCTCAGTAGTATGCGGCATACAGGGGTATCATCTGGGATTGACTTTACACCTTGAGGAGGAAGGACATTTTACAGAATCAAAATTGCAGGCAGTTGCATGCGTATTCACTGAGAAGTGCCACACATGCATTACAATGCCTCCCATTTGGCCAAGGACTCGTTCAGATGTTATTCCCTTGCCTCAACACTACATATGGAGTCAACGTCTAGGGGCAAGAAGAAACAAACACAGATTTTCCTGGTCTGGACCTTCATTTCTACATGCAATAAAGGAGATAGGGGAAAACAGAGGACAACATGAAGGAATTGTGTCAGCCCAAAACATCTTGCACAGAGGTGTAGGGTGTGAGCACATGTTGGGGAAGGTGGAAAAACGCTGGCTGAATGGCCCTTAAGAGAACACGCATCACCTTCAACTACTTGGCAGTTGTAATGTTAGGAAAAACCTAATAAAGGTTGCAGTCCTAAGTTGAGTTAGAGGAAGAGCATGTTCATGCAATACCCACATGCAAAATGTTCAGAATCGGGCTGCAAGTGCCTTAAAGAAAATATTTGACTTCTTCCCAGAGGTAGGAAAACAGTCACATGTTGTTATGCTTATGACAAAACCACTTACCTATCACAATATCTGTACTCTTGGTGCTACTGGTTGAGCCATGAGATACAGCATCGCTGCATCCCGAAATCCCAGAAAACTTTGAGGAATGGGGGACCACATCCAAGTGATTGTGCATGGGCTTTCCACACCAGTCAGAATAAGGAATGTCTGAAAATTCTGAAAAAAAGCATATGGAGTGGTTTACAAAGAAGAAAAATACATAGCTTCATTTCAGCTGAGATAATTTAATGTAATATAAATTATAATTGTGAACCATAGCCATGTTAACTACCGCAGAATATGACACCCTACATTAAATTTCAGTGTAGGTTTCTGGGTCTCAGGACTATGAAACATTCTGGAAAGTTATTCCATGATGCATGAGAAGCCCAAAACAGGTATCCAAGCCTCCGTATCCTTGTATGTGAATAGGAGCAATGGCTAGACTTCTGACTGAAAGAGGCCCAGCTGTACTAACCAGTGTGACTATAGGAAGGATTCACTTTGTTTTGCTGGTAGCCCAAAATGTGCGTGCAGACACAATAAAGGCAATTCTCTTCCGTGTGCTCTTGGAGCCCCGTGTCTTCCATGCTTTCAAGGAACTGAGAAGCATCTGAGCGGCTAGTGTTCATTATCTCTGTAAGACTGATCTGCTGGCGAAGCATCTGGAAGGGACTCTTCACCATCTCGGAAGAACCACTCGGCACACCTGGAGAGGCTTCCAATTAAACGACAGAAAGAGAAATATAAATTATTAGTGTGGCAGAAGACCAGCTTTTGCCATTCAACCCTGTGTCTGACTTTTTGGGAATTATTTCATTCTATAGAATTAGTCAGCGCTGCAAAAAAATAAATTGGCACTGACAAAATTCCAAAAGGTACCCCACAGGCTCAAAAAAATGTGAAGACTCCACTGTAGAACAAAAGAGAGTGGAAAGGAAAAGGTACCTCCAGCATCTTGGGGAAAGACTTTAGCGCCCCGTTCGTCAAGTGAAGGCATGGTCTTCTTCTGGAAATAAGGAGTTTCCTTTACCTGAAATATTTGAAGGGAAAAATTATACGGATGAGTTTTTTAGAAAAGTAAACAAGCCCTCTATTTTTGGTAAATAGCCATTCATTCAAGCATTTAATTTGAGTGCGAATTCACTACTCAGAGCAGCCTACATTAAAAAAATCCCCCATTTTCATAAAATGTAGAAACATGTAAAACCCAATCATAAACACATTATCTGCCTCACAAAGGGAGTTCGTTTTATTAAGTAGGCAGGCTGATCTGGTGATCTGGGAGAGAACAGTCCCAAAATTACCTGGACCTAAGTCATTTATAGGGCTTTAATGATAATGACTAATGCTTTGATTTGGAAATAAAGGGATAACCAGTAAATATGTGAATTTAGGCTTTGAATAACAGTTTTAAAAAATCGTGCTAGAATTGATCAAGTAAGTTAAGCAAATTGCTCCATGCTAATCCCTTCTCTGAGTAAGTGTAGCTTCCAGAGGATATATTCATTAGAACAGGGGTGGGCCAACTCCCAAGAGACTGCGATCTACTCACAGAGTTACAAACTGGCAGTGATCTACCCCCTTTTTGGGGAGTTGAGGGCAATGCTGTTCAGCTTTCTTTAGGGGAGCCAAAGTTGTTGAACTTCTTTGGGGGGAGCCAGTGATCTACCAGTGATCTACCACAGATGTCCAGTGATCTACTGGTAGTTCGCGATCTACCTGTTGGACATGCCTGCATTAGAACAATGAATCTAAGATGCCAAATTCTCTCATGTGAACATGAAGTGATTTCACATGAGGGAATCTGTCATCTCAGATTCATTATTCTGATGTTGTTCTGCATGAAAATTTAGACACACACAGTGTACATACCTGAAATATTTCATTGATATCAACTGGGAGAGCAAGCCCAATGTAATCATCTGAACTTCCGTAAGTAGCATTAGACACCATGGAACGAACAGAAGAAGAGCGCTGCAGTGTGTTTTGGTTAATAGGGCTTAATAAATCCTCTTTATCTAAAGATGATGCATAACTTAAAGCTCTCATGAACCTGTAACAGCATCAAGGGAACCAAAGTCAGTACAACCTGAAAATCACAACTCTGCTCTGTAATAACACAGACAGCATTTTTAAAGTACGGCTAGTTTGGGTGAGTATACAGTTTACCTTCTTATGTATTATCTGTTTATTAATAACTGAAAGACATACTGTGAGAGCAACACATAAACTGTTATGAATGGCTTTCCCAGCAGAAACTATTTCTAAGAGGTAAATTTGTGTTCAGTTCCAGACTGGCATCATCTGTATTTTCTACTCTCGTATTCCATTCTCATTCAGAAACTAACTTTGAAAATAGTTCAGTTAATCTTTCCATTACTCTGAACAAAAAAAACAAACCCCACCTGATTATTAAAATTATTATTTTAGAGTGAACTGGTTTGAGCAGGAGGGTTGGTTTTTCAATGCAACTGTGATTGTATGATAGGATCCAAAAGCCCTCCCCGAATTGGAAGGAGGCCCTGAGTTTGCTATTTTCCCTAAAGCCTAGTTGATCAGAGTGCTAGGAATGCCCTAGGAATTCACTGGTATAGGCCCTTGCCTGAAGTGGAAGGCCATGACTGATTGAAAAAAGGAATTCTCATGCAGCTGGAGCTTTCTCTGAAGTTGAAACTGAACGGCCGTTTGCCTCTTAGGCGGTGGAAGCTATGGAAAACATATCAAAGGAAGCTTCGGCTGTGAATGCAGCTCTCCTCTGCATACATTTAAACTTGTTTGGGTCACACCCCAAATTCCTGGCTAATTCTTCTCTTGTGGAATCGTGAGAACACTACTTAGCTATGCCATGAAGAAAACTTGAGGGAGGAAGAAGCGCTTACCTGTTTGGTGTCAGTCGAGAGTCTAGACTACCAGACTTCATAGTAATTGTGTCTGTGAAGAGCACATCCTTTGCTGGAGATGCCAGAGCTTCCGAATGGGACAAAGAGGGGTGCATCCTTTGCTGCTGCAAGCGTTTGAGTGTTGCATACCCAAAGGCATCTCGCGAACTGGTGTAGCTGAAGTTATAGTCAGCCAGGCTTTTTATTGTGGCGAGCGAAGGAGCTTTAAGTGACTGTGCTCTCCGAGGAAGGGTGTGCGAGGACCCTGGCGGTACCAGGGAGACAGAATTTGATTTTGAGAGGGGGAGGTGGTTAGGCTGTGGGGTTGAGCACTGGATTGTTTTAACTGTCTTGGTACTCACCACAGTACTTAAACTCCCACTGTCCGTGTCTACGTTTGTAGTGTCCACTCCCACAGTCTCCCGCGAAGGGCTCGAACTCATTGAACTTATGCCACTCGTGGTGGTATCCGTATTGAAACTCAAGCTGCGGCTTTTGAAGTGAGTCTGCGTAGAAACCTCTCCTATCAGTCTTTCCCGGCTGGCATTTTCCCGGTGGTTTTCGTGGCCGAGGCTTTTGGGAAGCTTGAGGTCATTTTCGCCTATACTTGGAGTGCTATCTGCATCTTCGCTGTGTCTGCTCCCGACAAACGACGTCTCTAGTTTCAGAGTGTGGATTTTAGGCACCCGGAACATAGGGGTGAAGTCCTCGCCTCGTGCAAAATCCATGCTGCTGGAAGGCTCAGTTACTGTACGATTTCGCCTCAAACCCATCTTGCTCTCTGAAGAAGATAGTTTGCCACCTTTAGGATCGCTGCTACTCCTATGTTTTTTATTAGGTAAGGTTAGAGAATTTAAAATGCGGTTCTTCACAAGCCTGCTTGAAGTGAAGAAGGGGAAGGGATTGCGATCCTTATCTTTCAAGGGTCCAGATCGGTCGTAGAAATTCTGTTCTGCATCTTCAGATATATCTAGGAAAAATGTGCTGGTAGAGGTGCTGCCAACCCTGTCATCTTCCAAAATAAACATACCTGAAATTCAAATTAAAGCTTGCTTTGTTAAAATATTTTTGGTCTATGAATATTTGGTAACTAAAACTAGCTCTCAAAAGTCACTGCATAGTCTATGAAAGCCAACTGCATGTACACTTCTTAATTGTAATGGCTGAAGGCTATTTTAGACAGGGGGGGGGGATGTGCTTAATATCCTTTTATGTGCCACTAAACATTATATGTAAGATCAACAGAACCTGGCCTTTTTTAAAAAAGAAATAAATAAAACAATGGTACTCAATTTAGGGAATTTAGGGGTCTTCAGGAGCCAAACTACACTTTTGGAAATGTAATTTCACACTGTAGTTGAGGGGTCAGTGTTGTTCACATCAACTCCCACCTGTCCTAGTCAACATCAGCAACAATGATGGGAGTTGTAGTCCAGCAACAGCCGCAGGTTAAAATCAATTCTAAAATGAATGTGCCTCTCTTATATCAAGACATTACTTCACATTATCTAGTTGGTGATAGTATTTACTCTCCACATCTGACTTTTCTGATTAGCTCCAACATATCCAGAGCCTGCTCTTTAAATATAATGTGATACTCAAACCATCCTAATAGATATTTTGACGTTTCCCGTTTTCCATCTTAAATCAGAGTTTCTAACTTTCAAGGAAGAATTTTCTCATGTCCAGTCTTTATCTTCACTTTTATACTATCATCCTAGAGAAGAAATGGATCTAATTCTATGCAAAGGAAATCAATGTTTTATTTTTTCATTTACACCAGATAAAAGCATGATCTAAAATGATTACATTTGTAATATTTTCTACAGCATTGGAAGCTGAAACTAAAAAAAGATTTTATAGAATCTCCAAGGGGGCTTTACCATTCTGTTGACGGAAGACACTTAGACCCAGCAGAGGCTTCTGCCAGCAGGACATAGAGGGTGAGGTTTTTGCCAATTCTCCTTTCCCCAGCAGCTGCAATCTGCCCCAAAGGGTTGGGGGACTGTACAGTATAGTAGGGAGGGGAGTAAGTGGAAATTCCCTCCTTTCACTGATGAAAGCTTTCAGCTGAATCAAAGTGCCTCTGATCAGCAAAGTGACATTCTGGACATCCCCACCATTTCTGAAATTATCAAAAGATACCCAGCCACGTTCTATAAACCTCGTCTTGATCCATTAAGCATACATTGGGCTCATGTAAAGAATACAGAATACCTTCAGATTAGAAAGTTAATGCCTTCTCAAAATGGATAGGCAAAAGGAGATTCCAATTGAACATCAGGAAGAACTTTCTAACAGCAAGAGCTTTTCAACAGTGGAAGAGACTCTCTCATAAGGTTGTGGGTTCTCCTTCCTTGGAGCTTTTTAAAGCAGAGGTTGGATGGCCATCTATCATGGATGCTTTAGTTGAGATTCCTGCATTGCAGGTGGTTGGACTAGATGACCCCGAGGTGCCTTCCAGCTCTACGATTCCATTGATTTCACTGGCCAGACCCATGATCTGCTTTTTCCCCAAAGGGAATTTACTAACTGTGCTGGCGCTGTTATGCATACTTACTTGACGGTGCAGATTCACTTTCACTGTTGTGCCTTGAACTGGTAGATTCAGAGTTCAAACTAAGCGTGCTGGGAATAGAGGAGAGTTCGTTGCAGAGTTGCTCCATGTCATCGGGGACAACTGGCCAAGGCTGCCTACGGCTGTGTCTCACTGCATCCCAGTTGTGATGCTTCAGAATGTCACAACCTTGTTTTGTTTTGGCGATCAGGCCAAGCACATAGACACACGTCCTATGTTTATAAAACAGAACTTCAGTTCAAACAAATATGTATTTTACATTCAGGCCACCAAAACAATTCTCCAGCTTCTTTTCCCTCCCCTCAGGAAATGTTATTTGTGCTGTCAATATACATGTGAAATGAAACATACAAATCCTTTGTGTAAGCTGGCCTGCAACTCTGAGGTGCAATCTTGTACATGTCTACTCAGAAATAAGTCTCACTTAATTCAAGGAGGCTTATTCCTAGATAAGGTTGCAGCCTTATTCTCTAAGGGGATACAGAGTAGAACTAGGCATGTAACAGATATGAGTGTTATTTCATTCACTACATGCCTATATTACTTAAAATTATTATCACTCAATACAGTAGGAGACATCCAGTTTTGTCCCCATCTTCTGTGTATGCTCCACAAATCATGACTACAAAACACCCACACCCATAAATAAGGCTGCAAAACTAATGTCACACAGAAAATCTATTAACATAATAGTAAGTAGCAACTTGCTATTTTAATAGAAAGATTTTTTTAAAAAATAAAGAGAGTGGTTCTGCCTTTCTACATCTGAAAATTATATACCGTTTCTAAAGAATGAAGCAGCAGATGGCATAGAATCATTTTAAAGACTCCAGGGCAAAATAAAAATCCTATAAACCCCTTACAAGTCAATTTCAAACCATGTTATACCTACCCTCTAATAGATAGAACTTCACAATGCTGGGCAAGTGCCAATATATCAGGGATGACATTTTCTTCTTGAAGCAAATTCAGACCCCAGTTTGAAGATCCAATATTACCCTGTAATGTAAATAATTTGTGATCAAATTTGCTATTGGCTGATACTGCTGATACTATGTCATATAACAAAGGAGTATTGGTTAGAACTTGATGAACAAAGTTAAGATATTTTGTATACAGTATAAGCTATAAATTTCTTTATACCAACACAACAGAGTCTCTTTCACCCCAATTCAAGCCTTTTCTTTAAAAAAAATTAATAGCACCTTGTTACAGTCTACCTACTTTCCCAACTTCATAGAAATGACTTTAAATCTTTTATATTCTTCTCCCTCTCTCTCTCTCTCTCTCTCTCTCTCTCTCTCTCTCACACACACACACACACACAAATATGATTGTTAATTTGGCTAGAAATACAGGGTTGGGTTCATTTGCTCCCTTCCACATTGCAGAGTCTTTTGTCTTTAGATGCAATGCCCTCATGTACCTCACCTTCTACATTTTGAGATCTCTTTTGGATTAAAAGGAAAAAGACTAGTGGCTTCAAACACTGAAAATTGATTATCAAATCCTGAATGCCCTACTATTAGTAGTCAAGACAAATCTATATTATTCAGGGAAATAACGTGTATTAAGTGCTTAGTTATTATTTGCTGTATCTGTGGCCATTTACAGTGGTATCTCGGGTTAAGAACTTAATTCGTTCCGGAGGTCCGTTCTTAACCTGAAACTGTTCTTAACCTGAGGTACCACTTTAGCTAATGGGGCCTCCCGCTGCCGCCGCACGATTTCTGTTCTCATCCTGAAGCAAAGTTCTTAACCCGAGGTACTATTTCTGTAACCTGAAGCGTCTGTAACCTGAGGTACCACTGTAATTTGCAACATCCAAAAATCAAAAGCAGATCTGTGGGGGAACCATTATTGTTATTTTGGTTGCAGAAATGCAGAAAACACCATGGTGGATTTTTATTTTTTTACTAACCAGAGCCCAGAGAGCTGCCTTCAGCTGCTTAATCCCTTCCCATTTATCCAGCATGGGGGAACGAACAGTGTAACTCAGGTCAGGAACAATACTCTAAAGAATAAAAAGATCAATCACAAAGTAGCTTCAATGTGAAGCTTAACATTCTTCAAATCTGCTGAATTGCTTTTCAAACTTACATAAATGCTAAGAGCAAAATACAAATAGGTTTAGTTATTTTTTTTTAATATAAAAAAACACTGAAAACTAATGTTTCAAAAACCACCAACCATTTAAACAAGAGCACCAATGGTACAACTAAAGGCAGATATACAGAACAATGATAACAGCTCTGGTCATTAAATAAGCTTTTTGTTTTTTTCATTTCAAGAAGAAATATTTAAAAACACAAACATGTAATTCAATTTCTATAAAAATAAGCCAGTATTCTTTTCTTCTTTCAGTTCAAAATTGAGAAGACACAGCTCAGAATTGGATCACATAAAGCGAAGAACAGCAGTATCTTGCACATTTCAGAACCAATCAGCTAGTCCTTAGCTATAGCATCTCAGAATGAAGAAAGGAAGGGGAAAAAAGCAAATCCATGCACAAGTTGTGTGCTGTAAAGCGCATTCCCTTCCAGCTGGAAACAGTTCATGGAAAGTAGGTGCCAAAAGTTTCTGATCTCTCAAGCAGAGCTGATATTGTGGCCCTGCCTCCCTTCTCTCTCTCTCTGCTGCAGCCTTATGGAATGGCTGCAGCTAGGCGACAGCTGGTAGAGGAAGATACCACCACCTACCAGTGTTTGACACACTACCCCAGAAGTCAATATTAATAGCCTAAAAATGCAGAAAGACTAAAAGGCAATAGGATCCTCAGGCAGACCAAAGCAGTTCCACTGCAGAAGGGCCACTTTCATGATTCTTTGGGTCAATTCCCGTGGGATTACCACAAACGTACTTGGGGCAGCATCTAAGTCCACTTGCCCAACAAACCTGCCCCCCTTGCCCTCCCCCAATCTGCTTTAGAAGGTTCATAGATCACAGAATTGTAGAGTTGGAAGGGACCATGAGGTTCATCTAGTCCAACTGCCTGAAATGCAGGAATATTTTGCCCAGTGTAGGACTTGAAGCCATGACCTTGGGGGAACCCCTAGCATAAATTTCGGGGGTATGCAGGGAGGGGGACTCCTGCAGCACAAGTGAAAATCCTTGTGCTAGCAGGACATTTTGCTCAGTGCTACCTTGGCTACAACCCTTGCTTTCTGTTCTGCAAGCAAAATCTATACATATCTCACTCACTATTCCCATCAGTGAAAGAGTCTTCTCTGTGCTCCACCTAAGAGAGAAAATCTAATCCCTAGCCAAAGCAAGCTTATTTTATAGAACAAGGATGCATTCCTCTTCTGCAGTCTAAATAGAAAAAAACCCAAGCCAAATTTCCCAATGAGGTTGTATATGCCACACAACCCTGAACCAGTAACATCAAAACAAATTGGAGGCGGGGACCAATTCCAAGAAGGCTGCAATGTATTTAATGTTACCTTGATTTTGAATCAGGTATATTAAATTTCCTCACCTGAGCTTCCAACAAATGGCAGCCTGTTTTGTGGTGTACCAGTTGTCCATAGAGGTGAACCGGCAGATAGACATGTGGCCGCTGTAATCTGCCAGAAAGAAAAATGGTCTGTTTGCATAGTAAACAACAGAAAGTGTCCTTTCATACTGTATCACGGTGTGGTACGCTGGTTTGACATCAACTGATAGGAAGTGCCTACAGAGGATGGTGAATAAAGCACAAAATATTATGGGCTGTCCCGTGAATCCGATGGATGAAATAGCCGAAGAACGTTGCCTCTGGAGAGTGAGGAAAATTCTCAGGGATGATTCACACCCTGGCCGGCACTTTCTTGATCTCCTGCCCTCGGGCAGAAGATATAGAAGCATGATTAGTTGCACCAACAGGGTAAAGAACAGCTTCTATTTTTTAAAAAAATAATATTTATTGCTTTTAAAAGTTACAAAAAAGTAGAAAAAAGAAAAAAGAAAAAAGAAAGAGAAAAACAATACAATATATAAACAATACAAACCCACCCTAAACCCATTGAACTAAACACATGAACAAAGCAAGACAAAAACAATTTAAAAACATCCCTCCTTTTCCATACTCTGTCCTTCATTCCCTTGTTTCTTCAACTTCCTCACACCTCCCTTCTTGTATCCCACTTCTAGTACTTGTTTCAGCAAATCCTTTCCATCTTTCTCTATTTTCTGTCATATTATAAATAACATATTCTTTAACCTTATTTCCCATTAACGGTTGATTATTTATATACACCCAACTTCTTATAGCATTTCTGCTAGATCCATAAAATATCATTCCACCATTTTTCTGACAGTCATTACTTTAACAAAATTTCTAAATAAACACTTTAAATTTTCCATTAATCTTCCACTATCTCTTCTCCTTGGCTTCGGATTCTGCCAGTCCTTTCTGTCAGTTCCATATAATCCATCAACCTGGTGCCCTTATATCCGAAGTTCTTAAATCTCTTCCAAGTCCCTTCTGCAGGTCTTCTTCATATTCTTTGATGCTCAGGAGCAAATCTCGGGAAAACTCCAGCCTAGCAATACTTTTGTTCCTTCTGGACAATTCAGCCAAATTTCCAAAGTTAAAAGTATAGTCCATAGAGTGTTTCAGAACGTATTTCATGATTCCTCCAATTCTAGCGACCCCCAAAACTTCAAGCTCCTCCAAGCCCAGGTCCATGTCCCAAAAGTCAGTCAATCCCTGGATAGAGGGTTCTTTCCAACCTTCCTTCTTCAATCCAAGCCGGGATCCTAGCCTCAAAATTTGACTTTTGCTAGATTCAGTCATGAAAGACCTCAATTTATAATCCTCAATCTGCTTCTGAGAAATTAAGGATCCCGCTTGTACTACTTTTGCTTTCACATCATCAGCTTTCTCCTTTTTCTCCACCATTTTCACATCATCAGCTTTCTCCTTTTCCTCCACCATTTGTCCAACCAAGGTATGTTCCTGTACCAAATCCTGAGTTTTTTCTGTATTGACACTCACTTTTTGATTAAAATTAATCACGTTCTGTTCCATGTTGTCAATATTAGAGATCATGTCACCTGTCTTTTTATGTAGCTGTTCCAGCGAGTAGTTTATCTTGTATAATACAGTCACAATGGCTTCTCCTATCAACATTTTGAGTGATCCAAGGTCAGACTCCAATTTTCAGAATCTTATCTTGCAGCTGGAGCTCTCCCTGTTGCACTCCTGTAACCGTTTCACATGCTCCCTCTAGAGGGAAACAGTCTCTGTTTGTATCAATTCTTTCAAGCACGACTCAAGCAAGTAACAATAGTTTCAATTTTTGGTTACTTTTTCCTCCATTTTTAAACGCAGAAGAGGACAATGGAAACAGTGCCTTTCTTATTTTAGCTAGCTGTCAAATCCGTTCTGTCAATAAACGTTCCCCGAACATCATCTGGCAGCCCTTTTCCAGGTTTCAGAGCAGTGGCAATTTAATTTTGACTCTCTTCTGCAGGCGCACTAAATCCAAAACTTCCCCTCTCTTCTCCTGCTTCCAAGAGGGGTTATGTATTTTTGTCTGGTGGGAATTTAATCCTTTATCAAAAGCTTTCAAAGACTTTAGCTTGTAACTTCTTTGCTTCAATCTATTTACAAAATGGGAGGCGGACTTCCTGTTTAGAGCCTTCCCGCTTCAGCGCCAAATTAAAGTGTTTCAAGATCCAATTCTCCGTTCTACTCACGGGTAGTCGTTTAAAATCCAATTGTCCACAGGAAAAAGTCAGCGCTCTCCGGCAACAGCAATGCGGCTTCACTCCGCGAAAGAAGCGGTTGATTCAAAGCACCGCACCGCTCACCCCACGTCACTCCGGATCCCCAAAACAGGGTTTCCCCGCGAGTAGGGGAGGCGCAAAGGTGCCAGCCGAATCCCAGGTTCACAGGCTTCTCCCACCTGTGATTTCTATGGGTCTCTGTCTTCACCGTGGCGGTCAGACCCTGCTTTTCACAGAGCAAATTCCTCCCGATCGGAGGAATTCAGCCATTGCCGGAGGCGCCTCCCCGGAAGTCCAAGAACAGCTTCTATACGTGGGCTGTTAGGGTGCTGAATGAAAAGATAACAACAGGGCAACTGACTTTCGGGTTTGGTGGGTGTGCGTCTGTAAACAAGGGGAATTAAGACTAAGAGAGCTGAGTGGGGGTGCTCGTGTAATCTCACTGTATACAAGTTGTACAAGTGACAATAAAGTATTTCAATTTTCATTCCTTATGGCTGTTTCAAAAACCAGTCACACAGTCATCTCATATGTAGCAATTGCTTTAGCAAACCAATCAAGATCATTTGCAACTTAGCTTACCTTTGGTTGCTCCGGCGAACATAGTTATCGCCATCAACAGGTTTGCGGTATGTGGTAAGTGCTTCATTGAGTTGCTCTTCTATCAAATCGACATACTTTAAGTTGTACTCCTAAGATGATGGGATACAGAGCTCATGAGAGAGAGAGAAATCTCCAGCAGATTTTTGTATTCATAATACTGTACTATGCGACATTGTGATCCAAATGAGAAAAACCTCCTTATTTTCATAATTCCAAGGGAACCACTGCAGGTTTTTGAAGTCAAACGTTTGATTAAAAAGGCAAAAGCTATTTTGGAATGAAAATATTTATTTACATGCCTGGTGGCTCGGCTACATAGAACAGGGCCTTTAGTGTTGTGGCACCAGTTCTCTGGAATTCCCTTCCTCCTTCAACTGTGGGCTTTTGGTATATACAAAAAAAACATTTTTCTTCACCTGATCTTTACTAGTTTTGTATTATTGTTAATTTGTCCATTAATAGCATTTTAAATATGTTTGAAGTTTTACTATGCTTTTATATGTTTGTTTGGTTGTTTCATGATGTTGTTTTATGATCTTGGATATTCTGATGTTTAGCTGTCTAAACACTTTGCAATAAATTAATTAATTCACGATGCAGAGCCTTTTGTTCTAGAATAACGGTTGGCAAGGCTGGGAAATGGCTGAAACCCTATTATCCCTGGAACATTCTCTGTCTCTCATTTTTACAGAGTAACCTGTCTGATATAAATGGGGAAATTGTTTCTAACTTGTGAATTTCCTCTCCATAGCACTTCTGTACAGTTCTCTTCCATGATGGAGCAGATCTCTGCCCCATTTAGTAAGTGAATACATTCAAGTATCATTTCATATGTTGCCAAAGGATTTATTCTCCTCTTCAAATTTTGGCACAAATAGCCTTTTTTCAAAAAAGGTGAAACTACATGTTATGTTGAATCATTTCCAACAGCCACTTTTTCTAACCAAAGGCAGCTCTGGGTGAGAGCAAACTGGTGTGGGCATTTCTCTTCTGGGCAAAGATTAGCCATTCCTCCCTGCTGCATTTTCTCTGTAAATCTATCCCGTGTCCTTTTCCTCTAAAGCATCCCAAGTGCTTATCTTCAAATATACACCTGGAATCCTCCTTCCTGCAACTTCTTAACTTAAACTCCCTGGGAGCTGTTTCCTCCTAGATACAGAGCACAGAGTAAAGTACAGTTTGGACAAAAGTTATCCAAAGAGAATCTAATTCCAGTGGGAAAATCGGTTCTGGATCAGGCTTGTAAACCTCACTTTTCAGTTCTCATATGCCAGTAGTTCATACATAATGGGCCCAACAAAAGCAGTCAGATGCAATGAAGCTGAGCAGTATGCCTAAATTCAGGAACCCTTAAAAACCCATCAGGTCCACAGACCTGAAAGCAATGCAAGAGGCTCTATCTCACCTTCTGAATGAAGAAACACAACTGGACCATGATTGGATGGGGCTAGCACATTCATTCTAGGGAAGTCTAAAGGGCTGGCTTTAGCCAAGCAAAGTCTCAGCATAACAAGGAGAGATGTATTTCAAGTTATCAATTTCACAGAGATTTGGATTTGTTTAAAAGTACCTTCTGCCATTTCTCCATTTGTTTTGTCACATAGCCTCGTTCATTTAGATAGGAAAACCCTTTTGGGATTGACAGGAACCTGAAAAAGTACCATCATATACCATTTATAAACATGTTCACCGATTACAAAAATGCAAGTTAATTTGGTTTGTTCTCATATGAAGTAACATATTTCGTGTTTACCTTAAGAGCAGAAGCAAGCCCTTGTCTCCAAGATGAGACAAAGCTGGTTTCATCTGAATAAGAGCATGAAGGTTTGCCTAAAAGAGAGAGCCAGGGAGAGGGAGGGCAGTTATGTCTCAGGAAATCAGTTTGGTTACACTGGCACTCACATCAATAAGGAATTAGCAGGAAATTTCAATATATACAATAATGGGGAGGCCTCCCCATCCCCAGTGCTCTCCCTGCTTAGACAGGAGCCAGGGCTGAGCTGGGGGATCCTTTAACTGCTCGGAGGGGAGCAACAACCACACACTCCTCAGCTGAGCAGTTAAAAGATGCAGAGGGAGGAACAAGCAATACCCGCTGGAGGAAGTCACTAGCAGAGGGACTCAGTGTGGTGTAGTGGTTAAGAGCGGTAGTCTCGTAATCTGGGGAACCGGGTTCGCGTCTCCGCTCCTCCACATACAGCTGCTGGGTGACCTTGGGCCAGTCACACTTCTTTGAAGTCTCTCAGCCCCACTCACCCCACAGAGTGTTTGTTGTGGGGGAGGAAGGGAAAGGAGAATGTTAGCCGCTTTGAGACTCCTTAAAGGGAGTGAAAGGCGGGATATCAATCCAAACTCTTCTTCAGGAGCAGTGGCGGTTTCACCAGTGATATACCGCTGAGTAAAGCCGACATCATGGACCGGTCTTGGTTGATATATCACCCAGGCCTAAGACCATTGCATGAGACGTATGACGTGCTTCTCAATAAACTGATACACAACAGTATTCATTCATGGTAACTTGAGAATGGACGGCAGGATTCTCACCTTGTCTTCACATGCCTCATCGAGGATATCAAGTGCTTCAGAAGAAATGGCTTTATTCTTGTCATGGAGCTGGGTGACCAGTAACTCGATTCCCCAGTTGCTGAAGAACTCTACGTTGGCTCTCAGCAGTACTCGTAAGTGTTTTGTGGCATATAGCCTACAGCTCTACGAAGCAAGTAAACAAGCAAATCAAGGGCACGGGAAATACAGTAGAGAAAAGTAGATTTTGCACACAGAAAGCCAGATCCATGCTCTCTCTCCAAGCACTCAGCTTGAACATACACAGTGTGGGAAGTGGTCAGGGGTATAAACACAAGCACACCAACATCAATGAGAGTGCAGGTCCCACTTAAAATCTTATCATAGTGAGCGGAAAAGTCTGGAGGAGGCTTTTAAGCATGTTCAGACCCTACCGCTTAACACAAGAAGGTCAAGGTGGTGCGGCTGCACCTATACCTCTCCCTACTTTTAGCTCACACGTATTGATGCAGAACACCTAGAGCCATTCATTTAACAAGCCATTAAAATTAAATGCAAATGATATACTGCCTTGAGATTATACTGAGGCTGACAGAAAGCGACTGATCCAAAGTCACAAGCTCAGGGCTGAGATCAAAAACGTATTTACACCTAGGTCTCCCTAGGCCAATGTTCTATCCGTAACACCACCCTGTGAAAACATCCATTAAATATAATCTTCAGAATGTAGGCATTTAGAGGAGTTGTCACTTACATCTGTAGATGCCGTTAGGATTTTGGAAAGAATGACTCTTGCTAATCCATCTCTACTGTAGTCCAAACTAGAAACAGTCAGTTTGAGTAAGTGATCCTGGTTCTTCAAGGAGCAAAGATTAAGAAGACTGGAAAAAGATGGAAACATTAATTGTAAATCTGTATGAGAATTGGACTAACTTTAAAAGTCCCTCCATTTTTCCTTCTTTGGTTGCCTTTCTCCACTATCAAATTTTAAACTAAGTTCTTCAGGCCAGGAATATTTCTTCCCCCTGCTAAAAAAGGTAAAGGTAAAGGACCCCTGACAGTTAAGTCCAGTTGCAGATGACTCTGGGGTTGCAGCGCTCATCTTGCTTTACAGGCTGAGGGAGCCGGCGTTTGTCCGCAGAGTTTTTCCGGGTCATGTGGCCAGCATAACTAAGCCGCTTCTGGGGCAACGGAGCACCGAAACCAGAGCAGCGCACAGGAATGCCATTTACCTTCCCACCACCTATTTATCTACTTGCGCTTTTTGGTCGTGGTTTCGAACTGCTAGGTTGACAGGAGCTGGGACCGAGGAATGGGAGCTCACCCCATAGCGGGGATTTGAACCACTGACCTTCTGATCGGCAAGCCCAAGAGGCTCAGTGGTTTAGACCACAGCACCACCTGCGTCCCCCTGCTAAGTTACCCTAAAATCCCATGTAGTAAAATAGGATATAAATTATTTCTATTGAATGGAAGCTGGAGAGTTTTCTCCAGCTTTCAGCATTGAAAGCTTTCTTTTTCCTGAAAAATGATAGCATGCTTGGTCTATAGATTAGTTAAAAACTTTATAAACAAATACAGCCTTGGGGGAATGTTTTGCATATTTTCTTTTTAAAATGTACTGTCACTTTCATAAAATCTAATTGCACACTTTTGAATCTAGTACTATTCTTAATGGGTGACGCGGGTGGCGCTGTGGGTAAAACCTCAGCGCCTAGGACTTGCCGATCGTATGGTCGGCGGTTCGAATCCCCGCGGCGGGGTGCGCTCCTGTCGTTTGGTCCCAGCGCCTCCCAACCTAGCAGTTCGAAAGCACCTCCGGGTGCAAGTAGATAAATAGGGACCGCTTACCAGCGGGAAGGTAAACGGCGTTCCGTGTGCTGCGCTGGCTCGCCAGATGCAGCTTGTCACGCTGGCCACGTGACCCGGAAGTGTCTGCGGACAGCGCTGGCTCCCAGCCTATAGAGTGAGATGAGCGCACAACCCTAGAGTCTGGCAAGACTGGCCCGTACGGGCAGGGGTACCTTTACCTTTACTATTCTTAATAATGTAGATGAAATATAGATGGTTTGGATGAGCTCATTCAACTTTTAACAGTATATGCAACCTAGTTCCTTTGGTAATCTATTTATCTTTTTACAAAAAATGTAAAAGTTAGGGTCAATTAACCATGTCTAGTTATACAGAAATTTAAAGAACAGTGAAAGAATTCATTTTAAAACTTCCAGGATCTGAGTAGTTCAAAAGATTCTTATAACTTATATAAGATAATGCTTACCACTGAAATACGTTACACTTTTCAAGCATTTTCACTCCATGGGGTTGACAGGAGAGCGTACCAAAAAACAAGAAGTAGTGCTGACTAAGAGTGTTAAGTAACCCATTGTTCTGGAGGCTGCGTTCTGGTTTCAGTCCAGAAGAAGAATTGAGCCAGTGTACAATATCTTTCACTAACTCTTCGAGGTAACCATGTCCATCCTGCTTCAAAGAGAAAGGAAAAAACTTCAGTTCCTTTGGCAGCATTTCCCTGCCTCATTGAAAAAAGACACCCATTTACATTTCTTTGGGCTCAAGAGAAAGAAGGCAACCATCAAACCGAAAAGCACCCGATAAATTAAAACCAGAAGAAAACCCTTCATTGTGAAAATGCTGCAACATGTGTAAAACTTTAAAATGTGGGGAGAATCTGCTGTGATACTGCCCTCAGGTGATCTTGTCACAAGCTGAAAAGTCAATTCCTGTGGGGATTATAGCTGTCACAAGAGTAAATAAGCCTCAGGCAGTCCCAGGTTTTGTGAGCACTTAACAGTGGCAGGTGATGAGTGAAGCAGCTCAAGAACAGGTTTTTACAAAAGTGAACATAACACCTTCTGGTCCTTTCCCTCTTCCACCAGCTTCTGAATTTTGTCAAACAAAAACAAAAGAAGAAAATAGACTAGGACGAACACCTTTAAGTTGTTACCCCTTATGGGTCACAGAAAATTAGGAATGCAAGGCATTAGGCTACAGAAAGTTGAGATAATTTTAAGTCTGTATCTACCTTTTGTTGCACCTGCCTTCCTTCCTTCTTTCCTTCCTGTCTTCCTTCCTGAGGGGCAAAAGGGCATGTTGATTTGACCTCTGTATCATCCCCTCCCAGTATCCTGAAGCCTATCAGGCCAGTGTGTAAATTTCATAGGCAAAACTCCACAAATATGAAAGCTAGATTTTTCATTAAGTGATCTTCATCTACAATTAACTATTTATGCTTCCTAGAGTCCATGATGCTTTGGTTTGTAGACAAAGGAATGTAGAGGAGACTTTGACATTTATTCCTGAATCCACTACTGCCTCTTATAATAGTTCTCCTACAGTGCATAAGGGATGAATCAGGTGTCTTAATATTCCAGCTAGGGCAAGTCTCAGGATCTATAACCACCATTTTTCTTTGTAATGGGCTGCAATTTTATCCTCTATGCTTTGTTTCCAGAGGTGTTGTTCAGCTGATAAGGCTTCCTTCAGTGAAATGAAGAGGGATGCAATTTTTGGCGATTACCTCTCCAACCTGTAGACACTTGCACCACTCATAAATCTGCTCCAGAGAACTGGGAGACCCTTCAAAGCAGATTTAGGGGGCAGAGGGAGATGCAGGTGGAAAAGGAATTGTTGGAAATTGCTTCCTCTGCCACTCTGCTAATGTTAAGCCTGACCAACAGCTGAACGACATTGTTGGATATACTTGTGTGTTCTGAATAATAAACTTAAGGCACCAAAGGCACCTGTTCATCCTCTAGAGTAGGCATGTCCAACACCCAAGAAACTGTGATCTACTCCCACTATAAAAGAACTGACAGTGATCTACCCACTGGATTGATGAAAGTTGTTGAGCTTTTTGGGGGGAACCGGCGATCGACTGGTTCGACATGCCTGCTCTAGAGTTTAGGCAGCTAGGATAGGCAGAGCTTGGAGGCTGGCTGAGAAGTGACTTGGTAACCAGCTAGATCTCTTCTTCCGTAAAACTGAGAGATCTACTGCTTTGTTAACTGAGTTGGTTAAAGTTAGTGATTCACTGGTCAACCAGGATGAGGGGAACTAGACACCCATTGAATACAGCTTACCTAGTGATGCCCTGCGGTGAAAGGTTAAGGAGTAGGGTAAAGACTATGAAGGACTCCAGGGATATCAAGCCATTTTTATTTTATTAATGAATTGCTACAGTTTAGGGCTCTTACTAATGAGCTACATTCCCCCACCCCCAACTTTATATATCAACGGGATAAGCCATACATTTTTATAAACTCCATTCCTCTTCTAAGATTTTGACCAGCAAATACTCCTATTTCCCAGCCTGAATTAAATGTTCCAATTGCACTTCCTTTAGACCTGGCAAACCTGGTCTAATGAATCTTCTAGTATTTTTTAGAATATGCAATAAAGGTAATAACCCTGCCAAAACGTAATGCCAACAATACAGGAAGCTGCTAGTTGTTACGTAGAGCTAAACAAAATGAATCTTACCTCTTCAGATTCAAGGAGATACTCAGTTAACTGGCAACCTACAACTGTGAGCTGTTTGGCCTTTGCGTAATCCAGATCCAGGTTGGCATACAATTTGCTGCTGGGCTTGTAAAAATACATCAGTCGCCGTATAAATCTAACATTAAACAGACATATGAGGTGCTGAAAAGTCTGTTGCAAGCTTCAGGCAAATGTGTATACCACACTGTTTTATCTACGAGATGGCGAAGAGGCTTTATGTTTTCAAATGTTAGCACCTGTACTTAAATGCAAATGCTATTACAGGGTCATAGTGAAGTCAATACATTCTCTTCTCATACTAGCCTGCCTGCTCCCTGCTGCTAGCTTATGTATTGCTTGTGATTGTACTGGCTTACTGATGGAAGAGCAGATTAGTTTCCTAATACAAAAAAACCCAAGCAATATGCATTTATTAATTTATTTGCTCATTCATTCTATTTGCACGCTACCATTTAACTAAGTCCTATGTGCAATATATGGAAACATTAAAAATATATAGCTACAATTCAAAACTTTACACAATAAAACTTTAAAAGCAATTATAAAAATTCCAGTAGCCAAATCTAAAATCAGCTCATGCACAGAAGCTAAAACCAATATAAAACCAGTAACTGGGAAACTTGGTCCAAAGATGTAATGCACCAGAGAGATGTACCCAGTACAATTTTTTAAAACCTATGAAAACAAGAAGGGTCTTGACCTGGTGCTTAAAAGAAAAACACTGGTGTCAGGGAAGCAACTCTTGCTGAGGCAGTCAATAAATAGGGTGCCATCAGGAGAAAGGTCATATTCCTTGTAACCATCCATCTTACTCAATTAGGCAGGGGAAACTCGAGATCAGCATCCCTGTCCTTTTTCCCCAAGAGTTAATTCAATTCAGTGAATTTCCTTTTCTAATTCATAACACACAAAGGCCAGGTTATTCAAAACTGTAACTGGGGAAAAGACAGAAATGTAAGCACCTTTTCAGGAAATGTGTCACATTTCTTAGCAAGTGATGGTAAAAAACATAAAGCAAATAATGAATGATTTCACCTTTGAAAAAACACACACAGCAAATAGAAGCCAGTGTGATGTAGTGGTTAGAGTGTCGGACTAAGACCTAGGAGACTGAGGGTCCTAGTCTTCAAGTACAGTCATACCTTGGATCTCAAACGCCTTGGCTCCAAAACAAATTGGCCCCCAAACAATCGAAACCTGGAACTTTCTTTTGGAACCCGAAAATCCGACATGGGTTCTGCGGTTTCCAATTGGCTGCAGGCTCAGAAGCCACGCTTTGGTTTCCGAACGTTTTGGAAGTTGAACGGACTTCCGGAACAGATTCTGTTCGACTTCCAAGGTACGACTGTACAGACAATGTACCCCACAATTTACAAGTGTCAAGAACCCCCAGAAGCAGTTGTAGGAGGAAAAGCAAGCTGCCAAGGCAGAACGAAACTGCCCCCCTTTAGTAAATATGAATACCTGTTCCACTGTTCATCTTTGTTGAACTTTACACTGATATTTGGCCACTGCAAAATAGATAAGAGAGTTTTGTAAGACTTGTATGCCACTTCCTTTCATTTCAATTTAATCCTCAGACGTTAATTAGGGAGCCATTTAACGGCTTACCTTTAGTATGGTCCCTATCAGATTCCAATTCCACTCAAGATTCTCTTTGTGATGAAGAACTTGGCTGTCTCTTAGATTAATTAACAGTGCTTCATCAGTATCCTTGAATAGCAGAAGGAAGAAGAGAAATCAAAGTTCAAACTTCTGCAACACTTGCATCGACATTAGAAAGTAATATACAAGTTTGCAGATTATTAAAATATATTGAACTGTAGACAGACCACCACCAAAATGTATGCCCACATTTTCTCTCTCTCTGCACTCAGAAGCCATGTCAGATTTCTAGTGCAACAGTTTCCCCACCCTATCCCCCCATGAAAGGTTTTCATTTAAACTCGTAATTCCTAGCAACTCTTATTTTGGAAATTCAGCTTAAATCAATAAAGATTATTTGCTGTTTACAAAAATAATAAGGAAAATCACAGACATTGAAGTAAAATAGCTACCTTTAGAATAAAGATGTCTTTCTGCACACGATACTGATCCCTTCGCTGATGTGTTGACATGGCTTTCTGAACAATGTGATCTAGATGAAGGCTATAAGGTTTCGGTCCTCGTTTCTTCATTTCATGAAAGCGTTTTAGACAATTTAGTGCAGCGCTGGCCCGTCTACCAAGGGGGAAAGTTGACAGTCAAAATTTTCTATAAGATTACTGCCTTTAGTAAGGATCTGAAAGGATGTGAAATATAGTCAAACTGCATTTCCCAGGGATCTTTGCACTAGAAGATGGCTTCAAAGTCTAACAATGGCCTGAACAACACAGCCCTGACCCACTTTGTACCTGCCTGTCACAGCTCTAGGAAGAATGGTGGAGAGGCATCCAGGAGCCAGTATGCTCCTAGTTGCATGACCAAGCCTCAAACATGGAAGGATGACCATTTACAGAAACTAATCTGAGGCAGATATAAACTGAGCCTAAATTTGTTCCTTCCACTTGACTACTTAAACGGCTACTGTAAAAGTTTATCACAGGCATTCTGGAGCAAACCACAACTCATTCATTAAAGCGTAATCACTCCATTTCTGGGTTCATGATCACAGGCTTTAAAAAGAGGGAAAATTTAGAATTTGAACCTGACTAGAGATAACTTAGAACCATGAAAACCACTGAGAGGTTTGCTACTGATCTGAGCAAGATGCAACCTTTATTTCAACAGGGAAAAACAGCTGAAATCAGATTACACTCTGAACATTCTGTTACAGATTAGGGATTCCACCCCCACACCCCAAGGTATGTGATAAAATGAGCTTTCTCATGCAATTTGTATTTTACAAGACGTTACCTGATACTTGTCAGAATAACTATTCATTCAATTGTTCTTTATACAATTGTTCCAAATCAGTTATATTTTGGTACAGATTGATTAGGCCACTGTTTAAAGTGATTTTATGTAACCATGTCAAATGGCAGTAGTTCTTTTTTGTATTGATGAAGAAAAGGGTTTTTTTTAAATGGGGTCAACTGGGGAAACATTTAAATCAATTACATGAACACTGCAATAGATTCCTAATAGGTATTTTCTCAGTACGTATATTTAAATGGGAAAAACTTATGAAGATGTAAATGAGTGGTAAAGATGATAAAAAACACCAGATTAAATAGTCTTGAATATATCAAAACCTCCCTTACACTATGAATCACAATTCTTCCTCTCTCTCTCTATATATATATTTAAAAGGAAATAAGGATACCAAAGGGCTTACGAATTTACTGAACCAGTGCTGCTGGCATAATCACTCATTGCATGAATGGTTTTTGTGTAGTGTGTCCAATAAAATTTGTGAATGGCTTGTAATTTTGGTGGGTACAGGACGTTGCTTCATAGAACATATTATAAACTGTACTGAGTTTCTGAGGACTTGCACATAAAGTCCAAACAGAAATATTAACACACTTGAAAACAAATGAAAACTTCAGAACAAGAAAACTAGAAAGCCGTGCTTATTGTTTTCATTTTAAACAAGCACAATCTGTCTTAATCAAGAGCTGTTTTGGCAAGACAAATATTCAGGTTTTACAGGAAGCAAAATCCCTGAGTAAATTTGTCAGCTAGTAATTTTGGATAAAATCCTAATTTGGAAATCAATGGTAGAGCTCCTCTAGTGATACAGGCATTGCAGCCTGAATTCCTTAATTCTTTAGATATCTGCTAAATGTTGATTCTGGGAAACCTGACAAACATCAAGTTTGCTTGTTTGTTTCCAAGCCTAAGTCAACACACTTGGTAAGGAAGACCATAGGTCGAATCCAAAACTGCCCATACACAAGGAATGGACTTGCTCTTGTGCAACAAAACTTCCCCTTCCTCTCCTTTACAGCAACCTATATGTCCCCTCAAATCTGCTCCGCGACAGAAGTCTGTGCGTGTAACACTGGGCCAGAGAGCACCTCATGCAAAGCTAAACCATGGCTTAATGCAAATGAACAAACGTGCAGGATTCCAAAGTGTAGATTATGGCTGCAGTGCTCCTCTCAACCTAAGCATTACATCCAAACGTGGGCTTGTGGGCTGTCTCCCCTGTATCACAAGCAGTAAACCACGGACAAACCCTGGGGTTGTACTCAACTAACTTTTACTTAGACCCACTGAAATGAATGGACCTAAACTGACCATGCCATTACTTTCAATGCACCTACTTTGAATTAATTTAATACTACCCCTGATTATAGCTTGTGGTTCATCTGGAGCACCAAACCATGGCTTAGTCCCATGGTTTAGCCCTGGGTAGCACAGCAGCAGCAAACTGGGGGAGGAGGTCAAGTGGCTGCAATCTTCAATCCAGGAACCTAAATGGCTTGGCTTTGCATTACATGTAAACTAGGTCCATGAGATTAATTATCTGTAATACAGGGTGAAGAAAAATTCTTAATTTCCCCACTGTATGGAAGGTGGACTTTGTGTACATACGATGTACATATTAGATAGCTTAGTTTATTAGCCAAAAGAAGAAGAGAAACTTGTGTCCTTGTTTTCATGGCTTTTGTTTCTTCCTGCTCTTCGTCCTGTTTCTGCTGGGTTTTTTTTATCTTGAAAGCCTTTCAGACATGGTACCCATTAATAAATGTTTTTACTATCATGCCCACTGCTCTGTATTCATGCCCACTGCTCTGGCTTCTAATTTCAAATATATAAAATCACTAAAGCCACCCATTTAGATAAGTCGTAAGAAGAAGTGCAGCTATACTGAATTGGATATGCCAATTTAGGGTAACTTCAGCAGGTTACTAAAATGTATGCTTACTGTCTCTTCTCCTTTGCGATGTCAAAAGAAGCTGCCATGTTCATTAAAGTTGGTAAGCAGTGTAAGTGATGGCTATGACAATGAGGAAGAATGGTGTTTGCCTGAAAAAGAGAAGAAACGTCACAGATTTTCATTTTCAGATATAGTCCAGGTCCCACCCAATGAAAACCTATTTAACTTGAACAGTATACAAACAGAACTCTGCCAAAAGAAAATCGCTTTCCCCTTCTCTTTCTACTTCAGATACAATTCAGCTAAAACAGATTTCTTTTTTTTTAAGTAAATACTGAATTTGACATAATTTATTTTTTTAAATTGACCAGTAGCACCTTAGAGACCAACTAAGTTTGTTCCAAACAATTAAATCTGACAACTGTAGAAAAGGCATTTGCTAACTGCTAGTATATGTTGCAGGCTTAGACAAGATTTCTAACAATTCTCTTGGAAAACCCACTTCCTTGAGATATTATCAGTTAGCAAACCGCATTAAAGGAGCCAACAAGCAGTGGATTCATGTGTCTAATGAAGTTGAATGTAAGCTATTTATTATAGCTTATGCTATAAGAAATATTAATCTTTAGAGTCTTGCTTTTTCTGCAAAAGACTAACTCAGCCGCTTCTCTGGAGAATGACTTTTATAGCTGGGGCTCTTAATTCTAAAAGTACAAAATTAACAACCTACAGAAATAATGAATGATGAAGATGGAGCTTGTAAACTAATATGAGAGCTGACTGTGTTCTCTTGAGCCAGCATTAAATAGCCATCCAGGGATGGTCGGTAATGCACTGAAGAAAGTGTGGATCCATCAGTGAACTAGCCGAGTTTCCATAGCTGAGACAAGTCTACAGGAAACTTGACTGGGCAGGAGCCATGCTTACACACAGTCCTTAGTCCTTCTGGTAGTTCTCAGCAAGGCAGCAGGGTTTTGAATCATAGCAGCAGGAAGGAAGTGAAAGATTTAAGATGGGGAACACCTGGACTGCTAGTAGTACATGTGAAAAGGATCTAGGGGTTTTAGTAGACTACAAGCTTCACACGAGTCAACAGTGTGATGCAACAGCAAAAGAAGCTAATGTTATTCTAGGTTGCAACAACAGAAGTATAGTGTTCCCATCAAGAAAAGTCACAGAACCACTCTATTCTGCCTTGGTCAGATCACAGCTGGAGTACTGTGTCCAGTTCTAGGCAACACAATTTAAGGAGGATATTGACAAGCTGAAACGTGTGCAGAGGAGGGCAACCAAGATGATCAAGGGTCTGAAAACCAAGCCTTAAGAGGAACAGTGGAGGGAGTTGGGTATGTTTAGCCTGTTAAAGAGGAGACTCAGAAGAGATATGATAGCCATCTTCAAATATCTAAAGTCACATGGGAGGATAGAGCAAGCTTGTTTTCTCCTGCTCTGGTGGATAGGACCCAAACCAATGGATTCGAGTTAAAAGAAAGGAGATGAAATAATTTTCTCACAGTAAGAACTTGTTGACAGTGGAACAGACTCCCATGATAAGCTTGGACTCTCCTTCGTTGGAGGTTTTTAAGCAAAGGTTGGATGGCCATCTGTCATGTATGATCTAGTTGATATTCCTGCATTTAAGGGGGTTGGACTAGATCACCCTCGGGGTACCTTCCAACTCTACAATTCTACGATCCTATGACCTTTTTATAACCTACTGCTTCTTTTACTGGGGCAAGGACACACTTCCAGGGAACCAGAGAATTCTTTGGGTAACTATACCTTCTTCCTTAAGTAAAATATTCCTTTTAAAATTATTTTGTTTTCTTCCATCCTTGGAAGATTCCCAAAGTAAAGAATTTAACCATCAGTACATGAAACAAAGTCTTCCTTACCATATGCAAAAGTTCCCCAAGTAAGATTGTTGCTCTGACGGATACATGGTCATCGCTGCTTGTGATTACTTCAACTAGACCCTGGAGTAAGTAAGAAGTGAAACTTATTGTAACCATCTCACTGTTCTGCTTTGCCCAGAACCTACTACAATAGAGTTAACTAATTGTCATTTAAATGAAAGTCTGAACGTACTTCTAAGAGTCCATTTCTAATGAAAGCAGAGAGAACCAGCGCCAAGTAGTTGTCCATGAGGTCAGGCCTAGATAAATGTGCAAAAGAAAATTGAGATCAACTTCATGTTCTCTTTCATATTATCTAAGTGAAGCAGGCAGAAATGGCACTAATGCTTTTGATAACACAATACCTTGATCTGGCTCGGTGAGGTAATATAACTTTAGCTTCTGCAGCTACAAAACCATCAGAAAGTCTCCAACTATCTTGAAACCTGCTTGGATCTACAAGAAAGCCATCGAGTAAAAATTCTGAGTTTAATTAACAAGAGCAATGGAGTATAATCCCTAGTCACCTTTCATTTTGATTTGGTATTATTTCGCTCTCCTTGTCTCCTGCTTGTTCCTCTTGATTTCTATGCTAGCATGTGTGCTTTATAGCTACATAAATACACATAAGCTACCATTTAGTTAATCACATAATAAATGGTATCAGGTTTAAATTACAGTAGGCACTAATAGTCTCACATTTATCTCAGAAAGACATACAAGTCAGTGACATATGAAAGTACACAAGGTGGACCTATTCTAAAGGCAAGTAAAATGTACTTTTTCCACACTTTAATAAAACTTTACATGTTTCAGGTTTCAGAACCACAGAGTTGGAAGGAACCTCAAAGATTCTCTGTTAATGCAACATCCCTGATGAGAGACCATGTATATGAGGGATGATGTGGATTTCTTACATCCCTTCTAGCCCTGCCCCCTTTCCATTTTTTCCCCTTTAATTTTACCAGGCGTGAAAAGCTGAATGCACACAAGTTGCAGGCTAACTGTATAGGAACCACCTTATAACAGCCATTCTTGTAATGCAAGAAAACTGAAGCCGTATGTTTATGTACGCAAGTCATGTTGAAACCTTTTTATTTATGCTTAACCAATTAGTTTCATTACACCACATGCCTCATTCTTGGCTACATTAGGGGTAAATATTCAGATAAATAGTATCTGTGGTGGCAGCAGGAATAAAGGGGGTCTAGTGAAATACCCAGAAAAAGCCCAGCTCTTAGCAGTACATCCTCATAAGAGTGGAAAGGTGGTACAGGGAAGTGTAGGGACTGCCTGAGCATATCAGAGCAAAAGTGGGGACAGAGGCATGACACATTCAGCCTTGTTGCAAAACAAAATCTTAGCATCTGTCTGCACCACTGCCCCTTGCCACCTCTTATTTAACTTTGTTATACTATTGTTTATGCTCTTATTTTTCTCTGCTGTTTGCACCATCTGCAGTTCATATGTGCAAGTGAACACTGCAGGAATCATTAATGGAGAGGGGGGGAAAGGGATGCCATGAAGGCCAAGCAGCAGATGAATTAATCAGTAAGCACTTCAAGCTGCTGCTTGGCTTTATGGCATCCCTTTTCCCCTTGTTTGCCAGCTACCGCCAAATTGTTCATGTGTACACATGACCTGCAGATGCACAAAAAGCAACAGAACAGTCACAATGTAAGAGAAGCCTGTTGGTGTCGAGGAGATAGCCAGGCTGATAAAGCATACTTGCAGGGAGAAATCATGAGGAACCTTGCAAGGAAGTTAAACCCTCTTTAACTTTAAATTTTCTGATCACTAAACCTGGAAGTGGAATCTTCATCGATAGAGGGAGTCCACAATATGCTATGGATGACATCTATATGAAGCTGTCAGTAGAAGATCTGGAGCACAGGGTCACCAATATGCTGATGACACACAGCTCTATTTCTCCACAACACCTGCATCAGCAGTAGTTGTTTAAGCCCAGAACCAGTGCCTGAATCCAATTGTGGACTGGCTGGGGAACAATAAACTGGGTGGGAGACATGGGAAGATGGAGGCTCAGTGAGCAGGATTGCTCTGTAAGATACATCAACTGCCTATTCTGAATGGAGGTGTACTCCCTCTGAAGGAGCCTGGGGGTACTCCTGGATACACCTTTATCATTAGACATCCAAGTGATATCTGTGTTTATGAGCGTCTTTTATAAGCTTTATCTGGCATGCCAGCTATGACTGTATATGGATTAGGATAGCCTGGCCAATGTAGTGGCAAACTTGAAGCTGGATTACTGCAATGTGCTCTATGTGGTTTTGCTCGTGGGTCTGGTCCAGAAGCACTAGAAAGTGAGGAAAGCAGCAGCTAGACTGTTGGTGGGGGCAGCTCTCTGACAGCATGCAGCACCTCTGCTAAAACTTGTAGCATATGGCAGCCTGTGCAACTGTTTAAGGTTGTGTTGAGTGAACAACCTGGATCCCAGATACCTGAGCACATATAACCCAGCCCCAGCACTGAGATCATCTGGATTAGCACTGCCTTTTATCTGGAAGAGAATGGGGGTGTTCCAGAAGCCACTCGGGCTTCAACTATAAGTTAAGCATTTAGTGTTGCCAGACCCGTGCTGAGAAAGAGTATTCCATCAGAGATTTGACAAAAATCCTTGTTGCTAAGTGGCAGACATATTTCTGCTGTTTAGACAGAGAAGAAGCTTCTGGTTACTGCAATTCTGAAGTAAGGTACTCATGACTAAATCCAGCAATGAACTGCAGGGCTCAAGTACGCAGAAGCCATTACAGGAATGGACTTGATAAGCTTTCCCAATGAATGAAGAGTAACACGCAAGTTCAATACTAACCTACACTGAGAAGTGCTTCTATAAATTCTTCTGTCACGATAGGAAGAGGAAGGCGAAATATATCATAAAGAACTTCAAGCAGTCCTCGCTATAAACATAAAAAGGAACAGAATTTTAAAAACCAGTAGAAATTTAATGAATTTGCACTGGGGTGTGAGGGGTGACTTTTGCTGATACCATTTCCCCCTACAGCTGTCCACTCCTCTTCCCATAGTGGCTCAGTAGGGCACAGAAGGAATAAGCAAAATAATCTTCCATAGCATGAGTTGCATTCAACAGTTTGTCACAAATAATTTAACATTACAGACACATCCTAAGCTTCTGCCTTTTGGAAGCATAACCATAATTAAATAACATTGCTCATTCATACAGTTTTAGCATTTAATATCTTGTAGTGAGTAATAAGGCTTATTGCAAGTCACAGATGCCTAGTGAACACATTACAAATAATATGAGATGACTAAGGGGTATATATAGATTCACTCTTTACTCTTCCAGCTGTTATCCCAACAGTATAAAAAACCCTCAACTGGTTTTGTTTGTTAACTCTCTTGCTCTAAAACCTATCTCGTGCTCTCATTTCATGATTATTTGGGTCAGATGATGCCACTTCAGGGAAATCTAACCCATAGTCAGCTGTTACTCTCCTTGTGTCAGAGACCCTACCCTCTGTGCTCCAACACTGTAGCTTCAGGCAACCAAGAAGGATTAATCCCAACTCTCCTGCCCTTATTTCCAAGTGACTGTCTTCTTCAACTTACAGCTCCCCAACTCTGCTCATTCTTGAGAGAGGTTCTGTAGCCTCTGAGGACTGCACTGGAACATTAGTAGCTTTGTGGCACTTCCAGCCACAGTTACTTCCAGCTGTCAGTCATGCCAAGGAGTCAGAGGGCCAATGTGTGCACAACCTCCAATAGTACAGATATATACACACAGAACGATTTCTGAGAAAACAGAATTTGTACATCTGTCTACACGAAAAGAGCAAGCATACAAGCCCTCGGAATCCATCTAGTAGAAGTCAAACACATACCCTTATTTCCATATTAGGTATACACAGCACTCCAATGAGAGACTGGATCCCAGAATTTCCAGGCTTGCATAAACTAATAATGCCTAAAAACAAAATAAAATGCATAATTACATGATGGCAAACTCATGTGCAAACACCCAGTGGGAAACTTCTGCCACAGGCTGAACAACAGACAGTTGGTCTAAAAATAACACAGCATAAACTTCACAGGATTTCTAGGACCATGAACAAAATGTGTTTCTTTTATCATGGAATCATCATCATAATATAGCTCAAAGAGAGCAACAGATTCGCTTTGCCAGGAAGCAACAAAATAAAATAAAACAATAATCTTGCCCACAGTGATGCTACTGAAAAATGGGAATCATACTAGATAATCATTGAAACTTAAGAATCCTGCAGGTTCAGATAAGGAGCTTCTCTACTCAAACACCCTGTTCTCAAGAGTGCAGCCAGATGATAGCTTCCAAACAGGACATGAACAGCCTCCCCTATGGCCAATTCTCAGCCCCTGGTATTCAGAGGTTCACTGCCTCTGAACATGGAAACAACATTTGGATATCATGGCTAATAATTGTTGATAGACCTAGAACTTCCAGGAATGCACCTAACCCTTTTCCAAAGCCACCTAAGATAATGGTCACAACCACATCTTCTGGCAATGAAGTGCACAGCCGTGAGGTGAAGTACTTTATAAACCTCCACCACATCTCCCTTTGTTTGTGTCTTTTTGCCAATGACAAAGCTTTAGCCTCCCATCAGAACTTCTAAAGAAGTTATCTTTTGTGTCCAGACAATTTCAGAGTTGTGTTTGTCAGGAACGAAAGGCTTTTTTAAGGCCACCTCTGGGTTGTGGAATTCTCTCCCTAGAATTCATCTCCCTGATGGCTTTGTGTTGCTGCAAAAACCTTCCTGTTAATGCTCTTGCAACAATTTATTTTGTTCTTATTTTATCAGCTACTTTGTCATGTTTTAGTTCTAAAAGATTGACAAGACAGCACTGATTCTGATACTTGTTCTTCCTCAGCAGTATTTTTTCTTCCGTATGTTTAGTAATTCTAGCTCCTCCTGAATCTTTTTTAAAAGTCGCAATACACTGCCTTTCAATCCAGTGATAAGAAGGCCAATTTCAGCAGCAAGTTGCATATACTGTCTGCTTCCCCAAATACTGTCTCATCCAAACTCCACAGCCTTCTGGGATTAGGCATGTGCTTACCAATGCAGGTGACATTTCCATCGTGGTGCCCTATCTATGAAATGTTCTCTTTGGGGAGGCTTGTCTAGTGTCTAAATGGCCTTTTCAATCCCCTCCCCCCCGGGATATCTATTTTCATAGGCCTTTTAAATGTTAGCTGAAGTGGTTTTATTGTATCGGCTGTGTTTGTTACTTTTTCTCCCAATTCAGTATTGGTTGATTCAACTTTGCAGTTGCAGCTGTTTCATTTTAAAATTGACCTAAATATGTTTATTTCACTGCAAGCTGTCCCGATAACTTAATTGAGCTCAGGCAAGAGGCACATTTTTAAAGCATTAACAGTTAAAAGAGCTCCAATTACCACATTTGATTTTAAATAAGAAATCTTGGGTATGTGTGTTCTGACCAGATAATTCATTCATTTTAAATTTGCCAATCAGTTCTCAAACCTCACCTCTTGGTGCATCTATTTGAAATGGTTGTTCAGAACAATTACAGCCACCCTCCACAAATGTGGTCCACGAAAAGCAGATCTCCCAATATTGTAAACCACCCATTTTCACGTGAGGCACACAAGAGTGTGCATACACACACACACACACACACACACACACACACATATACATACACACACCTCCAATAACATATACCTTTTTTCTACACTCCAAGTATGCCATCATTCTAAAGGTTAAACCAAGTTCTTACCAGCCCACGATCGAAATGCTGCAACAATTCCCATTTTACTAGCAGACAGCCGTGCTTCTCGGTCCTCCCTGCCATAAAAAACAATATTGAGAATAAATATCCATGTTAAACTGAGTCGTGTTTATTAAACACTCAAATTGGTATCTCTGATTTGTGACAATTTTTAAATTTTAAATTGTTAAATGTTAAGAATACAATATGGTATGGTATGGTAAAAATACAATATGAAAATTATGGGTGTCTCTCCCCCCCCCCCCCCCATTTTCTCTACTGAGGATTGTCAAAATGAAAATTGCCATGCATGGGACAGATGGCTTAATGGTACATGGAGTGCTCAGTATTGGAGGAGCAGGGAATAGTATCACTCATGAAAGTGTGCCCTCAAAAGTCAGAGAATGGCTTGCAAAAGCCCTCGTCCAGGATAGAAAGTTCAAGTACTTGAATAGCACTGTTATCAAGTAGCAGATAATGGAGACTGTACTTACTTCTGCTGTCCTTCTGCAGTATCTGGATTGTGCCTGTAGTGAAAGTCTGTGTAGGGCGCTAATATCCGCTGCAGTAAGGAAACAAAAGTTTGGAGTCATTCCCATTATCACCATACAATCTTTATTATTATCCACCGTTTAAATGTTGAAAAAATACTATCTATTCCAACGTGAGTAGTTCTTTCTTAAGTGATATAGAAAATAGAATTTGCTTCTGACCTTAACAAAGATACATCCAGCAAAATTATCTATGAAGCAGAGTAAAGTGAAGACATCCAATTAGAACGACCTATTATTCCTTACCTTTTGAAATAGAATATATGCAGCATCTTTTTGCATGTTTGCAACTTTTACCTGTTGACAGACCTGGCAGAAAGTACTGCCAATCGAGGGCTTATTTTTAAGGGTGTGTTTAAAAAGAAAATATGGATAATACAGATCACCGGATTGAGGCAACAACCCAAAGCATGTCTGTTCAGTAAGTCCTACTGAATTCAGTGGGGCTTAATCCTAGTTAAGTGGGGTTTGGAATGCAACCTAAGTGTTGATACACTAAGACTGTATAAGAAAAAGAAAGTTCCTACCTCTAATTCTACATCTGCACGCACATACTGTCGAGTCTTTGGATGATTGAGAAGATGCAAGACGGTCGTTATAAGAGCTTCATTTATACGGCTTAACTGGCAGTCAATCACATTTTTCAAAATGGTACTTAGACCACCTCGAAGTGCAACTACTTCTGGATTCTGAATTGCTGAAAGAAGAGAATGATATTAACTGAACCAATTAACCGTATTTCTCATCTAATCTTACTTCTATGTTTATGTTAAGCTTCATATCAAGAAAATGTTAAGATTTCAGCTTAAAACCTTTTTTGTTTAAAGTCAAAATATATTGTAAGTTCCTTTTCTTGGATGCTCAGGAAAAAAATTCATTATTTACTTATTTACCAATTAATGCCAAAATAGGCTTCTAATCCATTTATAAAACACAGAAACCAATTGTACATTATTAAAATTCAAAATAATTAAAAATACACCATACTTAAAGCACACAATAAAACAAACCCATTAAAACACTGAAATATAAATGTCCATAATTAAAATATGCAACAAAACTATAATACTTTTCAACTTTCTTACCTAGTTCACAGATAATTGCAATACATGCTCGAACCATCCTGTCCCTCTCCTGAAGGCCGTCATTTCCAACAGCTATCAAGGAATTGGTAACCGAACTAGGAAATAATGAAGCATTCACAGTGATCATCTGCAAAGAAATGCAAAAAGAAATGGAGAGATGGGTTTGTCACAGCAACATTACAGTAGGATTACAGAAATACACTAATGGTTCTTCTATATGTTTGTATCAAACTCTTTCTCCCACCTGCACGTTTGGGCTCAGTATTCTGCTCTTTTGCTTCCACATTCTTTTTAAACAGTTTCTTCGACAAATACATAAAGATGAACATGTACCGTAAAAGGTTAGACACCATACTAAGATAAAGAATCTACTGCACGACCATGCAGAGTTCTCTTCAGGGCCTTCTGGTTCAATTAAACTAGGGAGTAGCAGATATGCACTCAAGAAGCTGTTTCTAATGCATGGCTAAATGGTGTTCACCAAGAATGGCCCCTTCTGTCCTGAAGTGTTCACAGCAGATAAATTGTGGGGCAAAGCTGGAAACCAAACAGCAGCACAGGGCTCATGCATTTTCTTAGAAAAGCAAATAATCCCAGGGTCTCCATACCTCTATGCAGCCATTGTATTTGAGAAGGATCATGCAGAGCCATACTGCCTCCGCATGACATCTGCACAATGGATGTCATGTTTGCATCAGGGCCTCCACACATACAGCACAATGTGCAAAAGCCTAATCCATGTAATTTATACACTACGAAAACAGAATATCAAGATTGCACCCATTAGACCTACATGTGTGGCCTCCTATGCAACCCCATTCAAGTGCATGAATGTCAGGCATCAGCAAGCACACCAGAAGCAAGTCAAGGCAGGCATGATTCACCACCACACAGTATTTCTCCCCCTCAAATACAACATCGGCTTAGGTCTCAGGGACCTCCAATACTTTTCAAAAGTAATGTGGGAAGTCCCCCAAAGGAAAACAAGAACCTTTTGGAGGAAAGTGGAGTAAGATATACATAATAAAAACAACTGTCCAAAAAGAGGAAGAGGCTGAGCACTGTATACTCCAATCACTGTTTTCCCACCTTTCTAAATTAGGGAAAGGTTTGTATAAGACAGGCATAGGCAAACTCAGCCCTCCAGATGTTTTGGGACTACAACTCCCATCATCCATAGCTAATAGGACCAGTGGTCAGGGATGATGGGAATTGTAGTCTCAAAAACACCTGGAGGGCTGAGTTTGCCTATGCCTGGTGTAAGACATGTATATTGGCTTTGCTCTGGCAAAGAAATTTCCAGTTACTGCGGGAAATGTTGGAACAGCTACTATGATGCAATGGACTATGTGGCCCTTTATATAGTCTAGTTATAGGAACTCATCAAATTTCTTCCTTTCCTACTTATGACAGAATGGGAGGGAGGAATCTGCTTTATTTGCAAGTTGTCTTTCAACAATGAAAGATTTACAATATTTTTGAGAAACTCTTGCTTTGTAAATCATCATCTGATACTATGTAACAGGAAGCTCCTTTAGACTAGACTTCAAAGGAAAAGCTACACCCTTCTCCCACCAACAAGATAAATTTTCATTTAATTAATTTGTATTTTGTACCATTACACTAGAAACAGAGTAGCAATCTCTTTCAGAAATACAAGAACTTGTGTTCTTGCACTGAAGGCATGAACAAACTTATGCTCATCATGGGTGGCAGGAAAGTACAAACAAGTGACCACTTATTGTGGCTTGGATTCTTTTACTAACAAATTTTGTCTGTATTACACAACTGAAAAAGGAAGATTGCTTATTACAGTGGTACCTCGGGTTAAGTACTTAATTCGTTCCAGAGGTCCGTTCTTAACCTGAAACTGTACTTAACCTGAAGCAGCACTTTAGCTAATGGGGCCTCCCACTGCCGCCTCGCTGCCAGAGCACGATTTCTGTTCTCATCCTGAAGCAAAGTTCTTAACCCGAGGTACTATTTCTGGGTTAGCGGAGTCTGTAACCTGAAACATATGTAACCTGAAGCGTATGTAACCCGAGGTACCACTGTAGTTTGTTTATCATTTGGCATGCTAAAACTATAGCAGAAATAAAATCCCATCTTATGAAATACTTTTAAGTGATTTGGCTTATTGCTTCAAATTTACAACTTAATACCTACTGATAAAATACCTGTTAGTAGCTCTATACATAACTGCAGTGATTGAGTGTGAAAAGGAAATCGAATTGACAGAAGTAGTTTTGAATGTCATTATTTTGTCCTTGGTCTGAGGGCTCCTGATCTCCTTACCTGTATGGGAGAGCATACAGGGCTATACAACAGTGGGAAGAAGAGACAGTAAACTGCCCTACTCACAGGCAGTTTTCATGGAACTTATGGATACTAACTAGCTGTTGCATTTGTACACTCTGTTTCTATTTTTACAACTCTATTTGCAACACAGTTGCAAAACTCCAGCCATTTCACACATTATAGCAACACGGTGTTTCCAACACGGCTTCTTCCACAGTCATACAGAATTTGGTTTTGGGTTATTCAGCAGAAAATTGCACTATGCTATTGTTTCCGAACATACCTTCCTGACTAAACGAAGTGCTTGTGTCCTTTCTACTTCATTACTCTGCTGTATGTCAATGCACCTAAAAGCATAAAAATGAGGAGGAAATACTTTAATTAGGGTTCAAGGTGGCAGAATGTAGCGCATTTTAAAACAGCCGTGCATTTCCCAGATATATTCGTTTTTTACTTTTGAACGTATAGCAGCAAAGGTTCAAGTTATTGAGATGACTGGTGCAAAACAGTCCAAACTTGCATCAAAGGCCCTCAATTTACAATTCTGTGCAACCAGCTAAACACAATGTAACAATATATTTGAGGCAATCTTTCAATAAAACCAGGCTATGCAATCAATATTTAGAGATTAGTCGTGTTTCTCCCATTTCCAATTTCAAAATAAGTTTATTTTGAAAAGTTGTGCATTTGGGATTGTAGCCAGCAGTGTCACTCAGCTAGTGGTGAGGCTTCTATCAATGAACAGGGAGTAAAATAATTTTCAGTGGTTCCGACTTCACCTTAAAGCCTCTTGCCTCTCCTAAAACTGTTCCAGAGAGCTGGGGCGCCCCTCCAGAGCAATGCAGGGAGACACAGGAGGCTGCAGGGTGGGCGGGGAACTGCTAAATATTTCTTCTCTCCTCATTCCATCAAAGAAAGCCTGACCATCAGCTGAGTGACGCTGCTGCATACAACCCTTATTATTTCACGTCACTCAAAGCAGGCATCTATGGATATTAAATGTAACAGGTTGCGATCTGCTCAAACGAAAAGGTTCAAAGAGTCATATAAACGGTGATTCATTATCCAAATCAGGAAAAAGATTTCAAATACAGTATCAATTTATTATTACCTGGCTATCAAGTAATCCACTTTTAATTTTAACACCTTCTGCAGAATACTGGAGTCTCGGATAAGGTATCGAAGGGCTCGCAGCCCTGCCGCTCGCACCTCTTTTGCTTCATTCAGTAAAGCTAATCGCAAACTATGATGCAAATGATAAGAAAATCACTCAGGCTTTAAATAATTAAGTGTGTCCCTTTTGCTAAAAACAGACTCGCTCTTCCTTTCTGCGAGACAGGAACAGATCCATGCTTAAGTACACAGCTATTCATGTTAGACATTTTAACACCCAAGATGTAAGCAAAACTCTCCACTGCTTCGCATTTTCTTCTCCTTGCTGAAAACAATATTAATAATGAAAGTAAATTAAGACTGCCTGTTTCCATGAAGAGCATGTCCTCATTTTAAATAGTTACACAATTGTGAACACCTAGTTTTCAGCAGCTTAGTAATAAGTAATTTGGTTTCCACTTCAAAGCTGGTTGGACGCTCCCACCAATGCCAATTTGTAAAATCCAACCAACAGTGCAGAGAATATTAAACAATACTTACCATCTCAGCCTGTGATGTCATTATTTGGGCTAGGGTGTGTGGAATGTGTGTGGCCCAATACTTCCTGTTCTGAAGCTTCTTTGGTTAAAAAAAAAAATCAGTGCTAAAGAGCTTATGCGTCTCAAAAGCTCAGCTGGATGGTCCCGCTTGCACAAACAGAGGCCAATTGTTCACCACTTTCAGGGTTAGGGAAGCTATTCTGATCGCACTGCTTAGTGACAGACTGTTTTTGCTTACCTCTGTAGCTATTTCAGGGAATTATCTGCCTTAGGCCCTTTGACTGTGGAATCCATTCTTTCTACGGCTGGCACACATTAACTGGATTTTTAGTTGAGAAGTTCAAAGACAGATAATAGCTCTAGCAATCTGTTAATGTAATGATTCTTTAATACCAATAATTAGATAGGAGGTGCTAGTTTCTCTTGTCTGGATTCATTTGCACTTTTTAAAAATTATAATTAAAGGTAGGGTAGGAACTGGATCCAGTCCACTAGCCACTTCCCTACCTAAAGTAGAAATTAAAGAATTGCTAAAATATTAGGAATTATCGCAAGAATTATCACAAGAATTATCACAAGCTGCTGCAATGTCACATCTTGTTTTAAATATCAGATTAGACTTCAAGTGAATGTCTACAACCCAAAAAATAAAAATAAAATAAAATCTGCACTCAGATTTGAAGTAGTGATTGGTAACAGGAAGCTGATCACACAGAAGTGATCCATAACCTTTTGGGTGGTTTCATTGCCCATGAAAGTAATATATCACTATATTTGTTTACAATACAGTCATACCTTGGTTCTTGAATGGCATCCATTCCGGAAGTCCATTTGACTTCCAAAAACGTTCAAAAACCAAGGTGCAGCTTCCATTTGGCTGCAGGAGCTTCCTGCACTCAATCGGAAGCTGCATCGGATGTTCGGCTTCCCAAAAAAGTTTGCAAACTAGAACACTTACTTCCGGGTTTGCGGTGTTTGGGAGCCAAAACATTTGAGTCACAAGGCGTTCGAGAACCAAGGTGCAACTATACAGACAACAAGTGCTTAACTGCTATAGACAACAAGTGCTAAATTCTCACTGATTTTAATGAAGCAAGGTTATAGACTTATTCTGTACAAGTTCTGCTGAATTTAGCAGTAAATGAGATGTGGACTGCTGCCCATGCTAATGGTAAAATAAATAATATTTTCTGATACACAAACTTAGCAGAGAACAACACAGTATTGTGAATATCAAGATTCTTCACTGGATAAGAGATTTTTACAGACATTTTCCACTACAAAAAAGCACCTTTCGTATTTGTGCTTATAAAATATTAAGCATATTACTTTAACACAATTTCAATGCAATAGTTTTAAGAAATCCTGCAGGTCTTTAGCTAACTTTGTAAAATCAGACTTTTGAGTTGATAAATTGCTCACAGATTTTCTACACGATGGACTGAGTAGAAAACCTGGCAAACAGCAGCCTGTCTGTGCCATCTGAGACAAGCTACCAGGCTCACACCAAGCATTTCTACAGGTCATCCCTATGACCAAAGACTGGGTAGAAAAAATGTTACTGGGTAGAAGTTAAGGAACAAAAAATGACAAAAGGGGCCCAGAGCCTAGACTAGTATCTCCTTCCTCCAACACAAGAACTGCTCATGGCTGAGATGTTTCTGGTCTTCAGCTTCTAATGCATTATCAGAATCAAGAACTCTGCAATGGATAGAGCACCTGCCACATACTCAGAACAATCTGTATCATGACCTCAACACATTGGCATCCAAAATGCTGTTTAACTTACAACTGAAACAACAGTCACAGAAACACTAGCTTATCATTCATGAATGGTCCAAATAATGCTCCAATATAAAAAGAGAGAGACATATTGAAATTGTTTGATGTGTTTTAAACTGTTTTTGTTTTGTTAGTTTAATGTGTTAGTGTTATGTAGTGTTTTTGTATTGTTTTGTATTGTATTGTATTGTATTGTTCTTTTTTTTGTAGTGTTTAAATTGTTGAAAAAGTAATAAATATTTTTTTTAAAAAAAAGAGAGAGACTTACCATATGATGATGTTTTCATAAGTAAAACCTAGCTTTTCTTCAGTATGACCAGCATTACAAAGAAGCTGCAAGTAAAAAATGTGTATGTCAACTGGCCGGGTAAGGAGTTTTGTAACAAGTCAAACACACTCAAACACACTCAGGAGTGCTCTGATGGTGTTTCCTGCTTGGCAGGGGGTTGGACTCGATGGCCCTTGTGGTCTCTTCCAACTCTATGATTCTATGATTCACTTTTCTCCACAGCTACTCAAAACTCTCCCTGGCTTTCTGGTCTTATAACCAAACTAAGCAATTATTTTCAAGGTATTGCTGAAAGAGAAAGATGTGTTAAGATCTTATTGCATTTTAGCAAACCTTTATTTTTTTTTTTAAAAAGTACTTTAAATAAAATATGCTGATAATTCAAATGACTGAAATTAGTTTCATGACAATAGTTTCACGTCCTTGTCCAATCTATTTCTGCGGAACTATTCATTTTGAAGTGCATGGAGCCAACCTCTGCCACTCTCGACATTTGCAAAAGTGCAAATTCACTGCTGCCGCGTTAGTTTATACATCTATAAATACAGGCTGCCAAGAGGATAAAGATTGCGTTATATGATTCAGCTGTTAAAAACACAGATAAGCAGGTCACCTTCCAACAGAAAGGTTTCCAGGTAAGTGGCAGAATATCTTAAAGGGATAGAAACTAGAAAAGTGAAATTCAAGTGAAAAGCATTTTTTCAGCTCTGCAAAAAAACGGGTTAGGTTATACACCACTAAACAAACTTTAACTTGCAAGTACTCTTTAAGAAAACATTTTTTCATGGGGGGCCGGAATGTGTCATCCTACTATAAACACTTGGAAGAGGGGAAGTGGGATGTTGGTTTACAACAGTGGGTGGCAGCAGCGGGGGGGGGGGGGCTTCTTCAGCCTGAGGGTTGAATTCTATAGTGCCAATGGTGGGCAGGTCAGAGGGGAAAACGTGGGCAGAATAACAGATGTTAAGTCTTACCTTTCTATGGTAATCTACATTCCTGCCATATAAAAGTCAGAGGTTTCTACAGACACCCCTCCATCAAGGCAAGCCAGAGGCATTATCACAGTTCAATGACACATTCCTGCCAGGGAAATGCACTCATTGAAGGTGAGGCATCTGGCAAGGGGATGGGGGCATAAGACAGAGGAGAATCTCATGGGTTAAACAGAGGCCAGGAATGCCACCTTCCACCCCCAGGCACGAAGTTACCCATCTCTATAGTTTACAACCAGTAAATAACCAAAAAGGCAGTACGGTATCTTAAAAACGTATATGGTGAACTCACTGTTACTTATTGACAATGCTTAGCATGTACAACACATTCTGAGTAGTTGTTGGAAATACCAAAAACATTACTTTTAGTGTAGAGATTTTTTTTTCTTTTCTATTTTCTTACATTTATATACCACCTTTATATTCCAGTGAGCTCAAGGTAGTGCATATGGTTCTCCCTCTCCCCATTTCATTCTCACAACAACCCTAGGAGGTAGATGAGGCTAAGAGATGGTGACTCGCCCAAGGTCACCCAGTGAGCTTCAGGGCTGAGTGGGGATTCGAACTCCCAAGTGCCAGTCCAACACTCTACCATTTCGCTACACTAATATTGAAGCTACATATTTTAAGTGCGAAAGCTTCCAGGATAGCACCTAGCCATGGTTCAAGCTACAGGGCTGAGTCATCGCATAAACAGTGGCTTACAGTTAGAACTATCAGGCGTTACTGCTGCTGCCACAGTGAAAGAAAAAGGAGAAAAGTTATCATTCCTTCCAACTGCACAGTTCCTGATCCCCTGCCAAACAGCAGAATAGCAAAGCAGGGCCACCCACAGACAAGGTAACAGGTTTCTTAAAGGACTCAGCATGTGCACAGATTATTATTATTTTTTTGCAAATAAAAAACTAAAACACAGCCACAAAGAAACTGAAAAAAACCTTCCTGATGAAGGTGGTTTGTTGTGGTTTCCTTTTTCTGACAACAGGCATTTTTTGGGGAAAAAACCCCTCTGCTTTTAATGTAAATTGCCTGGCCATCCATAAATAGAATACAATAAAGAATAGGGAATTAATGTATCCCCACCAGCACAAAAGTACACGAAATGACTCCCCCAAACTGCATGAGGAATTAGGGAAGCTCCCCATCTCCTCATGACACTTCACAGCATGGAAATGACCTCCAGCTTTCTGCTATTACATCCATTTCCCCCCTCAAACACTTTTTTTTTTTTTAAGAACTCAACTGCTTGCTAGGTATGTTGTCAAAATGAGCTAAAGCAATTCTACAAATATTATTTAAGTTCTGTTGGTCAGCAGTCAGCTATGCCTGTTACTTGATCCAGTGAAATCATGACAAGTGAGAGACACAAGTGTGTGACACTCACATGGTTTAGCGATCATATCACTAGTTCCCTCTGTCTTTCCCCTAAATAGAAGATTTAGTTATTGGAATATATGTCAAACCACTGCATCACGCAGAAACTCTAAAAAGCTAGTGGCCTGCATTCAGTGAAAGTGTCTGAGGAGATTACTGTTTAAAAGGATAAAACTTCAAACTTTTCCCTTTCCACTATTTAAATGTAATTTCCAAAAATGCAGCTAGCACAATTACACTTGAGTGCCAAACTTCAATATTTCTGGTCTTAATGTGGTGCACATTCTTTATTTAATTCCATTTATGAATCTCTTCCCATGAAACATCTCAAAGCATTAACAAGGCATATACAATACAGTCGTACCTTGGAAGTCAAATGGAATCCATTCTGGAAGTCCATTTGACTTCCAAAACGTTCGGAAACCAAACCGTGGCTTCTGATTGGCTGTAGGAAGCAGTTTTCGGTGCCTGCTAAAAACATTTTTGCTTAGGCAAACCTACCCAGACATGTAGAAGAATGTTTATGTATGTTTTAATCTTTTTTTAGCTTATTGCTGATTTTATTTTCTGAATGTTTTAAATAATTGTTTTTACTGCTACTTTTATTGTTTTATTCTCTTTGTAAAAAAACAAAACAAACCTCAAAGCAGTTTACAACCAATGAAATAAAATAAATAGATCTCAATGGCAGTTCATTTATACAATCTCTCTATCTAAAATAGTATTCCTAAGATCATGTACTTCTGATGTACTGTACATATCTTTCAATACACTTTTCTTTTGGTTCTTTTGTTACACGTCTTACATATCCCTATTTCCATCTATATCCAAAATGACGAATATTTTTTCTGTCAAAGATACTTCAACCATTTCTTTCACTGCATAGAATTCTACTCAACTAAATTATAATCAGAGCAGACCTACTGAAATTTAAAAAGATAGTTCCATGACTTTCAATGGACCTTGTCAGAGTAAAATGTAGCTGAATACCACCCACTGCATTAAAGTTCTGGCTCAAGTTCCTGTAGCACAAAGCTTGTGATGACCAAGTAAGTAATATTCAGCAAAACATTAATGAACGGATACAGTGATTTTTAATCACTTTCCCTTCATCACTTTTATCATCCCATCACTACATCATTCACTCACAAGTTTTCCATACCATGATTATTTTTTATTTGCCAACTGAATCAATTGATTTGGCATGATGCAAAAAAACCAAAACCAAACACACACACACAAATGCTTTAACTATTATAAAAATTCTTACCTTAGTAAAGTTATTCAAGTGGCCTAGCTTTCTCATATTTGAAACCCCTTGCAATTTGGCCACATTTTGGAGAATCTCTCTCAGGTTATCAGAAGGGTCTACAAGAGAAAAAAAAAGTATCGGTAGGCACAGATTAGAGAAGCAACAACTATACTACCTATCCTGTCTTTCTTTAATCAATTTCTGCTTCTAAGGAAGTTGTAAACATTTTGATAGCAGCAGGCTAATAGTTTAAAGACCAGGAGGGAAGTGAAGGCTAATTGAGATTTCTCTCTCAAAAAATACAGGTCTTTGTTGGGCCTGGCCCAAATGAGGACGTACCCAAACCTAATTTGCAGAAAGTGTCTGGATCATACCCAAAGGGTGAATTCCAGCTAGAGCTCTCCAAAGCTGGAAGACCCACCATTTGGGCATTTACTAGCAATGTAATTGTAAGTAACAAACATGGACTACCCAATATGTTAAACAGGCTTCACTATTGAAAGTGTCAAATGAAGCTTTTTTCCATTTGGTTGAAAATTTCATGAAGCAGCCTAACTAAGGTTCTGCTGAAGATTATACCTACTTAGTGAAGAATGCTGGGGTCTATTTTCTAACATATCTCAACATGCACCTTTGTGAATGTTTGGCGCCAGTTTTGGATTAGGGAGTTTATCCAACTTCAGGGGAGCTATTCTTTGTTTTATGAGTTTACACAGTGTTTTTTGCGTGAAAGGGGTCAATTACTATGAAGCAGCAGGTATTTTAGTGGAAGTATTCAGGGTGATATCCAACCTTTGTCATACTCAGCTCAGACTCATTAAAATCAACGGACTTGTGTCAACTGGTTTTAGTAGTTCTGCTATGAATATGCCTAAAGTTGGATATCACCTTCAGGAAGTGATGTAGCAAAAGCCATCAAATGCCACTACTGTAGTTGAAATTTCTTCAACAGCATACCAGAATACGGTGGTGGAGGAAATCATACTGTGGAGAAGGAATAGATTGTCACATATCCCATTTGAGAAGCTCAGGATTACCAGGGGGGACCATTCTAGAGAACATTTCATCCCGTTTCAAGATCAAGTAGTACAAACCACAAGCACAAGATTAAAGAGAATAGTGTTGGCATATAAGTACCACTAACAGTTTGTTATAACCTTTAATTTCAAGGGCATATAATAGATGGGAACAAACTGCTTCCCTATAATTTAGCATCACTGAAAATGTAATTTGACTGATTCCTATTCCTTTGTTTTGCGCTTTCAGCATAATATTGGTGACAGCTACCCTAGCTTTCAAAGCTTTGGGCTGTACAAGTGATTTTGTATTGCATCTCAAGTACCAAATCATAGTGTCTCAAAGATTTCTCTAGAATGTTTGATTTCATGAATTAAAAAAACAATATACTTCCTCAATAAGGTTCCTGAAAAGAAAAGAAAAAACATTCTAACATGGTCAAATGAGAATGTCAAGCAAAAACTAAGGATGTTCTCCTTCTCTGGGTAAGTAATAAACACTCTTGACACAAAAATCACTGGGGGGAAACCTTTCAAAGTGTATGTGGCATGTTATGGTGAGGTCTGGCATACCTCAGTAATGAAGTCTGCCCCCCACAGCTTTTGCGGAAAAAGAAAAAAAAAGAAAAACCAATCACAGCAAATTCATATCCCCCCATGAGCACATCCTAGAGAAAAACAAATTCCAGCTTGCATGTAAAAGCAAAGCGTTATTTTCCAATTCTAACCTGAAGAGATGGGGCAAATCAAATTCATACGAGAATGTTAATGCTTGTACGTTACTCCCTTTCATTATCAAAGGCTCATAACTAGAAAGGACAGAGCACATACTTTCCACACAGAAGGCCCCAAGACTGTTATTTCCAGTCAAAAGGGTCAAGCATATGGAAAAACTTTATCCGAAGACCCTGGAGAACCACTTGCCAAGGAGAACTGTTGTGGCATCTGAGAGCTGATGGGCAGGTAATATGGCTATTTATCACTTCTTTAGGAATAATCATTAGCTGATGGGACTTGGAGTCCAAAAAACTCAGAAGGTCCCTACCACTGCCCTAAACCACAGTTAAGTGTAGACTAACCACAGTTTTTCAGGTAGCAATTATGTCCTAAACAGCAGTTAGTTGAAAAAGGAAGTGAAAACTACTAATCTCCTCCTCATGATTGCAGCAGGATGGAGAGTGGAGCTCTTAAGCCTGAGGTCAGGGAAGATGGGAGTTGTAGTCCAACAACATCTGGGGACTCAAGGTTGAGAAAGGCTGTTCCAATGATATCCTCTATACACATTTTTTTAAATAACCAAGGCACTATACATGCTTTTCAGTTACATTTTGCAATAAGCACAGAACTTGTGGTTCTTGAAGCCATTTTCTCATAAACTAGAACTATTAAAGATATTAAATACAAATATATTTATATTTAATAAAAGAGCTTTCCCATGCAGAATAAACTTTTTTATTTTGCTGCAGTGGTACAACCTCCCCAGATTCCTATCAAACACTATTGCTATTTTCCCATTGCACAATGCACTCTTCTTCTTTCATTAATAAATTCCAATTATAGGTTGCTACTCTCTTGTATTCCAACATTTTCCAGACAGTGGTATAGTGCAAGTGTGTAACATGTATCAATATGTATATGAGGATGCATACAGAAGAGAAAGAATGCATATATTTGATTTTTAAAGCCTGTTATGAAATGGACCTGGATTCCTGGTTTCAGTTTGTGCTGAGCCAGGACTGGCCACTTCAACACACTTATGTGAGCAAATACTCCTGTGATTAATCATGGTCTACAGCTGTAAACTGCTATTCACTCTTCCTTGTAATTCACATCCTGCTTTTTAAAATATATAATCTATTTCAGATTGCAAAGAATCCTGAAACACGCACTGGTTGTATTTCAAAAGTTACACAAAAAAGAATGCAGTTATATTTTCAAAATTTTCTCCACAAGGTCTGAAAATCCAGAATCTTTCAACAGCAACCAAAGTAAGAGTTACACAGTATTAAATATTTGTATGCCTGCTTAATCTCATTATCAGTCCTGCTATGCCACAAAAGTTACACAACTTAGAAGAAAACCAGAACAGACCATTTATACTGTGTGAAAGCATTAAAGGTTGAGAGGTGGTGAGAAAAGGAGCTTGAAAAATATTTGGTATTGAGCAAAACCACTACTGTATCAATTAGGGAAACCACCAATTGAATTTTAAATAAGCTTTCAAGTTAAATATGCCTAAATTTTAAAGAAAGGTGAAGCTTTATAAAATCGAGTTGGGAGTCAGAGTAGCACTTATCTGCAAACTCCTTCTGGTGGTATTCAAAATTACTTGGACATTTATGCTGAAATTCATATAAGTAGCACGCATCTAGTAATTAACAATGGATGTTTATAAATAATAAGTCTATACAGTGGTACCTCGGGTTAAGTACTTAATTCATTCTGGAGGTCCATTCTTAACCTGAAACTGCTCTTAACCTGAAGCACCACTTTAGCTAATGGGGCCTCCTGCTGTCGCTGCGGCGCCGGAGCCCAATTTCTGTTCTTATCCTGAAGCAAAGTTCTTAACCTGAAGCACTATTTCTGGGTTTGCAGAGTATGTAACCTGAAGCATATGTAACCTGAAGCGTATGTAACCCAAGGTACCACTGTATTCCATTTATTATTTTACATCATTAATTTGGTTAAGTATGGAATTCAAGCTTCTAACATCTAAGAGAAAGAGCAGCGGGTCTTGGAGATGCTAACCAATTGCTAGGGGGCTGTAGACTCCTTTCAAACTTCTCAAACTACTCTGCTGTGTATACTGAGGGCATGTGAAGAGAATTGGTGTTGCCTCTTCCAACAGACAACTCCCTCACAAAATAGGCAATTGCACACTTACCAGCTTAGCTATTAAGTGTTGTAACCCAATGGTGTAGATATTTATGGCATGCAATGGAGCCAAAAGTTCTAAGCCAGACATGGAGAACCATTTTCAGCCCTTCTGGGCAGTCTTTCAGATACTTGAGTCTAAATAGCTTAGGTCTTTAAACACTAATGTGAGCATCATGAATTGGGCCCAGAAACAAGCTGGCAACCAGTGCAGGTATTTTAAAACGGAGGTTATATGAATTCAAAATAGAACCCTGGCCAGTAATCTGGCTGCTGAACTTTGGACCAGTTGACGTTTCCCAATAGTCCTCAAGGGTAGTCCCATGTAGATCACATGGCAATAGACCAGTCTGGAAGTTACCAGAATGTGGAATACAATGGCCAAGGCATCTCTCTCCAAAATAAGCCACAGCTGGCGAACCAGCCAAAGCTGGAAATAAACACTGCTAGCTACCAAGCCTCCTTGAGCCTCCAGTGACAGCTTTGGATCCAAGAAAACCCTAAAACTACAGACCTGCTCCTTCCTCCCAGTGCAAACACAGCCAGAACATGATGTCTTCCCACTTTCTAGACTCAATAACTCAGAACACATCTCAGGATTCAGCTTCAATTTACTGGCCCACATCCAACTCATGTGTCTCTGTGTGTGCATGCACACATGTTTGTATTCCATTGTAACACATTATATTCAAAGATTACTCTTTGAGCAGAGTAGTCAACTTGGAATAGAACTTTGGTTCAAATACCAAATCAGACATAATATTACCTTTTACCCACCTAGCTTACCTCAGAGGACTGTTGTGCAGATGAAATTAGACTACCCCAATGAGCTTTTTGTAGAAAGGACTGTCTACAAATATGAAGATTATTTTCTTTGGTAGCATTTAAATTCTCTGCCCTCAACAAGAGTAATCTTCATATCAGTGTTAAAAAATGTGAACTGTATAATGGAAAACACTTATTTTCAAATGCTGGCCAAAGACCCAGCAAAGCTGACATGTTGTTTGCTTCAGGTGAAAGGAGAAAATATGTCTTCTCTAATGAAGAATTTGAGAACCAATGCTACTAAATATGAAACTGAGATCAATAACACTTGAAATAGTCCCAGATATTCAAAATTATATCACTATAGTCATCAGTTCACATATTCTGGCTTGCTGAGAACATTCTCCAGGTTTCCCAACATGCACACAGGATTCCAGACGGTAGCAGACCATGTAAAGTAAGATACACATCCCTATTCACCCCAGTTTTCTGTGAGGCACAAAGAACTGGAAGGAAGAGAGATATTTCAGTCTGTTGTCAGAAAGAGATTCCAGGACTCTGAAGGCAACCACATTTGTAGAATCTTCCCCACAGTTCCTTTGGATTTTTGTTTCTAACAGGATATTTCACAACATAAAACAATAGTTCATTTGCAACATAGCATACTCTTAATGTAATCCATCATGAAAGTTCTGAACTTTGAGAGGCTTAAGAGGCATTCAACACACACTGCAACTAACAGGATTTTAACCTATGATGCCAGACTGTATATATTCATGATTATATTTGGACAAGGTACCTACTAATGTTCTGATGTGACAGATATCCAAGTAATCAAATTTATATACACAAATTGTGAAATCCTACATATTTCAGTATCAATCATCCATGTTCACATCAAGGATGTTGCTTGATAAATTCAACAAAACAAAAATATGATCTAGTGTTAACCATAAACCAAGCTAAACCAATCCAAGACGTTAAATTAAAAAGTATACAATAACATGTTATTTAATAAACTAAATTAATGGTGGGGGACCTGTGGCACTCCATATCTGTAACCATCCTTAACAGCTGGCCATGCGGGCTGGAGCTGATGAGAGTTGGAGTCCAACAACATCTCAAGGGCCACAGATTTCCTACTTCTGAAATAAGTATCCATACCTAATCAAAATGTTTGGGTTCTATAATATCCTGCATACAGAGATTTATTTTTAAATTGTACAATTTCCCACTAATAACATTTTGAGGTTGAAATGTGTTGAAACCTTTGGTATCTCTTTATTACCAGGTTCATCTATGTTATTTATCATCTGTTGTATACAAATAGGTATTTTGGTTCAGTATGTTTGTCTAATTAAAAAAAACATGTTATTTCAGCATTGATACAATTATCCATTTATACTGTGATGTTTTGCGCTTAAGAGCAGGGATCCTCAATTCTTCTAAAAACTGTTTAAGCTTTTGGGATGTTGAATAAAAATGGGCAGTTTGGAGCTTGCTTACACATTCAGTATTCAGAGGTGGTTATCCCAAACTTTCACTCTTGTCACTTTCAGCTCCTTTCCCCTTGACCAGGCATAGGCAAACTCGGCCCTCCAGTTGTTTTGGGACTACAATTCCCATCATCCCTGATCACTGGTCCTGTTAGCTAGGGATGATGGGAGTTGCAGTCCCAAAACTGTTGGAGGGCCGAGTTTGCCTATGCCTGCCCTTGACTATTTCTCAGTCATTCAAAAGTTATTGTGTTTCTTTCAAGCAGGGCTGGAAAACGTTTGATCCACCAAGACAATTGTAGCCCACCAATCAGGCATGTCAGCTGACCAGGGGCTCAATAAACACTGATTGCTTGGGGACTTGGGAGACCACACTGCATTGGTCATGACTTGCATTCAGCTATGTGCGTCAAAGTTATGCAGGAAATTGGAGATGACTTTTCACATGGCATGCAATAGTAGGAAGAAAATGTGCAAGGAACTCGCATCCTCTTTCCTGTTTTGGAGTCTCATCTAAAGAAGTTACTGAAAGGGGAGCCCATCCATGACTCCAGAATAAAGATGTTTATTCTCCTTTTGAGCAACAAAACCATAGAAGCATAGCAAAACGCACAAGTCACTTGCGGATGCGCTACCACCATTTCCACAGCGTGAGTGTCGTAACTCAGTTCTATCCATCTACGAGAGCTACAAGTTGGCTATTGTTTACATGGATTACTTATCCAGAGATTAAGGAGAAGAGACAAGCCGAAAGCTTTTCATCCTGCCACGTGCCACTGAATCATTTTTAGCTTACTTCAACCTCTCATTCACCTCTTGAAAGTAAAAACAGATCAGAGGTTGGGAATGAGTTTAGGGGCTGTTATCCAAGGATCACTGAGCTGACTGTATAAACACAGGTAGTAGCAGAGTTCACTTTCAAATATCAAGGGACAACATTAATGCTAACTAGCCATAGGTTGGCTTTAGAAATGGTATGGCATCACAGGATCCTTAATAAATTCATCTATTTCCCAGGGGATGCATATTCAGGTTAATCTTCTCAAATGAGTTTGAAGAAATAGACAAGATAATAGAAATTTGTGAATTTCTACAGTTCTCTATCACATATAGTTAAACTGATGTACCTATCTGTTTGTGGCAAGAGGAGATCTAACATAATATGGGAGCAAGCAGGCCTGCATGGGCATAAGCAAAACAAAAAGCAATTGATAAAAAAGGAATTCTTAGTGTCCCCGGAACTGGCAACTACAACATGCCGATGCCATGGGCTGAATTTCCTAATGCAACAAACCAAAATAACACAAAAACAATATTGAAGTGAAAGCTCAAAGACTGCCTTAGATGCTACTTGATTCTTAGGACCTTCATAAATAAATATGTAAATATGCATTTTCCCAGTAATGTAGAAAATGGGCACATAGTAACCAGCATAGCACAAAACAGGGTGTGTTTTTTTTTAAAATAAGCTTATTGGGCAAACACCAAACTGCAATGTAAGAACAAGCTTTTTAAAAACAATCTTCTTTTGAATTTCAACACTGAATTTTAACTCTTACAATTCTTCAACACCTATTTTCCAATTCACTGTAGTGCTAATTCAGATATTACCACAGCAGTACTGTACTCCGGTCTCACATCACTCTAGTTACGTTCAGATAGAGAAAACACATGAATCAAATGAATAGTGTGGTATCTTCCTACTGGGGGACTTCTGGGCTCCAGTGGGCCTTGAATATAAAACTGAAACATTATAGATTTCAAAATGTGCTTTCATCCTGATGTTTACCACACACTATTTTGTCAGTTATTTCAATGCTACCTTATTTTCATGTGGAAAAGCACCAATTACATACTTCTATAAGTACCATACTCAGTCTACTTATATATGGTGTCATTACTACAAAGTTTCTATTTTGCAGTACAAATTATCTGGAATCCATAACATGCAGCACTCTTAATCCTTTCGAATATATCTACTCACTGTTTCATCAAAAACATAAACTTAATATTTTAACAGGTTTTTGTTAAAATGCAGTTTGTTGGTAATTGTTTTCTCTTTTCACAGTGCACTAACAGTTAATATACGCAGCATATTATGCTACACCTCTGTACAGTTTTATTATGTATATGCCTGTAATTGAAGTAAAAAAAAAAACCTATGGGAAATATACAAAGCATCCAAATTGTTTTTCAAAAATTTGACTGTGATAAGAATTCTAGCTGCCACATTGTCTTAAGAGCTATATTCAAGTATAATAGAAGTCAGCTTGCCTATAGGGACAGGCAGTCATGAGTTCAGCCCTAAGTATCTACAAACCCTGGCTAGTGATGGACTATTTCCAAGCAGATCACTGACAACACAGAATCAATTTGCAAGCAGAGTGTAGGAGAGAACCGGATTTGGAAAGACCACTGGAGTTTACATACTGCTGGCTACATCAATGCCCAAGCTCTGAAAAGCTCAAACGCTGCTAACAGCCCCATCTGCAGCCAGCAGACGGGAAATAATGAACCTGCAGCACAGCAAGCTGTACAAAACAAGTCTAGGGGGTGGAGAGAGCAACATACCTGCCAATAATCCATCAGCTGCTTGTTGTTTTCCTGCTCCCCCTCTCCCCTTCCCCCATATGTCAGGAAACAGCTCACCAGAGTGAGACTTCGCCATCTCCCCTTGTGACTTAAGATTTCTCTTCTTCCCATAACACATTAAGGGCGGGATTCCAGTGCTTGCCCGGTGGGCCCTGTGGTTTTCCAAAGCCGACTGCTTGCTTCTCACTATTTCCTCAAATTCTCTTTTCCACTCTCACGATTTGAACACAAAGTCAAATTATTTCTGCTAGCAGAAACAGAACACCTCTCCTCCTCCTCCTGGCCAAAGTGATAAAAAACGAGGGTGAAAGCGAGAAACACAGGGACACAACGGGAGCTGCTTTCTCACAGTCACTCTCACCCTCTCTAGTTAGAAAGATAAGTGCAGCACTTAAGCCTGCAATACACATTTTTTAAAAAAGAGGAAAGTCCCATTTCAAGGAGGAAGAATCAGAGGATCATGGAAGGGACCCTGACAGTCTTCAAGTCCAACCTTGCATATGATGCTCCACAACCGTGCTTCAGCTAGCAGCCTATCATCCTGTTTATTACTATTATCTTAAATGAAAACAAGATCTAATAATTTAGCCCTCGCAGCCCATGCTTGCCAGGAAGACCCACAGGACAGAAGGGGGTTTCATTCCCAATCTAACACCCCCACCTGAGCTCCATGGGGCTTAATCCCCTAAATAAATGTGCATTGCCTTGGGCACGGGAGGAATGTTCGCATCCTGGAGCAAGTCTTCTCCCGGCTCCCTCCTGCTGGGGACCGGCTGCTGGGAGGAAGACATATCCCCCCTTATCTCAGGGGGGGCCCACCCTGATGTCAGGAAAGGGCTCCCCTCTCCCCCCTGAGCCCCAGCCTCCATTCGCTCCCATTCTGAAAACACCCCCCAGAATGTGGAGTTTGTGGGGGGCGGGATGGTGGGAGGCGCTCGCCACCAGGGTGCCCACCCCGCTTCCCCCCCTCCCGCTCCATTACCTCGGCTGAGATCGAGGGGGACGTTTTCCTCGCCGCTGTCGTTCCGGCCTGGGCGGTGGGGAAGAGGGGGAGAAAAGAAAACGAGATTCGGTCATTGATGGGAGGAGGAGAGAAGAGGCTGAGCCCGGCGGCCGGAGGGAGCGGGATGCTGAGACCGGGGAGGGGGAGGCAGGAGCCGGGCACCGACCCACCCGCCCCGCCGTCGCCCCCGAAGCGCAGGCCGAGCCCCCCACCCCTCCGGGGGTTCCTCCTCACCTCGAATGCGGAGGTGCCTCAGCGAGCGGGCGCGGAGACTCACCGCCATGTTTACGGCCCCGCAGTCACAACACCGGAAACCTCGCCCGATCTCGCGAGAGAGCGGAGGAAGCCGCCTCGCTCGGCTTGCCTAGTTACTGCCCGCGCGCGGGAGGCCGGGCCCTCCCTCACGAGCAGCTCTCGCTCGAGGAGCGGGCGCCGTGGGAAGGGAAGGGAAGGGAAGGGCGGGCGACACACTCCCGGTGCCAGGCAGCCCGTGAGGCCGTTGTTGAGGCGGGGGTGGGCCGCGAGGAGCCGCCGGGGGGTGCCGCCGCCGCCGCCGCCTCTGTATTCTCTTCGGGGCAGGCGGCTGTGCCCCCTCGGCTTGCTCCTTGTGGGAACCTATTTGCTGCGAGATTCCGATTGATCCTGGCGCTTCCCCACCACAGACTCCCGTTTCCTTTGGGGAATGAGGCGCAGCGGAGACTGTGGTGTCCTTTGGATGCGTGGTTTATTTACACCAGGGTTTCCCAAAGTTGGGGCTCCTGCTTTTTTGTGGGGACTACAATTCCCATCATTCCTGACGACTGCTTCTGCTGGCTAGGGATGATGGGAATTGTAGTCCCCAAACAGCTGGAGACCCAACTTTGGGAAACACTGATTTACACAACCCCAGGCTGCGATGGAGGGGTTCACATCATCAGCGCAGAAGTGGCTTTTTCGCCCCCGATAGCTGCAGTCTTGGATTCAAACAGAAATCAAACATTGCTCCCAAACTGTTGGTCGGACTTTTCCTACAGTTTGCTGCTTTCCTTCTAGGTCACATCACTGCAACATAACCTTGAACTCTGGCTTTGCAGGCCCTCCAGGTGTCCCTATTTTTTCCAGGGACAGTCCTGCATTTACGGAAGCTGTCCTGGTTTCTGATTTGATCCTGGAATATCCCACCTTTCCTTAGGATGCCCCTATTTTCATCAGATAAATATGGTAGGATGTCCCTATTTTCATCTCAGGATTGTTGTTGGGTATGACCTTACCCTTCTAACTACTAACCCCTTTTCTTTTTTCGCTTAATGACCCAGGCGATCACCCTGACATGGGAAGCTTGCCTGGCTTCTATTTTAACAATCACTAGTTCCAGGGGTTAGAAGGTTCTCACATACAGCCTACTTCCTCCCCCAACAAAACTCATATTAAATGTCTGCTCTTGTTAGTTGTTTATGAACTGCCCTCTAAACATGTCTAAACAGCACTTTATGTTTTTAACTGTAAGCCACCTTGAGTCCCTGTCAGGGGAAAGGGTGGGGTATAAATAAATAAATAATTTCTTGAGGCTATTTGCGGCTGTACGTTAAAATCAGCTTTATAAACGGTGCTGGAAAATGGTTTAAAAGCGATACACAATGAACCCCTAGGGCAGAGCTGTTTGGTACAAAAATGAACTCCTAAAACCCACTTGAAAAAGCTCATCAAGACAAAAGGGAGGAAGAATGCCTTCCAGTTGTTTCAGGAAAGTACAGGTTGTGGGCATGTATCCCCTACAAAGAATGCTCTTCCACCGTCCCACTGTACACTTGGCATCAAAAAACAGGCAGAGCCGCACATTTTTATCCAGGAACAAAAATGTTGGATTTAATACTATACTTCTGTTAAACATTGTTTTGCTTCTGCTAAGCCACCCAGGGAATATTTCTGGGCGGCTATGTCAAATTAAGGATTGACGCAAATAAATTTCACCATGGCAGAAATGATAAAAGGAAAACAACAGCTCTTTGCTGTGAAAGGCCTTTACAAAAAATATCCAAGTGGGTGTGGTGCCTCTAATGCCTTCCCTGTGTCGGTTTCTCAGTGGCTTTAGGGCAGTGTGGGGTATAGCCTGGGGAGAGCTCTGCGGGCCAGAAAGAGAAATGTCAAGGGCCGCATTTTGCCCCTGGATTCCACATCCCTGCTGTAAACAGACGTTGGTGATTGGCTGCAGACAGTGACTTCATGGTGAGGGAATAACACTCCGCTGCATCTCTGTATTTTGTGCTATTTATTTGAAGAGATGATTCCTAGAACAGGCTTGAAGATCTAAATGGCCACTGCCCAACATATATGCAGGAATGATATGCATATGACCCTCTCTCAGCCAAAGGATAAGTGAGTCAGAGGCGTAGGAAGATCAGGTGGTACCCAGTGCAGAAAATTTCTTGTCAGCTATTTTTGTGGAGGAGGGTCAAGATATTAACTGATATGCATGAAATTTCATATGTATCTATATTATCCCTAGGTGCAGTAAGATAAGACCTTTGGAGCAGGCATTTTTAAAAAAAGTTTCTTATGAACCACCCTAAAGATAAAGATAAAGGGAGCCCTGACCGTTAAGTCCAGTCATGGACGACTCTGGGGTTGCGGCGCTCATCTCGCTTTACTGGCCAAGGGAGCCGGCGTACAGCTTCCGGGTCATGTGGCCAGCATGACTAAGCCGCTTCTGGTGAACCAGAGCAGCACACGGAAATGCCGTTTACCTTCCCGCCGGAGCGGTACCTATTTATCTACTTGCACTTTGACGTGCTTTCGAACTGCTAGGTTGGCAGGAGCTGGGACCGAACAACGGGAGCTCACCCCGTCATGGGAATTCGAACCGCCGACCTTCTGATCAGCAAGCCCTAGGCTCTGTGGTTTAGACCACAGTGCCACCCACGTCCCTATGAACCACCCTAGTAGGGCAGTAATTGTTCCTTGATAATTTGTCACCCCCCTCCATGATGGCACCTGGGTCCCACCGCCCCCCCCTTTCCTATGCCCCTGAAGTGAGTAGAGTTTTTTTAAAATCCCCCTGCGGGAGTATCCACACTGGTAGTCTCTGGCTTCTTTGAACATGTTCTCAAGGCACCACAGTCTAAGGGGACATTCATAAAATATGGATTAAATACTGGATCCATGCCACTTGCAGGGGACCCATGACTAGGAGTGCAAGCAACAACCTACGCACAGCATTGCATCTTAAGTCATTATCATACATGACAAATGGTTAGTCTGCTTTTAAAAGCATTTTAAATTTACATTTTAAAGGCTGTGTGAAGTGTAATGTGCCCTATGTGCTGTGCAAATAGCATTTTAAAAACCCCAGATGAAATGCACTAAATTCAATTCACAACTTTTAACAAATAGTGTGTGCAGTTTCACACTTTATGGGGTGTGTGGTTTTACGCTGAAAAGTCACTGGTTTTTCTTTGAAAAAATGACTATCTGCTTCCTGTTGACACTCAGAATAATTGTGCCTGACTACAGTATTGAAACTGTTTTTCTACTTTCCAACACAGAGATTTAAGGCAGCTAAAATGCTTTTTTCTCACCCCAAGAGCTGGAAGTTGTTGGAAAAATATATCTCTGCTTATTCCACTTTTGCCTCTAGTAAAAAGGTTCCAAGGGTTTTAATATTGTTTCAGAAACCTGCAAAAATCTGTTTGGCCAGAGTGACACAGGTCCATACTGATGTTACTTAAAAGGGAGAATCCCCCACCCCTGTCCCACCTCCCATCGAGAAAGCCTAACGCCTAGTTGTGCTTTACCATTGTTTTGATAGCTGTATCTGTCAGTGAATTGAACACTGAATGAAAACTCATATCTGTCCCATAGGTCAGATGTGTTGGCAGCCTTTTTCTTTCTTTAAACCACATGCAAGCTTAGCCAATTAAACATTTGCTTGTTGCATTTTGCAAAACTCAACAGGGGGTGGGGAGGAGACTTACCACTGTGGGCTTGCGATGTCACAAACCAAACAGTGCAATCCATAGCCAGCTTCTGCCCCAAACTCACATGACACTTGTCTGCAAATTGGACTCAGTGAATGCACTTCCACAGCAGCTTTGCTAAGTGTCTGCATGTTTAGACACGGTGTACAAAGTTGGACAAAGGAAATAAGTGGATCCAGCAATTTTTTTCTTAAAAAAATGTTTAGGGGTACTGAAGAAAATCCCAATTTTATAGTTCAAATCAGGAAAAATAAATACAGTAAATGGACAAAAGTACAAAGATTCACAAAATGTTTAAGGGTATGCATTCCCCCAGAAAAAAAGCACTGAGTGGATCCCTCATGGAAAGTAAAGTCTTTCTCCAACCCCACACAAGAAGGAGCCACTACAAAATAATGGAAAAGTTTAGTTTAAGATCATTAGTTTAGTCTTAACTTGCTTGGACCTTTCTCATTTCAGAAATATTGTTTTTATGCCTATGCGAATTTAACTGAATATTAATATACAGCTTGTATAAATAATCAACTAACATTTCTTTAATCCCCAATCAGGTAACAGGTCTAATTTTCAAGCTTTCACAAAATCCATCTGGACTTCTCAACATCACCAAACAATATTGACTGAAACATACCTGACCCATTTGATGCCACTGGTGCAGTTTGTGTAAACACATTTGTTTGCCTGTTTGTTTCATAATATTTATACCCTGCTTGATTGTAAGAAATCTCAAAGTGGTTTGCAAAAAGGCAAGGAAAGCAACAAGAAAATCAAGGGGGAAAAATCATAGGCATACTTTAAAACATACAGAAGTTTAAATACTTAAACATTAAAATTACCTCAGCTTTATAAGCATCTGGGTAGGCTTGCCTAAACAAAAATGTTTTTAGCAGATCCCAAAAAGCGTACAATGAGGGTGACTGCTTGATCTCAATAGGCAGGGACTTCCAAAGTGCCACCCTAAATGATTGAGTTCTTACAAATGATTTTGTTTAAGCAAGACTTGTTCGTCTACATCCTATCTTTAATGATGCATCCCACTGGGTTCCCTGCAGCAATGTTAAGATAACTGATCTGTAATTTCCCAGATACCCTCTGGATCTCTTTTTTAAAAGTTGTTATACTTTTTTGTTGTTATACTTTCCAGGTCTCAAGTATGGAGACTGATCTTAAGAACAAAACATACATGTTTTCTATTAGATCAGCAAAAAAAAAAATGAGTTAAAAACTCTCAGCTGGATGCCATCTAGACCTGTTGATTTGTCCATTTTTATTTTATCAACAAGACCTAGTCCTAGAACTTTGTCTCTTCCCACCACTATTTGCCTGCTTCTCAGACTCGCTTCCCATGGGAGTTAGTTCAGACATGGAGATCTGCCTTGTATCTTCCACTTTGAAAAAAAGGTGGAAAGAATTTATTCACACAGAGCATAGTTAAACCATGCAGTTTGCTTCTGCTAGATGACCATTCTCTTGGATGGCTTGACAAGGACTGGAGCAATTCATGGAGGATAAAGTATATCAGTGGCTACTAGCCATAATAGCTAATTTCTACTGTCATAGCCTCTGAATGCCAATTGCTGGGTACCACAAGTGGAGAGAATGCTTTTGAAGTCCTGCTTTGTGGCTTCCTATAAGCATCTGAATGGCTACAGGATGTTGGACTAGATGCGCCTTTTTTTGTTAAATCATTTTTATTAATTTTCCAATAAATAAACATCCAATTAACATATCAAATCATAATCCAATTAAAATAAAAAACTAAAATAAAAAAGACCAAATTATCATCCAAATTATAATTATTGATTTTTTTGGGACTTCCCATAGTCTGGACCTTGAAGCATATCTCCAAATCTCAGTCCTGCCGGACTAGATGCGCCTTTGGCCCAATTCAGGAGGAATCTTCTCATGTTCTTATTAATCTATTAAACTGTCGTTAGGCTGCTTGTTGACTGGCTTTCATTTAAAACCCTTTTCAACCTTGCAACGTACGGAAATACGGAAAATTGCAGGCACCAGAAAGCTCAGTGATATTAGCTGGTCTCAGGCGGGTTCACAGAGGGCGGGACCCTGTTGCATTCCCAGTGTTGTTGCTGAAAATGCAATGGGACCTTCATCATTATGCGCTCACAATTGGGCTCGGAAATAACTCTGCTCTTTTTCAACTGTTTGGAAAAACCCCCAGAGTTAAACCAAACCCCATTCCAAATCGAAGGAGAGATGATTTGGTGTGGTTCCTGCATCCTGGTGCACTTGCAGTCGGAGGAGTATTAAAAACGTTCATAGCTAATGCAACAGGACTGGGCCCAATGAAACTGGGCCATTGAGGGATGCAGCCTGGGGAGAGGGTGGATGTGACATGGGGAGGAACGTGAGTGGTTTGCAGAGGTAGGCTGCATTTGTCCCTTGGGGTCCGAGGTTCCCCTCCCCTGTGCTAAGGGCACAGCTCTCCCTTCTGTGGGTGCGAATGCTCCAGGCACCACCTTCAACTGTGCTCTGTCCAGGGTTCTGACAGTCTATGCCTGGACCAAGCTTGGCTCTGCTGCTGTCACCTTCCCCTTGTGAGCCTCAAGCTGCGATGGAACAAGACAGCAATATCACTCCCTATTCCCGGCCATGTTTCCATTCCAAATAGCGCTCTCTTTAACGGGCAAGCCAGCCATACTTATTGAACATCCGTCTTCTACTTTTTCTTCTTCAGGATGGCTTTGCCCGATATTCCAGAAGCAGCGATTGACAAATATGGCTAAACTATTGGAAGGGTTTTACTATTCGACCCACTCTGAGGCTGTTTTGTTTTTAGCTATCTCTGTTTATTGCGATGTGGGGTTTTTCTTTTCTGTGTCATAATTTTAATTGTGCAGCTTGTTGATATTATGTGTAGTACCACACCCTAGCATCCGTGCAGAAGGAGGACGGGTTAGAAATACGTTTCATAATCAAAACAAACGAATAAGATGCCTTAACTATGGGTGAGCTCGGAGTGAAGAAATGCACAAGGAGAATGCTGCCGTTTAGAAAACCCATAAAATCTTTAATGTTTCCCAAAGCATGAGAAAATGTAAAACAAAATCTATAGAGAATAAAAACACAAGATTAATATATATTAGCATAACAAGATGCTACTATAATTAAGTGATGGGTGCCAAGGCTGGAATCTCAGAACGCAGCATAAAATAAAGGATTGAAAACGACATAAATTACATTCATGATTGTTCAATGAAAACACTCCACAGAAGTTTTGTTTTGTACCAAGCACAATAAGTTAATTTTAGAAAACATATTCCTTGGTTATCTGTGAGGGCGGTACATTTCCTCTGTCACTCTGAGTCAGCAAGGAGCTTCAGCGCATGTATCTCTACAGTGAGAAACTGTGCATGCAGTTGTGTTCCATGTGTGTTTGCGTGTTGTGTGGTTTCTCATCTGACCCAGATGCCAGTTCTGAACAGGTATTCCCAGTCCCATGAAAGGCAAAACGGTTTATCAGCTGTCGGTAGGGTACCTACTCCGTCCCTGTTCCCTTCTCTCCTGATCCACATTAGTGCTAATTATGGCACCCACTTATGCATATGGATGCAAACACACCCCTATCATCTTGCAACCTTTACTACTAAAAACCTGTAATTTCCGTTGTGCAGACTTTGACATTCATTGTCACTCAAAGTAGTGTGGTCTTTGTCTGCTGAACAAGTATTGCTGCATGAGGAACCATTTGCGCCCAGTCTTTTCTGTCAACTAGCAAAGCCAGAGGCTTGTTTTGATATGAGACTAATCTCTTATGATGGAGACTGATCTGTGTATGAAGTGTTTTCTCACATATTCTGCAGCACAACTGATATAAACAGTTCAAACAAACAATACAGTGCCCAGGTCCTTCCTCCATCCCACCCACCCCGCAAAGTGCATTAGAAGTTGAAAAAGCCAATGGTCCATCTCAAAGTGTTCATTTATTGGGGAGGGAGAGGTAGATCAAAGCAAGTAAGAGGACGTGGGGCCATGCAGACCGTCATAGAGGAATATTTGCATATGTTCCAACAATATTTAACAGAACAGCCCCTACCTCTCCACTACCTGTCTGTTCTTGTGGGAGGAGGTGAAAAAAACTGCCTCTATTTTGTCCTTATTTTGCCTTTTGAAGAGATATTGGGGATGTGTTTTAAGATTTATATCAGTTTGAGCTGCATTAAAATTCTTCAGGCTTTAGTCCCAATCTCTAGAGCCTAGAATGTCGGAGCATTTTATGTGTGTGATGCAAATTAATATGCATGCATGCAAAAAGCCATCACGCTGCTTCGTTTCATGCGACAAGACAGCTAGCAAGGCAAGAATGGGTGGGGGTTAAATGCACTCGAAGAGAACTTGTTTCAAGATTGTTCAGTTCTTGTTACAAACCAAATTATCATGGGCAGGATAGCTTAGCTGGTACAGCGTGAGACTCTTAATCTCAGGATTGTGGGTTCAAGCCCCATGTTGGGCGATAGGTTCCTGGATTGCAAGGGGTTGGACTAGATGGCACTCGTGTTCCCTTCCAACTCTACAAGGCTATGATTCTATGGACAGTTTGCTAATGCAGCCCGCTTCTAAAGCCAGAACTTACTGTATTTTTCCGTGTATAACACGCCCTGTGTATAAGACTCAAAAAGACTATTTTGGGGGACTCAAAATTAAGAAAATGGGGGAAGGTTGTCCAGAGTTGTTGAGCTTCTTTTTTGGGGGGGATTGCTGAGAATCACTCACCTGCCTGAATAACGCTTCCTATCACACACAACGCAAAAGTCACCAAATGTCTGACCGCTCGCCGGCGGCAGCTGCCTATCACCCGCCCAATTGCCGCTGCAACAGCAAATAAAAAAAGAGCCATTTCCACAGCCACCAATCACTCGCACTACCACCCTTGACAATCTCTGGCTTGCGGCACCAACCAATCACTCGTCCCCCCTCAGCACTACCCGTGTATAAGACAAGCCCAATTTTTAAACATTGTTGTTGGTTAGTTGTTTAGTCTTGTCCGACTCTTCCTGACCCCATGGACCGGAGCACGCCAGGCACTCCTGTCTTCCACTGCCTCCCGCAGCGGTCAGACATTTGGTCTCCTGTCTTCCACTGCCTCCCGCAGTCAAACTCATGTTAGTAGCTTTGAGAAACTGTCCAACCATCTCGTCCTCTGTCGTCCCCTTCTCCTTGTGCCCTCAGTCTTTCCCAACATCAGGGTCTTTTCCAGGGAGTCTTCTCTTCTCATGAGGTGGCCAAAGTATTGGAGCCTCAGCTTCAGGATCTGTCCTTCTAGTGAGCACTCAGGGCTGATTTCCTTAAGAATGGATAGGTTTGATCTTCTTGCAGTCCATGGGACTCTCAAGAGTCTCCTCCAGAACCATAATTCAAAAGCATCAATTCTTGGCGAGCAGCCTTTTTTATGATCTAGCTCTCACTTCCATGCATCCCTACTGGGAAAACCATAGCTTTAACTATACGGACCTTTGTTGGCAAGGTAATGTCTCTGCTTTTTAAGATGCTGTCTAGGTTTGCCATCGCTTTTCTCCTAAGAAACAGGCGTCTTTTAATTTCGTGACCGCTGTCATCATCTGCAGGGACATTACTCTCAAGTAAAAAAATCCTTGTCTTATACACGGAAAAATACGGTACTGGTGAGCAAATGAACACAATGTATAACTGATAGAGAAGAGCTGTAATAGGCCGGGGATGCTTCAGGTGTGAGAACAGGGTATATCAAGTACACAGAAGTGTGACTAATTTCATCTGTGAAATATTTTAGAAGTGTATGCTTTGAGGAAACAAACAAAATAAATTTGCAAAATGAGAACTGGGTGGTTGCCTGAATAATTTAATATTCACCATACTGGTGGAAGAGGGAAGTGGTTTGGAGATTTGCTTCCTCAACCTGATCGAGGAAAATAGTGACATGTCCCATCAATATTGCAATGCCTTCATTGTGAGACCTGCTTTACAGTTCAGAAGCTGGCGAGATAGCTTAACCAAATTGCTGTACCTATGCAGACAACAACCAATGTGAGGAATACATTTCACTCTTGCATCAACCACTTGGTGATTCAGAGTAGATGAAGCTCAGGCTGAAGGGAAATCCACAGCTAATCGTTGTCATATATGCAGCCTGTGGGGGGGGGGGGAGAAATGTAAACGTAAATACAGTATGAAAAAGGCCTACCCTTGTTATAAAAAGAACACAACCAAAATAAAATACTTCTGTTTACTCAATCCCAAATCACTACAATTCTGTTGGACATGTGTAACGTACCTTCATCAGCGATATCATCATATATTTCTTCATCACTGTAAGTTTAGAAAGAAAAAAGAAAATCAATTGGTTTAGTCACTTTCACATACGTATATTAGGAACAGAGGAAGTTGCCTTATAGAAAAGCATGGTCCATTTGACCATGTTCCATGGAGAATGGACCATTTGACCACAGTCCATTCTCTCGTTGTTCTGTGGCTGAGCCTTGAGAAAACCTGAGCTTACCTGAATTGAAGCTCAGGTAAGCAAAGCCTCTCTTTTCTGGCTTTTCTGTGCATCTGATAAGATCCTATGCAGTGGGTAAGATCATATTTTCACAAGGCACGGCCATGGAAAAATGAGGAAAGCTCTCAGACCCGGGGGGAATTAATTGGTACACAAAAGAATCAAAATGCAGGTCAAGTGGAAGTGTGAATAATAATAATAATAATAATAATAATAATAATAATAATAATAATAATTTGTACCCTGCCCATCTGACTGGGTTGCCCTAGCCACTCTGGGCAGCTCACAGCATGTATAAAAACACAGTAAAACATTAAACCTTAAAAAGGATGAACCCTTAGAGTCAGATCCCACTTACCATATTTTTCCGTGTATAACACACCCCTGCGTATAACACGACAACTATTTTGGGGGACTCAAATTTATGAAAATGGGGGAAGATAAGACGACTTCCATTTTTAAAGATTATTTTAGAGTAAAAAAACCTAGTCTTATACACGGAAAAGTACGGTATATTTTAAAAAGGTATTAATTTGTTTTAGAAACCATTCAAATGTTTTTAAGATAAAGCATGTGTAATGGGTTTAGGGGTTGCTTGTGCGTAAGTTGCCGCCACTCCTGGCTAGGTTACCTGGTTGAACCCTTTCTGACTGGACAGCCTCTAGCTTCGTGGCTGTCTCAGTCGCTGGCAGAATCCGTCAGTGGGCGTTTCTTGAACTTCTTCCAGCACAAAAGTTCTTTGACGCCTAGTCTCCGCCTAGTCTCCCTGCGCGGAAGCCTTCTGCGCAGGGAGGGTGTGGGCAGCGGAGGACCCGTACTCTCTCCGCTGGTCTCCGGCGAGGAGTCTTGGAGCCTCCTCTCTGATTCCCCCATCTGCCCCCCTTCCCCACTGGTGTTACGCTGATTTCCTTCCCCAGCAGATGGGCTGCCTCTCTCCCTACTGGGACCCTCTCCGGCATCCCTCTGGAGCCTTCCCTCCGCCTCTAGCTCCGATGGCAGTTCCCTGACAGCATGTGAAGAAGAAGAAGAAGAGGAAGAAGAAGAGGAAGAAGAAGAAATTGGGCAACAGGTCAACAGGTGCAGGGCAAGACATGTTGAATATGGAAATGTAGAATTGGAAGGGACCAGGAGGGTCACCTAGTCCAAGCCTCCACAATGCAGGAATCTTTCACCCAACATGGGGCTCAAACCCACAACCTTGAGATTAAGAGCCTCATGCTCTACCAACTGAGCTATTGTGTTGCATATGCTGTTCATTTCAATACAGGATAAATTCTGAGTGGATTTTACCCAATATATTATGCCAATAAACAATGAACGTGATGATTAACACTATCCTTATATATAAAAAAATCAACAGGAAAAACACCTGGCTTTAAATTCTGAGAATTTCTTTTGTTTCTGTGACATTTTCCAAAGGAACAACTTAGCAATATTCTATGGGAAAGTCTTCATTTACATAGCGTTGCCGGGGTGGTAGTGGGGTGGGGTTCCTTGTTTGGGAAGCAAAACCGTTTCACTAGCTTTGACCATACTGTATTATAAAAAGTTTCAAGATGAAAACATTGCACTTACTCATCCACTATGCAGCTTCTCCGGACATAACCATCTGTAAAATCAAATTATAGGTACATAGTTATCATCAGCTGAAGCTGATATCACTCTTCTGAGCTGAAAGAAAACCACGAGGCAGGAAGGTGAAAACGATAATGCAGAAAGGACACGTGCCTTCTAGGGATTCTACCCCTAGCCTGTGAAATGTGTTGACATTTAGCTGGAACCGACACCCTGCTATCTGAAAGGAAGATGGTAGGTACGTATTATAGGAGGTATAAAGCACTGGTTTGTGAAATAAAAATCAGCAAATACCTCACCACCACCCATTCAGAAGCTTGTTTCTGTATTTTACCATCGTTGTCCAGAGATCACGCAAAAGGCTGTTCTCAGTGATGGTTGCTGCCATTGGGACTGATAGGGTGGAAGGCAGGGAGGCCAACAGTAGGTGGCGCTAATGACAGGCATAGCCACCCCCTGGCAAGAGGCAAGCAGACCAAGGCTGGTGGGGCAGCAACCTGATGGACTAGCCTCCGCTGCATTTCGTAACTGACAACTTACCAGTCAGTGACTCACAATTCTACATGCTAGCAGCCTAAGGCCCCAGATACAGCCTTCAAAGTGAAAAGGTGATGCTGCGCAATGATTCTCATTGCAAAAAGGGACAGAAGATGCTCCTCCGTCCCCACAGCAATGCATTGCACTTTCTTTGACCTCTTTCTTTTGATGGTTTTGCAAACTTGGAAAGGAAAATGCATACTCAGTGCTGATCAGTGTACTGAAGACTCATGCATCTGTCTGCCAGAGCAAAAACTGTCTAGAGCAGGATAAGTTTGAATGGATGCGACAGGCATTTTCAGAAATGTACATCAAGAGTATTCTATACCATCACCTATTGAGCTTGGAAATATTTTAACTTGCTATTATAAACCTTAATAAACACTGAGTAAATTTTTTAAAAAACCTCTTCTCCTCCCCAGACTTTTGTTGCTCTGCAGGCTGCGTTCTTGTCATCCACAGCGCTAGAATGATTTTTAAAAACAGGGGACAGGATTCTGTGCCCTGCAGCAAGGCTGCTTTCTCCTGCATGGAAGTGAGAATCAGCAATTGCACCACTGTCACTGCTGTAGTACAAAAATAAAATCTGTCTGTCATGTTCCTGCTGTGCTAAGGGCCTTGGCAGAATTCCACGGCCCGCTTCCTTCAGAACTTTTCACTCAGAACTTCCTTCAGAGTGACTTTTCAAAGGACTATGCTTGACTTGCGCATTGCAGCCTTTGTGACTCAGTTTCCCATCTGGAAAAATAGGAATAATGAATGATACTGTACTTTCTTTCTTCCACAGCAGCAGTTGAAAACAGCAAGGCAAACATTCTGAACCTGATAATGGAACTCCCTCGGTGGCCTTTGAAACCTGAGTTCCTGTCATTCATTTCAAGACAGGAAGACTTCCCCGTAAAGGAGGGACAATACCACAACTTCAGGACAACTCCCTTGGGGAAATGAGCTCATAACGAATGTATTCTATTCCCCTTTCCGGTCTCGCATCAAGATAATCTTTGCCATTAGCAAGCCTTTCAGAGCAAATCATCGATTTTTAGTGTCAAGGCTGCACAAAATATATAAATCACATTGCGTTGTTTAGAGAGGATGTCTTTCTTGAGTGTGAGCTGGCAAGTCCCTTAAAGACAACCCATGTTATGTTTTTTTGTGTGTGAAGTGGTTATTGCAATATTGTCACTACCCAAAGAAGCAAAAACCACTGGGATGTTTGTGTTGTTTGAGGTTTGCATGATTAATGCCTGCTTCCCACCCACATTAGCAAACCCTGAAATCCAGAACTCTACATACGGGTCTTTACAATGCAACAGAGTACCAAATATGGTGCAAGTTTCTTTCCAGGGGGTTATAAACTAGATTGTCATGGGGGAAGTATCCAAAAAGTAGTTCCTCTAGCATGAGGATTTTCCGCTTGTGCAACAGGACTTCCCCGCCCTCTCCTCTCCCTATGCCCCCCTCCATCTATTCCAAAGGGGACAGGCAGCCCACAGAACAAGGGGCATGCATGGGGAGAAGAGAGGGATGTGCAGTCAAATGTGCCCCAGTGGAACTACCATATTTTTCGCTCTATTAGATGCACCGGACCATAAGACGCACCTAGTTTTTAGGGCAGGAAAACAAGAAATAAGAAAGCAATGCAAAGCATCCTGAGCTAAGAGGGAGCGCTCATCCATCTTCGCTCAGAAAGCTTTGCAGGGCTATCCCTGAAGCCAAGAGAGCAAGTGGGATTGGTACGCATCGATCCCTCTTGCCCTCCTGGCTTCAGCGAAAGCAAGCCTCCTGGCTTTCCCCCCTACCTCCCGCAAGAGCCGTGCACTCTTTAAAGGGAGGGCAACTCTTGGGGGCTTTTCTGGGAGGTGGGGGAAGGGACAGAGCCACGTGCTCTATCCCTTCCCCCACCTCCCACAAAAGCCAGGATGAAGGCTTCCTGCTGCCCTGCGGAGGCTTCACACGGCAAAGCCCGAACAGTGAGAGGGAGCATTGTGCAGCGCTCCCTCTTGCTGTTCTGGCTTCTGGCTTAGCCTCGCAGCCTGCATTCGCTCCATAAGATGCACACACATTTCCCCTTACTTTTTAGGAGGGGAAAAGTGCATCTTATAGAGCGAAAAATACAGTGTATTTCATTGTTTACTGCCCAGGGGATCTGAGTGGTAGCATATCCAAGCACAACTGGCAGCCAGAAGGGCAGGGCTAGTAGGGTAGGGTGAAGCAGCTGTCTCCCAAGGCATGGGCACCCTGCCTGCCCCATTGCTGGCATCAATTTCCAGCAAGATCTTGCAGTATCTCCCTGACCCTGCCACTGACACCAACATGCAACCGACTGTGCTATGCTTTATTTAATTTGTAATTGTTTCACTTTTGTTTCCAACTTCTGTAATTCTCAGCCAATTAGCTTCATTCTTTGGGCCAAAGTCAGGAGATAAATCTTCAAAGCGAACAAGCAAATCCTCTCACAACATGACAGAATTTGTTTTTACTTCGTATCTTTGTTATTTCTTAATTTTTTTTTCCTTTTCCTCTTTTTTGTTCCTTTAGAAATTTTCAATTCTCTACATAATTTTATTTTTCCTCATTTGTAAAGAGGTAGCATATAATGTTTGTATAGATATGTAAATTTTTAATCAATAAAGAATTAAATTTGAAAAAATACATAAATTCTGGCAGTTGTAGTTTGCTCCTTAGGGAGATACAATTCCCAGCACCCTTAACACACTGCAGTTGCTAGGATTTGGGGGCAGGGAGGATTTGCTTTATGTACACAGCCTAACTTGTCCAGTTTTCTTTCCTCCTTCCAAATTAAAGCCCTGGGTCTTCCCAAAGCGATGAAGCGATGAAGGGATGTGGGGAGGGGGTGTCTCCTTCCATCCCTTCAATGGTCCACCTCCCCAATGCTGCTATTAGCCTCAGGATTTGGCAACTTCCCTCCCACAGCTTATAAGCTGCTTCCTTTTGTGTGGAATATTTCACCGGGGAAAGAGTTGGGATAAAAGGTTAAACCTCCTGGGAACGTAAAGTCATATGTGGTGGGATTGTCTGTTAATGAATTTTGTTAAACAGATTGGTATAGAAATATCGGGAATTGTGGGAAGGAACGTGGACATAACTAAATTAATGCTTCTTATTACCCTGAGTAGTACTGAGTTAAAAACAAAAGAGGAATGCAAATGGGTAAAATTGATGGTAATTGCAGCCAGACAGGTTATAGCGAGTAATTGGAAAAATGCAGAAGAGCTAGGGGTGAACCAATGGAGGAAAAAACTGAATAATATTATAATTTTAGAATACCTAACTGTGAAGCTACATAGAATGAAAGAGTTTAAGGTTGGTGAGAAAGAAGAGGATTGGTTTGAGAAGATATTGAATTATTTGAGTAGGTTTGAACAATTTGGGGCAATTAAAATGTTAAAAGTTAAATAAAACATGTGGAAGGAGGAGTGTTAAGGTATATAGAAGTGTACATATGGTTGATTTGAATATGCTATTATTGAATATGTATATTATTGAATATTGAATACCCAATGTATCAGCTGCCTGGGGGGTTTCACTGTTTGTGTTTTGGTGGTTGGTAAAAAAATAAAATATTTTTTTAAAAAGGTTAAACCTCCTTCTACGGGTGTCTTTGTCCAAATCCTGATTGCCTCATGCCTATTAGTTAGAAGGAAAAGCTCACATTAAATGCAAGTGCACATTTAACATGAGGTTTAGTTTGGCCCGGGACATAGGTGGCGCTGTGGGATAAACCACAGAGCCTAGGACTTGCCGATCAGAAGGTCGGTGGTTCAAATCCCCATGACGGGGTGAGCTCCTGTTGCTCGGTCCCTGCTCCTGCCAACCTAGCAGTTCGAAAGCACATCAAAGTGCAAGTAGATAAATAGGTACCGCTCCGGTGGAAAGGTAAACGGCGTTTCCGTGCACTGCTCTGGTTTGCCTGAAGCAGCTTAGTCATGCTGGCCACATGACCTGGAAGCTGTACGCCGGCTCCCTCGGCCAATAAAGCGAGATGAGCGCTGCAACCCCAGAGTTGGTCACGACTGGACCTAATGGTCAGGGGTCCCTTTACCTTTACCTTTACTTAGTTTGGCCCAAGCAAAGCACAGCTGCTCCCAAGGCATTTTGCTACCCAAGAGGAAGGAAAAAAGGCCCCTCTCTCAGAATTTCATGGACAGAAGATGGGTCTTACTTCAACACACGGGTAACAGGACAACATCCTTGGTTACATTTGGGTGGAGCGGGCCTGGAGGGCATTTAAGATTCACAGGACAAGCCACATGTTGCACACCCAGCTCTGCCCTTCATCACATCCCCATCTCCTAGTATCTGTGGCCTGAGGCAGGCACTTCACACTGCCTAACAATAGGGCCGGGCAAAAAAGCTGGAAATGGCAACCTTATATCCTAGCTATTTTACTGGCTGAGCGATGGCTCGGGGATTGGTTATGGTTATTCTTATTTTTTTAAAGATTTCAAATGCTGCATTTTACCCTGAGCCTCTGGGAAAGGGTGGGATACGAAACCAGAAATAATAACGAACCCCCTCAGCTGCCGACAATTTCTGTGGAAGCTGACAAGGCAGATGTTCAGGCCTTGTGAGAGAGGGTGGAGTTTGCTCAGTTGTTCTGCAGATAGCCAAGCCACATCATCTGTCATTAGTTTCACTATCAAAAAAAATGCGAAGAATGCCTGGTTGTGGGGGGGCGGGATTTTAAATAGTTTTCTGCTCTCGTATGGCTGATCTGCTTTGAGGGGAATGAAAAGAAGGGCAAAATCCAATAGCAGCACCTAATATTTTAAATATATATAAATTCTTAAAAATCTAGGTTACAGCAATTATGAGAATTGCCACAGTTTCATTATACACATTTGGACATAAATGTGGGGTTTGTGCATTGCAGGAAGAGAGTCTCAATAATATGCATGGAAATTGAATGTGCCTGAATGTTTCTTCTTGGATATATAGAAAAATAAAGGAAATTTGCCTTTATTTTATAATCTGCATTAGAGGAATCTTTGCCCAGGAAGACACTGGGATGATCTCCTTATCCTTCATCAAAAAATATCATGTTGTTGGCTGAAGCGACCGGACATCCTTTGTGAGTCCTCAGGGGAATGCTACCTCTTCCCCCTTTCTAAGACATTTGTAGGCAGATAAAGTGAAAGGTCACAAGCCCCACTCCACATTCCTGTCATTCCACAACCCATACTCTCACTGAGGAGAGGGGGAGAGAGAAGAAGAAGAGGTCTTGTGGGCTGTTTATTGATCATTCATTCAGACATGTTTGCACAGGGTTTGCTGGAAAGTTAGAAAACGTTAGGTATTTATTGATAACTCATTCTTATTTATGTACCCTTATACCACAGTCATGGCTTCCCTCAAAGGATCCTGGGAACCATAGTTTAAGGCAGCTGAGAGCTGTAGGATTTTTCAGGGGGAGGGGGCATGATGGTTAAAGTGGTATAAATAAGCTTTAAATGTATAGTGCGGATGCGACTTGTGTTGCATCAAGCAAATGCTATCCGACACTTTCCACTGCAACCGATTAGCACTTTTATTTGACATTTAATGACATTGGTAAAGGTAAAAGGACCCCTGACCATTAGCTCCAGTCATGGCAGACTCTGGGGTTGCGGTGCTCATCTCGCTTTATTGGCCGAGGGAGCCGGCATACAGCTTCTGAGTCATGTGGCCAGCATGACTGAGCCGCTTCTGGCGAACCAGAGCAGCGCACGGAAATGCCATTTACCTTCCTGCTGGAGTGGTACCTATTTATCTACTTGCACTTTGACATGCTTTTGAACTGCTAGGTTGGCAGGAGCTGGGACTAAACACTGGGAGCTCACCCCGTTGCGGGGATTCGAACCGCCGACCTTCTGATCAGCAAGTCCTAGGCTCTGTGGTTTAACCCACAGCACTACCTGCGTCCCACATTGGACATTTACACTGGAGACCAAGCCTATTTTCTGCTCTTGGTGACCCCATCCATTGAGAGTTAAGCATAAGCCTTTATCTGTAGTCCTGCTCCTCCTCAGCTGCACACAGCATTGCTCATACGGTCATTTCTTAGAGACACTAAAACCTGACAAAATGTTGGAACCTGGCTTTTCTATGCAAAAACATGCTGGCAAACTGTTTTTATTGATAGTTTAGTTCTGGATGTGAACTAGTCAGCAACAAAACTACTATTGCTAACACAACGATCAGATCAGAGCCATATTAAGGCTGGTTGCAGCCCTCTAGAATCCAATGGTTTTGCAGCCTTGCAGCCCAGAAACAATCTCTCATTAGAGAAAGCTTATATTTGTCTCTCCTTGCTTACTCCCTCAACTATAATGCACATGCATGGTATATTAATTTTGCAGTTATTTATGCACCCACTGAAACTATTAGCAGGTCACTTAGGCATCATGGTTTCACTCAAGGTGGACTGAGTAAAATCAACAGCACTAAAGTGCATTGAACAGTATTTTGTGGGTTTAATTTCAGAAGCTAGTGTATTATTTAATTCTACAGTGAATTACTTGAACCTGCTTTCAAAGGCATGCCCTGGATAGAAGAAAATATGCAGGATTTTTGCAAGGATATATTAAAAAATAATAGGGGAAATTAGGGTTCTGTTAGCAGTTGCTCAGAGTAAGTTCTATGACTAATCTGAATATGATTTGGGGCAATTGCTTGTAATGTTTATCTAGATCCCAGTTTTCTGGGACACATAAAGAGCCTCTGGACCTTTTGCTATCTGTGTACCATAAAGCAGGTTGTCCTTATGTTTTGGTACTTACATTTCCCTTCTTCATTCCTGCACAGGACTTTAGTATCATCCACATTCTTTATAACCTCAACCGAATCTCCTGGCTTCACTTGTAAGTCTTTTGAGCCTTTCTTCTTAGCAGATGGTGCTCGGGATATGGTTGTTGTATACAGAACTCGGATATCACCTTCATACTGTGAAAATCAAAATAAAGGTTGATTGCACAAACAAAAAAGCATTATGTGCAAAGTTAAAACCACACTTTTGTTATGTACTGAGTTGAATAGATCCAAAATGCAGCAGTCTGATTGGTCCTAGAACACTAGGATCCAAAATGCAGCAGTCTGATTGATCCTAGGACAATAGGATTCAGAATGCAGCAGTCTGATTGGTCCTACAACAATGCAGCAGTATGATTGGTCCACAGGTGCCACCCAATCCAGCTCCAGGTGGAAGTGAATCCACAACCAGATTGGCCTACAGGAGAATCCCGGAATTAGTCAATCACATGCAGCCCATTGTGTAAATAATGTATATAAAGCAGATATTTGGGGGGAACATTCATTCCTCCTCACCACTATGAGCTTAATAAAGAGCATGAAATCCACTCTCGACTCATATTTCACCTTTCTTCTTACAAACAAGACACGCTCAAGCTATCTTTTAAATCCCAAGGATACTGGGCCCATTGGCATTGTTGGTGTAGGTGAGCCAGAACAAAACCCGGTGGGCTGGCATGGAGTCTACAAAAATCTGATGCTCAGAGGACAGAACTGGGAAAGAAGACACGATGTATACAACCTGGATGGCTTTAAGAGAGGATTCCATGGTTGTTAATGCCCTTATGCCTGGTAGGAAGCAAAAGAATATGACTTCCGTCCCCATTCACACAGCAGGCCTGTCCTATCTTTGGGTCATAATGCTCTTAAAAGTGCAAGTGTTTAACAGTCACGAAATAGCAAGGGGTTTGCCACACATTTATGGTTCCAGAACTGGAATATTAATAGATAAATGTGTAAAAGTGCAGGGGTAAGCAAGGAAATAATAAAAGAATCAATTGAATAATTATTAAATTACAACAACACGACAAGATGGAAGAAGTAAAAAAAATATTGAGATCACACATGGGTGAAGGGGAGTGGGGGCTATAGGGGAATTTATAAAAAATTATAATACAGTGGTACCTCAGGTTACATACGCTTCAGGTTACATACGCTTCAGGTTACAGACTCCACTAACCCAGAAATAGTGCTTCAGGTTAAGTACTTTGCTTCAGGAGGGCAACAGCGCGGCGGCGCGGCGGCAGCGTTAGCTAAAGTGGTACTTCAGGTTAAGTACAGTTTCAGTTTAAGTACGGACCTCCGGAACGAATTAAGTACTGAGCCCGGCTTCGGCTGGGGAGGGCGGGATATAAATAAAAATGTATTATTATTATTATTATTAACCTGAGGTACCACTGTATAATATTTCTAGTTGCTTTGCATTTATATACAGCAAAGGGAAGCCTATAGCAATTAGGTATATTTTAATTTAGTCAACTACGTAATAGGCTTATGTTACAAAACGAATATGGATTTTGAATTTGATGTTTGTAATTCTTTTTTGGTTTTGGAATAAAGTTTTAAAAAAGAAGAAGAAGAAAGTGGATGGAGATAAGTTTCCCCCTTTGTCTCATCGTAATAGAACTCAGGGCCATCCAACGAAGCCGAATGGTGAAGAGATTCAGGACAGGCAAAAGGAAATACCGTATTTTTCGCTCTATAAGACGCACCAGACCACAAGACGCACCTAGTTTTTGGAGGAGGAAAACAAGAAAAAAAATATTCTGAACCTCCGAAGCCAGAACAGCAAGAAGGATACCTGCGCAGTGAAAGCAGCAATCCCCCTTGCTGTTCTGGCTTGTGTGATAGCTGCACAGCCCGCATTCGCTCCATAGGACGCACACACATTTCCCCTTACTTTTTAGGAGGGAAAAAGTGAGTCTTATAGAGCAAAAAATATGGTACTTCTTCACACAGTGCATAGTTAAGCTATGGAAACTCACTGCCAAAACAGGTAGGGCTGACCACCAACTTAGCTGGTTTTAGAAAGGGATTAGACAAATTTATGGTGGATAATGCTAGCAACACCCATGAATCCTGATGGTTATGTACTGCCTCCAGGACCAGAGCAGACACTCCAAGTGTCCCCATTTTCCAGGGACGTCCCTGATTTAGAGAAACCGTCCCGGTTTCTGATTTGATACTGGAATGTCCCACTTTTCCTCAGGATGTTTCTATTTTCACTGGCAAAATGTTGGAGGGTATGGAGTTATCCAACCCCCCCAAGTTGTCTGAAGGCAATCCTATACAGGGAAGTTTTCTTTAATGTTTAGTAATTTGTTGTGTTTTTATATAAGTTGGAAGCTGACTTTTAGAAGACATCTGAAGGCAGCCCTGTTTAGGGAAGTTTTTTAATGTTTGAAGTTTTAATCTTAGTGTTCTGTTGGGAGGCACCCAGAGTGCTGGGGAAACCTGGTAAGATGTGTGGGGTATAAATAGTAACATTATCATTGTGGATGGGACGTCCCTATTGTCATCAGAGAAATGTTGGTGGGTAAGCCAGAGGTGTTTTGTCTCTGGGATATCAGTTCCTGGGGAGAGGGTTATTGCCCACTCACCCAGCTTGTTGAATCCCCTAGCTGACTACTGTGGAAAGAGGAGGATAAATCCAGTGAGGGTCTTCAATTGACCACACAATACAGTCCTATATGCATTGGATTTTACACAGGTATGTCCATTTTAGGTCCACAAGTGGTCACCCAGTGAAAAGGTATGGCCTACAGGAATGCAAGGCCTACAGTGGAGGCAGTTGGAGGATGGATGGTGGCTAACAGATTGAGGTTGAATCCTGACAAGACAGAAGTACTGTTTTTGGGGGACAGGAGGCAGGCGGGTGTGGAGGACTCCCTGGTCCTGAATGGGGTAACTGTGCCCCTGAAGGACCAGGTGCGCAGCCTGGGAGTCATTCTGGACTCACAGCTGTCCATGGAAGCACAGGTCAATTCTGTGTCCATGGCAGCTGTCTCCCAGCTCCATCTGGTACGCAGGCTAAGACCCTCCCTGCCCGCAGACTGTCTCGCCAGGGTGGTGCATGCTCTGGTTATTTCCCACTTGGACTACTGCAATGCACTCTACATGGGGCTACCTTGGAAGGTGACCCGGAAACTACAACTAATTCAGAATGCGGCAGCTAGACTGGAGACTGGGAGCGGCCGCCGAGACCATATAACACCGGTCTTGAAAGACCCACACTGGCTCCCAGTACGTTTCCGAGCACAATTCAAAGTGTTGGTGTTGACCTTTAAAGCCCTAAATGGACTCAGTCCAGTATACCTGAAGGAGCGTCTCCACCTCCATCGTTCTGCCCGGACACTGAGGTCCAGCGCCGAGGGCCTTCTGGCGGTTCCCTCGCTGCGAGAAGCCAAGTTACAGGGAACCAGGCAGAGGGCCTTCTCGGTAGTGGCACCCACCCTGTGGAACGCCCACCCACTAGATGTCAAAGACAAAAATAACTACCAAACTTTTAGAAGATGTCTGAAGGCAGCCCTGTTTAGGGAAACTTTTAATGTTTAATAGGTTATTGTATTTTAGTGTTTTGTTGGAAGCCACCCAGAGTGGCTGGGGAAACCCAGCCAGATGGGCGGGGTATAAATAAATAATAATAATAATTACAGTTACAGATACTGTACCTGGTTTTGTTCACAGGAAGGTGCTACGTGAATGACATGCAACCATCTAAACAATACGGTTTGCACTTCCTCTGGATCCAGTCCTCAAATGCTCTCCTGAGACAACCAATAACTTCCCCTCGTAGTCATAATGAGCTTCATTGATAGTATTTAGAATGGGGAAGTGCACCACTTTCACACATTTTCCCCCAGGGGAAGTGAAGATAAATGCTCATTCCCCCAAACAGATTTTCGTAAAAGCTTTCTTGTCATTGTGTAACATTTTGAATTAAAAATCTAGTCCACAAGGAAGTAAAACACACTGAGTTTGACGGGGTGCACACTGAATACTTATGGCCATAACCTGATGGCAGAAGCTCAGCTTTTTAAAATTCAGAAAGCCTCCTCATTTGGCATTGTTTTTGTTGGATTTCTTACACTAGCAGGTTCCAAAGTGGGTTACAGCAGTTTAAAATCCAGAATTTAAAACAGTTAAAACAAATCGCAGTCACAGGAATAGGCTGGTCCTAAAAGCACATGTCTCAAGTGTCAATGGCCGAGGGCAAAGAGACTTGTCTTCAGCATATGACCAGGCTGAATAGTGACGGTGCCAAATGTACCTGTGAGGGGAGGGAATTCCAAAGCTTAAGGGCTGCCACAGATAACACCCTCCTGCAGGACACTCCACAAACTTCTGAAGGAAGTAGAAGGTAAAGGACCCCTGGACGGTTACGTCCAGTGAAAGGCAACTATGGGGTTGTGGCGCTCATCTCACTTTCAGGCTGAGGAAGCCAGCGTTTGTCCACAGACAGCTTTCCGGGTCATGTGGCCAGCATGACTAAAGCGCTTCTGGCGGAATAGAACACCATGATGGAAACCAGAGCACATGGAAACGCCGTTTACCTTCCTGCCACAGCGGTGCCTATTTATCTACTTGCACTGGTGTGCTTTCAAACTGCTAGGTTGGCAGGAGCTGGGACAGAGCAACGGGAGCTCACTCCGTTGCAGAGATTTGAACTGCCAACCTTCTGATCAGCAAGCCCAAGAGGATCAGTGGTTCAGACCACAGCACCACCCGCATGCCTCTGTAGGAGGTGGAACTACCAAAAGGGCTCTCTCTGCTCATCTAAACCAGGGGTAGGCAACCTAAGGCCCGTGGGTCAGATGCGGCCCAATCACCTTCTCAATCCGGCCCACGGATGGTCCGGGAATCAGTGTGTTTTTATATTAGTAGAATGTGTCCTTTTATTCAAAATGCATCTCTGGGTTATTTGTGGGGCATAGGAATTTGTTCATTCCCCCCCCCCCAAAAAAAATACAGTCTGGCCCACCACATGGTCTGAGGGATAGTAGACCGGCCCACGGTTTTAAAAAGGTTGTTGACCCCTGATCTAAACACTCAAGAGGGCCTGAAGAAATGAGGCTATCTGTCACGCATCTGGGGCTTAGGTTGTTTAGGACTTTGAACACCATTGCGAGCACCTTGGAATGGGGCCAGAAACAAAATGGCAGCGGACAGCAGTAATATGGAAAAGAGCAGCCCATTTTGATCCCCCTCCCTGTTTTTCCCTTCTGGTTTTATGTCAAAGCAGCCACAGGGTTTTTTAAAAAAATCTGTACAGCAACACTGTGTCAGAGAGACTGTAAATTTCACACACCCACACACCACTGTTAGCCCCATGATGGGGCCCTTTCAAAATTTCAGTATTTTATAGGAGAGATTCCAGCACCTACTGGGAAATTTAAAGGTAAAGGTAAAAGGACCCCTGACCATTAGGTCTAGCCGTGGACTGACTCTGGGGTTGCGGTGCTCATCTCGCTTTATTGGCTGAGGGAGCCGGCGTAAAGCTTCCGGGTCATGTGGCCAGCATGACTGAGCCACTTCTGGCGAACCAGAGCAGCGCACGGAAACACTGTTTACCTTCCTGCCGGAGCAGTACCTATTTATCTACTGGCACTTTGACGTGCTTTCGAACTGCTAGATTGACAGGAACAGGGACCAAGCAACGGGAGCTCACCCCGTCGCAGGGATTCGAACCGCCGACCTTCTGATTGGCAAGCCCTAGGCTCTGTGGTTTAACCCACAGCGCCACCCGTGTCCCACTGGGAAATTTAGGCTGGCACAATTAAAGCACTCTGTCCTTCTGTCACAAGAAATCTGCCAAATTAATTTTAGGCAGGTGAGCTAAAACTGGGATTATTATTATTTTTATTTTATTTTTTTTGTAAACCTCATTAAGGCTTGTAATGTGATTTGTGGCTGTGGCAATTTCACAAAATTGGACATGTTTCTCATTTTGATTGGTGTTTTATGCTGTTTTAGTGTTTTGCATAGTTTTATTGCTCTGGTTTATGCCATTAGCTCCGCTGCCTTAAGAAACAATTTTAAGAAACCAAGGTCTTACTTTAAACTTCTTTCGGAACTCTTTCTCTTCTTTCTCCATCTTCTTGAGTTTCTGCGAATCACGGTCATCTGATTTGGCTCTCGCAATGCTCAGGGCCTTTGTTATGCTAAAGCGTCAGGTTGCAAAACAGAAGGAGAAGAAGAGGAAGAAAAATCAAGATCGCCAATATAAAGATTAGGTTTGTTTTTATTTTATTGGTTGTCAAAGCCTAGCTAAAGGACAAGCTAATTAATTAAACAATTAATTAACCTTTTGGGGTTTTTTTGTTTTTGAAATGATATTTATTAAAGTTTCATAATTAACCTTTTGTTAATGACATCGTTAGGTTTTTTTTAAAAAAAATTAAACACCAAATGTGGTGGAGGATTTAATCAAGAATGCAGTATGCATGGAACAGATATTTAAATTTTCCCTCCCCTTCAAGGCAATTAGTATTTCACTGACCCAACAGAAGGCGATTTTCTAATGATAAATCACAGCGAAGTGGCAGAGGGCATGTTTTACCAAGATCACAGTTTAATAATAATAAATTTTATTTTTTCCCCGACCGGAGCCAGGCTCAGTGCAGCTAAGATCATATAAATAACACAGTATACATAAAAACAGGCATCAATTAATTAAAATACATCTTAAAATTAATTCAGACAAATTAAAATATGGACAAATGGCAGTTATCAGGTTAAGATTGAGAGCGGTTAATACTTGCCAGTTTGTTTGTTTATTTCATAAAATTTACATACTGCTTGATTGTAAGGGGGGGGGGACCCTCAAAGTGCTTTCCAAAAAATCACAAGACAATAAAATCATCACTAAAAATCCGCAACCACAATTTAAAGCATACAGAAAAGGGTAAAACCACGATAGAATAAGCTAAAGCAAATTAAAACTCATACAAACTTTCTAAGCGTCTGGGTTTGCAGAGTTGCAAAGAGAAGTTTCAATCTCCTCGCTTCACCCTAAGCTGTGTCTGGTATTTAAAGTTCTAGAACATGGGTAGGCAAACTAAGGCCCGAGGGTCAGATCCAGCCCAATCGCCTTCTAAATCCGGCCCACAGACGGTCTGGGAATCAGCGTGTTTTTACATGAGTAGAATGTGTCCTTTTATTTAAAATGCGTCTCTGGGGCCTGCCTGGTGTTTTTACACGAGTAGAATGCGTGCTTTTATTTAAAATGCATCTCTGGGTTATTTGTGGGGCATAGGAATTTGTTCATTTTTCTTTTCTTTTCGAAATATAGTCCAGTCCCCCACAAGGTCTGAGGGACGGTGGACCAGCCCCCTGCTGAAAAAGTTTGCTGACCCGTTCTAGAAACCCGCATCATAGCTGTGAATCCTGTCACTTATAACACGTGTTGTGAGGCCCTTGACTAACAGCAAACAGATCAGCGTCTCCCCATCCCTCAGTAGCCATTACACACATCCTTGTTTTATATGTTCACTCACCTAAGTTCTTTTGGCGGAGGAGGGAAGTCAGTTGGCTCTACATCATCATAGACATCACTGTCTCCAGAATCTGAAATCAGAAAGTGGTGGGTTGTTTGTTTGTTTTTTTAAAAAATGAAAAATAATATATAATCATTGCAACTCAGGCCCCAAATATTGTTGTTGTTTAGTCGTTTAGTTGTGTCCAGCTCTTCGTGACCCTATGGACCAGAGCACGCCAGGCACTCCTGTCTTCCACTGCCTCCTGCAGTTTGGTCAAACTCATGCTGGTAGCTTCAAGAACACTGTCCAACCATCTCGTCCTCTGTCGTCCCCTTCTCCTTGTGCCCTCCATCTTTCTCAACATCAGGGTCTTTTCCAGGGAGTCTTCTCTTCTCATGAGGTGGCCAAAGTATTGGAGCCTCAGCTTCAGGATCTGTCCTTCCAGTGAGCACTCAGGGCTGATTTCCTTCAGAATGGAGAGGTTTGATCTTCTTGCAGTCCATGGGACTCTCAAGAGTCTCCTCCAGCACCATAATTCAAAAGCATCAATTCTTTGGTGATCAGCCTTCTTTGTGGTCCAGCTCTCACTTCCATACATCACTACTGGGAAGCCCCAAATATATAAAACACCAAATAAATAAAAGCTCCTTCCCTACAAAGCCTCTCAGGAGCTGGATTACCAAGGCTTGCAGAGAGCTGCGCGAAGCTCGAAGCCTGGGGCATGCTGAGCTCAGCGTGCCCCAGGCTTCTGGGTGCAGGCAGCTCTCCGCAAGAGGTGGGAGAGCTGTGCGACTTCGCGCAGCTCTCCCACGGCTTGCAGAGAGCCGTGCGGAGCCCAAAGGGCGCTGAGCTCAGCATGCCCCAGGCTTCGGGGTGCAGGCAGCTCTCTGCAAGCCGGCATTCGCCCCATAGGACGCACACACATTTCCCCTTCATTTTTGGAGGGGAAAAAGTGCGTCCTATAGGGCGAAAAATACGGTATAGGAACTCAATCACAGTTTAATAATTGCTTCATGTTTTTGATCTTATTACTTACCCTTTCCTATTTGCTTTGCTGAAGAAGTCCTGCTAGAAACAAACAAATAATAACTTTCATTAAGCACTGCAATCAGATGATCAGTTCCTATCCCAGGATATAAACGATTATGGGGATATGGCTGTGTACATCATAACAAAAGGAAGAATTGTTGAAGCCACTTTATCTTGGATAACAAAAACAAAGGGCGTGTGGGTGTGCTTTCCTTCACATATTCAACTGCAACTAATTTGTTGTCCCTTAAATATGTGAAATTATAAACTGTTTGTCATGGGTAAGACTGGATCACATCAACAAAATTGCCGGCGATGGAACAAAATTTGGGCCATGACCTAGCTTTTCAGACATAGCTTCAGCCAAAGACATTTAGGTCCCTGAGGTAGAATCCAGAGTAATCCCCACTTTCCATTGATGATCATGCGTCATGCTCTACCAGGAAGTTTCTCTCTGCAGATCCCACTGAAATAAATAGGAGACACACAAAGCCAACAGATTTTATTCCATGGGCCAGATCTGCCTACTTCCAACTCTGCCACCCGTAATGCCACCTGAGTTGGCCATCTTACCTCGCCTCATGGTGAAGCTGTTTCTGCAAACAGGTACCTATGACTTAAGCTAAGAGGTATTCAAGGACAGAGCATGGGCCAACTTTGAAAAGGGATGTGGTGGTTTCATAGCTTTGGTTATCTGCCGTGTGGTACGATTATGTGGCTGGTTAGGCTGCTGTGAGAAGCTGTTAGTAGCGCATGATCAACACGTATATTAGCTATTAGTTTTAGTGAACCGGTTATTTTTCTTTCTTTCACAGCAGTCTCTTACGAGGAACCTCCATTATCTTCTGTCACATTGATTTTAGTTGCTGCCTCTCGTATACTTCTCTTGGGGAAATCTTTTCCCTTCAACAGATTCTTCAAAAGCCCACGGGGCCAGGAGTCACTCTTATCTTCACCATGTGGCACAGACCTTTGGAGTATGCACGCAATTATCACATTGCAGATTGAAACACAAGATATTTGAAATGACTTTGGGATGGGGCATTGGATTCACATCAGCAGCAACAACAACAGCCCAAAAAATTAAATGCTGAACCCCCTAAATCCTATAAATTGATAAAGGCTAGGATTTTGATTGTTTGGGATATGGAGGGACAATACAAGCTGCAGAGGAATTCCTGAGCTAGCTTATGCAGAACAACCTGACTGAGCTGAGGCCATCAAAGAACAATAGAGGCTCCGATCTGGTGGAACACTCTGTCACAAGAGACCAGGGCCCTGTGGGACTTGACATCTTTCCGCAGGGCCTGCAAGACAGAGCTGTTCCACCAGACCTTTGGCCAGGGCACAGCCTGACTCCCTCCCTCGGCAATCTTCGAGGAGCTCTGGCCCAATGGTTGCCAGTGGCTTGAATTAATTAATTTTATAATGAATGATTTTAGAGTGTTGTTTGTGCTGTACTTTTGTACTGTTTTATTGTTGTTAGCCGCCCTGAGCCCGGCTTCGGCTGGGGAGGGTGGGATATAAATAAAATTTATTATTATTATTTGCAATACAGGAGAACTCCTCCCTCCCCCTTGAGGTGTGAAGGATATCGGGGTTTGAAAGGTTGCCAGGAAACTGTATGCTTGAGGTGACAGGAAAAGGGAGTCTGGGAGCAAGGGCTGCTGGGAGGAAGGAGGAGGAAGGAGGGTGGTTGGCTGTAGGGTACAAGCGCTGCTGTGGGGTACAAGTCCCTCTTGAAAGGAACATGCTGTAAGATCTGGAATTCCTCCTTGCAGACTGAAGGTGTAAATAAAGGTAAGGTAAAGGGACCCCTGACCGTTAGGTCCAGTCGTGACCGACTCTGGGGTTGCAACGCTCATCTCGCTTTAATGGCCGAGGGAGCTGGCGTACAGCTTCCGGGTCATGTGGCCAGCATGACTAAGCCACTTCTGGCAAACCAGAGCAGTGCACGGAAACGCCGTTTACCGTCCCGCCGGAGCGGTACCTATTTCTCTACATGCACTTTGACGTGCTTTCAAACTGCTAGGTTGGCAGGAGCAGGGACCGAGCAACGGGAGCTCACCCCGTTGTGGGGATTCGAACCGCCAACCTTCTGATCGGCAAGTCCTAGGCTCTGTGGTTTAACCCACAGTGCCAGCCTTCCCCTTCCGAAGGTGTAAATAGGCAAATAAATAACATTTATTAAAGCTATGACTGTCTCCACCGTGTCTCAATTCTCCAAAGGGCCACAGACCCTAGGTGAGTGCATGGAACCCCATGGGCTCTTTGTCACCACTCAGCAGAGAGAGGGGAAGGCACCCGACTTTTGCAACAGCATGAAGTGTGAGCCTCATACAAACACAGCTGGACCAAGTTCTTAGTACATGGACCTCCTGATCTGCCCTGTGACTCTAATCTGTGATCCCAGGATCAGAGCAATTCACCAGCATCAGTGTGGATTTCTATGGAGGGTGAATATATAATGAAGGGATAACTAGGGTCTAAAGAGTCAGATGTGCCATTGTTTTGATGCCACACAAACATCTGTCCATGCTTCAGATTCTGGCTTACTGGCTCCTGCTTGAGAATTAAAGAAGCTGAAAAAGGCTATGCCTTAATACAATCCATGTGAAGGAGATGAAAACAGTAAAGACTCATTAAAACAACACCCAAAGCAATTAATTCCATGGTAAAAACATTATCTCCACACCATTCTAAGACACACTCCCTACCCAGCTGATACCATTTTATCATGCATTAATCGAGGGCTAATATTTTTACCCTGAGATAATCTTTTAAACAAGAACTAAACAAGAATTCTCCATCTGCTTTTCACTATTTTGTTGGCTGTTAATGCTTACCTTGTTTGTGCATCATCATCGCCATCGATCCCATCATAAACGTCATCAGAGGGAGGAGGAGGAGGAGGGAATCCTGTTTAAAATTTTTAAAAAGGCAAAAGCAGAGTAGTATTATTATCACTACTACTTCGATTATTATTGTTTCAGTTTATGTCGCCTAATGCAAACTGTCTCTAGGCTACTTACCTCCAAAATGCACATAAAGTAAAATAAAACATTAATACTGAAATTATCAATAATCATAACTGTCAACTTTTCCCCTTTCTTGCGAGGAATCCTATTCGGAATAAAGGAATTTCCCTTAAAAAGGGGGAAATGTTGACAGCTATGTCAATAATAAGAACAACAACAATCCTCAACGGTATGTACTGCTTCTACTGAAAAAAACCAGGAGATATTGTTTGCACTATTTCAATTACAGCTTCCTTTATCCCTGAGAATTGACCATGCTGGCTGGTGCTGATGGGATTTGGAGTCCAACGACCTCTGGAGAGCTTGGCTTTTCCATGCTTGCTTTAGCAGGAGGACAAGCCTTTCTGGGTCATCTTGGTGCTGATGGGGGAGCGGGGATGGAGGGGAAGAGTCTCAGAAAGTTGTAGCTTTGATTTGCTAATCTTGAAAGTGGCATTCACCTTGGTGCTTACAGGATTGATTTAGAAATGAATATTGAAGGAGGAAGTATGAAGGCTTGGGGACTGTTATTTTTCTTTGACTATATATGGCTTGTCTGCTGATTGCTGGTAGATATCACAAACCCTGGTCATACCCCAACTGATACCTTGGGAAGTAGCTAAAAGATGGGCCCCATGACCCACAAACCTCAAAATTTGGATAGATAGGAACAGCAGAACTTACCTCCTGCAGTACTTTGACTTCCACTTTGGCCATGAGAAAACAAAAAGAGGAGGGGAAATGGTTGAAGTTAAAGGAGAAGACAGCGCAATAAATAATGCAGTTCTTAACATACTTGCTTGGGAGTAAGCCCCATTGAACATGGTGGGACTTAAATCCAAAGAAGACACACACATATAGGAATGCACTGAAAAGTCCATGTTTTTTCCCCACACCCAAATGTCTGCAATATTCTATAACCCACATAAAGCCAGGTAATTGCCTAGAAAATGGCAAATGTGATTCAAACTGGTAATCCATGAATAAATAAATAAGGTAACAATTGCTTTGCTGGACCAGGCCTGTTGTCAGGGGTTGCCAATATGGTGTCCTCCAGCTCTTGCTGGGACTCGCACCATCCTTTCCAGTTAGCTATGTGGACTGGGGCTGATTGGAGTTGTAGTCCAGAAATATATCGAGGACTGAACGTAACTGTACAGGGGTCTTTTCCCTGTACCACCTTGCCCTACAGACCACTACTAATCTAAAAATAATGTAACAATAACTTCATTTTAAGAAATTACAATAAATGTTCACCTTACTAATGTTAAACAACTATTTCCTTATCACTTCCTGTTCTGATGAAAGGTGGGCTAGATTGCACTGCAAGCCACACTAGAACTGGACACAGGTGTGGCCATCCCTTTTGACATACCTGCTGACGCTATCCTGTTCCCCGACATCATCATACACTTCCTGGTCACTGTCTGGTTGCCTCAGTTGAATGTTGACAGAAGGCCGCGGCTTTCGCTTTAACGAATCATAGTCAATTTCCACCATGGTTGTTTTAATGTAGCCATCTAGAAAGCAAAAGCCCAACACATTTCATGACTAAGATGCAGCTGTTTTCTTTTAAACTTTATAACAAGACATCATAAGGGCTGCATTAAACACACACACACACACACCCTTTAAAAACCACTGTGCAATATAGAATGGTATTCATTGCATGGTGTGCAATTTTTTTAAATCAAATTGCTGTTCGTTTCTTTGTTGTGCAGGTTTCAAGTATTTTAACGAATATACTAATACGTCTTCAAGGGCCAAGAATTGTGGACTAGCGACATTTCAAATACTCCAAATGGTGAGTGAACCCAAATTTTCTGATCAGAATAAATTACTCTGATTAAACATATTAAAATAAGTTCTCTTAAATTTGCATAATTTATACCTACAGGAGCCTCTTGACCTTCCCAGCCACTTCCCCTCTGGATTGTCAGTGATGCGGATGATTTCGATGTTATCTCCTTGCTTGAACGTCAGATCGTTCTTCCCTCCTTTGAAGTCTGTGCAAGCTCGGGCGTGGTGAATGACTTCAATGGGGCCCACGAGCTACACAGAAGTAGGATAAGAAATGGGTGTAAATCAGCATTGCACATATGGTCAGGATTAATACTGTACAAGAGAAGGGGGAGAGAGAGAGAGGGAAACAGGCATGGACAAACCACAACAACTGACAAATTGGAGTCGGGACCTCGGGTGAGGAACCTTTTTCAGCCTGAGGGTTGCATTCTCTCACTGCCAACATTCTGGTTCTGGACCAGAATCAAATAGTGGGTATGGCCAGAGGCACAATGTGATTCTTACACACAGTTCCAGATTTGATTCCAGATGCACAGAAGTCAGAGGTGTCACAGGCAAGCAAGAGGCATTATCGCAATCGCGTCTACTTGAGGGCACAAAGAAGTGTCAGTCAGGGAAACAAGATGTATCCTAAGGAGAACTGAGTCTTGATGCTAAGTAGAGAGGACTGGAGACCCACATTCAACCCCTGGACCTGCTATTCCCCATCACTGTTTCAGACATTTTTGCAATGGAATTATAAAGACACTGTGGTCTAAACCATAGAGCCTAGGACTTGCCGATCAGAAGGTCGGTGGTTTGAATCCCCGCGATGGGGTGAGCTCCTGTTTCTCGGTCCCTGCTCCTGCCAACCTAGCAGTTCGAAAGCACATCAAAGTGCAAGTAGATAAATAGGTACCACTCCGGCGGGAAGGTAAACGGCGTTTCCGTGCGCTGCTCTGGTTCACCAGAAGCGTCTTAGTCATGCTGGCCACATGACCCGGAAGCTCCCTCGGCCTATAAAGCAAGATGAGTGCCGCAACCCCAGAGTCATCCATGACTGGACCTAATGGTCAGGGGTCCCTTTACCTTTACCTTTATGCATTTTTGCAAAGCAATTTTCCCTAATGGAATGCATTTTTTAATGTTAATTTCACTAGTGCATGCATTTATATGCACTCTTTACTGTAGTATATAGATTTTTTTCACACATTAGTCTCCTGGAGAATTACACTGCAAGATTTAGAGAAGTGCAAATTTTGAAGGGAGGCTGTCTATTTGCTTGCTGTTTCAGGAAGTGCGAATTAAATAGGTTCACCTGTTAATGTGAACTGAACTGAATTTATCCCCCATCTCTTCAAACAGAGTAACTTTAACAATGCTAAAGGATAATGTATTTGTTTTCATTAAAGTGTTTTTTTTTAAAAAAAATAATTGCTAGTTTAAGCCTTACTTTGAACTTCTTCCTTATGTCCTGCTCTTTTTTCTCTTTCTCCTTTTGTTCTTTCTCTGATTTCTTCCTTTCTTCCTTCTCCTTTTTCCTTTCATCATCTCTAGATGTAGGTCTGCGAAATAAAAAGTGATTGATACTTAACTCAAGAAACAGCAGGGGACAAACATCTGGGTCTCTTTCACTTCTCTTGAAAGATGACCATATCAGGAGCCATGTGCTCAGTGGTTGCTGTTGGGTTAGATCTAAGCTTAAAGGTAAAAGGTAAAGGGACCCCTGACCATTAGGTCCGGTCGTGACCGACTCTGGGGTTGCGGGACTCATCTCGCTTTATTGGCCAAGGGAGCCAGCGTACAGCTTCTGGGTCATGTGGCCAGCGTGACTAAGCCGCTTCTGGGAAACCAGAGCAGCGCACGGAAACGCTGTTTACCTTCCTGCCAGAGCGGTACCTATTCATCTACTTGCACTTTGATGTGCTTCCGAACTGCTAGGTTGCCAGGAGCACAGACTGAGCAATGGGAGCTCACCCCGTTGCGGGGATTCGAACCGCCGACCTTCTGATCGCTGTCCACAAATGGAAGAGCTCCTTCCATGTGCAGAAGGCCTTTGACCCAACCTTTAGAGCCTGCTGGAATCATAGAATGGTAGAGTTGGAAGGGACCATGAGGGTCACCTAGTCCACCAGCCCCTCTGAAATGCAGGAATCTTTTGCTCAACATAGGAAGATCAATTTTTTCTGGTGCCCTCCTTCACTGTTTCAGAGTGCCCACAAACCCTTAGGAGAAGAGTTTTAGAAGCTACAAGGGAGATAAAGCCAAAGCCACTTTTCCTCTTCCCTCTTCTGCTGCTGCAAGCAAAGTCTGGATCCAAGCCAATACCTTCTCAACCTAGCCCAGATGTTGCAGGACAGACGCTTCCATCATCCCTGATTGACGATATTGGCTGATGGGAACTGTGGTCAAAACATCTGATGGACAACATGTTGGCTAGCCCTGCCCTGGCCTAGAAGATGATAAAGTTGCAAATTCAGGTTTTGGATCTTTTGTCCACAGTTTTGCAATGGTGTCTGCCATTTGATCTCAGGTCCTCTTACTCTGTTTATGTTTTGTCTCTCTGTCACTTCAGTTGTGGGATCCCAAGAATCAGAGAACTGCCATATCTGCAGAGCTGCATATTTCTTACCTCATTTCGTTTATATCTTCATATGTCTCCCCTTCACTGTTGAGACTCTATAAAGAAAAAAGTGACAAGAAATGAATTAGAAAGGGGAAATTATAACGTAGTTCAAGTGCAACAATTTCTTTTTAAGACTAGTACTAGGACAGCAAATTGTATGTGGCATTTCATTATTTCAAACCCAATTTGTTGTATGAAATAAGGTCTTCTTTAGACCTTGACCATTCAGCTATTTAAGAATATCAAATATTGCCCAGACTGTAGCCATTTCCAGGTGTTCATTCTGGGTATAATGAACACATGAATGTCACTGAGTTGCATCTACTGCCACAACAACTTCTCACTCACCCTGAGCCATTATTGCAGTCCTTTACACTCTCCTTTCAGCTAAGCCCTTCCAGAGATTACAAACAGAGCAAGGCCGTCAAGCACTTTGTAGACTGGGGTAGGGGGAACTTGTGGCCCTCCGGCCACGGGCAATGCTGGCTGTGGCTGATGGGAGTTGCTGTCCAGTAACATCTGAAGAACTACAAGTTCCTCAACCCTGTGGAAGACCACAACACATGTTCTGCGGCCCTTGCTTGGCTTATGAGTCACAAGTTGTGTACCCAAATTAAGATGTGTTGATCCAGTGACAAATGAATGTTCCCACAGCTTATTACTATTAATGATCACTTCTTTGATTTATAACCCACTGTGGCGTTTGCCCTCCTAGGTGGGTCATAAGGAAAGGGTTAAATGAGTGTGAAGTGACTGGCCAGTGGGAACCCAAGGGGAGGAGTTAGAGTCAGAGTTGGTGTTATTTGGAAGTTAGTTGGGAGTTGGAGAAGGAAGAGGGAGGATAAGTCTGTGGGTTGGTCTAGTTTTGATGTGAGAGTGAGTGAAACTGTTAGGAGGAGTCAGATAGACAGATGGGATGGGATAATCAATTAGAAGTTATTAGGAAGGTATAGGTCAGTAAAGAAACTAAGATTAAGAAACTGACAAGAAAAGTTATCTGAAACCATAACCTTGTTAATGCTTATAAAATAAACTTGCTTATTTGGTTTAATGTTAACAACGGTCTGGACTCCGTGTGTACCCGAGAGAAACGGGTTGGTGGCAGCGGGGAAGCAATCACAGTGGTGGGACAGGGATCAATAGACTGTCAAACGTCCAGCGACCCTGTGTGATCGCCACACCCACCTTCAACCTTAAGGTCCCAGGGCGTGAAACATCCATATCAAAATAATTAAATAATGCAAAACATTAAAATATTAAAATCCAATGCAGATATCCAAATGAAACAATCTCTCTCCCTTTCCCCTCTTTCCACAGACACACCGGTAACAGAACCTCCCACAGCACCCCTCTGCATTCATGAAAGCGGGTGTTAATGAAAGACAGTTGTGATGCATTTATCTATGTTGTGAATGGTGATACTGACCTCATCTGGATCCCCATTTCCTGAAGAATCAAAAGGCAAACATTTATTGTTAATTTTCTGTTGCAGGGAAGATTTTGTATATAATATAATCATATCCGTATATAATAAGAGGGTAGAAAGTCTATGGATTGCCCTCTAAACAAAAAGTGTTGGGCAAAGGACGGCGTTGCCTAGGACAAAGTTGGGTATTTTGACTTGCGAAATTTTTTGTCTAACTCAAATACAGATTATGCCATATATTTATAGTCCTCAGTATCTTTCCACATAAAACTAAATATATGGCATAATCTATATTTGATCAAAACTGAAATGAAATTGTAGCAGATGAATATACTTCATGCCAGCTGCTTATCAGCTACAGCAGGCTTCCTCAACCTCGGCCCTCCAGATGTTTTGAGACTACAATTCTCATCATTCCTGATCACTGGTCCTGCTTGCTAGGGATCATGGGAGTTGTAGGCCAAAAACATCTGGAGGGCCGAGGTTGAGGAAGCCTGTGCTATAGTATGCACCTCAAGCACCACAACTTGATTTTAATCCCCCCCCCGACTACATACTGAAAACCAACTATATATTATGTTATGTACTACATGCTATAAATACATGGCATAAGGTTTATATACACATGCTATATCATTATAAATTATACTCTGTATAAATGCTATTTGTTTAACTTTCTCATTATCTTATTTTATCAATACATTTATATCACTTTGACTGCTATTAATTATTATTATTATTATTAGACTTTGGCAGCTATGGCTTCTTGCAAGGAATTCTAGGTACTGTAGTTGGGCAAGGTGTATGAATATTCAGGATTTTCTGTTGGGAGATCCCCAGCTCTTCCTCACAGAAATACAGTGTTATTAGGGTTACCTGGGAGGAGGGAGTAATGATATAGGTTTATAGGACATTCAGATTCATAAGGCTGTATTGCAGCAGCCATCACCATCATCCTATATAGCAGCAGTGGGAAAATCAGGCCCACCTTGTGGCATTTGGGCCACAAGGTCGTTCAGGCCAGTTACGCCCACCTTCACTGCACCTCATGTCACACATGACTGCCAATCAGTGGTGCCAGCAAAGCCCTGTGCCAATGTCTGTGTACTGGAGTTTGCCAGCGCCAACAACCAGCTGTTTATTGAAGAAGAAGAAGAAGAAGAGTTTGGATTTGATATCCCGCCTTTCACTCCCCTTCAGGAGTCTCAAAGCGGCTAACATTCTCCTTTCCCTTCCTCCCCCACAACAAACACTCTGTGAGGTGAGTGGGGCTGAGAGACTTCAAAGAAGTGTGACTGGCCCAAGGTCACCCAGCAGCTGCATGTGGAGGAGCGGAGATGCGAACCCGGTTCCCCAGATTACGAGACTACCCCTCTTAACCACTACACCACACTGGCTCTTATTGGCCCTTTGTGGGCTGTGGCTTTCTTCACATGGTTTAATTTCATGCCATGCAGGCAAAATTGGGTCACCTTACATCACCAGGGGATTGACAGGTGGGTGGGGGATGGGGGAGATAAGTTATCCTTACATAGCCAAAATGGCACCACCCACGCACAAACAGGAGGTATTGGCCAAGAACACCTAGGTTCTCAGAAGTACTAGGGAAAAAGCCAGTCTGATAAGGACTGAGCAGGGATGGAGGGCATGAAATACAGAATGGGCTGCCTGTAAGGGAGAGGCGGTAATGGAAAACAGTGGAAGGGGAATGGAGTATAGTGGAAATGGGGGTGGCTGGCACCCGAACAGGAGCACTCCACATTCTAACGCTTTCTCGCAGTTCCCACGTACAAATTTTCTAATGCCCGTCTTAACAAAAATGGATTAGCCTTACCTCCAAACTCAACATCATCATAGCTTTCTTCATTGTCCCTATGAAAAGAAAAAGGTGAACAGGTTCAAAGAGAAAAAAGATGCAACTGCAATTCCCGTAACACTCTTTTGACTGAAAGCCAAGCCATCAGAGAAGGTTTATGAAGCCTATGGGCCGGATTCAGCTGGTTCAGCTGACAGAAGCTGGGACAAAAACACCCTCTAATGAAATTAGGTTTTCCCATTCCTCCATGCAATGAATTCTGCTCCATATTGATCCAGACCAGACCCCAACATATAGTTAGCAGAGTAAAAACATAAAACACGATGCAGGATTCCCAATAATAACTCAGAGGCAATTAACCTCATTCAGCAGATTGTTTTTTTGTTTTACTACTGAAGGCAAATGAGCTTTACAGTCACAATCCAACATCTTCAGGATTGGTACAGTCCACAAGAAATCCAGCTGCAGCAGACTTAACTTAAACTTACAATAAGACTAAAACCTTAGCACTTAAGCATACTATGTACAGTGGTACCTTGGTTCTCGAACAGCTTGGCTCCCAAACAAATTGGCTCCTGAACGTCGCAAACCCAGAAGTAAATGTTCCGGTTTGCAAACATTTTTCAAAAGCCAAATATCCAATGCGGAAGCTCCTGCACCCAATCGGAAGCCACACCTTGGTTTTCAAACAGTTTCAGGAGTTGAACCAGCTCCCGGAACAGATTAAGATGCCACTGTACTGACCAGCAAACCAGCAGGAGAAACAGAAAGTGAAACCCCAGCTTCTTCTGGCCTATTACTGTATTATAGTCAGCAGGACCTTGAGTGAAAGAGATAACAGAACCAGTTTGAACCAGCTGTTCAGTTTCTCTGCTTGTTTCTAGGCAAAATAGAAGCTTGCTTGTTAGCTAGAAACTTCTAGCTTGTACCAGCTTGTATCACATAGAGAAGCTTCCAGAACCTGCTTGAATTAATTAGAATAGGAAAGATCTCTGCACTTTAAACCAATACTTTCTATACCCAAAAATGCAAACCTGACATCCCCACAGATGTAGCCCCCACTGATACCAAGGAGTCCTAAGTAAAGGAATACAGGCCTGCAGTCTTATTAAGTTTGAATCTGACACCTTTCCCTGGCAGGTTTTATTTTCTTTTTTTTCTAACGGGTGTAGCGACAGCAAGAAATCTGGAGATGAAAGCAGAGATTGGGAAGGATTGCCACACCTACAGCTGGATGCACCAAAGAGTGGTCTTGATCACATCTGGGGAGCCCTCAATGAAGACAACGGTCTCTTTCAGACATATACCATGTAATATATAATATATAATATAATTTATTATTTCCTCCCCGCCCATCTGGCTGGGTTTCCCCAGCCACTCTGGGTGGCTTTCAACAGAACATTAAAAACAGAATAAAACTTCAAACATTAAAAACTTCCCTAAACAGGGCTCCCTACAGATGTTTTCTAAAAGTTAGATACAGTGGTACCTCCGTTGACGAACTTAATTCGTTCCGGAAGTCCGTTCTTACACCGAAAGCGTTCTTAAACCGAGGTGCGCTTTCCCCATTGAGTCTTCCCGCCACCGGTGCCCTTCCACCAGTCAGCTTCCATTCCTCTTCTGGGGCAAAGTTCGCTATCCGGAACACCTACTTCCGGTTTTGCAGAGTGCGTTGCCCGAATCTTTCGTTAACAGGACTGTTCTTAGACTGAGGTACCACTGTAGTTGTTTATTTCCTTGACGTCTGATGGGAGGGCATTCCACAGAGCGGGCACCACTACCGAGAAGGCCCTCTGCTTGGTTCCCTGTAACCTCACTTCTCGCAGTGAGGGAACTGCCAGAAGACCCTTGGCACTGGGCCTCATACACTGAATCCATTGAGGCCATTCAGCAACATGCAATCCTGCTCCTCCATACATTCAGATAGCATCATATAGCAAGGCATATTGAGGCATCTGATCAAGATCTGTATTTTAAAATGAGCTTAAAAAATATATATGTAAATGTTTGTATCTCTCATGCCAGGCAGAAACCAGCTGGCTAAGTACTTTGGCAGATGTTTATCTTCCTAAACAGGGCCCCTCTGATCTATAGCAGTACCTCAGGGTTGTAAAAGGAAATTACAGGCTGGGAGCAGAGGTCATATTGACCATACAAATTACAGAATACAATCAAGCTGCAAAAACACAATTAAGAGTTGGTAAATAGTGAGATTTATTGTTTAACAGAAATACCATGTGCCTCCCATCAGACTCGAGCCACATCTTCCTAAGGTTAAAGGGCAAGAGCTAATAGCAACAGCAGCTGGCTTGAAAGGGGGGTGTAAATTTAAGGGGTTGCTTTTGGAAACTGTTTTTACTAAGTTCCTTTCCTTCTAAAAAGCTATATATGTTAATGTATGAAATATATTGGCTTAAATGTAATTATGCAAAGGATTTAGAAAGTAAGAAATGTTAGATTCTTATGTTAGATTCTTATTTCATTGATGGTGTGTGAGAAGGTGAACCCAAGATCTCTGTTTAAGATAAAAATTAAAACCATTAGCCATCTGTTTTGGAGTGAAAGGGCAATAGGGTAATAGGGCAATAGGGCAAAGATGATCTGGTAATTAAGGTGCCTGGTCGAGGCAAATGTAAGATATATGGCTATTTGTCTGCCATTTATGGATAAAAGGAAATATAGCTCTTTGTCTCCCATAAAAGGTAATAGGAAATGGGTGTATCTTTTATGATTGGTTCTAGCAAACAGCCAATAGGAATTTCAACCAGGCTGATTGGACAGAGGCAGCCAAAGGAGGAGCAAGGGGGCTGGGCTGAGGAAATATAAGTGCTGGCCATCAGGGCTGGAGTGGGCAGAGCTTTGGTAACCATATACCACTGTGTCTCTTATTTATTTGTCTGACAAATAAATTATTATTTTAATTTCTCTATTGCTGCGTTGAATATTTCATTCCAGCTAAGCGTTAACCACAAGCAGGGTGCTACAATATGTGAGTGAGTGCATGTGTGTAAGCACATAATAAGAGCTTGGTGGATCAAGCCAAAGGTCCACCAAGTCCAGCATCTTGTTCCACAGTGGCCAACCAGATGCCAGTGGGAAGCCTGCAAGTGCAATAGCATTCTCCCCAGTTGTGCTCCCCAGCAATTAGTATTCAGTGTCAAAATGTGTGAGAGTCCTTGGCTGTGAGTCCAGGAAGATTTGCTCCCTGCCTTGCAGACCTGGCATGGGATGGCGTGGCCCGGACTGACTCCAGCTACAAAAGCTGAAATCGCTGAAAAGATTCTTGGACTGCGTTACCATTTATAGAGGTTTTTTTTGGGGGGGAGGGGGTTGTTGCTGTTATTTATTTTATTTTTTGTATCTTTATTTAAGATCTTATCATAGTTTATGCAGAAATTGTTCCGTTTGGTTGTGTATTTCTTAATGTTTTGTTTATGACTACTTTTGTTATGTTTGCATAACAAAAGATGTTTGCAATTATGTATTTTTCCATGTTGTAAGTCGCCTTGAGCATGGTTTGAACTGTGGAAAGACAGCATGCAAATAAAATGATGTATGTATGTGCAGCTTTTCATGCGTTTTCAGAAATGTTTTGCAATGTCATCACAGCCCTTCCTTTTTCTAATTTGCTATTGCAAAGGAAAAATCACCTGATCAGCAGCTATATATCACAGGACTTGCTTGCCACAAAGTATGCATATCTGCATTCTCAAGTAACTACCATTTCAGATCTTCCATGCGTGAAGCAGGCCTGAGGATTATCAATAGAAAGCCAGGCACTAGATTGTGTCTCTCTCAGTGTCTCTCTCTCCCTTCAAATGCCTTCTCAAAACTCATATTTCCTGGCCGGATGTTCTGCTGTGACTGGAGAAAACTTTGGCCTCATAGACTTATCTTTGACCCTTACAGTGGTACCTCGGGTTACATACGCTTCAGGTTACATACGCTTCAGGTTACAGACTCCGCTAACCCAGAAATAGTGCTTCAGGTTAAGAACTTTGCTTCAGGATGAGAACAGAAATCAGGCTCCAGCGGCGCGGCAGCTAAAGTGGTGCTTCAGGTTAAGAACAGTTTCAGGTTAAGTATGGACCTCTGGAACGAATTAAGTACTTAACCCGAGGTACCACTGTACTTAGAATACTGACTGAAAACATCTCACCATAGGGCCAAACTAGACAAAAATGGTGCCACTTTTATTTGATCATGTGTTTCTTCTAGAATCACATATTCACATATAAAGGAGAGGGGGTTGTGGTTCTTATTTTAACCAAAGGGAGACCTGCAATAAAATGTTTCAGTGTGAAGTGCTCTGGGCTGTTTTTTAAAGGTTTTTGCCTCCTAGTGTTCCCCCTCCCTAACCCCTTTCCCTTCTGCAAACCTTGGCATTATGCTGATCATGCTGATCTTTCCCTTTTGTTTTCCAGTAGCCATGTTTTGGCTACAAAGCCATCATTACTCTGCACCTGACTCCATTGTTAGTATATTAACATGAAAAGTGATGTGAATGAGAGGGCAGAATACTTTCTCCTTCCTCTGTGCACTGTCTTCACTTGCCCAGTGAATTTATTTTTCTCCTGGCCTTGCTCACTGCCAGTAAGTTCAGGTGACAAACTATGGGGAGATAAGGCAGAGAAATGTTTAGCTTTACATTTTCATGTGGGGGAAAAAGACACAAACACTCATCTTTGGCATGAATAGGGGGGCTGCTTAAGCATCACTATAGAAGAGGGGAAAGAGGGTGATCATTTGCATAAAAATCACTTATGCCCATTTTTTAAAATATAGTCACAAATACATTAGCTGGCTGAGAATGATGGGAGTTGTAGTCCAAAAACATCTGGGGTTCAGAGGTGGATGATTAAAGAAATGTGGCGGCTACTGGCGCAATTATGTCTAGTTTGGCTTTTGCATGGCCTCTAGGGTTCAAGGATATGCCGTTTACCTTCCCGCCGCAGCGGTACCTATTTATCTACTTGCACTGGTGTGCTTTCGAACTGCTAGGTTGGCAGGAGCTGGGACAGAGCAATGGGAGCTCACCCCGTCGCGGGGATTCGAACTGCCGACCTTCCGATCGGCAAGCCCAAGAGCACCACCTATGCCCCTTGACCGTGTCAAGGATAGCATCCTCATCACAAAGCAGCGAAAGAAAACAAGGGGCATGATGAGTGCCAAAGACAAGGTACTTCAGGATGACTGTATGGGGAAGACACTTCGATAGATGTGAGATCAGAAGCTCCCTCATTCCCTGTGAAATGAGAGCAGAATGTAACCTCCCCCCCCCACACGCAGATTTCACTTTCATTTACACAGAGACATACCTGGGCTTGATGTTTCTTGGGGGAAGTACCGGAGCTTGTGCTGATGGATGGGAAGCTGATGGAGGAGGCGGTGGAGGCAGCTGGGTGGTGGTATGCAGGGGCGAAACAGGCAGTGGAAGTACAAGGGGTAAACCTGCCGCATGGGGTTTGCTGGAGCCTGCAAGGGAAGAAAAAGTTATACAGTGGTACCTCGGGTTACAGACGCTTCAGGTTACAGACACTTCAGGTTACAGACTCCACTAACCCAGAAATAGTACCTCAGGTTAAGAACTTTGCTTCAGGATGAGAACAGAAATCGTGCGGCGGCAGCGGGAGGCCCCATTAGCTAAAGTGGTACCTCAGGTTAAGAACAGTTTCAGGTTAAGAACGGACCTCCAGAACGAATTAAGTTCTTAACCCGAGGTACCACTGTAATATTTAAGGGGGAAATCACAGGGAGCTCCATTTTTATACACAGGAGGAACCTAGCATTGCAATTTGCATGAAGGATAGATAGGAAAGGTTGAATGTATCCATTTCAGTTTCTCTCGCATTCTCTTTTTCTTCCAGTCGTCTTCTCATTCCCACAGCAATTTGCAGTTTGATTTTAAAACAACAGCAGCTTACCATGGGAACTTTAGTAGGCACATGTTTGCACGTCGGTGTTTCTCAAAAAATAAAAAAGTTCCCAAATTGCTTAATTGTAACAACATCCACTTCCTACTGCATCTGCAGAAGTTTCCTTTTTCTTGCATGCTACTTAAAACACAGACGCTTGTATTTTGTTGCCATCTTGCTAGATGTAGGTCTTTCAATGCTGGTAACTGGCATCTGTTGCGCCTCTTATATATAAGTGTGAGCGTGTGCCATAGAAAGAGCAATGATTTGGATCTCCCTGCATTTTTATTTTTTACTTTAATGCAGTTGTAGGGGACTTTGAATAGAGCAAAGTGTGTTCTCCCTCATGGAGAGCACGTGCTGCGGTGGGGGCTGACAAGACACCTCACTGTTGCTGGGTAAAAGAGTTTGGCCATCTTTAAGCAGGGGCGGGCTGTTACTGGGGAGATTTATATGTTGCCATTTATTGATTGACAGCCCTGTTTGTTAAATACACTGCACGCAGTGATGAGCTTCCTCTTTCGCTGCGTGCTTCGGATCACCCTCCCTCCCTCCCTAACGTTAGGCTGTTTGCTTGACCTGTCATGGGGTCATCTGCTTTGGGGCAGGGGCCTGGTAGGAATTTTGTCCATTTGGCTGATTGGCTGGTGCCATTTGGTTTTTGCCTACTGCGTAGCAAATCATCACAACTCGTAAGGTTGCAGTTAGGCATTGGTTTGGGAATTGGTTGGTGGAGGGGTATGGATTTGGCTGTGCCTGCCCCTCCAAAATGCTGCTGCTGCAAGGGTTTTCCATTAAAGGAACCCAGGGGCTCCCCATGCTTTTGTCCGAACCCCCTGGCAAGGGGCCAGGGCCACGCAAGAGCACCTGGGAGCATTCTGGGGAGAGGTGAGGCATGGTTCCCAGTCCCGTCTCTCTCCCCAGGTGACTTACCCTTTCTGACTTTGCAGGGTGTGCGAATGTCAGAGCTGTCCCTGTGTGGGGTCAGTTAGTCGCTACCAATGCCTAAGCAACCACTCACATTGCTGTATTTTTAATAAAGTTGTGGCCAAAATTATGCCAAAAACCTTAAACAAAAATCAAGTGTCATTGTGTTCTTATTTGGGGTGTCTTGGGGACCTCAACGCGCAATGACATTCAACCCTTCCCTGTTCTTTTTCAGCTTGCTTCCCATAAGCTGTTGTCAGACCTGGTGTTTGGGATGGAGCATGGCAAAGACTATATACAATATCAATGTAAAATGAAAAGCAATCAAATCGTACATCAAGGAGGAAATGCCAAGGGACAGAGATAAGCTTTCCTTAAAACAGGACGAAAAGGAGACAGCTGAGTATTTAAAGTGCCAAAGATCCATACATAAGGGGTTTAGTAAGTGAGATTAGTATTTAGAGTGTGGTAAGACTAAGGTGGAGAGCTGAGAGAAAGCAATAGAGATAAATAAGAGACAGGGGCAAGACAAACAGTGAAGTTAAAACAAGTTCAAACTTAATACATGACAACAGAAGAAGCAAGTGAAGAGCAGTCGTCTCACACAATTAAAACACAAAATCCACCCACTTTCCCCATCTTTTATTTAAATATATTTACTTGCAAAATTAATGTGCATACAAAGTTAACTCCAATCAATTAATAACTATAAACATATTTAAAAAAACTAATTCTTACAAATAGTTAATGGAAATTATTTAAATGCAGGAAGACTTAGTTCTAGCAATATTTTTTTTTAAAAAAGAAGAATAGCAACCCAGCAATATATTTATGCTACACATGTAGAAATACACTTATAAATAGATATTTAAATTATTCATAATTGCATGTATAAGTTGCTTTTTTCCCCTTAACTCAAAAGTGACTTATACAGCACATGCATTAAAAGCAGCACAAAACTGTTATAATGGTGAAAACAAAAGTATGGCTATGCATCTTTCATGGTGATGGATGTTTAAAAATAATAATAGTGCCCATTTTCCCCCCTTCCTGGGATGAATAGCATCCAGGAACGCACTTTTTGGTAAAGTGTATTTGTATGTTTCTCCTCAATAGACAAAAAGAACAAACTTTTAGAAATATTATAGAAAGCGATTCAACAGCAAGCCTAGCGAGTTATGTAATAAGTGTCCGAAAAAAGTAAAAATAAAATAAAACTAAGAACAAGTTGAAAGTGAAAGTTTAGGGAGGAACACAACAAGTTCCGTGCATTTAATTTGAGATAATGATGCAGCATAAAATAATAGGAAGCTTAAAGTGATAGTTAGCACAAGGAGTAGCTCACATTTATACATCATTCAACAGGTGTTCCTGATTATGGAGGTGCAACAATGGGGGAATGTTAAACTGGCCAGCTTTCTACTTGCCATTCAGCTATCGCAGGCACAGGAGCTCTGTCCTGGTCTCAGTTCTAACATTGTGGTCACCTAGACTGCTGTAAGTCCGAAGCAATAAAATGGGGGTTCACAAATTTGGAAAAGGCAGATGGTTGATCCTTCTGGAACTTCACCAGTTCAGAACATAGATGGGGGATGGCATTATTTAAATGTTTCCACACATCCAAAATCCCCTGTGGCAACCTTCCCTAAAATTATATCTGATGTGCTAGTTTACTTTTGTTTTCAACATGAAGGAAGCTTTTTACATGAGAAAGCTTTGAGACTTTCCTGTTTTAATTCCAAACAGGGACAGGTTCAGAAAGGCTGTACAGTGGTACCTTGGGTTACATACGCTTCAGGTTACATACGCTTCAGGTTACGGACTCCGCTAACCCAGAAATAGTATCTCGGGTTAAGAACTTTACCTCAGGATGAGAACAGAAATCGCACGGTGGCAGCGTGGCAGCAGCGGGAGGCCCCATTAGCTAAAGTGGTGCTTCAGGTTAAGAACAGTTTCAGGTTAAGTACGGACCTCCAGAAGGAATTAAATACATAACCAGTGGTACCACTGTATACTGATTTCCCCTCTGCCCCCACCCTGCTGCCCCTTAGGATGAATGAACATAACTGGACTTTTCATCCCCATATATACTTCTAGCCTTCCTGCTGGTGGTCTAGGCTACATATTACACACAGAGGCATACATGGGCATCCACAAGAGTGGAAGAGGGACAGTTGCACCCTCCACCCCCACATGGACCAGAAGCCCCATTTTCCAGAGTTTTTTGCGTTTGTAGAACCTGAGATATGAGACAAAATGTATGCACACTATTCTTCATTTTTTGGTGAGAAACTAGGCAGTGTCCCCCACCTTTCACTGTTCTACTTAGCCTCTCTCCGCCTGGAAAAAAATATATCATTGAATGTATATAACTTTTCCTCAAGACTGCTTTCTAATCAGGAAAAGCAATATCCAGAGTGATGATTTGGCACCAGAAAGTCAGAGGGGGTGTCGGCGTGGAGTGAGCAGGAGCTTAACCATTTTCTCTTGTTACTGTTCCATCCTTCCAAATAGCCATGTCTAGCAGGGTCTCCTCCCTCACGAAGTTCCCAGTGCAGGCAAACACACATTAAGAAGCGAATTTCACAAGGTGGGAGAGTCCTTAGGGGCAGCTTGGAGTGGGAAAGGGCAAATGGGGAAAGGATAACACATTCCTCTCCCGATCAGCTCTGTGGATGCTGTTTCCCCTGTTTAAAAAGTGCAATCAGGGTAAAATTGCACCCATCTCTTTTACTACAATTCAAGCAGTATATGCATTTTGGTAAACAAATGAAATAAATATCTAGCGTGGTCCAGTCAAAAGCTCTAGATAATCAACAGAGTGAGAGAATCAGTGACAATGGAACATTCCCTACTATGCAATAAAACACAATTCAGTACAAGATGTATTGGGGAAATATTTTTACACGGCACATTATTATTATTATGTCCCCCCCACCAGCACAGAGAAGCTTTTTTCCCACCTTGCATAAAACCAACAGCAAATAGGGGATGAATAACTCACTTTCTTCGGTGTATTTCCTGAATTTTTCAAGGTTCACCGTTGGAGGTCTGCTGGGTTTCTGCGGGGCCAGACCTAATTTGACTGGTGGAGGGATTGCCTTCCGTCTCGGCAAATTCTTGTCCTTCTCTTCTTTTTCAGAGTTACTATCCCAAGGTCCTGTTGTAGTCGCCCTGGGCAGACCAGTGAATTTAGGTGCTCCAGAAGTTGACCCAGAATCCTCTTGAGAGACTTTGAAAATATTCTTGGCCACACTTGGCCTTGCTTCTTCGTTGCTCGGCTGGCCGTAAGATTTTGGGAGGGCCAGAGACAGGTTGCTCTTGTCGGAGACATGTCTCAAGGCTACACCAGGGAAAGGGCTGGCTGTGGAATCCACCCCATTGTCTCTCTTTCCTTCGACATCCTTGGCCATTAGAAATGAGTTGGGTTTGGGTTTGAGGCCTAGTGGGCTTGGAGAAGTTGGATTCAAGGAGGGGTATTTCTTGGGAGCCTCTTCATTGGGGACAGGATGTAGACCTGGTTTCTTCCCAAGGGCTGGCTTCAGAAAAGGAGGTTTGGGGTCATTCTCCTGCGAGGCCGCGATTATTTTTTCTTTAAATCCAGCCGCCACTTGAGAGACAGGCTTTGTCTCGTTTCCTTGAGGTTCAGGTTTAAAATTCGACCTTGGTAGCCCCGGTGGCCTGAGTTCATTTTTTGGTGCTGTGGAACCAGGCAATCTGTTGTCAGGAGGCTTTGGGAACAATGGCTTGGATTCAGCTTTTAGTCCGTCAGTAGGTTTGGGACCCAAAGGCCTAGGAAATCCAGGTTTTTCATTCGTTTCCCTGTTAGCTGCCTGCGCCAAGGCAGCAACCTTGCTAGCCACTGCATTGCTCTTCAAATGGGGTGGCTTTGGGTCCTTGTCCGATGTGTCAGGAACAGAAGGTTTGGTGCCCAAAGGTGGTTTAAAAGATGGAGATTTGTGGATGTTGCTGGGTCTGGGAGGTGCAGCGGCATTTTCCAGGTGGTTAAATTTCTCAAATGCAGTCCTTGCCACCAACGGTGGCTGTCCTGCTGCTCTGCCTTGTCGGCTGTCAACCTCCCCGGCTGGGTTGTTGCTAAACTTTGCCATGATGGACTTCACATTCGTCTTGCCATCCTACAAATGCACAAAGAATATTTAAAAAAAATAAAGATGAAGAAGCCGAGTGAGAAGTTATTTGCAGCAACGTTCGCATATACTGTACTTGGAATGGGTTTCCTGGTCTGAGGCTTATGACACTTCTGATTGGTTAGAGATATCTCAGCCTTCAACTTCCTGTATGGCTAAAGATGTTCAACATTTTGCTACATACTCGTTGTGGTTAAAGTATTATTTCAAGGCGTTTACTGCAGACGAGCAGTTTTGCTGACTGGATCTGGCCTTGCTATGTCTGCTGAAATTTCCCCCTTCCCAACGTATTTGCGGAACAAAGAAGTGATATTATGACCTAAAATGTATATAGCAAGTGATACTGCTAAACCCAGCAGTTCTGTCCTCTCATAGTGCATGTGTTGTTGGCGTCCTTACAGCCTTGTGAGGTGAGTTCAAGCCTTCCTTACCTCACATTTTCATGCTACCCACTAACATGAACGCTGCACACATGCTGATTGCAGCAGACAGGTTTTGACTTTCTTATGCTTGCAGGTTGTCGCAAGCTGTAAACTGGCACTGTAGACTGAAACATGAACCAGTCTAAGAAGCATGAAGTCAGAGGCTTGACATAAAAGCCCTGTGGGGCAATGAATGTGCAGGTCAGCATGTGCCACACACTTACCCCGTTTTGAAACACGAACCTGTAGATTTTCAAGGCAGAGTGGTCCGTGAAGCACAAGAGAATGTGCCAACTGAAGAGTTATCAAATCAGGTTGACCTCATAAGGATGAGACATTAAGACCTGCGAGGTTTCTATTTATACCAGTCTAGAAATCATGTAAATGTTGGAACATGACAATGAATCATGGGCAATTTACTTTTGCCACAACCATTCACTTATTTATGAGAAAGTAAACAGGAGTTTGCGAGGGGGGAAGAAATCATTTCACTACTCCTTTCATTTCCACTATTACAAGTTTAAATCATTTAATTTATTCAGCTTAAATCATTTAATTAAATCATTTAATATTTTACTCAGAGCACACCCATTGAAATTAATGAACATGGTTAGCTTAGGTCCATTAATCTCAACAGGTCCACTCTGAAACCTAGCTGAATGCTGCCCTTCTTTATCACAATTGCGCTCATTTAATTATTGTTTTGGAGCTAGTTCATTTATTTCCATAAATCCGATGCCACTGATGGGTGACCCAGGTAGGCTTCTGTTGCTTGTAACATTGGTGTTTTCCATCTGAACAGTCTCCTGTTCCTCAAAGGTATCAGAGCTCTGAAATTTCAGACAGACTGAGGAAATGGTACTGGATTTATAGGAAATTTTAAAGTGACAAGAAGAGGAGTTACCAGGTGGTGGGCAGATGGATGTCTGTCTGTAAGCAGCAGCAAAGTACAGTATGGCAGAGCAGAGGAACTGAGTAGCAGACCAAACCTGCTCTACCTGTATATCTGTGAGCGAAAAAAGCCTACATTACAAACATGCTGTTAACCTCAAGGACTCCCTCATCCGAAGGGAGGAACACTGAACTCAACAGTGCTGCAATTGGACCTCCTCAACACTAGGAGAAGTGGGGAGCATGCAACAATCTATAGCTATGGTGTTAAGGGGCATTCTTGTTGCATTTTCATTTCTCACCTTGGAAACTGCTGGCATCCCTCCACCCATCACCATCGTCATCACCACCATAGCCAGCTCTGCCCTGCAACACTTTGACTGGCACTTTCTGACGCAATGCCTTTCCTACTTTAGGATTTTACATTACTTTCTGTTTTTATTTGCAGATTATGCCATCAGGTTTCCTGCATTGGAGAGGTGAGCACACCTGGATTGCACTGAGTGAGCGTCACCCTGGGAAAACCAACCTTCGTGATTATCTCCCTTGCCAGGTAAGTATAGCTATAGCTTTGTTTGCTCGATTATTATTCTGATTATAATTTTTTAAAATTCCATTTTAATCCTATCTTTAGTCCAAGGACTCAAGGTGGCATACATACTTATCCTCCTCCCTATTTTATCCTCACAGGGTTAGGCTGAGAGGCAGTGACTGGCAGTGAGCTTCATGGTTGAGTGAGGTCATAATCCGATACTCTAAGCACTGCACCACACTTGCTCTCGTTTGTAGTAAAAGTAGCAGCAGCAGCAGCAGCTAGTACAGTGGTACCTCTGGTTACATACTTAATTCGTTCCGGAGGTCCGTTCTTAACCTGAAACTGTTCTTAACCTGAGGTACCACTTTAACTAATGGGGCCTCCCACCGCTGCACGATTTCTGTTCTCATCCTGGAGCAAAGTTCTTAACCTGAAGCACTATTTCTCAGTTAGCGGAGTCTGTAACCTGAAGCATATGTAACCCCAGGTACCACTGTACTGGGGGAGAATTCGGTTCGGTTTTACTTAATTCGCACTTCCCGAAGCAATGCATGAACTGAAACACAGCCATCTTCAACATTTGCAGGTCTCCGAATTTTGCGACGCAGTTCTCCAGCCAATTGAAATGCAGCCAAAAAGCATATATTGGGGGGGAAATACACATACAAATGCATGTATTAGTGAAAATAACATCAAATGCATTCTATTATGCAAAACTGCATACCCATATGTATATATTTAAAAAATGCATACTTAAATACTGGTGAGTTTTCATGAAAAAAGCTTAAAAAAAATGTCTCCGAACTGAGGCAGAGTGCTGAGCATGATATTTAAGCGGGAACAGAAGAAGGAACTGGTATGTGAATTCATGTGCCTTCAGAAAGAAAGGCGAAGTCCATGTGATTTCTGGAACAAGAAAAGGCTGCAGTTCTTCGTTTACAGTATTTAGGGCTTCATTTAGGGCTAGATCCTAGGATTATTTATTTATTTCATAATGTGTTGGTATTTTTAGAGCCACGAGTTAATTTTGAGCATTTCAGGGTGGTAGAGATACGTCCCCGCAGGACTGCTTAGCACACACACTGTTCCTGTTTAGCACACATACTGTTCCTGCAGTAGGGACAACCAAGGGAGGCCTGCAACAAAATGTTGCAGCATGGAATACTTCTGTTCAGGGTTCCTTGGAAGCAGAGCTTAGTAAAAGTATGATCCTCGAAGGCATTTAGCCTGTGCCCGTATCTCAGATGGGCTAAATCAATTCTGGCTGCTAGCAACGCAAGGCCCAACTCAGCTTTGAGGTGGGCAGCTGGTGTCCCACAAGGAAAGCCCCAAAATTTGCCTCAAAAAATTATTTTGTAGAACCTCTAGTTCAGATTTGAAGCCAATTCCCCATATCTCAGCCCCGTAGAGCATTTGGGCGATGTTTTTAGAAGCAAATATCTTAATAGCTGGGTTGATTAACTGTCTGCCCTTTGAATGGAAGAACCTATGTAGTTGCCCAGTACAACTGCCAGATATTAGCTTAATTGCTTCCAGATGGGGCTCAATAATAATAATAATAATAATAATAATAATAATAATAATAATAGATCTGCATGCTCTTCATTCTTTTTCCAGTGATGAGAAATTTTGTCATTTCTACCACTATGTACAGATATCTTCTTAGATGTTTCCTTCCTGCTATACTTTGCATGCCTTGACTTGCTTTACAGCTAAGACAACACACCATTGTCTTGCTACTGATAAACTTCAGTGCTGGGTTTTGCATACGGTTTCATTATTTGGCTATGATGGCCTGAAAAGAGAAATAAGAGCTGTTTGCCCTTGGATAAAACTAAGGTCCTTTTCTATCTGTGTGTATGATTCAGACAAATAGAACCAACAGATTACTAAAAAGCTACAGACCAAACACAAGACAGTTGGAGAGGAGTTCCCACGTTCAGTTTCCAAATAAGCCATTTCTTTGTAAAATAATCTAGGAACAAGACCATACAGAAGGGCACCCGCTTGGCAAAAGCTACCCTAGACCACTCCATTCTCCAAAGAATGTGAAGCTGTTGCAATACTTTCTGCCACCCTGAATCATTCTCTTTGTCTTTTACTAGTCAAATTCAGGCTTTTCACACACTGTTATTTCCCCTTCAAGCCCTACATCAGCTGACATGAAAGAGAGAGAGAAGAAAGGGCAAGGAAAGAGGAAGATGAAACATTAGCCAACACTGCCGAACTTCTCTCTCTTTTCTCAACCTCTGTTTTACTGTACTGTACAGAAATATTCAGTGTGTGCTAACAGTTGAGCAAGCCTTGCGGTTTCCTTGCCAGGAGGGCTAGGCGTACATTTATTTACAAACCAGCTAAAGTTCTGGAGCTAACACTTGTAAAGGACTTTCTACAAGTGTGTGATTTGGGCCTCCATCCTTCAAACTGGGATGTCCTAAGGCTATACTTCCTTGTAGCTTTCAGGGACAATTGGATGAAGCTTGGCTGAAGCATGTCTACTTTTGCCACCAGGTCTACTCATGAGACAATTCTTGGGGCACCTTGAGAGAAGGAAGAGGCAAGGAGTCCCAGACCAAAGAGCACAGTAACCATCAGCTCCTGGAGATGGCAGGAGAGAACTGTTGGGACAACCTTCTCCTCACCTTGCCTTGAACTTCTTGAGATGTTTCTGTTACTGACTACAACAAACTGTATGAATGGAAAAGAGCTTGGCAAATGATAGTTGCCATTTTCTCCCATATAATAGGGGTCAAATTAAATGTGATATGTTTCTACAGCTCTGTATTTTTTATTTGCTGAGGAGTAACTGAAGGGCCTACATCTAGATTAGGAGTGTGGTATAGCTTGACCCTAGGAGATACCCAACAGAAGAAGTTAATTTTTTATTAGCATTCATTGGCTAAACTTTCAAAAGGCAACACACTGGCTTCCTACTTCCAGTCTCAAGCCCCCCTCCCTATTTTGTGCTACAACCAGGGCTAACCCTACTGTTAGGAAGGGGCGGGGAATCCATTTTGGCTCAAGGGCCACATTCTTTTCTGGCAACCTTCCAAGAGCCACATGCGAGTGGTGGGTGGGGTCAGAGACCAAAGTGAGGGGAGCAACAAATGTAAATCAGAGTTCAAGGAGGGTGTGAAGCAGGGCTGGTGAGTGATGTGGCCTGGGGGCAGGGCCGGCCCATCCATGAGGCAAATGGAAGCAGCTACCTCAGGCAGCGAAATGCTAGGGGCACCTATCCCAAGGAGTGAAAAACGGCAGAATCTTTAGTTACTGTCCATATATAAAGGTGATTTATATACATCCCAAGGGACGCGGGTGGCACTGTGGGTTAAACCACAGAGCCTAGGACTTGCCGATCAGAAGGTTGGTGGTTCGAATCTACGCAACGGGGTGAGCTCCCGTTGTTCGGTCCCTGCTCCTGCCAACCTAGCAGTTCGAAAGCACACCAGGGCAAGTAGATAAATAGGTACCGCTCCAGCGGGAAGGTAAACAGCTGCTCTCGTTTGCCAGAAGCGTGCTGCTCTGGTTTGCCAGAAGCGACTTAGTCATGCTGTACGCCGGCTCCCTCGGCCAATAAAGCGAGATGAGCGCTGCAACCCCAGAGTTGGCCACGACTGGACCTAATGGTCAGGGGTCCCTTTACCTTATATACATCCCACCTTTTCTCTAACATGCTAACATTTTTTTTAACAAGGCACTCCCTGCCCCACCAAGGTAAAACCCAGAACCATGATTTGTCTGAAGGAGCTTCCAGAAAATAGGACTTGTTGCTACAGGATAGGGATAGCTGGATAGCAGGTACTAATGTGATATGATCACACTCTTCTTTATCGCCTTTAATTTAGCTGGATATCAAGATGTAAAAGTAATTGAGGAGAATAATACACAGGGAAACTTATGTAGGATTATCCAGTGTACATGAACTCCCCTCAGTCATGAATTAACCAGGTGGCCTTAGGTAAGCGATGATGGCCTTCACCTCAGTTCCCCATCTGTAATCTCCAGAGGAAACAGAGCTGGCCTGCATTGCTGAACGGTTGTAATGATTCCTGAGATTATGTGCATGTGCATTATTTTGATCACTCAAGGAAAAAAGTGCTGCACAGATATTATTACCTTCAGAGTCCTCTGCCTGACATGTTGTTAAGAAGCCCATTCATTCCCGAACAAGGCTGTACCCTTCTATTCCATCTTAAATTTGCATATGTAAAACATCTGTGCAGGTATTTGTGCAACACATTTGCCCATGGCCATGAATTCACACAGCTAATCCGCTTCCTGCTCTGAGCTAATGCAAAGTAGATTTAAACAAACTGCCTGAAGTATCACATAAACCTCCAATGGGGCACTTCTATATCACATAAGCATTGTGGCTGAGTGGGAATTTGAACCCTGGTTTCACAAATCCTAGTCTGGCACTCTTAACCACTATGCCATACATTACAATGCAGAAGGTTGTGTGCAATGTTAGTCCTACTCAAGAGTACCCATTGAATTGAATGGACAGGACTGAAACTAGATCCATCAGTCTGCTCTGAGTACAATTGAGTTGGATACAACCTATTGAGTTGAATGTTTTAGGAGTCTATTTTACCCAATGATGCAAACTGATTAATGTGCTCTGTTGTAGTGCCACCTGCTTGATCTTCCTATTGGTTTAAGTGTTATCTTTCAGCTTTCAACCTCAGTAATATTAACAAAAATGCCCCTTCCCATTAAAAAGTCATCTTTTCAAATGTGGTGACTCACAGGGATACATGGGTAATTTTGTCTCTGTGATTTCCTCTGCGATATGACCTCACCCTCACCTTTCAGGTTAAGGGACGAATCTGCATATGGTCAAGAATCCTTAGCAGTTTAAATATCCCAAACTATGCATGTGTATTTTGAGTGAAAATACTAATGTATTAATTTATTTAACGAAATGTATGTGCCCATTGATTGTAAGAAAAACTTTACGTGGTTTACAAAAATAATCCAATTTTTTATTTTATTTTTAGAGCAAGTACGTATTTGAACACATATTTAAATATGCCTTCTGAAGTACCGCAAGCATTTAAATAGTATTTTACAGAAAATATTCATTTAAATATATATTTAAATATATGTATTTAAATAGATATTTAAATGCATATCTTTAGAGGAGACTTGCTTTAAATGTCGTAGATTAATGGGGAAAGGGATCGGAATTGAATTAATGGAGTTTTAAAGCTTGTCAAAAGTTTGTCAAAAATGTTTCCCAATAGCAAAGTTTGTCAAAAATGTTTCCCAATACTCTTTCCCTGCCCTGACTGAAATAAATAAATAAATTAATAAATAAATAAATGAAAAAAGAGCTCGGAGATCCCAGCAGCAGAGTGCAAAAGACATCAGTGCACACTCTCCTTTCACCTATAGAAAGCCTCACGTTTCAAAGTGCAATTTCATCCTGAAAATTGCATGCATACGATTGCAAAATGCATGAGCACTTTTTGCATATTTGTAAGGAACTCAAGACTACCTCTCTGCTGAAACGCTTTCCCTCCTGCTTTGATCTTCTTGTGAAGCAAGGCTTAAAAACTTGCGGAGGAAGATGTCTAAACTGCACACACTTGTAGAATATCAAACCTCTTAATTGCTCCCTGCTGCGCAGCTGATAGGCAGGAGGGGGCTCTGAGAACCTGATGAAACCCAACTGCAGGCTGCAAACAACCTGGAAACAGGGGCTTCGCCACACTTGAGATAGCCCTGGCTGTTCTTATCTGATGCTGTTTCACTGTAAAAGCAGGATTGCTGCTGAAGTTCAAAGGCCAGTAGAGATCAAATACAACGATTTTGGCAAGAAAGTCCTTATCAATTAAAAAAAGAAAAAGTATTTCCCTACTTCTCAAAGCTGGCTATTCTTGTGGATGGGTGAAGAACATAAACTGCAATTTGATTCCATAAAAGAGATGTTCATGCATCTCCTACCTAATGTCCACAGGTGTACACACACCATAAGTTTAAAGCACATTTCTAGGACACTGGGAAGAAACATGGGAACTGTAGTTCACCACTCGCAGAACTATAATGCTCAGCATTCTTCACCAACTACAGTGTCCAGGGTTTGGAGGGAGGGGCTGGGAATGCGCTTTGAATGTATGGTGCGTAAGCAGGCCACTTCGGCCATGAGCAAGATGCCTGCCCATGTTGCAATCCTTCCTACAATATGCTGGTTCAATGGTTGGCCGTTGGCGGTTCTCTATAATGCTCTGCTAAGCACAGACTTAGTGGGATGTGGGTGGCGCTGTGGATTAAACCTCAGAGCCTAGGACTTGCTGATCAGAAGGTCGGCGGTTCGAATCCCCGTGACGGGGTGAGCTCCTGTTGTTTGGTCCCAGCTCCTTGCCAACCTAGCAGTTCGAAAGCACGTCAAAGTGCAAGTAGATAAATAGGTACTGCTCCGGCAGGAAGGTAGACGGCGTTTCCGTGCGCTGCTCTGGTTCGCCAGAAGCGGCTTAGTCATGCTGGCCATATGACCTGGAAGCTGTACGCCGGCTCCCTTGGCCAATAAAGCGAGATGAGCACCGCAACCCCTGAGTTGGTCACGACTGGACCTAATGGTCAGGGGTCCCTTTACCTTTACCTTTAAGCACAGACTATGGTGGACACTGATAAGAGTCTCTCTCACACACTCAAGGACACACACACACACACACACACACACACACACACACAGAGGGAATCACTGCATGAAGTCACTGCATGAAGTTACATCACTCTTTCTCAACTCCCAGAGTTAGGTGGGAGAGGTGCAGAGCTGATTAGGATCTTCAGGGGAAGGTCTGAAGACCGCAGGTCCACAGACAATTTCTCAATCCAGTCAAAGCCTCAGCCCCAGAAAAGAACAATGCGTACATAAAACAGTACCGTACTGGAGCTGGCTTTTATCTTATATTTACATTTGGTCTCATCATACAAAAAGATGGGCTGATTAATCATTTTATCTGCAAACCCCTTATGTCTGCTCTGTCAAGGGAAATCACATAAAAACTATGCAGAGAAGTAATGCAAATGTTAGTCACGCCACTTTGCCACCAATTTTAATTGATATTCTTCAGTAACATATCATGTTTCTAAGAATTATACTTAGATCCCATCTTTCCTCCATGGATATCAAAGGGTTGTAAAGTGGTACCTGGGGTTACAGACGCTTCAGGTTATAGACACTTCAGGTTACAGACTCCGCTAACCCAGAAATAGTACCTCAGTTAAGAACTTTGCTTCAGGATGAGAACAGAAATTGCTTGGCAGCGGCGCGGCAACAGCGGGAGGCCCCATTAGCTAAAGTGGTATCTCAGGTTAAGAACAGTTTCAGGTTAAGAACGGACCTCCGAAACAAATTAAGTTCTTAACCTGAGGTACCACTGTAAGTTGTTTCTCCTCCACCCCCTAGAATTCAGGGGTGCCCAAACTTTTTCCAAAGAGGGCAAGATTTGATGAAGTGAACATGTGTGAGGGCTGACCAAAGTTGTTGTGATTTTACCCTAGGGTATATACTGCCACGGGGCCCGAATTAAATCGATGGGGGGGCGGGTGGAACCAGACTTTGGACATGCCTGCTCTAGATCATTTACCTCAGCACCAACCCTGGGAGGTGGGTTAGGCTGGAAGAGAGATCCTAGTCCACAATCACCCATACCCTCCAACATTCCTCAGGTGAAAATAGGGACATTTCTCACTCCCCCGCAACTGACCCTCCTCGACCTCCCAGTTTTGTCATCCCAACCCCTGCAGAGAGTTTCCTTCACCACTACACCAGCATACACACCTTCCACCAGCCTGAGAAAATCTCTTAATCCCAATTTTATTTTATTTTATTATTTGGTAGATTTATTTATTTGGTAGGTTACATACGCTTCAGGTTATATATGCTTCAGGTTACAGACTCCGCTAACCCAGAAATTTTACCTCGGGTTAAGAACTTTGCTTCAGGATGAGAACAGAAATCATGCTCCGGCGGCAGCAGCAGGAGGCCCCATTAGCTAAAGTGGTGCTTCAGGTTAAGAACAGTTTCAGGTTAAGTACGGACCTCCGGAACGAATTAAGTACTTAACCTGAGGTACCACTGTAAGTTCATTTTAGAAAGGGGCAAGATTAGATGCAGATGCACAAAGCATTTATTTTTTTTAAAAAATCTAGACTTCTTGTACTTTGCTCTGCTCCCTCTTTCTTCCCACCCAGACCCTGTCCTCTCCCTGCACCTCGGGGCCAGTGCATCATATGAGGCCTTGGCAACCATAGCCTCTCCTCCTTCTTGCCTGCTCTCCAGCAGCTGCTATGAGATGCCCAAGGGAGGAGGCTTACAGCGGCAGCCATGGGGAGGCCAAGGAGAGGCAACAGGGTGCTTCCTCGCAGCTGCCACTGCTCAGGACATCTTCTGCCCTGAGCTCAGCAGCGGCAGCGCTGGTGGAGGAAATAGGGACATTCCAGGATCAAATCAGAAGCTGGGAAGGCTCTTGTAATTCCGAGACTGGCCTTGGAAAATAGGGACACTTGGATGGTATGGATTGCCCCATGAGCTTCATGGTTAGGTAGGAATTTGAGCTCCATACTCCTAGCCCAACACTAACCCATGGGTAGCCTACATGGTGTCTTGCAGATGTTGTAGACTTTATCTCCCATCGTCCCTGACCATTGGCCATCCTGACTGGGGCTGATGGGAGTTCCAGTCCAGGACATCTGCAGGGCACATTTACCGCCCCTCCTCCAACCACAACACAACTCAGTTTTATCTACAACTTGTGATCTATGGAGACGAGTGCAGCCCACCAGCTACGTATGCATGGTGGACCACCAGGCTCTTGAGAAATGCATTTGTGCAGCCTGTCTCAAATTGCACAAAGAAAAGAAAAGGCATTGTCACGGGAACATAGGAAACTGCCATGCAGCAGCTCTGACCATTGGTCCACTTAGTTCAGTATTTCTACTCTGAACGGCGGCAGCTCTCCAGGGTTTCAGACAGCAGTCTCTGCCCACCATGCCTATAGATGCTGGACACTGTACCTGGAACCTTTTGAATGAAAAACATGCACTCTGCCACTGGGCCATGGACCTTCTGCAGGTGAGGCACCAGGTTGTGGCTGATGGACAGCATTTGGCTCAGAAGATCACAAGCTGCGTGTAGCCTGATCGGCTGGTCTTGCTGAAAGAGTTTCTTAGAATGCTACACAGCTCTCCTTTCAAAGATATGAAATGAAAATGCATGCATCAGCCACTCATGACCGCTGCTGCAAAACAGTCTTACAGCTGTCTTATCACTTTAGTTTTTAATAACTATTTCAGTGAAACCGATGAAAATTAGAAAAGTCTGCACTTACCATGACAACAAAGTTCTTTGTGGGATCACAAGCCTGCTGAAGAACGTAGTGTTAGAAGAGGAAATTTTTCTTTGTCCTTTTGCCTGGAACGGTTAACACTTTGAAAATAGGAAGTGGGCTTGTTTTTTTCTTCTCTAATCCAGCCTTCGTAGGAAAAACCAAACAAGTGCAATCCTTAGTTTGCATATTTTGATCCAGCAACTAGCACGGCTTGTAGCAGTAACCTGAAAATGCCCTGTAGTGCTGGAGGGGCAAAGGAACTGGGAATTAAACAAACAAACAAATAATAGTAATTATTTTGTTTTATTTGTACCCTGTCCATCTGACTGGGTTGCCCCAGCCACTCTGGGTGGGAGAATACACGAATAACTAGAAAATCTCTAGCACTATATGAATGTACATGTTTCCCGTTTGTTTGGGGGTTTTTTTGTCTTGCTTTTCTAGGAGTTGCAACAGGATAGTTGATTTACCATATTTTTCTGTGTACTGTATAAGACGACCCCTATTTTGAGGGACTCCAAAAACAGGGGGGAGATGGCCTAGAGTTGTTAAGCTTTTTTGGGGGGGCGGGGTTGACCGGAGTTGTTGAGCTTTTGGGGGGAATTGCTGAAAATCATCTGCCCACTCGCCACCAGCAGCTATCAATCACCAGCCCAACAGAGCAACTAATGAAGCAGAATGGCATTTGTGATTGCTCTCAGTTTCTCATTTTTCCAGGCTTACTGTAAGCTTGGTTCTCCACATTTCCACATCAATTTGCATTTATTTGTTTTTTTTAAAAAATCTTATGAAAATTCATTCATATTTTAATGTGCATTTCTCCTAATATACACATTTGTCTTTGCCTAATACAGTGGTACCTCGTGTTACGTACCACCCCCTTTACGAATGCTTCAGGTTACTTGCTCCGCTAACCCGGAAGTAGATGCCCCTTGTTGCGAACTTTGCCCCGGGATGCGAGCGGAAGTCATGCTCCGGCAGCAGCAGGAGGTGCCATTAGTGAAAGTGCGCCTCATGTTATGAGTGGTTTCCGGTTACGAACGGACCTCCAGAATGGATTAAGTACGTAACACGAGGTACCACTGTATATACTTTTCTGCAAAGCAATTTCCTATAGCATAAGGCATCCTTTATGTTATTTTCACTAATTATGCACACCAGTATATGCATTTTTGCACATATTATTTGCACTGCAAAATTTGGAGAAGTGAAAATTTCGCATATTGTTTTGAAAAGTGGGAATCAGGTCAGTTTGCACTTAAATGTGAACTGACTCATTCCCCACCCCCACTCCCCATCCCTTGTAAATGGTCCAGTATAAATTTACCATTAAGGTATGATTATTTGTCGAGACATGCTACAGAGAACATCCACACACCCAAAAACACCTTTACAACACCTTTGGAGGATCCCAAAGACGTTTCTCTGCAAGAGCCCACTGGAATAAAAAAGGAGCAAGAGAACTCCCTTTAGGCCAGATATCGCAAGATAGTGATATTTCTTTTGGAGGTTTTTCTTTCCTAGAAAAGCAGTCCCAGAATGCTTCCCCCCCAAAGTTATTTCCAGCTTCAGTAGCATTTTGCTGTGTGGCACTGAAGGAAGGAGCAGGTATTGTTTGAAAAACACACATCCAAGCAACATCCCCTCTCCCTGCAAAGCTTACCGTGATTTGGATTTCACTTCATATTTAGTCAAGATCTCTGGACTTCAAAGTGGAAATGCATCATATTTTGCATTCATTTTGGGGACTTCTAGGTGAGGTAAATCACGGCCCAACAGTTTGATTTGTATGCGTGCGGGTAAATACTGCAGATTTATCAGACAGCTACAGAAGCGGGTCTATGTAATGAGCCAGAGTCTGAATTCTGAGAGGAAAGCAGCAGCTGCTATTTTAGTTTAATATCAAAGGGAAAAGTTTTAGAAAGAAACATAACCACCTGAGTTTGCAAGCAATTCCAGGAAGAACTGGTTGCTGAGTGACTGAGAAGTTTTTGGTATGCTGGTTCGTTTTAAGATGAACAGATAAAGGTAAAAAAATAATAATGCCCTAGATTCTCAAAGATCATCTATTTGAGGCGTCTTCTGTTGTGGAAGTGGGGAACTTTGGGCCCTTCCGTTGTTGCTGAACTACAACCCACATCAGCCCTGGCAAGTCTGCCCGATTGCCAGGGATGATGGGAGTTGTAGTCCAGCAACATCTGGAGGGCCAGGGGTTTTGTTTGTTTGTTTTGCTGAACAGTCCGTCCCCTTTCTGGGACTGGCCGCAGATGAGGTTAAGGCAAAATGGAAAGAGGATTGTAACTCAGCCAGTCCCATGCAAAAGGAAGGTCATATCTGCCTGCTGTCCATAGCTGTCAACTTACAGATTTGAAAATAAGGGACCAGGAGCCTCGAAAATAAGGGATCAGCAGCCAAAATAAGGGATCAACAATTACTTTGATAAAATACATATTTTGTTGCGTGCAAATGGCTTTAGATACCTATTAGGTCCTATAAATTACCATATAGCATATATCCAACACAAAAAAGCAACAATTTGTTGTTGACAAAGGACAGCTGGACATATAAAGAGCCACATTACCTTCAGTAGCTTATTTAAGGGACATCATCAATAAGGGACAGCAGCAGGACATGGCCCTGGGATAAGGGACTGTCCCACCAAATAAGGGACGCTTGACAGCTATGCTGCTGTCCTGTCTGAATCTTCCATTTTGGTCAGGAAGATGGATAACTGACAAAGCAGGGAGGAAAACACTTGCTGGGAACTGAACACACCCCGGAGCTCCTGCAAAGCTAATCTTGGGAGTAGGTGCTTTCTCCAACTGTTTGACACACACCTTGTAACAAAAGGGGCTTTCACTCCCATCTCTTCCCTGCAAGGTAAAGAGGCTGGGAGCCCCACACTTCCTCAATTAACAGACTTCATTAACAGACTTCCATCACCTCCCATTTAATTCCCTTGCTCCCCATCTGCTAGATGGCTAAGATGCATGGGCAGGCAAACTAAGGTCTGGGGGCCGGATCCAGCCCAATTGCCTTCTAAATCCAGACCATGTTTTTACATGAGTAGAATGTGTCCTTTTATTTCAAATGCATCTCTGGATTATTTGTGGGGCATAGGAATTGGTTCATATTCCCCCCCCCAAAAAAAATATAGTCCGGCCCCCCACAAGGTTTGAGGGACAAGGGACCAGCCCCCTGCTGAAAAAGTTTGCTGACCCTTGGCTAAGAGCTTCAGATATTAAACTGAGGGTCAGGGCATACTATTACCAAGCCCTCTGGTCTTGCTAGCAAAGGGACCAAAATCTGAATTTCCCGCTTACTTCCCCTTTAAGCTTGGGGCATGCAGAAGTGGTTATCCTTCCTTAGCAAAATACAGAGCCACCTTCAGAGTTTCTACTTCAAGACTTCTATTGGAGGGATTCAAGACAGAGGAAGTAAAAGAAACAAGAGGTTGCATTAAGATAAAAATAAAGTCTTAAGTCCATAGTATCCAATTAGTCCATAGTATCCTGATGGAGGAATGGGTGGATCTGTTAATTTTGGTTTCTCCCAGCTTCCCACCCTAACCTTAAGTTAGTTCTCTCTCTCTCTCTCTCTCTCTCTCTCTCTCTCTCTCTCTCTGTGTGTGTGTGTGTGTGTTTTAAGGGATCATGAAAGTTTATAAGCATTTTGCTGAACCAGAGCTTCTTGTTGAAGGCAACTCCCCTTTCTCCTCCCTCTTCCTCCCCAGACCACAAATGCATCTCAGATACCTTCCCTGGTGTGTGTTGTTCTTTCTACAAGCTTCTGCTTTCCCAATTTAGCTGTTCTAACATCTCCCCAGCCCCATTTTTCCAGTGGGTTCTTACTAAGCTATGGGTTAGAAGATCTAGGAAGAGGGGATGCAAATCAGTTTTATTTCCAGGGCTTGACACACTTTCATAAGTCTCATTTATTCATTACTCTACACTTTAAAAAATGCGCACAAATCTTTGCTCTCAAAAATATGCAGTTCTTAGATGCATTTCTAGATGCACACAGACTTTAAATGTATTCTGGTGTTTCTTTTGAGCCGAAGACTGGTGTCAAAACATTCAGAAAGTGTGACAGCTTAAGTCCAGACGCACATGTTAGTCTGGGAGGTTTGGATCAGATCATTTCTTATCAGAATTCACAAGATCACATTCCTCAAGTGTTCCCCCCTCTCTCTCTCTTTGACACCTGCCATGAGTGCACTATGGAGCAAAAATCTCACAATGCATTGCACAAAGTTTAACACTATGCACATTGCTGTGATGTATTTATTTATTGCCTGAAGGTTCTATGGGGGAAAAGCTGGGGTAGCATCTTTCCACTGAGGAATGTGTGGTGACTCTGAAAGCTGGGGAAAGCTTATCTTATGGACAGGGTCTATGTTCCTTAAGCAATTGCTAGTCCTAGGGCAGGAAAAGATCTGCAACATATATATAATTAACACAGCTTTGCAGATAACACATTTTTCCAGGGCAGGTGGGATTGCCAAAGTCTTTTTTTTTCTGGGTGCATGTTCCCCCCTTTCCACACGCTCTTTTTTTTGGCCAAGTGTGTAAATCTGAATGTGCAGAAGTTAAATGTGTTACTAGTTACATGTAATCGAATCAAATTAAATAAAGAGAGTTAATTTTTTTAGTGCCAGCCCCCTGTTTTTGGAGCACTGTTCCCACAGAATGGCACCTGATTTGACAAATCTCTTTGCCAAACAAATACATTTTCATTTATCCTGGCATTTGGACATGAATGCTATTTTGAAGCAATTTTGATTGTATCTGGTGGCTCGTGTTGCAAATGGAAAAGATGTTTTTAAAAACCAGTAATAGATTACTTCGGATAAACCCCGTTAATGTTTGTTAACAGTTCTTAAGAAAGTATACATGCAAACAAGTGTTATTTCTGAATTCTTCAAATAAATATTACAAAGAACAAACAGCTAAACACGGGAGGATAATAAAATCTCTGATATCCAGTTTGATGTCCAAAACCTGCTCCTGAATACTTTAAGCTTAGGTTGTAGATAACGTCGTATTTGGCGGAAACCGAACTGCAGCAGAAAGGAAGCAGCACTCATTGTGATGAATACATATCACAATGAAAATCGCTGCCATCTTACATCCCTTCTCACTATAAGGCAGCTGCCTATGTTTGCATTTGTGCACCATCTGTAAAAATTTGCAAATCAAGCAGATTTTAAAAAAAATCCTTAAGTCTTCTGTAGTGTTCTCTTTTCCAATGGAAGCCATATTTGCCTAGCACCACCTCTGGAACTCTGGAGAGTTGGAAGCCGGCAACAAAACAAACAAAACCCTGTCAATGTTGTGTTTTTTTTATAGGCTGCCAACTTTTAATTTAAATTCTAAGTCATTCAACACACTGACTCGTCCTAAGAGACCCACACCCTCACAAGTGTATTTGAAAAACAAAGTGCTACTTTGTTAAGAGAAAGAAGATGCCAGATTTTTAATTCCAGCTGGACAGTAATTCTGGTCACTATGGCTTTTTTAAGGAAACAAAAGCCAAATAAAATAAGAAAGACATTCAACAAGCATGTCACTGAGTGTGACTCATGTCCACCGTTTGATGTAGATGATGTTACAGTTCTCTTACAGAATGGGTTGCTTCCCCACCCTGCTTCCCCCTCCCCAGTTTGCCCAATGTCAGCATTGTTCAGCTCAGTTGAACAAATCACAAACCCATTACTGTTAAATAACTTTGCAAATTTCAGTGGGATTTTTCAGGAACTTCATTGGTGGGAATGGTGTTTTAATGAGCTGCCGTCTGTATGGCACCAGGAAGTGGGCAGAAAACATCTTCCATGCTGGCAAAATGCCTGCCTAAACTTAGTGATGGGAAAAAGCACAGAAGTTGGATAAAAACGAAGCAGTTGAAAGTTGGCTTTTGCTATGTTAAAGCAGGGATAGTTAAGCTGTTGCCCTTCAAGAGGTTGCTGGACTCCAGCTCCCATCACCTGCAGTCAAGGATGATGGGAGTTGTAGTCCATCAACATAGGAAGAGCCACAGGTTCTCCATTCCTCCCTGACCTAAAACTTCTCTCCCAAACATTCTCCATTGCAATTTCTCAGGCAGGCTGAGAGGTTCTTTCCCTGTTCGTAGATTCTTATTTCCTCTTCCTCCCAACAACGAACTATTTCAAAGGCCCAACTAGATAGCATCTTATATACCAATAGCAAGTTTGTTCTTTGAGTGCCTGTCCTTATACGGCAAAAAAGGCACTGCTCACACAAGAGAGGGAGGCAACAGGAGGGTTGAAAGAACCCCAAAGTTTGCAGAAGTTTGAGGAAGAAAACACTTCTCTTGCTGGCACACTTGGTTGGCACATGAGGTAGGACTTCTCTACTGCAGCACTCAAGTTATAGGACTCCCTCTCTACAGAGCAGGAGTGGGGAACTTCAGGACCGGGAATGCAATGTAGCCCCTCCAGAATGCTCAGTCCTGCCCATGGAACTCTCCTTAGGCCACACCCTGCTTTGTACCCCAACATTTTTGCCTTGCTGGAATGTGTCCTTGCACTCTGGTAATGTCTCTTGCTTGGGCTGATGGAGGATAGAAAGGGCTGTGTGAGAGAGCACTAAAAAGGTAAAACTGGCATTTATTGCTGCACTCGTTTTTGCTTCTGACACTCTCACCACTAGTATGTGGCCCTCAAAAGGTGTCCAGGAAAGGAATGTGGCTCTCAATCTGGAAAAGCTTCCCTACCCCTACTAAAGAGGTTTGTCAGGCTTCCCTCCTTTTAAACGAGCTGTTCAAACTTCCACCTAGTATTTAGTCAGCAAAAAAGAATAATAATAATAACAATTAAATCCATTGTCGCTCCTTGGTAATTATGCTTCGCTGTTTTATTTTGTTCTCAGTTTTATTGTATTTTCATTGGTTTCTGTTTCATTACTTTTGTGCTTGGATGTGAGCTGTTTGAGGGGTCCTTTGGGGCCCAAAAAGCAGAATATAAATGATTTTACAAATCTATCAAGCCCTGCACTGAGCAACTTGGAGAAAGGGTGGCACACAAATTTAATACAAAAGTGTCAGCAATAAATAATACAAATGTATTGTGCTGAGCCAGTCATCAGCTGAAATTTATTTTCAACTCTTTAAAAAAAAAGAAAGAAAGGAAAGGAAAACAAATTAACACCAGGTTCCAAGATTTCCTGGCTTATCTTTCAAATCTCTTTGGCAGCTTGAACTTTGCTGTGGAGATCCAAGGGTCATTCCAGTTGTGTCGTGTTCCTATCAAACACCTGTGAAAAGACACACAGTCAGCTAGATCAACTAACCGGAGAATCTTCAGTGCAGGAGCGGCCAATATAATGCGCAGAGTTTGCAATGCCAAAGCAGGCTGGCGGCTTCCAGATAACTTGAGATTGACACCATAGTCAAAATTCTGTACATGTAAGTTGCTGCAAAGGTCACATCCACTCCACACATTTAAAACACCTTCAGTGCACGTTTAAAACACCTGGCTTTCCCCAAAGAACCCCGGGAACTGTAGCTTGGTATGGGTGCTGGGAATTACGGCTCCACAAAGGGAAATCTACAGTTTCCAGAATTTTTGGGAAACCATGTGTTTTGAATGTGCTTTAAATGTACGGTTTCGATGCAACCTATGTAGTCAGTGGGCAAAACTTGTAAGGGCTCTTCATGTGCAGAGTGGATGGCTCCACCAGGGGATGCTGTTGGCTGCCATCCCTCTCTCCTGCATGTGGTATTTTATTTTTAAAAGCCTACATTGTATGATATCAGGTAAGGGGCAAGTGGCTTGGCTGAAATGGCTTTCAGAGCCAAATGGGAAGGCCTGGGAGGTTTCGCTAGAGGCAGGTTTAGGGCAGTGGTACCAGTTTCTCCGCAGGGACGTGGCGCTGTGGGTTAAACCACAGAGCCTAGGACTTGCTGATAAGAAGGTCAGCGGTTCGAATCCCCGCGACGGGGTGAGCTCCTGCCAACCTAGCAGTTCGAAAGCACGTCAAAGTGCAAGTAGATAAATGGGTACCGCTCTGGCGGGAAGGTAAACAGTGTTTCTGTGCGCTGCTCTGGTTCGCCAGAAGCGGCTTAGTCATGCTGGCCACATGACCTGGAAGCTGTACGCCGGCTCCCTTGGCCAATAAAGCGAGATGAGCACCACAACCCCAGAGTCGGTCACGACTGGACCTAATGGTCGGGGTCCCTTTACCTTTTACCAGTTTCTCCACACTGGGTGCAGAGCTTGGCCTTGCATGGAACTCTGCTGAAATGTGAAAGACCCAAGTCTGCCTCTGGCTTCATGAGAGAGGCCTATGGGCTCAAGGTACCCCACTAATGACCTAGAATGTAATTTGCGGTCACCCTGTAATAACCACAATAAAAATGCACCATTGTGCTTGCCCAGTGGAACAATCTTACCTCTCCTCTTGCGTACTGATCTGGGGGATTTTCCTGCCCCACCCAAGTTGGACTTCTATTTATTACACCCACTGAGTAACTACAAACCTGCTTTGCGTCTTCTACACCATTATTTAATGTCAGCAGCACAGTAGCCCAATTCCGAGTCAGCTCCTGCGCAGTCCTTGCCCCCATGAGCCTCAGGATTATTACACTGCCTTCTCCGAGTGCGTTCTCCTTGCACACAAGCCGACCAGGTAGACCAGCAGCTCCAGCCACCATCGGTGCCAGTTGCGACTGAATTAAAGATTGGAGTGGAAAATATTTTGAGTCTTAACATCAAAACAAAAAACAAACAAACTTGCACTGCAGTTACTTCGATATTGAAGTAACTGCCTTCGTGTCTGTAAGCCCAAATGGTCATCCAGGGTGCAATTTGGGATAGGGGTGTTTCTTAGGTGGATAAGGGATCTCTGCTTCCACAGAACAGCTACAAAGGTTGTCGTTTTAAGTGAAGATCTGGGCAGGAGAGGAATGCTTAACCCTTCCCACCACTTGTTCCTTTCCCTCACAACTCCTCCCCCAGGGCGCTTTTCTACCTGACACAATAGCCAATGCCTCTGGAACCCCAACTTCTCTGCTATAATAATAATAATATTTTATTCATACCCTGCCCTTCCCGGTTCAAAAACCGGGCTCAGGGCAGCTAACAACAAATTTAAAACACTTAATTGTAAAAGCAGAATAAAATAGTTTAAAACCATGAATAACAATAAAATTCAGAAATCAATTTAGGGGAAATAAATAAATACGCATTAGATAATCCCCAGGGCTAGCTGGCTGAATTGGTCCTACTTGGGCCAGCGAGGAGGCCAGGGGAGAATTACCTGTGGGGTCTCAGAGCGGCTAATCTTCATAAAAGCGGAGGGGGAGGGAAGAGAAGGAAATAAAAGATCAGGCCCGATGGAAGAAGGTTAAATCCTGAAGGGCCCTAGTCTCATGGGACAGAGGATGGGACAGGTCGGAGGATAGTCTGACTTCCTTAGGGCCCGGGACCTCTAAACTATGGTTATTCATGGACCTTAAGGTCCTTTGTGGGGCATACCAGGAGAGGTGGTCCCGTAAATACGAGGGCCCTAAGCCTTGTGTCCTAACCCTGCTGCTTTCCACCAGTTTGGTAGAGTTTCTTGGTTCCAGGTTTAGAGATGTGAAGGCCCAGAGAATATCTTGGTGAAAACTATATTCTTCATAACACCTGCTTTTCTATGCAAAGGGGTTTTTTGCAGGTGTAGTAAACTATGCAATTCCACTACCCCACATCTTCAGTGGCATCGTCCAGGAACAATTCCATCACTGTTTGTATGAGCAGAGCCCTAGTGCAGGGTTAGGTGGGATAATGGCTTTATCTTCGCAGCTCACTTGTCCTGAATAGAATATGGAAATGAACCCTCAATTCTTGATCTATTGCTGACCTGGTGAAAAAAACGCTGAGGGTATCTGGCAGGCTTCTCCCTTGAAGTAAGGGGTGCATCCGCATTCACACCTTCCGTTCAACAGCATGACAGTGCCACCATTTTGACAGGGCTGGCATTTGCAAACACTATATTCAGCAACGTAGTCCTCCACAGCTCGGTCGAGATTCTGCCTCTTTACGGTGGAGTTGGGTATTGTCACCGGTATGAGAGTAGAAATTGGGTACGGCTGCAAAGAAATGCAAATACCTTAATCCAACTTGTTACAGCAGCGGTATTCTTTGGGCAAGCATGATCAAAGCTTCCCTGACATTTGTGATAGCCTCCTCTTAGCTACTCTGAGTTCTCTACCATGTGAGGAAAGGGTGTTCTCAGGTAAAACAGAGTCTTGGACAGCAAAGTCCAATTCCTTCACAATATCTTAGCACGGAAAGCACCTAAAATTCCTCAGCTCTTATTTGCAGGTAAAAATTGTGCTTACCTTGGAAACATAACACATGCCTATTCACTTGCCATGGTTCAGCAATAAATAAAGGTCATACATTTTAATGTATTTTTAATCTTTGTTGGAAGCCGCCCAGAGTGGCTGGGGAAACCCAGCCAGATGGGTGGGGTACAAATAATAAATTATTATTATTATTATTATTGTTATTATTATTATTTCCACCTTCTACCTGCCTTGCCCCACCCTCTGGCCCTGGGTCTCCTCATAAGGAAGCTGTGCCTGGCGGAAGAACTGTGAGGGGAGAGACTCCATCAGGCAAGGCCTCCTTCCACCTGCCTTGCTCCACCCTCCAGTCTCCGCTTCTCATTTTGTATTGTATTATGTTGTGCACTGTGGTTTGCTGTTGTTTTATTGATTGAAGTTTAGAAATTACTTATTGTAACTGTTGAGTGGATTTCTGTTTAATTTTGAAATGCTGATATTTAATATTATTCTATATTGTTTTAATGAATGTTGAATGTTATTTTATTTGCATATTGTATATTGTATTATGCATATTGTCTTATTTATATGATGTTAGCTGCTCTGAGCCTGGCTTTGACTGGGGAGAGCGGGATACAAACAAAATTTATTATCATTATTATTATTATTTCAAGGGGGCAGCATTTACAGCAGGGGTGACTGATATTTTGGCCTAAGGACCTTAGTCGCTCTCGGCCAACCGTCTGAAGATGTGCATGCCAGTGGTGCTTGTGGTCGAAAGCAGATGTTGCCACACACACACTCTTAAATGTGCACCCAGCACATTGCACACAAACCAAGGCACTTGGTCACCAACTGCAGCAGATCCAAGCTGAGGAGGAATGGCATTTATTACCCCTCCCTGCTCATAAAATAATAGATCTGAGGAGAAGGGAAGGGCAATGTGCATCCTCACCAGGGATGAGCCATGTCTGCTCTCCCACGTACCAATATGCGCATCGGTTTAGGAAGAAAACCCTCTTACTTCGTATTGTATCACTGTGGGAGCATCAGGGAGCGTCGCTGCCCACTGGACATAGTCTTCCACATCAACGACGCTGTGACCTCGCGACAGCTTTTCCTTCAGCCTAACCAGAACTTCAGTCTTCCCTCCATGAACGAGAGATATCACATTGTGGATAATTCCGCTCTTAGTGGTGTTGTCCTCTGCAGAGGAAAGAAACAGGACAAGGATGGACCAAGGTCCCTCGGGATGTTGTCTCACCATCATTCTGACTTTCTTATGCAGACAAACACCTGCAAAGGCCCAGAACAACAAACAAATCCCCCCCTTTTTGCCAAATTCATGACAACATATGTACTGTGGGACACTCAAAATCTGTGCTACTGTGCAATCTCCTTTTTAAAATGTCTTTTTTTTAAAAAAAAAGTATTTGATTAAAATTCCACAAATTTCACATTAAAAATTTTTATTAGGCTTTATTGACTTCCCATCCCATTTTCCATGGTGTTTTTTTTTTAATTCCACCCCTTTGCTTCGCCCTTTCTTCCCTCTTTTATATCATAACCATAATGCAATAAATAGTTCAAATCCTGCTCGTGAATTCATCATATTATAATATTTCTTTAATAATCCAAAAAAAGGCTTCCATTGTTCCATAAAACAGTCATTGCTAAGTTCTCTTATTTCAGCTGTTAAATTTGCTGATTCAGCATAGTCCATCACTTTACTTACTCATCTTTCAAATTTCTTTTGGAATGGATGATGTAAAGATAAATGAGTTCTGAAAGTGCACCTCCTTGCCACAGGGCCACCTTTGCAACAGGGGCACATTTGCCATCGCCAATGCCAGCTTGGACATGAAATTTTCAGAAGTGGGTGTGCCCAAATATATAGTCCCCTTTTTGTGTATTTTGAACATAAATCTTTAAATATATATATATATTTACCATTTCTAATCTTGTCACTTTTGCAGTCATTCCCTTTGTTGGTAGGCTTGACTTCTAATGTGCCAGCTGTTAAACCAAAATCTGTATTGTAACCCAGGCAAGCTTTTACGTCTTCGACGGTGACTCCTGCAAACAGAGTTAAAAACAGACATTCAATAAAAGATGGAAGGAGGGAAAGGCTCATTAACAAATTTCCTGAACCATGAAATTATATTCAGAAAGGCAATCAAGTTCTACCCATAAGAAAAAGCAGCAAAGACTTTTTAGTTTTCATTTATGGGTGATATCCAGTCATGTCATAATGACTAAAGGTAAAGGTAAAGGGACTCCTGACCATTAGGTCCAGTCATGGCCGACTCTGGGGTTGCAGTGCTCATCTCACTTTATTGGCCGAGGGAGCCGGTGTACAGCTTCCAGGTCATGGGGCCAGCATGACTAAGCCGCTTCTGGCGAACCAGAGCAGCACACGGAAACGCCGTTTACCTTCCCGCCGGAGCGGTACCTATTTATCAACTTGCACTTTGACGTGCTTTCGAACTGCTAGGTTGGCAGGAGCTGGGGTAGAGCAACGGGAGCTCACCCCATCACGGGGATTTGAACCGCCAGCCTTCTGATTGGCAAGTCCTAGGCTCTGTGGTTTAACCCACAGTGCCACCCGCGTCCCTGTCATAATGACTAATGCCACATTTTTTATGCTTTTCTCGTCTCCTGTCTTTATATTACATTAGTCACAATTTTGCAATTGAGGACTAGTCTAATATAAGAGTACGCATCACAGCTCTTGTGATGGAAATTCCAGCTGTGCTAATACATCAAAGGCAACACCAGCTGATTGGTTTGCTAGTTTCTCTACAAGCAGTGACTTTGCTTTAGGCTGCACAAACAGACCAAATAATCACTTATTGGTTTTGGATTGTTCCTTTTGTGATAGTTTATTGCCATAGATATTGGTTATGTAAAAGTATGTTTGCTAGTTTGGTTTTTTTGTCCATAGTTCAGTATTATTATCAGATAGGGTAGCACCCAGCCTGAATTGGATTGGAGTATAGCCTCTGAAATTAATGAAACAGTTCCTACCTTCACTTCTCATTGTTTGGTTGTCCAGTACATACATTAGTTCATATTTCCCACCAACCGTTCCCTTCTGTGCAAAATGAGTTCCGTGCATTTCCAAAAATTTAAAATATTCTCCCTTGTCGTATGCACTGGGCAGATATTTTACATCTTCAAGGAACGTGTCGGTCAGGCGGACGTCACGCCTTCGCATTTGAAAGGTTCCCAGTTCGATGTTTCCTTTCACGTGAAAAAATATTTGATGCTGTAATGCAGAACGACGGGGTTAACCTTCTGCCAGTGGGAAAACGAGAGGACCAGATGTTCTCCCATCTCTAAGGTGACAATGTGTCCGACATTATGGAGGGAAGTCTTCCGTTTGATGGCATCCTCCCTTTCGAAAGGATTTCAAGCACTATTGTTCCGCAAGTGGGTTAACTTGTCGGGGGCTTGACTCCTTCTCAAAATTAAAACATGCAGTGCTCAATAAGGGTAGCATGTTAGAATGCTGCCCCAGAAGTCACACCTACCAACCATCCCTCTTCAACTTTCCTCTTTAAAGCAGAACGGTTGAAGCTTCTACTGCCTCCCCATATAAACTAACCTGGACCCTGCAATCACCATCTGAGGCCCTTCTACATGTGCCTCCTCTGCAAGAGGTCCAGAGCACCGCAACACGAGAGCAGGCCTTTTCTGTGGTGGCTCCCACTTGTGGAATGTTCTCCCCAGGGAGGCCCACCTGGTGCCTTCCTTACATATCTTTAGGTGCCAAGTGAAAACGTTCCTCTTCCCCCAGGCCTTTGGGCAATTAAAAAAACTATGGCCCTTTAAACTGTGCATGTATGGCATGGGGAGGCAAACTAAGGCCTGGGGGCCAGATCCAGCCCAATCGCCTTCTCAATCCGGCCCATGGACAGTCCAGGAATCACTGTGTTTTTACATGAGTAGAATGTGTCCTTTTATTTAAAATGCATCTCTGGATTATTTGTGGGGCATAGGAATTCGTTCATTATTTCCCCCCCAAAATATAGTCCAGCCCCTCACAAGGTCCGAGGGACAGTGGACCGACCCCCTGCTGAAAAAGTTGGCCGACCCCTGGTGTATGGGTTATTGTTTTCATTCCTTATTATGGTTTGTATTTTTATATTTTAAATCACCCTGTGATCTTTGGATGGACGGTTGTATAGAAATTAAATATTGCCTGCTGAAGCTTCACTGTTGGGTTGAAAATCATGACAGACGAGTGGCAGGTGTCATATGAGAGGCGTCTTGCCGGGGCGAGCCCCGGGAACTCTCTTTTATTGAATATTACAAACATTGCCACAGGTGTGCTTGTGGCTGATTGGTTGATACAAACACAAAGTAACTTGTTGCTGATTGGTTAACATAGGTACAAGGCGGGAATTACATATAACTATTTATCACTGATAGATCAAAGGCTGAGAAATGGAGCTGGAACTAGACAGGCATGAATCCTCCTAATTAAATTATAACTAGAGATTAATATAACATGACTAAAACAATTACTAATGATTGATCATAACATGAAAGAATATAATAATCAAGTTCCGTAGATGTGGTCAGCTATGCATTAAGAACAGACCATATTGTTTTGTTCATGAACTTGAAATGAACTGAAGAATGAGAGAATGTCTTGGTGTGTTTGGCTTGGTGTGTTTGGAACAGTATGTGCAGAAGCAGAAGCGAGACTTCCCAGAATGCAAGAGAAAAGAAGCAATAGTTCTAATAGCAAGACTTCCCACAATGCCACACGGTTATGTGCAGTAAGAGAACTGCAGAAAGAGAACTTCCCTTTACTTCACCAGTGAATTCCTGCCTGCTCTACAGTTATCAAAGGCCCAAAGTGGCAGGGAATTTGTTTTCATTAGACAATTTTGCTGAGGTTGAAGGAAACCTCCACAGCTTTCACACTATTCCTCATTCAAGAGTCATTGGTGTATATACAAACATGCCTCTGGAAAGGGCTCTAAACATATTCCTAAGCATCAGGGTGGAAGGGACAGTCTTACAATCCCCAAAACAAAACTTAGTTTCAATGGACCCCCTCAACTAGGGGATTAGGAACCACGTGGACTGACTCAAAAAAATTTGCATACATATCCAAGGAGGATGAAACAAAAATGAATGTGGGAACAGCTCCTCCCCTTGAAACATTTTTGGGCCCCTCAAACTATTAGGGGAGATTAGCATCCACACCATAGGTTGAAGGGACTTGGAACCTACTGAGTTACTAACTTGAATAAAATATTTGGAGAGCCCAGGTAAGCCCTGTGCACATAATTGATCACAAGATGCAGTGCATTTAAATGGCAGTGCCCATCAACTTTGGGGATGCCCAGTCCCCTCAAATATTTTAATGGAGGAGCTTGGAGGGACCTCAGCTCCAAGGAGTTGTCTCCTATGAAACCTACTCTGTCTGATGGGGAGCAATGAGATAGTAAAGTAAATAGGTCACACAATACCCTAAAACAAACTTTTTTTGTTTTTTTAAAAAAGAATATGAAGATTATATAAAAGTTTTATCAATATAAAATCTGTATTAAAAAGTAGGACAAGGGGCAAGGCCACCGGTAACGTTTTAATGGCAAACTGCAGGTACTATATTCTACCCTGCTCTGTTTCCTGGGACTCTTTAAGCCAGGGATAGACCTGTGGTCAGTTTCACATGTATCCCTTCAAAAAACACCCTGTTGATTTCATCTATATTTTGATTGTTTCATTGTGTCTCCTTTTTAAAGAAAGCCTGTTTTTATTGCTTTTTAAATAAATATTTTATACTGTTAAGGAAAACACACACAAACGTATCTTAAGCTGTATACAGTGGTACCTCAGTTTTCGAACATCTCAGTTGACGAACATTTCGGTTTTCAAACGCCATAAACCCGGAAGTAAATGATTCGGTTTTCGAACACGCCTCGGAAGTCGAACATGCCACACAGCTTCTGCTGACTGAAAAATCCTGAGGCCTAGCTGTCGGTTATTGAGTTTTCGGTTTTCGAACATTTCAGAACTCGAACGGTCTTCCGGAATGGATTACATTCGAAAACTGAGGTACCACTGTACAAGTTTTGCTAAATAAATAAATAAATAAAACACTCCTAACAGCATGCTAATATCAAGTCCCCCAAATAACACAGAAGGGCTCCCCATTTTGGGTTTGTTTGTTTAGGATTGCTTACCTTTCCTTTAGAATCCTTTAAGAATTTATGTAGAGTTTCATTGGAGGATGGATTCGTGCTCAAACTCAAGCCGATGGATGTGCCATTTCCTACTTCTGTAGGTGTCAATTTGAGAGAAAAGCTAGACTGAGCAGACCTATGCCTTTCGCTGAACATTTCCTTTACTGCTGACACCTGGTCCTCGTAGACTTCATTTCTAAATCTTTTGTCTCCTTTTGTCTTAGAAAGAGAAAAAATGATATAGCAGGCAATTTAGTAGGCAATCTGCCTGGAATATATGCAGCCTAATGGAAGGAATGGTTTTCACTCTCTGTTATAACATTAGAAACTTAGAGCCAATAATTGAAAATGTACGGCAGCAGATTCAGGACAGCTAGAAAAGCGCATTAATTAAAATAAAGTGCATTCATTCATTCATTCATTCATTTTGTCCCCACATTTCCTCTGAAAGTTCTATCATCTATCTATCTATCAATCTATCTATCTATCTATCTATCTATCTATCTATCTATCTATCTATCTATCTATCATCTATCTATCATCTATCTAGCTCTATCATTTATCTATCCATCTATTATTTCACACCAACTTTATTGCTTATTTGTTATTCTTCTTAATTTATTAATAGCTCTCTAAACCACTCTCTCAAGGCAGTTTGCACATAGAATAGTTAAAAACACACTGGAAAGCCAAATACATTTAAAACGAGGCTTAAACCCTAACAATTGGACACTTGTTGTAATGACCCATTTATCCGGCTGTAAAAGCAAATATAAGCAAAGGCCAGCACATTCCCAAAGTAAAAACAAAAACATAGAAGATCCAAAACAAAACAGGGGGAAAAGATGGGGCAGCGTGGGAGAGAACTGATAAGCAAACAAATAATCAATTCCTGCCACTGACAAGTTAAAAACAAGAGTTTTCAGTCTGTATGAGTTTGAACAAAATATTTAAAACTAAAATATATCTGTAGAATCCCCCCAGTGGTGGGAATAATAGGTTGGTTGCCCTCAGATCAGCCATAACCCCCTAGATTCCAGCATCTGTAATACCTGAGATATACTACAAAATGTGCAGATGCTATTCTCAATTGTTTTGTGAGAAACTAGCCACCTTCAGTACTTTACCTTTTAGTCATAGCAATGACTGATGTCTAGCTCATTGGACCAAAAGAAGACGAGAGCGAAACACCCATTGTCTAGAACTTCTTGATTTGTTTTTAAACCTTTTATGCTGCTTTTCTGTGATGGAGAAGCCTCACACAAAACAATACACCTATCCAGAGCTTTAGCATCCAGATCTTTTGTTCCCCTTCCTTCCCTTCCCCTCCCCTTTTTGTGAAGATTGCCAGTTCTGGGATCCCACAGCTGGTTCTCCCCTGGTCTCCACGCTGGCCCAAGTGGGACTAATTTAGCCAGCTAGCCCTGGTGATCATCTAATGTTTATTGGATGGATTTCCCCCAAAAATTGATTTTTGATTTTATTGTTATTTACGCTTTATACGTATTTCATGCTGGTTTTTTGTAGCATCAATTAAGTGTTTTAAATTTGTTGTTAGCCGCCCTGAGCCCGGTTTCCTGAACCAGGAAGGGCGCGGTATAAATAAAAATTTATTATTATCATTATTAGTGTGGCAGTGATTGGAGATTAGGGTATCAACTCAAAACACAAAAGAATTAATGATGTTTTGGAGGTCTCATTTCATGCGAAAGTGACCCTTCGGAATTTGTAAACTGTTTTGATACCATTGCAGAGTTGTGTGTGCAATAGTGTGGTTATCACAGCCTTAGAGCTCAGCAAATTTGTTCCCGCCCCCGGGTGTGTTGCACAGCTCTTTCCCCCAGCTGTTCACATCAGCACAACTTCATTAGTGTCAGATTCATTTCTGTTTGTGTATGCACCAGGAGGGTGGTTGACGGGGCAGGGATGTCTTTACCTTATGCAAAGGTGCCCACCCCTTTGTTTAAATTTCATTTCATAAAATGTACATATCGCTTGATTGTGGAAAACCTCAAAGCAGTTTACCAAAACAAAAAAGCAGCAATATTATTGGTAAACAACAACAACGTTTTTTAAAATAAAAACCTTGGCTGGAGACAAGTTAGCAATGGCTTCAGGACTCCAGTCAGTGCGAAGCATCAGATTGTAGCATTTTACAACAACGTACAGGAGGCGTATGCATTTTGGATAAAGCTAGGCGAACATGGAGTCAAATGCACACTCTCCACTTTGCACAAAGGGGCTTACGTCATAATTGAGCACAGCAACATTCCATGGCTTGCGATAGTATATTCCAGTATTCCCATCGCGGACTCTGTCGCAGACTCCGTTGTAAAACTCATTGTAAAATGGGCTTTCTTTCGGTTCCATGCCCAGAATGTTGACACTGCAACAAAATCGCACAACAAACTAGCGTCTTCCAGGATCTTGGTCACTTAAAACCTGCTATACCATTCAAATATACAGTTGCACCTTGGTTGATGAACGCCTTGCAACTTGAACGTTTTGGCTCCCAAACGCCGCGAACCCAGAAGCAACTGTTCCGGTTTGTGAATGTCCTTTGGAACCCAAACGCCCGACGTGGCTTCTGATTGGCTTCAGGAGCTTCCCGCAGCCAATCGGAAGCTGCGCCTTGGTTTCCAAACGTTTTGGAAGTCGAACGGACTTCCGGAGCAGATTCCGTTCAACTTCTGAGGTACAGCTGTAATTCATCCTTACCACAATGGAGGGCAAGCTAGCTATGGAATGCTGGGCACATCACATGGCACACAGAGACTTGCCCTCTAACAGAGCAGAACGACCACGGGACTCATGAGGAAAAGGCAAGGGACCTTCTGCCACTGCTCCTCATAAACTAACAGCATCCGCCACCAGAGGTAGGCATCTCAAACTGCCTAACAGTAGGTTCGGCCCTGCCAATAGATTTGCTACATCTCCCATAATTCTCCCAAGAACTTCCCAGAACTTACCCACGGCCAGCTGTTCTTCCAACCTCTGATACATCAATTATACGGTCACGACAGGGTGCACGAGGATCACCTTCGCAATTGTCTTCATCGGAAAAGTCTCCACAATCGTCTTCTGTATTACACACCAATCTTTTCTTTATACAGTGTCCTAAGTGTAGAATGAGGAACCATATCTCTAGCTGTTAAACAGTTCTTATTGCTCTCAGTCTTTTGGCTTGAATCAAACCGAGTTGGGTTTCCCCCAGTGCCACTGGTGGATTTTTTGACCATAAAGGAAATGAAAACCTGTTTTACCCTTTCGATGTTTAAAAAATTGTCACTGTGAAAATGTAGACATTAAACAAATACAACCACACACACATACGTATAATTGTCCTTTGAGGATGAGGGGTGGTATAGATGATGATGATGATAAAAGACAATATCTTGATTAGGAGTGACAACCAAACCAGCAAAAATGTACAATACCAATTCAGGAAACTATGAGCTAATTTTCATGTTACTTGATTCCAGGAAAAAAACCCAACCTGTTTCTGGGAGTGAAGTGACAACATTTGGTGTAGTATACCAACATACAATTCTTTCCTGCTGTTTGCATGGGGGTGGGGATCATTTGGGGTGGATTTGCTAAAATTTGAAAAATCAGTAAAAACATAGACTGTTGTGTGGCACCATGTCTCTGGTGCGAATGAAAATTAGGGCAACATTGGCCAAAAAGCCACAATTACACAACACACTAGGGGTGAGAGGAATGTTAGAAAACAGAACAGAAGCGCTGGCATTACAGTCAGGAAAACGAGCTCAACATTTCCAGGTGAAATACGCACCAGGTGAATGCGTATGAGAAGGGACTTCCGTAAGAGTATTTCAGAGAGCTGCTAAATCATGACAAGATGGTGCTTTGTGATGGGCAACTAATGATCTCCAGTATAATCCACCGTGGGAATCAGTTTCAAAGAATAATGCAAAAGAACTGCATACCATTTTCACACATGAAGTCATTGCCACAATCTGGTAGCTCTTCAGGGCAGGGGGTGTCTGGCTGGCAGGACTGTCTGTCTCCCAGAGCTTCAATACATGGCTTCCCTCCATATTGACCGAATCTCACAACACTCCTCGAGCGATACTTTAGAAAAGAAAGGAAGAAGAATTACAGGTGCTCAAAAGGACTGGTGTGGCTCAGCAGCCATGAAATGATGTACCAGTACATTCTTTGCACACGCCAAATAACTTTGACGGAAACTAAGCGGGAGGTTGGGGGGCGGATTATGCACAAAATTAAAAGGAGGCCTACTCATCGCATCTCCACAATGGAGTCTCCATTCTTTGGTGCTTTGATCAAAAGGCATGCCTGGTTAGAAAATACCAATGACTACTTTTTCTACAATGCTAATGCCTGAAGACATTTTGCTGCTTAAAGCAAAGGACAAGATGGAACCTTGCCCCCATATTCCACATTCAGAAGGCCACTACATTTCCGAGCACAATTCAAAGTGTTGGTGCTGAACTTTACAGCCCTAAACGACCGCGGCTCAGTATACCTGAAGGAGCGTATCCACCCCCACTGTTCAGCCTGTACACTGAGGTCCAGCTCTGAGGGCCTTCTGGCAGTTCCCTCACTGTGAGAAGTGAGGTTACAGGGAACCAGGCAGAGGGCCTTCTTGGTGGTGGTGCGTGCCCTGTGGAACACCCTCCCATCATATGTCAAGGAAATAAACAACTACCTGACTTTTAGAAGATATCTGAAGGCAGCCCTGTTCAGGGAAGCTTTTAATGTTTGATGTTTTATTGTGTTTTTAATATTCTGTTGAGAGCCACCCAGCCAGATGGGTAGGGTAATAAAAAATAAAATAAAATAAAATATAAATTATTATTATTATTACTGGACTAGGAGTTGAATTTTACTTCAACAGTGGCAAAGGGACAGTGTCCTTTGGCATACTTGACGGCAGTAGACCAGCTCAAGGAGCACAAGGCAAACTTCCCTACCACTACCTGTCACCCAGTATTTGCTGCCTGAGGTGGCTGCCTCACCTCGCCTAACAGTAGGGCTGTAGGAACATACAGACCATTGTACACAGAAACCTTCTAAAAGTATAGTGCAGTGCACCAGTAGGTGGCACTCTTTGTTCTACAATCCACCAAATATACGCTGACTACATTGCCGGATAATTTGAGGATAGGACTGGAACATCGGGTTTGGAAAAGGCGCATGCATCACAGAGTCTAACCCCTGTGCTGAGATAAAAATATCAACAGCCCTAATAATTTGTACCTTACTGTTGTTCCAATTCAGATCACAGATGGCGCCACTAAGTTCATTGTTATCCAGTGGCTCTACAAAGTCAGAAAACTAAACAAGCTACCCCCTGCCCCCCCCCCCAAAGTCATGAACATTTACTTTACTGTCAGGAGTTTGAAGTTACTGAGTCGCTTCTGGGTTGAACTAAGCAGAGCCATCACCAGTTATGATAGACCACAATAAAAACTGGAGCTCCACAAGGTGTGCCATTGCCAGAGGTCCGAACAAATTCAAATTCATGGAGGATAAGGCTATCAATGGCAAAAACTAGTTGCCATTGATACTGAATCCGAGGGCTGGGAATTGCAGGAGGAAATTGCTCTTGTGCTGGGGTGCTGCTTGAGGGTTTCCTGCAGGCATCTGAGTGGCCACTGTGAGAATAGGATGCTGGACTGGATGGGCCCCTGATCCTCAGGCTAATCTTGCATTCTTATCCCTAAAACACATTGTTGTTGTTTCAAACAAAAGCCTCCTGGGCTAACTATCAGTCACAAACCCATGACTTACTCTTTCCTTCGCACAAGCATTGCACGGTCCCCATTCGCTCCAGCGGCTCAGCAAGCAATCGATGGGCCTGACGTCCACTTCTCTTCGCTCTCTTAGTATAGAACAACAAGATGCTTTTATGCAGTACTATGCAGTAAACTAAAAATCAGTGTTATTGGGGAAGGGGGGAAATAGGCCCCATACTGGGAAAAGACATCACCAAAAGAGAAGATAAAAGCGACATATATTTGCATATGCTGATTTTTATGGACACAGAGGCAAAGGCAGAAATATTTACAGCCCATCTTGCTATAGTGGGGAAGCCTGTGACCATGAGGTGACTTGACTTGGCACCTTCTCAGTCTGCTCTCCACGTCCTCACTGCTGATGGAGAACTTTAAGGTCCTTGCTCTCCTTTCTTATGATGCTTCTATCTTCAAAACTAGACTGGGCAGTCCAAAATCTCATTTTTTCCATCCCAAGAGCCATGTTCCTTCCTGGGAAACCTTACAGTGGATCTTCCTTTCATGTTTGAACTGGAAGCCACTCCCACTAAATTCATTGGTGCTGATTACAATCTAAGCATACGCAGAACTGCGGTCTCATATACTACCTTGATGCTGAAATTGGAAACCATTCAGATTCGCTATTCTCAGGCTCCAAAGAGAAATCAGAGCAAATTCTACATTTGCTGCGGGAAATGCGACACAGGCTTATTTTATTTATGTATTCATTTTAAAGTCCACTTACCTTTTCCTCCCTGGTGAGACAAAACTGTTTGCTCCTAAGATGCACAGTGCCGCTATAAGAGGCAGTAAGGTTTTCATGGTGCTGCTGTCGACGGCGACACCAAAACCGTAGCACCCAAATGGGAAGCTTTTTGTCCTTTCCTTTTTGTTATTGATTAGCAGAAAAACAAACAAAAACCCCTGCCAAAAGGAGGCAGAGCCTGCTGCTGACTTTCGGGAAGCAGCCTGGAGTTTGTTGACAGTGAAGAATTTGGAAAATCAGCTGGCCTGGTTTTTCCCCAGGCGGAGAAAAGGGTAGAAGAGAAAGCCCAGGCACCTGTCCTTCCTCTCTCCAATTCCACGCATTACACAATAGGGCGGTAGCTCAGGGTCAGAGTGTGTGCTTTGCATACAGAGGGTCCTGGGTTCAGTTCCTGGCATCTCCAGGTAGGGCTGGGAATTCCCTGCATCCGAAAACCTGCAGACCCACTGCCTGTAAGTCAGCTTGGACAATTTGGATCTGGGGGGGGGCACTAATGGTTTGCCTTGATGTAAGGCAGCCCCCTACGTTCTTATGCACAAAGTGGGAGGGGGGGAGAACAAAGCAGCACTGTTTTATTGTAAAAGCAAAGCACATCAGGAACCTTTGCAAGAATGCGGAAAAAAATAACGCAGTAGGCACACCCAAAAACAAGTTAGACCACTTAACTGGAGCATTTCACAAGTCCCTAGTGCGGCACCAGGATTATCAGTTACCGTTAAGTGCTGACCACCCTGGGCACCCAAGACAAAACAAGGAGAGGGTCTTCTATGAGCCAGCCCAAAACCTTTTGCTAGTTATAGTGGGGTAAGAAAGCTGGAGGTGGGGGCGGGAATCACACCTGGCAATTGATGCACCCCTTTGGGTTCAGACAGTACATGGGGAGAAGAGCCTGGGAAGCGGTGGCGCTGTGGTCTAAACCACTGAGCCTCTTGGACTTGCCGATCAGAAGGTCGGCAGTTCAAATCCCCGCAATGGAGTGAACTCCCATTGCTCTGTCCCAGCTCTTGCCAACCTAGCAGTTTGAAAGCACGCCAGTGCAAGTAGATAAATAGGTACCGCTGCGGCGGGAAGGTAAAAGGCATTTCCATGTGCTCTGGTTTCCATCACTGTGTTCCGTTGTGCCAGAAGCGGTTTAGTCATACTGGCCACATGACCCAGAAAGCTGTCTGTGGACAAACGCTGGCTCCCCATAGTCGCCTTTGACTGGACTTAACCATCCAGGGGTCCTTTACCTTTAATACATGGGGAGAAGGGTCTAAAAAGCCTGGGATGCAAATTTTCACAGCCCTCTAGCTACCATGGAGGCTCACTTATCAAAAGTAATGTATTTAACTCTGGAAGTGTATGCTTGATTCTGACCAAAGTCAGTCTCCTAGAGCAAAATACATATCAGAAGGCTTAGTTTGGTCAGAATTGAGTACAGTGGTACCTCGGGTTACATACGCTTCAGGTTACAAACTCTGCTAACCCAGAAATATTACCTCAGGTTAAGAACTTTGCTTCAGGATGAGAACAGAAATCGTGCTCCGGCGGCGTAACAGCAGCAGGAGGCCCCATTAGCCAAAGTGGTGCTTCAGGTTAAGAACAGTTTCAGGTTAAGAACGGACCTCTGGAACAAATTAAGTACTTAACCCGACTGTATACACTTCCAGAGTTACACAAATACTGAAACCAGACATCAGAACGTGCCACGGTTAGTGGAATATTCACCCCCCCCCCAAAGAGGGTGGGCAGGTTAGATTGGTGGGGCTTGTAGCATAGCTGAGCAGGATCCATGCAGTTGCTTGATTCAAGAGGGAGTTGTACGTGGCACAGAGGCCAATGAAAACACATTTGAGATGCTATAAATCACGCTTCCTCAAACTCGGCCCTCCAGATGTTTTGAGACTACAATTCCCATCATCCCTGATCACTGGTCCGGCTAGCTAGGGATTATGGGAGTTGTAGGCCAAAAGCATCTGGAGGGCCAAGTCTGAGGAAGCCGGTCATAAATCCACCACAGAGTATCAGGCAGCAGAGATTACTGTTAGTTCAAGGCACTGCAAGATCTGGCTTCCCTTCTGAGCCACTGTGCCATACCTGCATACTTCTGCAGGAATAGTTATGCAGTAATCTTAAACTTAACTTGGTTGTACAGAAGGTTTGACAAAGTCCCTTTTAAATATGCCCTTGTTTGGAGTAAGATTGTTTACTTTTCAGAGATACAGAGGGACATCCGATTCTTTAGCAATCACGTCCAATCAAAAGAAAAATTAAACATTTACTAGCTGGTTGTTTGTGTCACTTACTTCATCCTGAACTCGGTAGCTGGGGAAGCAACTTCGAACAAATTTTTTTTGTAGCTTAGAACGAAGCTTTTGAGGCAAAAAGGGCAGGTGAGGAGGGAATCTCCAACAGTGCAGGGTACTCAGGAAACATGCTCTAAAAAGAGAACCTTGTGATTCCCATAGCCATAGTGGGAAAGAACTTTGGCACAGTCGTGGGTTAAATCTGGTTTACACACACACAAATAAATCAAAATTCCATTGCCAATGCCTCCAGTTGAAAGGATCAGGAGAGCCCAGTGAATTACTACCAGTCTGACAGCACATAGGAAGCCATTTTCTACCTGGCTAGACTATTAAATCTATCCAACATTATATTATCTCCATTGACTGGTGGTAGCTGTCCATGGTTTCAGAGGGCAGCCCTTTCCCCCAAGGAGATGCCAGGGATCTTTGTATGCAAAGCTTGTGTGCTACCACCAAGCTGCCCTTTGTGTAAACCGACCTTTGCCAACCTGGTGCCCTCCAGATGTTGCTGGACTACAATCTTGGTGCACATCACACAATAATATATTATTTATACCCCACCCATCTGGCTGAGTTTCCCCAGCCACTCTGGGTGTCTCCCAATCGAGTGTTAAAAACAATACAGCATTCAATATTAAAAACTTCCCTAAACAGGGCTGCCCTCAGATGTCTTTTAAAAATAGGATAGTTGCTTATTTCCTTCACATCTGATGGGCAGGCGTTCCACAGGGCGGGCGCGACTACCGAGAAGGCCCTCCGTCTGGTTCCCTGTAACCTCACTTCTTGCAATGAGGGAACTGCCAGGCGGCCCTTGGCGCTGGATCTCAGTATCCGGGCTAAACGATGGGGGTGGAGATGCTCCTTCAGGTATATAGGACTGAGGCCATTTAGGGCTTTAAAGGTCAGCACCAACACTTTGACAAGGATGTCAAAGCCAAATATTAACTTGCAAGCCTTTACCCCAAGTTTGAGGCAGCAGCGAGAACCTAGCTGAGAGCCATATTTTCAATAGCAGCATACTGCTGTTATCAGTTAAGCCCACATCCTGTGGACTGCATCCAATGTTCTTTGGACCCCAATAGTGGGGTAGCAGAGCTAAAAATAATGCCAATATATTTCACATCTGGCAACTAATGTGCTCCTTTGGTTTCAGATAGTACATGGGGAGACAAATCTAAAAAGCCTGGGACACAAATTTTCACGGCCCTCTAGCAGCTATGGTGACTCATTTACCAGAAGTAGTTTATTTAGTGTTACCTCTGGAAGTGTATATTTAATTCTGACCAAACTAAGCCTCCTGATGTATATTTTGCTCTAGGAGGCTTAGCAAACTGTCCCATCCATTCTTTAGCAACAGAGAGATGCAAGGAGCTTCCCCCATGAACGGCAGTGGCTGATGTAGGTGCACTCCCACCCCAACTGGGCAGGTGGCTAGTGGGGAGCACATACCCGCCAAACGTCCTGGGAAAAAAAAGGACACCCCCTTTTTCTCACAAGATCACAAAGGCCATTATTGGTGCCACACTCTTGCCCTGAAAAAGTGCTTTTTTGGGGGGGGGTGAGATCGCGGCGCAGGTCACGTGACTCACCCGGGAGCGCATCCCAGAAGATGCATGTCCCAATTTTTGACACGGTGAAGTGGGGCGGCCATTTTGTGTTGTGGCATTTCACTATGGCAGCCATTTTATGACTGACACCCACAATTTTTCAGAGTTCCAAATGTGTCCTGGTCCTAAAAAGTTGGCTTATGATTTGACACGCTGCACCCGCCTAAATTGCATACTGGCGCACTGAGGGAAGCAGTACTCTATCAATGTGGGTCTACATTCTAGGTGATTCAAGGACCCCAGGCTTTTATAAGCTTCTAGCTACAAATGCTTTTACACACCTGTTCAATGACTTAGACTCAGGCTACCCAAGTAAAGCTACTATCATATGAAAACAAAGAGTCCTGCTTCTGGAAAACCACGTTAAAAGTTTTCACCGAACTCCCTAGAGGCAGAGACCGCTTTTGAAATGAAGTTACATTTAATTGTCAGAGTATTTGACTACTTTTTACAATGTAACACAATCCAAAAATTCCTACATTTCCAGTCAGAGACAAATACATATAAATTGATAGCTTTGTTTTGCATTACAGGAAAAGTGCAGTAGAATATGTACAGAGCAGATTGCATAATTCACCGGCAGAACAGGTCACTACAGACAAAGTGTTTACTAGAAAGCAGATCTCCCATTATGCATTTATCTGGCCATTTAAACATGGATACCATTTTCAAGTTTGCGCTGATAAACGCTGTAAAGGAGACACACACAATGCTCTTGCATCAGTTCTGCTCAGTTTGTTATTAAGCCCCTTGTTTTAATGCATTGTCACTCTGCATAGAGTTCTAGCTATACTAAACCTTGATTGCCATGATTGCAATTTTTGCTTGCTCCAAGTACAGTTGCTTTTCAATTTTTACAAGTGATAGTACATTCACAGGACCCACCCCCTTCTTTAAAGGACACCCATCTATTTCTGCATCCATCCTTTTTCAACCCTGGTTTGAAGAATCTTGCTAGAGGGTTAATAGTCAACACACTAGATGCATTAAAAAAAAAATCACTTCCAAGGTGTATCTCTCGACTATGACCGCAGCCAGCCTGCATGGACAGTAAGAGTCAGTCATTACACTTTTGGAACCTCCCCATTACAAGTCAAATATGGTTTTGAATGATCTTCATAACAATTCAAACATGCTTTCACTTTGACATTGCTGGAGGCAGAGAGGGTGTGAAATTGAGTTCTGTCCAGTTTTTAAAGCTTGCAGTTAAGGCTGGGAGACGTACAAGAGACCATTTTATGTTCTAGGTGACTCAGTGCTGCGAATTCATATCCCGGTTCTTTCCCCTTGTGTGGAGGTGAATACTAGTCTGTGCAGTTTCTCATCCTAGAAGGAAGTTCAGTAAAAGCCCCATTTACAGCCAAGGTTCATCCAAGCCTTGACAAAATGTGAAGTTGGCTGAAGGCCTAGGAGACACCACAGTGTTCAGTTAGTTAAATCCACTTGGGCTGAAGTTCGCCACCCAATTCCAGTTTGGTCTCTAGCAGATTCCTTCCTCGGCTTCCGATGGCTACAATCCAAGGACTCATTGCACCGTACTGCAATCCAAAAGTGGATGGCGAAGAATGAGGCAGATAATGCATGCAGAGTGAAGACAGTAACAGGGGAGGGTATCCAGTTATTCATCACATCCTTGCACCATGGGCAGTCCAGTTATTCCTCTGCTGGTTTGCACTCATTCCTGGGTCAAGAGAACGAGAGGGAGATGGTTAGCACCACTGGGCTGAGTCACATGAAACTTGCTCTCTTGGGGTTTGCTATGTGGAACTACTGAAAAGTAATGGGTAAGAATGGGATGTGCAAATAGGAGTAGATACAGCAGCAGCAGCATGCAAAAAGTCAATCTTTACCATCACTTTTTTTTTGCTGGGGTGCTTTTGGACTATGTGGTTCGGAATATAGTAGTCCTGTAAATGGCTGGTATGAAGATAGCACTGGATGTTGTTATAACCATAGTATGTAGGAAACTACTTAAGCAGCTGGACTGGTGACTGGGAGTGGTTGTTGAGACCATATAACACTGGTCCTGAAAGACCTACATTGGCTCCCAGTACGTTTCCAAGCACAATTCAAAGTGTCGGTGCTGACCTTTAAAGCCCTAAACGGCCTCGGCCCAGTATACCTGAAGGAGCGTCTCCACCCCCATCGTTCTGCCCGGACACTGAGGTCCAGCGCCGAAGGCCTTCTGGCAGTTCCCTCACTGCGAGAAGTGAGGTTACAAGGAAACAGGCAGAGGGCTTTCTCAGTAGTGGCGCCTGCTCTGTGGAACGCCCTCCCACCAGATGTCAAGGAAATAAACAACTATCTAACTTTTAGAAGACATCTGAAGGCAGCGCTGTTTAGGGAAGTTTTTTGATGTTTGATGTTTTATCATGTTTTTAATATTCTGTTGGGAGCCACCCAGATTGCCTGGGGAAACCCAGCCAGATGGGCAGGGTATAAATAAATTATTTATTTATAATAATAATAATAATAATAATAATAATAATAATTTTTAAAAAACAACCATTGGTCCAGATACTGCAGTATATTCTACACAGTCTGGCAGCTGCCCTCTAGGTTTCCAGGAAGGAATCTTTTCCAGGCCTACCTAAAGATGCTGGGGACTGAACCAAAGACCATTCACATGCGAACCAGATCTTCTGAGCTAATAGCCATCTCCTTACCTAGCACCATATCCCTACTGAGCAACATTAAGGACCAAAACTGGTGTCCATCCTGCTCTGGGCAAGGCTTACTCTCCACCGAAGCAGTATACATATTTTGTTCTGGGTGCTTCTTGATCCTTCACCAGCTGACCTGGCTTGCCTGCTACCACCATTTGTGGATGGCGTAACCAAACCATAGCTCCATGCTCAGATGACCTCACAGCTGGTTTTCTATAATGCTTTGGGACTGCCCTTTAGTGCAGGACTCAGCCACTAGAATGTCCATTGGTACAGCCAGAGTTGTGACTTTGGTAGCCTGTTCACATCTGTGTGCAATGTAAGGAGCTCACGGTCCCAACATTTATAAAGCCTTAAATGACACAACACCAATTGTGGTGGTTCGAATCCTGGTCTCCCAGATCCCAGCTCAAAACTCTAACTGCTAACCCACATTGACTCTCCACACAGTTGCCTCTTTTACCTCCTAGCATGACCCCTGTTTTGCCTTTTTTAGATCGTGTCAGGTTCAGGATCAACAGCCACCCCTCTAAGAGACACTTACCTATCAAGCTTACGCAAACGGGTTTCCAAAAGGATCACCAAATGGAGCAGAAGCCAGCTGGTGCGGTACGGCAGTCTAGAAAGAAGGAGGCTGCTTTATTTATGCACAATTTGGAAGTCTTTTTGCAGGCAAGTTGCAAATACTTGAATACCCTATGCTTGCCAGCTGTGTCGAGTTGGCAAATATCTTATTTGATCTAAGCTTCTCACATCCAGTAAGGTTGCAGCAGCTTGTTCAGAGGCAGTTCATGCTTCTTAAGTGAGAGTTGTGGTTGACATCAACCCCCATTACCAGCTGCAATATCTAGAGTACAGATCTCTTGCAGGTGACAGGCGATGCAAGCAACAGTTCCGTTCAAGGCACCTTCAGAAACTGGGTGTTGGGTATTGTGTTATTGTTTGTGTGTGTGTGTGTGTGTGTGTGTGTGTGTACACACACACACACACACACAGAGAGAGAGAGAGAGAGAGAGAGAGAGAGAGGAGGTGGTGGAGGAAAAAATGCACAGCGCTTCCAATATGGCACCATATACTATGGTGGTTTGGTCTTACAGCAAAGTGTTGCTCATGCCACTGAATTATGCAAACATACAACCCCTGCCAATTATTTTGGTCAAGGATCAGTGCAGTCTGCAGGCTGTTGGCTAACAAGCATGTTGCTTGAGTGTGCCTTCCCTTCTAACCACGGGTCAAAGGGTGCTTGATTATTCTTACATCTATCCTCTTTTTCAAATAAATATGCATGGAGCCTTCAATGAATAAACCACAGTGGTTGGTGTTAACACACTCTTATCTGTACAGACTGCCAGCTTTAAGCTACACTATAAACACTTTTGATCACGCTGTCATGTTCGAATAGCAAGGGCCAAGACAGATAATTTTACAGTTATCCTGCCACCTGCACTTGGGTTAACTGGGGACAGTGCCAGCTTTTGTTAGAAGGCAATAGGACCCCAGGGGTGCTTCAACTCTGGAGAAAGAAATGGTCCATAATTTACAGCCAACAGAAGTACAGCCATGGATACATAGAAGTGGAGTTTGCTCTGCCACTTACCGAGTTTAGCGATGGAACAGCAAAAGGGTCTGTCTTGAAAGGGTTTTCAAATAGGTCTTCAGCAGGCTTGGCAGTTGGCACAGTGTTTGGCCTGAGAACAGGATTTGGTGGCACTGCAATGCAGAACAGACTTATTGTTAAACCACCAGACACTGTAAGCCACCCATTTCACATAACACAGCAAACACAGCCACACTTGGCACCAAGTGCTGTGTTTTTCTGCTGAGGGCACACATTGCAGGTGGATCAGTGGACACCACCATTTAGTTTACACATGCACAGAATTCAGAAGCAAGGCTTCTTAAGCAGTCAATATGGCACCTGGCAGGGACAGACTGTGCCCACAGAGGCCTTCTCTGGGGCTCATAAAGTCCTCTTACCAGCATCACCCTGAAATTAGTCACTGAAGCAAGCATTCTACTTCAGTTGTGGTGTAGCATGGCACCCACAATTCTTCCTCCAGTTTTCAAATGTGCCCACGGGCCCCAAAAGAAGATGCTAACCATCTGCCCATCCCAGGTTAAAGCACACATCCACCTGCCCCAGAGACTACTTAAAAATATGCAGCATGTCCACTAAAATACAGTGGAACCTTGGTTTTTGAGCACCTCGGAAGCCGAATGTTTTGGAAACCAAATGCCGAAAACCCGGAAGTAAGTGCTTCTGTTTTTGAAGGCGCCTCAGAAGCCAAACGGCTTCCGCTGCAAGTTTTTCAATTTTCTCAGTGGAAATTGCTGACAGCCCTTTGCGCCTCGGTTGTCAGATGTTTCAGAAGTAGAACGGTCTTCCGGAACGGATTACGTTCGACAACCGAGGTTCCACTGTATGCGTCTTCTGTGAGGGGGAGGAGAAAGGTCAGAACTTTAAGGTTCCCTCAAGGAATATAGCAGATTTACCACCAGTTTTTGTAGCCAGCCAGCTAGCTTCAAAGTCATCGTGGTCAGCCAACTCTTGAGGAACCCCCACTTTGTTACTGAAATAACTGGCAAAGGCTCCAGAAGCTTCCGACAGACCTTGTTGTTGCTGCTGCTGCTCTGCCCTCCTCGCAGGCACGGCGGGCAGTTTTGCCAGCTGGAAGTCTTTGAACATGGCTTTTACATCCTTTATTTCCTTATCACCAAGGGGATCCAAAGCAGTGAAGGCGTCGCTTTCCTTCTTGGGCAACTCCTTCTGAGGTGCAGTTCTGGGAGGCAACTGAGGAGGACTTCTAGCAGGCAACAGAGAGGGGCCCTGGGATGCGAGCGGAGGTGGGAATATGGAGGGCTGGAAAGGGTTCCCAGTGCTGGAGGGCTGGACCCACGCATTAGGAGGAGGACCCCGCACAGGCTGACCCCAGAGATCGGGAGCTGGAGCCTGGATGGGGGCTCCTAAGGACAATGGTGGCTGACTCCAGCTGGGAGCTTGTGGAGCAGCGTCAAAGCCAAGAGGCTGAGGGAAGCTTGCTGGCTGAACACCCAGAACAGATCCAGGAAAGGCTGAAGAAGGCTGGTTGAAGATTGCAGGTTGGGGACCCCAGGCTGGTGTTGGAGAAGCAGTTGAAGGCAGGCCACCTGGGGAGAAAAAGCCCACACATCAATAGGTTATGCTGTTCTCTCATCAGGCAACTCCACAAACACCTTAGTTGGGGGGAAAAGCATGTTTCCAAGCACAATTCAAAGTGTTGGTGCTGACCTTTAAAGCCCTAAACGGCCTCAGCCCAGTATACCTGAAGGAGCATCTCCACCCCCATCGTTCAGCCCAGACACTGAGGTCCAGCTCTGAGGGCCTTCTGGCGGTTCCCTCCCTGAGAGAAGTGAGGTTACAGGGAACCAGGCAGAGGGCCTTCTTGGTGGGGGTGCCCACCCCGTGGAATGCCCTCCCATCAGATGTCAAGGCAATAAACAACTACATGACTTTCATAATACATCTGAAGGCAGCCCGGCTTTGTTGTTGTTTAGTCATGTCTGACTCTTCGTGACCCCATGGACCAGAGAACGCCAGGCACTCCTGTCTTCCACTGCCTCCCGCAGTTTAGTCAAACTCATGTTCGTAGCTTCAAGAACACTGTCCAACCATCTCATCCTCTGTCGTCCCCTTCTCCTTGTGCCCTCCATCTTTCCCAACATCAGGGTCTTTTCCAGGGAGTCTTCTCTTCTCAAGAGGTGGCCAAATTATTGGAGCCTCAGCTTCAGGATCTGAAGCTTAGGGAAGTTAAAAATGTTTGATGTTTTATTGTGTTTTTAATATTCTGTTGGGAGCCACCCAGAGTGTCTGGGAGACCCGGCCAGATGGGCAGGGTATAAGTAATTAATTATTATTATTATTGCACATACCAGCACAAGGTTTAAATCTATCTGTATTAAAGACTCAAGAGCCCCACTAGATTAGGGCATAGGCTTATCTAGGCCAGCATACTTCTCACAGTGGCGAATCAGATGCCCATGGGAAACCTGGGAGCAGCGCCTGAGCAGCTACAGTGTTCTCCTCACTTGAAATTCCCAGAAAACTGTATTCAAAAAGGTATAATGGCAAAACCCTTCCCCTGGTAATACTGGGTTTGCCACAACTTTTTTTGTCACAAGCCTTGCCAAGGTAAGTAGTTGAGGGTCAAAGTCATTTTTCCTGCAAGGAACACAGTCCCTCAGCTTCATTATTTCTCCATCCTAATAAAAAGACTAACGCCTCTTGATTATCACCATTTGGCAGGAGGAATTCAACTAGATGCCTGGAAACTTAGCCTTCCCCGGAAGACGTTTGAACACCCCAGAAGCAAATTAAGATGATGAATGCTCAACAAAAATAACCAGATCTAATCTAACCTCTGCATAAACTTTGTGCATGCAAATCAGAACGAATGCTCAACCAACAGGTCATTCAGAGGAGCCACCTTACCACGGCAACATGGTTCCTAAACAGTTTATTCCTGCCCCCCAAACAAGTTCCTTTGCTCAGTTAATCCTGGCTTACCTTAAAGACTAGTGCCAGCTCCACTACTAAAAACAAGCACCTGATGGAGGAACACACCTGCCTGGGATACACGTACAGGGAGGTGCAGAGGCTGCCCACCCCTTCCTCATATTAGCACTGCAAGGCTAACAGTTTCAAATCTCCATTTAATTTAAACTTCTGTGCCTGGATTGATCTGTGCTGTTCATTTATGTGTGTGGGGGCGTGTAATGTGTTTACTTGAGGATCCTAATTATGAAGTTTTATTCTGGAATTATATATAGGGTTGCTATATTTCAAAAAGTAAAAACCAGAACACCCCCAAAATTGTATTTACATAAAAAAACCACCATTTTTATTAATTTTTCAAAAATAATAATAAAATAAGGATACAAAAATCAAACCACCATCTAACATTTATACTTCTAATTAAAAAATCCTACTATTTTACAAACCTTTTCAGGTTCTTTAAAGCTCAATACTTCCTTCCACCCCCTTCTACTGGTTCTTTACATCTTACATCATTCTCTGCATTTTGTTATCATTTTTATCCACTTGTTACACCTTTGCATTCTCTAATTCCTTACTACTTACAAGTGCTTAATATAAACCTGCCAACGTATTAACTTGTTTTCTGCACATACACAATAAATTTTCCCATTCTTTTTTAAGCTTCTCATTGTCAGAGTGTCTGGGTTTTGCCATTTCTGCATAGCCTATAAGTTTTACTTGCCATTCTTCTATTGTTGGCAAAAACGAGCCAGCTTAGCCTAGCGGTTACTTCGGTGCAATCTTTGCAGGTTTTTTTAAGGTAAATTTCGGTAATTCCCCCAGATGTCAATTCTGCCTTTGAAATCCCGGTAATGTCTGGGAAAATCTGGACGTATGGCAGCCTTAATTATATACCACTTTGTGGAGGCTGTTATGCCCTGAAAAGGCAGGCTAGAAATCTTCCCATAAAATATAGTGAGCTTACTGGTACTTCTGCCCCCAAGTGTCTCTACAGGACTTAAATCATGCCCTAGAATTATGATAGTTTTTTTGTTTTTTAACCTTCAGAAATTCTACAACTCAGCTTATAAAGCGGATCACCTAAGAAGCTTAAACCATGGGTGGGGAAACCTATGGCATGTTGAGTAAAGTCCTTCCCAATGTCTTACCGTCTTTCTGGATCTCACAATATGTGCCTTTGAACTGAACACAAAAAACCAGACTGCATAAGACAAGATACAGACATTAAATTGCTTTGCAACGAAGGTACACACAGATCCATCAACATGGCTTTCCAGATGTTGGGACTGCAACCCCACAAGCCATTGGCCACACTGACTGGTGCTCATGGGACTTGTAGCCCGAGAACAGGATTCTCCATCCCTGCCTCAAGGAAAGAACAGACTTTACTAACCTAGTACAGGCATGGGTGCTGCTACAGGAGCACTAGTGTTGAAGAGGTCTAGAGGATTGGTCTGTGCAGGTGGAGGCGGCGCTGTAGTTGTCAGAGTGCTTGTTGCAGGAGCAAAGATGCCTGAGCCAAACAGGTCACTACTGGCTGAACCCTGGAAATGTGTTGGTGGGGAAGACACACCAGGCATAATGGTTATATATGTACAGGAAGTTAAACATTGCCCAGATTGCTATTACAAGCACTACAACCCCCCCAAACTGTCCTATAGGCTGAATGGCTGAAGAGTCCTATAGTGTGCATCTAAGTTAAATCGATTCTTATTAAAGATGAGTGTGGGCTCCCATCTACAGCAGAGATGGAGAACCTCTAGGACGTTTTAGACTGCAGTACCCATCAGGCCCAGCCAGCATAGTCAACGGTCAGGGACAATGGGTTTTGTAGTCCAGCGACTTCTGGAGGGCAACAAGTTACCCACCTTTGGTCGACAATATTCTCTGTCAGTTCTGTACGGTAGCAACCAAGAAGGGCTGCAGCCAAATAGAGATATTTTATATTGCAAGGCCGATGCAACACCTCGACACCTTGTTACTGAACTACACCAATGATCTCCCCAAAGCTACATTCAACACATGCATTAGGAGTTTAAGCGTCTTACTTACCAGAGCTACAGAGACATGGCAGCATTAGGAGGAGAGAGGAAAGTTAGGATTAGAAAGAATGATTGATGTACACAGAAAGCCAAGCCACAGAGTTTAAGGTTTGCTATGGCTATGACCGACAGCTTATAAGAGGACCGAAGGCAAGCTAGTTCTCTGCCAGCAGAGGTTTTGTTGAGGAAGGGGGAGGGAAATCCCTTCACCTAGTCCAAGTAGGAAAACATGCATGTCACCACTCTGTGCATGCACCATTGTTCACCTTAACAGTCCTCCTTCCTCTTCCTGGCTTGGTGCTTTGGGGAGGTGGGCTAATCGTGATAGAGTCATGCGACATCAATTGGCCGTTGCTATCGGAGTCTAGCCGTAATCCATTTTGCACTGGTAATCCTTTGGAAGAGCTCTCCAGAAAGACATTTACTGGGGACGTGGCAGGGAAGCCGTTCTGTTCTCTCTCCGGCACCCCATTTGGAGTCCTCGCGGCTAGTTGGGCAGGCTTACTCTCAAGCAGCCACTGGCTGGCTGGCATTTCCTGCTTGCCAGTTCGGTTGGAGATCTGGTCAAACTCTTGCCCAAAGTAGTCTACATCCCCATTCATACCACCGCTCCCCATGGGGCTAGTCACAACACTTCCCATCTTCTGGCTGGGAGGCTTCAGAGAAGAATCAATTGGGGGCTGCGACAATCGGTCAGGTTGCGTGAAAGGGTCATCCCTGAAAGGGTCAGGATTTGGGGTGGGGAAGAAGCTGAGATTTGCAGAGAAAGCATTGTCAGGCAAGAAAGGTGGCTGCAGCTTGGACAGTGGTAGGGGAGGCGCGATGTCATTCAAGAAAATATCCTCCTCTTTGAGAGAAGTCGGAGGGGCCTCAATTTCAGAATTTAAATCCACTAACAGGATCTCTTTATCCTCCTCCTATTAGGTTTGAGAGAGAAGACTGATTAGCAGAAGAGACACTGTAGACAATGTGCAAGAGAGTCTCATGTGCTTATTAAAAATCACAGAGCAAGCAGAATGGCAATGGACTCCAGCAATTCTTAAAATAAGAAACCTGTGAACTACACACTCCCATGCCCTCACATTTGATAGGTAACCCTGTAGTGAATTTTGTGCACTTATTGGACAATCAACCAGGAGATTTGAAGATCAGGAGCATCAGTTCTGAAGTTGTGGTAAAGAGAGAATGTTTACACAATGCTGAATGGAGTCTGGTCCATTAGGGAAAATGGAAACCACTAACCTCAGTCTGCTCTTGGCCAACTCCCATGGGCCTACCTTTGTATTTAGGTTCAGCCCAGGGGGTAGCCCCAGATATCAACTTTCTCCTCCTCGTGGATAGGACCCCTAATGCCATGGTGGCCTGTCTGGAAAAACCACAAGTACTTGCACCCAAGAGTTGCAATCTTCCCAAAGGCATCTGACTAGGAAGCCTGAACATGGCGGCAATTGTGGTCACATAAATCCAACCAGGATTCTCAGTGCTTCGTACTTCTTCTAGTTTCCTTTTCAACCCTTGCTCGGAATATCTTAGAGAAGCACATTGTACTTTTGCATATATTCCCTGTCCCAATGCATCCAGCTACATGTATGTAGGGATTTTAAAATACTGGTTCACAGCTTTGATTCTGGCGGCAGTGTTCGAATCCCTGAATAGTGTATTTAATATGGCTGAGCCAATCTCTAAAGCATATTCTCTTCCACTAAACTACGGTAACGTGTATGGTGCCCTCCAGATACTCCCCACCAGTTGCAGTGAGCATGGCCAATAGTCAGGGATGATGGGAGTTGAAGGGCACCATTTTAGCTACCCCTCTACTAAGTCAATGCCATCCTGCCAACATGGCAATTCCTGATAGGTACAAATGGGCAATGGGCCCAATTTCATGCATCTTACTCTGGGGGGTGGGACTGTGTTCACATTTGTATATAGAAAAGTTCAATCATATGGATAGGTAGTCAACTGCTCATCTGAAACCACCCCTAAGCATCCAAGACAGGCCAGTCCTTAGAAGATTTCTCCTACCATTAAGTCATTTAAAAAGCTATCAACACTACAAATCCAAGTCTTTACTACTCACTGAGGGGCTGTTCAGGTCAGGAGGAGTAGACATGTCTCCAAACAGATCCATCTGCTCCACACCCTTTAAGAACAAAATGGACAGAAAATTAAAATCTATCATACACCTCAGCCTGCAAGGTCATTCGAGTCTAACCAAGAGCATGCTTGGAAGCCCAAGTCTCTGTGGTCTACTTCTCTGTAGTAGTTCAGTTTGTTCAGTCAATCAACTGGCTGCTCATATGTGAAACCTCTCTAGGGACCTTGGGTGTGGTCTCAAAGCAGAAGAGGCCACTATTTTGTTGAAGTCAACCAGGGCTGGTCAGTGCCTGGGTGGGTGACTATCTGGAAACCACATGAATTCCTCACTGGTCCCATGACGGGGGGAGGGGGAGGCATGATACAGAAGAAAAAAGAAATCACATACCAGCTTTATTTTGTCGGCTCGTTCAGTAGCTGTTTCATCACTGCCATTCTGGAACAAAGGAGAGAGAATGTGTGTTTTTTGGTCTCTGCTACACAGATACTCAGTAAGAATAAGCTTTCCCCCATTTTCACATTGTTTGTAAGCAGCAAATGTACTTAAAAGTCTAACAGGCAATTGCATTTGGTTTTTCAGGCCTAAAGATCAATTTGTTTCTTACCTCAACAGGTTTATTGGCCTCTTCGTTCTGAAAAAAAAAGAAAAAAGACATCATGCCATCAACATTTATAGAAAAGCTTTATATATTTGTCCATGTCTACACCGATGGGCAGCAGTTGTCGAAGGCCAATGTCTGCCCCATCACTTGCTACCTGAACTAGAGCATGCACAACTCATAGATGGGATCTGCTTGGTGCAAGGTATGTTCTTCACTATCAAGCTATGGTCCCTTCCCTTAAGGGAAGGGATATCATATTACATGTTGGAACTGCTGAGATGCAACTCAGATTGCACTGCAGGCAACTCTGTCTGCATGGGAAGGAGCAGACTGAGGAACCTCCAAGCTTCCTAGTCTGTCCTTTAACCTGTGCTCAATTTCCTTCAGGCTAGACTGATACTTTTAGGGTTGCTGACCTTGTTTCCTACTTACTTTTTTACACCCTCACCCTGGAACAGATCTTCCAACCCAAATAGATGAATTCATTTTCCTTTTTACCCCATTACCTTGTTGACTGATCTTCTGTACCTGAAGAGTGGACTTATCTGGGAGTAAGTGGTATTGCCAAGTTTAGACAGGCTCCTTCCAGCTGTGTAGGATTTATCTTAGATCAACCAAGTTCATGGTTCAGTCACTGCCACTTTAGATCAATAGCAGGTTTCATTTATCTTAGGTATGGCTACTGTGCAGCCTAAAAATCTGAAAACTTAACAACAGACAGCATTACCTTTCGCTTGTCACCCTCTTCTTTTTTCTTCATGTTATAGATTACTTGGAATAGATCCTTCAGATCTACTACTAGAGGTTCAGCCTAGAAGAGAATAACAGGCAGTGAGTGAGTGAGTGAGTGAGTGAGTGAATGGACAGGACTTAGATTTCCACTTTGTGGCAGAATTCACAGTTCAGCTCATTTCCAAATGGAGTGGAATAGAATTCAAGGAACAGAATTAAAGGCCTATACTAGTGGCATTTTCTCCCAGTGTTCCAATTTCCTGCTGTGTTTAGAGTTCCCTAGATTTTACTTTCTTGGGTTCCATGATCACTGCAGATGGTGACAGCAGTCATGAAATTAAAAGATGCCTGCTTCTTGGGAGAAAAGCAATGACAAACCTAGACAGCACCTTAAAAAGCAGAGACATCACCTTGCCGACAAAGATCCATATAGTTAAAGCTATGGTTTTCCCTGTAGTGATGTATGGCAGTGAGAGCTGGACCATAAAAAAGGCTGATCACCAAAGAATTGATGCTTTTGAATTATGGTGCTGGAGGAGACTCTTGAGAGTCCCATGGACTGCAAGAAGATCAAACCTATCCATTCTGAAGGAAATCAGCCCTGAGTGCTCACTGGAAGGACAGATCCTGAAGCTGAGGCTCCAATACTTTGGCCACCTCATGAGAAGACTCCCTGGAAAAGACCCTGATGTTGGGAAAGATGGAGGGCACAAGGAAAAGGGGACGATAGAGGATGAGATGGTTGGATAGTGTTCTCGAAGCTACCAGCATGTGTTTGACCAAACTGCGGGAGGCAGTGGAAGACAGGAGTGCCTGGGGTGCTCTGGTCCATGGGGTCACGAAGAGTCGGCCACGACTAAACAACAACAACAAATGCCCAAACAGGCTGAGAGTTGGTGATTGGCCCATGGCTACCCAATGAGCTTCATGACCGAGTGGGGATTTAAACCCTGGTCTCCCAGGTCTTAGTCTCTAACCACTACACCACACTGGTCTTGCTCAACATTTCTCCAACCCCTGCAACCTATTAAATATGTAGCAAATGCCAAGCCTCAGAGATAAGCAATTTAACAGTACATCTAAGCTTCCAAGTTGGTGGCCAAAACACTTATGGCAACCACTTCCCCAGTTTTAACCATACTCGGTGTGAAAATTTTGTCAATCCTGCAATTTAAGTAGAGAGCGACAGCTTCCATTTGCAATTTTGTACTGTGCAGCATTGAACATGCACCCAGAATGCTACTTAGAAGAGCAGCACATCAGCACCACTGGTCCCACGATGTAAAGTTTTACCTGCTGTGCTGTTTTGATGGCAAAGAACTGGTGCTGCCCTTCTCCTCCACAAACGTAGCCAAAGGCACGGTTGTCAGTCACATCCCGGGCTATAAAGGATATTTTGTTGACTGGATGCTCATGCTCAATAACCTGGAATCAAAGTGGATGACATGGTGCCAGACTTTAACTCTTGAAAATGTGTAAACCTTGCACTGGTGGTCTTGTAGGCCACTCTTTGCAGAGCATCCCCTAGCAGGTGCCTATTCTTCTGTTTGAAGATCTACAGTAGAGTTCACTACCCTTTTATGTAATTGGTCCCACTGAACTGCTCTTACACAAGTCAAGAATCCTCCACCCCAAGTCCAAAGTCAACCGTCTTCCAAGCCCATGATTCTAGTCCTGTTCTATGGGAGCACTGATATGAGAACGACTTGTTCATGTTTTGCTGTCTTAAGTGTGCCCTGGAAATTTGACTTCCCCATAAAGACTGCTGCCAGTCCAGCTCGCTTTTGTTTCAGCACTCCTCATTCAACAAAGTAGTCAGCATCAATAGAGCTCAAATATTTTAGGCTCTCTGTATGAGGCGTGCACTGCATGTGCACGTGCTATGACCAGAAGCATCTCTGGACCATATCTCAGCACTGGGAAGATTATAGCAATAGCACAGAGATTGTTAGAAAAGGTAGATTGTTACAGGTAGGTAGCTATGTTGGTCTGCCATAGTTGAAACAAAATAAAAAAATTCCTTCCAGTAGCACCTTAGAGACCAACTATGTTATTTATTGGTATGAGCTTTCTATCTGAAGAAGTGTGCATGCACATGAAAGCTCATACCAATAACTTAGTTGGTCTCCAAGGTGTTACTGGAAGGAATTTTTTTTTATTTTGTTAGGAGTAGTTTGTGCTTTATGGTAAAGTTTTAATCTTCGGCTTAGAAGTAAACACTAAGTCATTGACACACACACAAACACACACACTCCAGTAGGGACTGGAAGCTGCCTGTTTCTTACATAGCCCTTAGCCCAAGAAAAATAGAATGCCCCAATTAAAATTTTCACTTGGTGTTCATCAGCCAGAATTTCCTAGATAGGGCTGAAGTGACCTGTGAGGTGAGTCAAGGTTTGCTAGAAAAGCTACAGCCGTCCCCACGTTAGAGGTTTGGCACTAGAGTTTGGTCCATTATGAAATACTTCACCTGGATGGGTAATTAACTAGATGGATAACTTAACTGGCCTGGGCCAGTTTCTGCATTTCTTTGAAATGTCTCTAATGGGAAAGCTGCTGTTTTAAGTTCAGCACATTTTTAGAAGTTTCTTCACCCCAACAAGTTTTAGGTTAGATTGGCACTTTTTTTTTTTATTACGAGAATGGACAGTTTCTCCTAATGGGTTCAGCTTGGCCTCCTCAGAACTTACCCCTGTCTTCTCATCTATGACTTTGATCCCAGCAAGAGAGATGTTCACCCATACTTTCTGTTTGTGCTGTCCTTGAGAACGGGCTGCTACCGCCATTCCCTACAAATGGAACAGCAAAGACATTTCGGTATTCAAGACGTACTGTCGATATAAACTTATTGCAGCTTACGGCTATCACTTAGGGTAAGGGATGGAGAATCCATTTCCCTCCCAGATGTTGGACTCCAACTCTCCATTAGCCAACATGGCCACTGACCAGTGGATAACACAATCTTCATTTCAGCATATCTGAATTTCCCTATATCTGAGTTATGAAAATGCCAAGTCGAATACCAGCTATATACTGCTCCCCAGTTCCCTCACATTTTAGGATTTATTGCATGTTTGGGTGGGTGGGGGATTGTCTTGCAACCTTTGTCTTGCGTTCCAGGTCTAAGTAAAACTTAGAAACTCAAAAGTGTTTGTTGACAAGCAGCCCCCAGGCATTACCACCACACCTAGAGGCTATTCAGAGGGTCATTCAGTACATGAAGGCATCATGTGTGGCCTTCAGACAACACTGTGGGAGGACAGTGTTATGAACAGTCATGTCTCAGAGGAATTTACCAGCACTGTTTCAATACATAAGCAAGAACTCATTTGTCTTAATGAAGTTGTTTTGCAGGAGGAAATAAACAAAATTCTGACATGAGGTGGTGACATTCCACCTAAGAAGCTAAATGGAACAAACCTGAGTCCCAAAACAGCATGCAAGTTCTATCTACAGCATAATGTTCTAGCAATGTTTCCACTTAACCTGAAAATTTTCGACTTTGCCACTATATATTGTTATCTGAATCAGCACTATAAGCAACCTGCAGTATGTGCTAGGACCCATTCTCCACTAGTTTAAGATACTTGAGGAAAGGTCCTATAATAATTGTTGCCAAAATACCTTCTAGGAACTGCAGTTTTGCAAGGATGCCATTAGTAATCCCTAGCCCCCATGAAACTACAATCATCATCCAACACCTTAAAAAAACAAAGAGGCAGGAAATACGAGAGACTCACCTTCAGCTTCATCATTGAATCCTGACTCATCTTGTCTCCCCTTGCTTCTGGGACATCATCAATACCAATCAGTTTGGCCTTGTATCTTACACCATCACCTTGAAATCTGGCCAAGAGAAATTCTTCTGTCTTTTCTGGTCCTGAAAAACCAGTTTTATGGTCATGTGCTTTTGTTTGACCTGCACAGGCTATTAAAAAATCAGAACCTGCATCTCTGTTCATTCCTAACAATGCACCATCAGCTATACCAACATTCAGTGTGTAACCACCGTTTCATCTCCACACTGGCAGTGGAATGCTCTTGGGTAAGAGTAGGGTCAATCCACTCACAAACATTTTAGGTATAAAGAGCCAGAGTTTGCGGCAGATTCCTTGCCCACTGTCTGCTTACTCACGGATCCATCTGTGACTGTGCAGTCCAAGGCAAAGCCCCTAGGTGGCAGCCTTCTGCCAAACTCCTGCTTGTCTGCTTATTTCAACGCTCTGGTTTATGACTCCTTTTAAACCAAAAACCAGTTGGGCAGGTGGGAGTCTCCACGATTTTGTTACTAACCACCCATCAAAAGGACTAATGATGGACAGGCTTTGTGAACGTAAGGTTGCAAAGTTGAGAACTAATTGACTAAATTCCCTGTCATCGAGTATTTACCACAGCAACTGCTGCTTGTTTTCAGCAACTCTTAATTATTGGCAACTCCTTAGGACAGGGGTCAGCAAACTTTTCCAGGAGGGGGCGGGTCCACTGTCCATCAGACCTTGTGGGGGGCTGGGCCCACCGCCTCCTGAAAGCAACCCCTCCCGAAAGGCCCGCCCACCTATGCCACTCATGCCGCAGCCGCCGACACTGCCTAGTCTTCGGCGGTGTTGGCATCCTCTGTCTTGGCGGGGCACAGAGCCCATGCTGCTGGCCTGGGTGGCAGAGGCAGCCTCCACGCCGCTGCCACTTTCTTCCCGCTCAGCTGCTTCCTCCTGCTCGGCCACCTCAGCAGGAAGGAAGGGGTGGCACCCAGAGGCGTCTGTGGCTTCTGAATCAGAAACCATGCCAGTGTCGCTGCCCACCCAGAGGCATCACGGCTTTTGATTGGCTGCAGGAGCTTCCTGCAGCCAATCAGAACCCGGCCCGCGTCACGGAAGTCAGTCCCCGCGCGGGGACTGACCGCAAGGTTCGCAGACTGGATTAGCAAGCCCGGTGGGCCGTATCCAGCCCACGGGCCTTAGTTTGCCAACCTCTGCCTTAGGAGCTGCAGAGCTGTCCTGCCTCCTGGTGCCACTCCTGCCTTACCTTTCTTCTTCTCCTTTTTGAAAGGCTGTGTTTTCGGTGGTGCCTGTTGCTGGGCAGGCGGACTGTTTCCACTAGTTGCTTCCACTTCGTTCGACATGGTGAGAGAGGCCAGTCTCAACTCCAGGAGCAAATGCGGCACTTGGTAACGTGACTGGAATCCAGCTAGCAGCAGACAGGCATACTACTCTGACCTTCAGGAGACAAAAATCGGGATTCAATTCAGTGTTGCCACTGTGTTGCATTGAAGAGTTACAAAGCATAATTCTCAAGAAACAGGAGTATAAAATGATGCTTTATATCAGGACTATTTGTTCATTCAGCACAGCACTACAGAAGGCGGTCCTTATCTGTTACTTGAGCCTTTTGAACTGGAGTTGGACAGTGACCGAAACTGGACCTATTATATGCAAAACATATACATATATGCAACACATATACATTATTTTTTTAATTATTTTTTTTTGCTTTTATGTATTTTTTCTGGAAGCCACCCAGTCAGAAGGGCAACGTATATTTTTTTTTATTATTCTGTTCTCTGCTACTGAGCTTATGTTCCTTCAACAATAAGTTTAGGATGCAGTGAAGAATTACTCATGAAGACTTGATGTGATTCAGTTACAAAGATCCTGGCATGCCATATAACAAATGCCTTCATTTTACAGAATGATGGTTGCATCCACGATATGGGTACAAACCCGTATCAGGCCCCATTCAGAGTTTACAGTAGTGCTAGAATTTAGATTAAGTGGGGACACCTGTTGAGGCTGGGAATGTGTGTACAATCTAGCCCCACCAATACTAAAGGACAAGGCACTTTAAGACCATCACACACGGACCAAGGACTCTTGCACACTCCCCGCCATCCTGCCGCTGGGTAAATAGAGGTTCTCAAAGGCATTTCTTATGAAACACACCCACCAATCACTTCATTTGACTGTGGATCATAGTCTGCAGCCGATATGCTGAAGGGGGATACTCCAGACATTCTGCTGCACAAATGAGGCATGTGCCTTTGCCTAGTATTAGCTTGCATAGGAATGAACGTGGGTGGAATCAATGCTGCTGGCCCTTCCATCTCCTGTTCGTTGCCATCTGTTAGCAGAATAACATCATGCTAACAGATTTGTTAGCGAGCAACTAACCTACCCAAGGCACAAACATTGCAAGGTATAATCCTGCCTTTCATTCACTTTTGAGACTCTGCTGGTTTCTCCAAGTGAATTGAAGACAGGGGTCTGTTGCAGAGGAGAGATCAAACAGCAGTAAACCAGTCACCAAGACACATGCTTCAAGTAGCTACTGAGGTTGCACATTCCTGCACATAGGGACCTCATTCTGGTTTGTGCAAGGGAGTTTATTAAGCTTCTCTAGGGCTCTTCAGAATGCTACCTTTAGCCTTTAGTTTAGGGAAACTTTGTAAGTTATGGTACACGAATGCAGCAGATCCCAATTCCTTAGAAGTCATGGACGGGGAATAATATTACGCAGTCCTAGGAGCAGTGGCGTAGCGTGGGTTGTCAGCAAGGCAAGTAATTTGCGCCCCTAACCCATGGATTTTAGTAGGGGCAGAGAGCTGCGAATGCGAGCGCCCCCCCTCCAAGATGTTGCGCCCGGTGCGGCCGCCCCCCCGCCCCCCACGCTACGCCACTGCCTAGGAGAGCTGCACCACTTTAAAACATGGAACGGTCATTGGCACACTCGAGAACTCTTATCCCCTAGCTACCACCCCCACTGGTTTTTACGCTATGGGAGTGTTATTTGAATGTGGTAGGTGGGTTGGGCTTTCAGTGGTACAGCACCAGGAAGGCTCCACCATATGACTAGTTCTACATGCATTGATCAGCTGCAAGCCTTTGGACATCTACAGTTTTCAGGCCAGGAAGGTCACTATTAGCTATGCAATGTCCATATGCACGAGACCTGGCCTTCATTCCTGTTACAGGTATTTGGTTCAGCTTTGAAATGCCGGCTGCTGTTGGCAGAGTTGCTTTTGCTGAGCTTGACCTCCTAGAAATTCTAGTTGAGGCTGTATTTCAAAGTATTTAGGACATGGGATGCAGGCATCAAATGCTTGTGGTCTTGGGGTGTGTGTTTACTTTTGAGTAGCCCCGCTTTGCAGACTTGAAGTTGCAATACAGCACTGCATCAGTGGACCAGTGAGTCACTTGTTCAGCCATTTGTGGAAGATGTTTCAACAGATAACATACAGCCTCAAACAATCCAAAGCCTTCACAAGACACTTCAAGCCCTGCACCTTAAGATTCAAGCGTTACGGAGAATATAATTTTACTATGCAGTCTATTCTTACTACACAGCGCTGGGAACTGGACGCAAGACAGGTACCCTATCAACATAGCTATACTGAGTAAGACACACAGTTGTTTTAAGCACCAGACAGCTGCATGCTCAGGTTAGGACAAGCAATGGCGGCAGCAGTGCCATCCACATGCTTTTGCACAGAGGTGGACCAATTCCAAGCCTAAGTGTGGGATTTGGAAGGGATTCTGGACTTGTCAGTATCTGTACAAGCCCCTCCTTGCTCCAGAATACCACAAAGGCTACACTTCCATCTGCCCCATAGTCTACTTCCCACAGCCCCCGTTTTAATCTAGAAAAACAGGCCTATTCAATTTGTTTTAAATCTTCAAGACGCACCACCAGTTTTATAATTAGGTATGTTACGGCATTTTATTATGTGTGTAATTTTTGTTGTATGCCACGTGGATATTTTATATGAGGGAGCCACCTATAAATATTTGTAGAAACAAAATTAAATGAACAGCTTCGTTTATTTTTCTAGAGACCCGTTTTCTCTTCAAGATGGAATGCTTGTTATCACTCAACTGAAGCAAGTGGAATGCTGACCAGGTTGTTTAGGGGTACAAAGGTTGCCGTTTCACAAAGTTAATATTTTAGTGATTGAGATTCCTTTGATACTCTTCAGCCAAGTAGATAGAGGCCAAGAAACACAGTTTCCCTCCTAGATAGAGCTCTCAGGCTCCTTTAATTTCAGCTGAAGGAACTCATTGCACCAGCAGACACCATGAGAGGGGGGAATGGTCAGAGGCCAGGCAGCCTGAAGATCTCTCTCTTGAGGTGGCACAAATACAGTCCACACCTTTGCACCCTTTTGCTTGGCCATGGCACCCAAGTCCCTCATCATCTTTGCAACTGAAATGTTGCAGGGATGTAAAACTACTACCTGTCTTAACACATTTGTAAATACTACAATTGCCAAGGTGAGAGAGCCTGTTTTTTTTTTGTTTTTTTTTAAGGTGTGGCGGTATGGAGTTCACAAAATGGGCTTAAATCCACTTGGGATGTACCTTAACAGTGTTTTTTTTAAAAAATTAATAAGCAGTTCTGCTTTGTGCCATGTGTTAACAGGGCACAAGGCAGAAGTTCAAAAGGTGATTTGACATCATGTGACCACTCCTTAGAATGTAGCTGTACCTGAGCAAGTTCTCAATCCTGTTACTCTCCATTCTTCTATTAAGCACAAATTCTGATCTGTTGTCTCATGACCACATGCATGCCAACGGTTGTACGAGTCAAGGAAAGAACACAGATGTTATTCAACTGGTTGCTTCTACATTTGGAGGAATAGCAGGGGAAGGGCCCCACAACTTTCTTCCTCCCCCGCAACTGCTTCTTCAGCTACTGGTTGTAGTAAACACTACTGGGAGAAGCAGCCAGAAGGCTGCCAGCTACTTTCAGTAGGTTGCAGGGGGCATCACATAGGTCCATGGCCTAGAACCGTAACATGTTCTAGATCAGTGTCTTGTGACTGTTTTCTTCTCAAAACAGATGCAGCTATGTTAAGCATGCTCATTTAAAACACTGTCATCTGTTTAGCAGTTTTAAATGACTGTAGATGCCTAGGTGATAAACTACCCAAAGTCAGTGTTCTGTCTAGTTCTACCCAACATCTCCCTCAAGGTCCCGAAGGATCTCTTTTGAAGGCATGCCCACTGGCATTTGAGTAAATGCTCCTATGACTGGAGAAGCAGAATATAAGCAAGACTGATCTTCCAGGACAACATTTTGTAGATTCAGACTCCAAAGGTAGTCTTAAAGCCATGATTGCTAGGTCTGTATGTTTTGCTTCCCCTTTCTTGGTACAATTACAGCCAACAGGCCTGCTCATGTTTGCAGCCTGCATGCTCGCAGCTCACCCAGCACACTGCAAGCCTGTCGCACTTTTTGAAGAGCCACAAGACTTTTCGGGAATCCCCCAATAAATCCCAAGCACAAATTGCTTATGGGCTGCACCAGCGTTGGAAAATAAAGCCATGCAACATTTGCCTTGGCACTTCCTTTGGTGAGAAGATCAAGAAAATACACCAGCGCCAACCAATAGCTGAGTGCCAAAGTATGTTTTTCCAGTTTCATCTGGGCAGGTCAGTCAACAGCTTTCAGGTAGTTTCTTGCCAGTTTCCAGATGCAAAGCTATCTGAGTCTAGGACAAGTAGGTTTCTATGTCCTAAGGAGCCTCTTTTGCCCGAGACGCAGATGATAGATAGGTTTCAATACATTGGGATTTAGAGATGCAGTTATATACCAACCTCACATTTCTCAAACCCTTTTGGAGAAAAGAGACAACCCTAATGTTCTTCCTAGGGAGGGGGAGAAATCTATTCAGTTTGTATTTCAGTCTGCATTTGGAAAGGTGGACTTTCCCAACTGACACTTCCCGAAGCGAAGCAATATGCAAAAAAGACACACAGCTGTCCTGCAAAATTTTCACTTCTGAATATTTCATTGCAAGTACACCAGTCAGCTAAAGGGAACAGACACATATGTACAGTATAAGCGCTCCAAAGTCTGGAAAAAACTGGATCCAGAAGGTGGCATTCCTGAAAGTGTTATTTATTCATTTTAGATGCATACCCCATAATTCAAACACTCAAAGAAGCTTAATACACAAGCACACAGAGGATCTTGCCAAATACAAAGTCAAGCCATGTACCTGCCTATACCAATACTGTGGTATCCTGAGATACCAGAGGTTGAAATAGTGGCCTTTTCACATATGGAAATCATGTGCTCTGCCAAGAGATCCTTCACTGAAGAATGAGCAACTGAACCTTACAGGATGAAGATGCCTCACCTCACCTCCATTCTATACCACTTTGAGCAAGCTGTAACTGCAGGGGCTTGTTTGCCCCTTTAAAGTCTGCACAAAGCTTAGTTTCCCATAGGGATGCTACCATGAAACACTGACTTTACCCACAGCCTGGGACTCAACAAAAAGCACTGTAGCTTTTGAAGGTAGAAGCTACCACCAAATCCCTCTTTTCTTTGCAAGAGGAAGGAGAACAGCCCAATATTGCCCATAGCAGCTTCTTAAGAGAAAGTTGCTTGGGGGACGTAGAAGCTACTAGCTCACCCTACCCAACAGTCAGCCCTTAAAACTGCTCGGAGGAGTCTCAACACACAGCAAGGAATGTTATTTACACTATTCCTAATCCCAGCTACATATATTTTTTATTGTGTTTGGAGTAGGGCTGAAGCACCACGTTGCAAAACCATGCCCAAAGAGCTGCGTTTTTGTATGAAGCCTAGCCGAGTTGGATCTGCAGCACAATCGCACATTCATGTGTATCAGAGCCTTGACCTGCTAGGACACTTACAAATACAAATTCTGCTGAAAACTCAGCCTTGAGTTGGGCAAACCCCCTTCACAGTGCGGAGCAGGAAAATGCAGCAAGCTGCCAGTGGCAGAGGAAGAGCGGTATCTTCCATTGCCAGCTCAGCGCCATTCCTCTGCAGTCCCCTTTGCCTCTCACCAATGCTGCACAAGCGACCACAGATGCCAGTACAAACATGGAAGGAATGGAGCAAGAACAGTGAGTTGGAGAAAGGAAGCTTGGTGTAGGTCTGTAGTGAGTGCCAGGGATTAGACTGAGGCCTGCATTTGGCTTTAGGCTGGAGCTGGGAGTAGCTGATGTGATGCCCTCCAGATGCTGTGGACTACGACTCTGAGCATTGGCCAAACTGGCAGCGGTCAATGGAAGTTGTAGACTTCTGAAGGATGCCATGTTTGCTATTCCTGGGCCAGAGGCTCCACATAACTAGGCTGTATTAACCTTGCTACTGTTAGCAAAGCCACTTAAATAATGCAGGTGGTGTCCTGGGAGCCGGCGTGGTGTAGTGGTTAAGAGCAGTAGTCTCGTAATCTGGTGAACCAGGTTCGCGTCTCTGCTCCTCCACATGCAGCTGCTGGGTGACCTTGGGCTAGTCACACTTCTCTGAAGTCTCTCAGCCTCACTTACCTCAGAGTGTTTGTTGTGAGACTCCTTCGGGTAGTGCTAAAGCAGGATATCAAATCCAAACTCTTCTTCCAGATAGAAAATAAATCCTGGTAACAATTGACTAAGCAAAGCCAGTGTATAATGAGAGACGACACGAACAGTGGGCAGAAACTGCCAAGAGACTGCAGCAGGGCTATGCTGCTCTGGCTGCAAGTGCCCAACAATGCTAACCCCTGGCATCGGCCCATCATGCACACACAGCTTCTAGAAGAGCAGCCTTCTTTTTAGATGTACTGTGTCAATAACATGCCAGCCGATTAAGTGTCCTTTAACCAAGCAACAGCCCTATGAACCATCTGCCCACTGCCTTCATATCAGTACTTGTTGTTTACCATCACAAGTTATGTTAGACAGATGGGAAAAGGTCTTATGCAAGTTACCATCATTGGTTTCCCCCACCACAGGTGATCAAACCCAAGGCGTTTCACTGCTAAATGTGAAGGACAGTGGTGGGTTGTCCATTTGGGCAAATGGGGCACTGCCCACCAACCTCAGCCAGCCCCCGCCTGCCTTCTTTCCTACCGCAACCAGTCCAGGAGCTGGCCTTGACTTCCTCCTCCCAAGCCTCAATGTTGCCCTTGTAGAACTCTGTTGAGGAGAATGGGAGAAAACTAGAATCGTTGTGTCCGCCTGACATTGATTCTGGCTCTGCTTACTGTTGGGCTCCTTTGTCTTCTGATCAATGGATGCCAGCCACCACTGGTGAAGGATAAGATGCCCTTCCTCATTCTATGGATAGACTGGCAGTCCTTACCTTACGCTCAGCGATAGCAAGGAACAGCATCCTCCACCAGTGCAAGGTAGGCCATATGCCACACAATTCTCCCCCAAAACCTTGCCACAGCATCCCAGCCATCTTCTACCCAAGGACACTGCCTCACTGTGCCCAATGACTGTGCCAGCCCCCAAATCCAGGCTTACAGCCTTCACAATACTTGCAGAAAATTGTAAGGGCCCCAGTGGAGTTGCCCTTCTCCTAGGCCTCACTTGTAATTCATGAAGTACTACAGGGTAGGAGGTTTTAAGTTCCAAGAACCAAAAGCACTTTCAGAGACACATCTGCTTTCCATACATTTATCCAGAACAGGATCTTAAAAATCTTTGTATTACTACATTTAAAGCATTAGAGACTTTTAAAAAGGTAAGAGATTAAGTGTTGCTATTTTGGATACTCGTGGATGGCAATTCCTTCCTACATGCAAGAAATGTATCTGAGATACACAAGCTGGGTTTTTAAGTAACTACATATTACTAAAAGATGGCAAAGTAGCCGCAAGCAGGAGGGCAGTAAGCCACAATCTAAGGCAGCGGCTCTCAACCTGTGGGTCCCCAGATGTTGTTGGACTACAACTCCCATCATCCCTGAGCTCTGGCCTTGCTAGCTAGGGGTGATGGGAGTTGTAGTTCAGCATCATCTGAGGACCCACAGGTTGAGAAAGGCTGATCTAAGAAGTATGCTATCACCTTTTAAATAACCCATGCTATTCAGCTGGCTTTTACTTGGGACTTCCAAAGTTGACTTCTAGGGTACACAATTTCATAGAATCATAGAATTGTAGTGTGAGGGTCATCTGGTCCAACCACTTGAAATGCATAGTTGACAGATGGCCATCCAACCTTTGCTTAAAAACCTCCAAGGAGAGTCCACCAACTTCGGAGGGAATTCGTTCCACTGTCAAACTGCTCTTACTGTCAGAACGTTCTTCCTGGTGTTTAGTCAGAATCTCCTTTCTTGCAATTTGAAGCCATTGGTTTGGGTCTTACCTTTCAGAGCAGGAGAAAACAAGCATGCTCCACCTGCCATGTGACAGCCCTTGAGATATTTGAAGATGGCTATCACATCTCCTCTCAGTCTCCTTTTTTCCAAGCTAAACATTCTCAATTCTCTTAACAGTTCCTCAGGAGGCTTGGTTTCCAGACCCTCCTGTGCACATGTTCCAACTTGTCAATATCCTTCTTAAATTGTGGTGCCCAGAACTGGACACAGGCATGGTCTGACTAGGCAGAATAGCGTGGGACTATTAGCATTTTTTTGCAGCTGTTGACTCATGTTAAGCTTGCACTCCACTAAGACCCCTAGATCCTTTTCATGTGTACAGTGGTACCTCAGGTTACATACGCTTCAGGTTACATACGCTTCAGGTTACAGACTCCTCTAACCCAGAAATAGTGCTTCAGGTTAAGAACTTTGCTTCAGGATGAGAACACAAATCGTGCTCCGGCGGTGCGGCGGCGGCAGGAGGCCCCATTAGCTAAAGTGGTGCTTCAGGTTAAGAACAGTTTCAGGTTAAGTACGGACCTCCGGAATGAATTAAGTACTTAACCTGAGGTACGACTGTACTACAGGAAAGACCTCTAAAAACAAGTATTTTCTGGATCTGCTCTACCCCTGCCTTCTGAAGCCAGTTAGACTTTCCCTTCATCAAGCAGCAAGGAGAGACCTGCACTTTACTACCTATTAGAAAATAGGTTATTATTTGCCAACAAGCAAGGGGAAACTACATTTCTCCTTTACCCATTCCCACATAGGGTCTGGGCTTTCAGTATTAATATAGATTCATTGTCCTTTACAAAGGAGCATTTTTTTCAACTGGCCTGCAATGTCCTGGAAACAGCAACTAAGGAGTATGATCTGGAATAGAAAGGAATAACTGCACCTCCCACTAGAGATAACACTGACAGTTTTATCCTTTGCTCAGCCATGTGCATGAATTCAGTATTACTTGGTTGCATTCCACTTGAGTAGAATATAGCACTAGCAATTATGTCAAGTATTTGCAAAGACAGCATTATCTATTGTGACTATTCTACCAAGTGTCCTGGTATGCATAGGTCCAGGCAACACAAAGGGGGTGGACAGTCATTCCTGAATCTACCTATCTCAAGGAGGAGGGGGAGGCAAGTTGCAAAGCTGATGCTGAAGACACAAGGCATTTTTGTACACTATTCCTGAATGCCGATTAACATACACCCTCTGAAAGAGTGGGGTCAAAGGATTCCCATTATTGGTACATAGAGTAAGTTTAATATACAAGCAGCTTCTTACTTTTTTGGGAGGGGATGGGGAGCTTAAATGAAACCTTCCTCCAAATTCCTATCCAAAAATTGATTTAATTTTTGGTTAGTACTTCCAATATTTAATACTGAAAAACATTTGTTCTGAGTGCTTTCAAGTGTTTAGAAACACTTCATAATCTAGTTACAGCCATCCTGTAAGGCAGCCTTGACTAACCTGCTGCTCTCCACAAATTGTTTAGGAATCCTATGAGTTGGAGGCACCAGGTTGGGCACGCCTACCTTATTATCCCCTAAATTGCAGGTGGGGGAGACTTAGGCCAAAAGAGAACAGCTTTCCTAAGTCTACCTAGCAAGTTCCCAGAAGAGGCAAGATATCAGCCACATTATTCTGGATCCATAGCTCAGGATGGTATCCAATCAAGTAATATCAGTAGACCCATTACATCAATGGACTTAAACATTCACTCATGGATAACTTAAGTTCATTTATTTCAATAGGTCTACTCCAAATATGACTTAAGATATCATTGAAGGCAGTGCTCTATACCAGAGCCTCTCTCAACCTTGGGTCCCCAGATGTTGTTGGACTACAACTCCCATCATCCCTGACCACTGGTCCTGCTAGCTAGGGATGGTGTGAGTTGTAGTCCAATGACATCTGAGGACCCAAGGCTGAGAAAGGCTGTTATACCAGCTTAGCTTTACTTTTAAGTGCTGTTTACTGCATTTTGATTTTTGTAAGGCGCGTTAGAATACATGTATTCTTAAAAAGCACTATATAACTGAATTACACCGTTTCCTCATGCAGCAGATGAGGTGATAAACCCGTGCCTGGGCAAGAGCTCAGTGACAAGAGCATCTGCTTTGCATGTAGAAGCTCCCAAATTCAACCCCTGACATCTCCAAACAGGGCTGGGAGGGAAAACACTATGAAATCCTGAAGAGCCATTGCAAGTCAATATAGACAAGAATGGGCTAAATGAAACAATGGTTTGATTCTGTGCAAGGGCAGCTTCTTATGTTGAGAGCACCCCATGCTGTCAACATCTGTGGTACGGTGATTACACGGTGTCCACATAAAACCAGGATTACTCAGGCAACTTCTGCTCCCATCTTTGTTCCTTCTACAAGTTAAAAGCCAAGACTGATCTAAAAAAGGTTTAGAAGGCACCTACCAAATTATGTCAAGTTTATCATTACCAAAGGCAACCTCCTTGCAGCACATAGATTTTATACCATTTTGACTGCCACAAACTTCCCCATCCTATAACTAAAGTTAATGCAAGTGATTCTCTAGAAGCCATGAGACTACAGCTAATGGGAATCCCCTGGGCAGAGGAAATTATTTTAGGTCTGTAGTGCACAGATACCATATGTTCCAAATGCTTATTTTCTGGTAACTGTTCCTATTTTGCAAGATGTTAAGGGTTCCTTGACTATTAATGTTCTAAACAACAACAACAACAACAACAACAACAACAACACACACACACACACACACACACACACACACACCAGGAATGCCATCTTGCGGTGCATGCCTGTATGTATGTATGTAATAAATAATAATAATAATAATAATAATAATAATTACTTATACCCCACCCATCTGGCTGGGCCTCCCCAGCCACTCTGGGCGGCTTCCAGCAGAATATTAAAAACAATAAAACATCAAACATTAAAAACTTCCCTAAACAGGTCCAGGGGCATAGCTAGCTGCTCTGACACCCAGAGCGCTGGGGGCAGGGTACCGCAGCCATCCATGCATGGGGGCACCACATGAGGGTGCCATGGCAATCTGCACATGGGGGCGCCACACGGGGGCACTGTGGTGATCCGCGCATGGGGGCACCACGGCGAGGCACCCACGGAGTCCGCCTGGCAGACGCAAGCCCCACACTGCTGTTTCGTGCAGCGGGGGTCCCGAGCCACTGCATGACTCCCAGGAGAGACGTGTGGCTCGGGTGTGCTACAGGCCAGGCCCCGCGGTAAGTGCTGCCCCCCTCAGTGTGTCATTTTGTCACCCCCCTCAAGGATGACACCCAGGGTGGGCCACACACACCCTGCACCCCCCTCCTACACCCCTGAACAGGACTGCCTTCAGATGTCTCCTAAAAGTCAAATACAGTGGTACCTCAGGTTAAGTACTTAAGTCGTTCCAGAGGTCCGTTCTTAACCTGAAACAGTTCTTAACCTGAGGTACCACTTTAGCTAATGGGGCCTCTTGCTGTCATCGCACTGCCGGAGAACGATTTCTGTTCTCATCCTGAAGCAAAGTTCTTAACCTGAGGTAATATTTCTGGGTTAGCGGAGTCTGTAACCTGAAGCGTATGTAACCCGAGGTACCACTGTAGTTATTTATTTCCTTGACATCTGGTGGGAGGCCGTTCCACAGGGCGGGCGCCACCACCAAGAAGGCCCCATTACATGGGTTAGGTGCTTCCCAGCCACTCACTTCAACAGCCTATTTAAATCCAACAGCATGGTGCAGCTTCTCTGTTGAAGACAACCAGATCCACTGAAGTTAGGTTTATGGGTATATTTTGCAACACTCCTTGCTTCAGGAACCAGGGCAGGATGATCTAGGGCACAGTACAGGGATAAAGAACAGAGGGTGCAAAGGGCAGCTTTCAGCACTGCACTGTAAATGGGGCCTCAGCTGGACAATTTCAGACTCTGGATTGGAATGGTCTTCCTGGGGGACCTCTCCGTAGAGGGCATTGCAAGCTACATCACAATATAATTAGAAGTCAGCCCTGAAACTGATGCCCATTTTGTGGTCCTCCTGCTCATTGTGGGAGGGTTCCCAGTCATGGGTACTTGCCTGTATTTGATCTGAAATATTGGCAGGGAAACACTGATGATGTACATGCTCAACAATGCTACAGGTGGGCCATTATCTTCCTTTTGTGAGCTAGAAGAGGCTGAATTAACACCCAGCTATATATTACATGCAGACCTGTACAACTAAACCCAGCTGCTGCTGTTCTAGGTTGCTTCACACTTATCACACTGTTTAGTCATCCCATAGCAGTTTCACAAAACTACACTTGGCAAGGTCTGTTGCAACTGGCACAGCTCTGGATTTTGCACTCAGTTGCAGCTGCCTGTAAAAAAGGTTTTTAACTTGAGGCCTAGAATCCCACCAAACCCAGAGGAATTCCGATCACGCTACCATGAGAATTACTTGGGTGACTGGGAGTCATCTCTCATTGAAAGATGCCAATGGTTTCTAACAGTTTTAAGGCACTTCTGTGAACTGATTCCCAGGTCGCTAGACACTAAGGCGGCTTAAGCACCCACACATTTAAAGCACATGGCGTCCCCCCAAGAATCCTGGGGAGTTTACCTCTCACAGCACTACAATTCCCAGCACCCTTAACAAACTACACTTCCCAGATTTCTTTGGAGAAGTCATGTTCTTTAAGTGTATGCTGGGTGCGCAGCTTAAGTCAAGCATCCCAGTCAAAATCATGGGACAGACATTCTTGGAAGTACAGCTGCCTAGAGAGTCTTTTAGCAAGTAAAAAACTCCAGTGGAAGAGAGTCAAGTCGTTTCATTAAAAAGGGCTAAACAGTCGTGACAGCGTTGGCTGCAAAAACCACCCTGACATCAAGAGATCTTTCCTCTGTTGTAAGAACACTAAGAACTAGCCAACCACTTAGATGAATCCCATTTGGGTCACCTCCCACGTCCTGCTTTCACTTCCACGGGGTGATTATGCGGCCAGCGCTTCCTATCAAGTGTTCCACATTTTTAGCTGTCATATCCAACAACATCAGTGACAGAGTAACACAAACCTTCTAGGTTATATGTGGAGAAAGCTCAGCAATCAGGGAGTTCAACAGTATATAGCCATCTATTTCCCTTAATAAAATGGTCCCCCTGGAAAAAAATGTTTATGGTTAAATGGTAGTAGTAAAGTCTGTTTATAACACATGAGCTTAGAATTACAATATATATTTACAGCAGTAGGAAAGAGACCAGGAGGTTAACCAATGTTCAGTCTGCTGTCCAGGTACTAACTGCTGCTAAACTTCCAAGTTTGTTGCTATCTCTTCCAATGGCTCTTCATCTTTTAGACCACAACCCTTCAAACAGAGGACTGTCTCAAAAGGAGGACCTATGCCTACCCTAACTGGGACTATTCTCCCCAGCCCTCAATAGCTGCAAGCCCAGCTATGGCAAGTTAATGGGGAAAAAACATAAGGATTATGCAGCAAGAGCCAGGGAATATACCCTGGGTGGTTTCCAGATTGGGGTGAGCAGCTATGTTTAGAACGCCATAACGAAGTTTGACCAAATTGCAGGATTTGCCTGTATTAATCCAGAAGGAATGCATCACTGGAATTCTGCTATGCCTTTGTCACATGGCCTGCTATGTCAGCGCCAGAAAGTTCTTGCTTTTGGCCTTGAATCAAATAATGCAAGGTCTATTCATTGCTGGCATGTGGGCCCCAGAATTATAACATTGTTGTGTGAACCAAATGCATTACAGAATTTGCAATCTCAGGATGATTGTGGCAGTGGCCAATCAAGAGTATACAGTATTAGCAGCAGCCAAGCAACAGTGTATTAACACCCCTGTAAGTTAACTACTCTGCAACTGCAAGTGGAATTTGTAGGTACTGCGGTTAGCTTTCATTTCAACGATTATCCTGCCAAGCAAGAGGAACTGGTGGGACTTAGTAGCCAGCTTCAACATAACAGATCTAACTGGTGCATTCTCTCGCACACAGTTCCTTGCAAAGACCACTTCTGTGTCCACCAGACAGCTTTACAGAACATCTGAGGTTATCAGCTGGTGCATCCTGGAGCATACAGCAAAACATACATGCGTTGCCTTCCAAGTCAGGGTAAGCACCACCACCCTTTGGTTGAGACCTATGCTTCATTTTATTACTCAGTTGCATTCTGAACTGCTGAGTGAGCAGTGATGGACAGTTGACTGCCAATGTTTTGTCCTTAGCTGGCCCTGTTACATGGTTAGTAGTAAAGTTCTGAAGTTCAAGTTTTCTGAAATATTTAAAGAGGAGCAGCACAAGGCCTACACAGCACACAATCTGCTATATTCTCCCATCAAGTAACACTATTTCTGCAGAGCTTCTTGTCAAGTTTGCATTAATACGGGGCAGTTCAATACTTTCCGGGAAGTCGTCTCAGCCCAGCGCAAGTCTCTGTTCCTCCTCCCCACCCTTAATCCAAGCTGCCATCCCATCAAAACCCTCATTTCCAGTTAAGGCAACTTCTCAGAAGGATTAGGGGCATCATGCCACGTTACAGAGGTCCCCTTACTTCCATAAAATGAGATTTCTGCCAAAGGCAACTTCTGCCTCAGCCATCTGAAATAATTCCATTAGAACACTGCTGAGTGACATGCCCCACTTGGAACAAACAACCTCAAGCAAGGATTATTCGAGAACATTTAATTAGGGGCTCTTTTCCTACTCAGGGAGCACCAATCTAGCCAACCAGTCAGTGAATTCTACACAACCACCCCCAGTGGCTAAGGTAATGAACATTCAAGATGAGTGCATACTACCAGGTTAAAAACCTCATGGTTTTAGAAGGTGTCTGTTGATTAATGCATATGCTTCCAACATCCACATATACATTTAACAAGAACTGGGGTGTTTTTTCCCAAGCAGATATTGGCCTGGTGATGAACTCTGCTTATCCCAGATGCACAGAATGTGATAAGATAACTCATTAGGTTAAGCGTTCCCATTTGACATTTCATCTCCTTGCTGTGGCCGAAGGAATGACTAGGCATTTCCCCGCCTTAAAGAATGCTGTGACTCCACTAGATCTCATATGGCTCCTCGAAAGGGGCAGCTGATTAATAAAATGGCTTTGCCTTATCTGCCACAGAAATTTTAAGCCCACCCCTAAGCTTAAAGGGGTAATAAAAGTTCTGGATTTCAGTCAAGTTGGACTCCTTGATCAGAGGCTTGCTTGCAAGTTCTACAGTCCCGTTAAGACATTATGTTTATTAACCACCGTTAAGCATTACACCTGCAGAGAGAAAGGTCTAGGCATTCTCACTTTTTTCTGCTTGCAAAGCAGGTTTTTGTTTTTTTAAGCCTCCTGATAAGAATTTGACCTGTTTGCTATCTAAGAATGATACAGCAGAAAAGGAATAGGGATTGGGAGGGAGGAGGAAAAAAGCATGTCACAGTAGCTTTGCCTGAAATGCTTCTACCTCTGCATCTGCAAACTCTACTTTCATTCAAACACGCAGGTGTATAGCAAAAAAAGGCAGTTCAGCCAATTAGTTACACTAGAAGTAGAACATGAAACCCTCCTTTCAGCCCATCTACACCATTAACAGAAGCCATGGCTTTTGGCTATTTGGTGATTAGCCCACCACACCTCTCCTCCTTACACCTGTGAATACAACTCACCTGCTCCTCATCTTCCATTAGTTCCTTTTCTGCAGAAACATGCATTTCTATTTTAGGGCAATAATTGTTTGGCAGCACCACCACCCTGCTTCAAACAAAGTGCTGGAAAGATGTCTACATGCCGATACTGAAGGCATTCCATCAAGGGCTTTCTGGGGCCAACAATTTTATTTCTTTAAAGCACATTGATCCTGCTCTTTAGTCAAAGGTCAAGCATATGACAATTCCTCTTCGTGCTTACAAAAGGAAAAGGGATTGGGAGGAAGGAAACCAACTCTGGCACTAGAAAGATTTCAAGGGGAGAAACTGCCAAAAGTCACTAGTCTATCAGCAAAGCAGATGGGGAGGTCTGGCAGATCCACCTTCTGACTGAATGACTGCTGATCGAGTTGAAGGAACTCAGTGAAGCAAATTGATATAAATAAGGGTTTTGAGACTGCATGCTTCTAGAGTTGCCATGTTTTACTGGTCTTGTGCCTCAACAAGTCAGTCAAGGCTTTGGACATGAAAGGTGAGGTTTCTTGGTATGGAACTAAGCTTGTATATGCCCCGCTGATCCTGGAGGCCAAGAAAGTGGCAAGCCTTTCTTCAAACACAAGACATGAACCTGTTGGTCGCATTAATCCTACGTTCTTCAGATACTTTTCAATATCTCCCTCCCCACAACCATAGTTGACAAGAATCAACCCCTTTCCCCTGAAACCATAACGGCTTAAAGTATTATTTCATTCATTTTTCCAGAGTGCTGTGATTTTTTTCCCTTTGCTGTACGTATTTTCTTGCCCTACAAATTCTCTTCCAGATGCATGTGTATTAAATCCAATATTTTATCCTCTAGGAAATTATTTTTCCTACCACCTCTGGAAGAGGGAGAGAAGAAAGGCAACACAATCCCAGAACTCCAGAGGTTTTAAAAATGTTAACTTGCCTTTCCAAACCACCCTATACCAACAAACTCCTGGGATAAGCCCTTGGGCGAGCTGTTAAGTCACACACTTAGCCAGAGTTTGGGGACATATTACTTTCTATTGTTTCCCCACTTGCTTTTAAATGGACCACTGTTTCCACCAGGGCAAGGAAGAAGTTACAGGAGCATTTGACACCTGGGAAGGTGCCCTACTCTAGGGAAAGCTGCCACGTTTAGGACACAAGCCAGGGATCACAAAAACCATTACCCTTGACATTTTCCAGGGCCCAGTTCAAGCCTAACCAATCAGCGAAGCACTGCAGATGCAAACAAGAGATAGCCAACATGGGACAACAGATGCACTCTAGCTCCACTCATCCCTGAATAGTGCTGTGCAGACTGGAGGATACCCCTGTGCCAACTGAATAGCAATGTCTCAAGGGATGCTTCCTCCGACTTTCCGCGGCTTAATTGCTCCCTTATTTTATTCACCTTGCTCAAACCAAGCTCTCCAGCACGACCATTTCAATGGCAAGATTTATTGTTTTGTATACATTTGCCTGCCTTGACCTAGCCCCCTTCCAATGCTTGTTTATTTTCCTAGGATTCCGCTCTCCCCGCACCCCTTCCTAAGAAATGCCGGGAGTCCTGGTCTCTTAAAGGGGTAGCTGTGGCAGGGACATTATCCTCAAGCCGGATTGCTACATTTACACTGCAGGCAAAACACCACATTTAGAGCTGGCTACTTTGTCGCCCTCCCCACTCATTCCATTACTTCACCATACAATTGCGGCAAGATTAAACTCAAATAATAGTAGTAGTAATAGTAGTAGTAGTAGTAGTAGTAGTAGTAGTAGTAATAGCAGCAGCTCCCAGCAGTCTTGGCTGCAAGATGATTTTTTTAAAAAAGCAAGCTAAGGAGACACTGTAGTTATTTTATAGAAAGCAACCCAGCATTAGAGAGTGGAATGCAAATTCCCAATTCAAGAGGCCAAAATATAGCCATTGTTTCCTGCCTCCCAAGTCTGGCAAGGCCACCTGGAGACCTTCGGAGGCGCAGCTGCCTTGGGGACCGACCGAGACCCAGCGTGTGTGTAGGGTATGTTTTTTGCGCGTGTGCGTTTGCGTGTGCGTGTGAACCCTGCTCAGAATAGGCCCCCTCGAGCCGACAGCAGCCACCCCTCGGAGGCTCCCCGGCTGCCTGGCGGCGAGGCAGCTCGTCCGGTCGATCCCGGAGCTCCGCCGGTCTCGTCGTGCCTCTCCATGATACCTCCTGGGAGGTGGGGAAGGCAAAACGCGGACATGTCACTCGGACGCCTCCGAAAAGCCGCTGTCGTGGCTGCAAACAGACGCTGCAAACCGGAGCCTGCCTCCCTGCCTGCCTGCCTGCCTGCCTGTCTCCCCGGCCGAAAGTGCGTTCCTTACCAGCCTCAGCGCCGCGCCTCTCCCCACATGATCCCGCCACGGGAAGCCGGCAAGCGCCCTGACGCAGCGGCGGCTCCGCTTAAATATTGAGCCCCGCGCGAGCCTTCGGCGGCCTGAGCCACTCACAGCGAGAGAGATGGTTTTAATCAGCTGCTGGCAGCTGAGCACTGCCCAGGAATGCGCGCCGATGTTTTTGCTGCCTCGGCTCGGGCGACTCCCCCTCAACGTGTCTTGCGCTCCCAAACTTAACTCCTTCCGTCCCGGAGAGGAAGGAGATGGAGGGTGGGGGGTAGGAAACAGTCCAGCGCCGCGCGCGCTGGAGGGGTCAGTGGTTAGAGGCAGTGACGGATTTATGTATAAGCTAAACAAGCTATAGTTTAGGGTCCCACACTCTTGGGGGCCCCCCAAAAAAAATTAAAGGGAAAAAAACCCCTGGATGTACATTTCCAACATATAAGATAAAAAACAAATAAAATAAAACCTACAGTGTTTTGTGTTGTGTAGGCTCCTATGATGTCAGTAATGGCCTCCGCCTGCTAGCCTGCTCTATAAAATATCACTGGTTTCCTCTTTTCTATATATAGGGTGCCTACATTCTGCATGGACTGGTTGCATGGCAACATGTGCAAATGGCTTTAGATATTAGGTCCATAAATTACCATATAGCATATATTCAACACAAAAAACAGCAGCAATTTGTTGTTGACAAAGGACAGCTGGACAGATAAAGGGCCCCATTACCTCCAGTAGCTTAGGGCCTCAACAAACCTACATCCGGTCCTGGCTGGAGGGGTCAGTGGTTAGAGCAAGCGGGGAGGGAGAGCTGGGGCTGGTGGGGGAAGAAGGGTTTGGCAGAGTTTAGGATCTGGACGTTATGAATGGGACAAATTCATAGGAACCCAGGGAGCTGCCCAAACCGAGTCCCCAATGGCGCAGCAATAAAACTGCCAGCAGGTTTGCAAAACTAAGCAGGGTCCATCCAGTTTGGTTTCAGATTGGATGGGTGGGGTGTGGGTTGAGAGTCTTGCACTGCATGGGGCTGGACTAGATGACCCCTCGAGGTCCCTTCAATTCTGCATTTCTATGATTCTAAGTATTGCCCATCTGGCTCCATATCATTTGCACTGACTGGCAGTGGCTCTCCAGGGTTTCGGGCAGAGGGCAGCCCTACCCAGAGGCGCCAGGGATAGAACCTGGGACATTTGACGTGCAAAGCAAGTGCTCCACCGCGAAGCTATGGCCCTTCCCTCGTATGGTGGGCTTTCTGACATGTCCTTGAAATCTATAGGGCAGGGGGGCTGTATTTGAGAAGATTATGCAGATGCAGAACTAGACTTTATTTCACCTGGGTCACAGACCCAGTTTGGCACCCTCCCCATGTGCATTTGCTCTCTCTCTCTCTCTCTCTCTCTCACACACACACACACACACACACAGGCTGGGAGCCTTAATGGTTTCAAAAAAACCTGGCTCTGTGAGATGCTCAGTTCAGGATCAGGGCCCCAATCACTTTGCTTTCTTTCCTTTGCACTCTTCAACTTAGCATCCTTCATTAAAGGTAAAGGGACCCCTGACTATTAGGTTCAGTCGTGACCGACTCTTGGGTTGCGGCGCTCATCTTGCTTTATTGGCCGAGGGAGCTGGCGTACAGCTTCCAGGTCATGTGGCTGGCATGACTAAGCCACTTCTGGCAAACCAGAGCAGCACATGCAAACGCCGTTAACCTTCCCGCCAGAGCGGTACCTATTTATCTACTTTGATGTGCTTTCGAACTGCTAGGTTGGCAGGAGTAGGGACCAAGCAACGGGAGCTCACCCCATTGCGGGGATTCGAACCGCCAACCTTCTGATCGGCAAGTCCTAGGATCTGTGGTTTAACCCACAGCGCCACCCACGTCCCTGCATCCTTCATTGTATTCTATCAAATTCAGTGGGATTTAAAAGGGCCTGTAGATGAGTAACAGCTCAGTCCTATTAATGGCTTCTCAAAGCAGTTCAGTGATGCTTGCTCCCAGATAGGTGAGTGTAGGATTGTAGTTTAAAAGGGTTGAGGATTGCGGTCATAATGTTAAAAGTCATTCATAGTTTGGGACATTTGGTTTGTGTGTGTGTGTGTGTGTGCAAGTGATGGCTAGGAGCCAACTCCTAGGGGCCAAGGTCCCTTCGCTCCCCATAAAACATTTGAGGGGACCAGGCCCTCTACAAAGTTAATGGACATTGTCATTCATATGTTGGGTGCATGCCAGGTCTTGTGATTGATTATGGGGGAGGGGCTTACATGGGCCCTCCCAATAGTTTATTTAAGTTGGCACCACCCACCTGTCAAAGTTGCCCCATTGGATCATTGGCAAGGGGGAGTGGAGAGAGATAAAAGGTCTGACACCAACTATGTCTTTCCCATCGCTGCCTTACAAGGCTGTTTTTTCCAGCTTGCTTCTGTTCCGTGCTTGTCATGTGCTCAGTCACTGGTCCATTCCGTCCTGGTTTTTGTGGATTTTTAAAGGTGGAAAATTAGCATTTAAATTGCATGCAATTTCTAACACACTTCTAATTCCTCTTTGTGTACATTTACTTGTTTTGAGGATTATTAGAAAATGCATGTAAAACCCCTTGAATACTTAAAAGTGCCATACAAATGTTGTGTATTGTCATTATGGTGTGGTTTATTTATATGTATACTGCATTTTAACTCAAGGTTCCCAAAGCAGTGAACAACAATATACATTAATACAAATGAAATATATAATAAAAGTACAGTGTATCAATTAATCAAAACAAAATAAAATAGCATCGGAATTCAGCCACGGATACAGATTGTATAATAGGATTTGATTCTCACTAGGTTCTGTGCACTGGAAATTGCAGAAATATCCATTCTCACTTTGGTTCTTTGCGGGAGGGAAGAAGTAATCAGAACCACCTTGTTGGCATTTCTCCCTACACACCTGGTTAAGTCAAAACCCCTCAAAATAGTGCCATCATAGCTCATGTACATAGAGGTTTCAACCGTCTCAAGAGTGGTTGTTGTTGTTGTTGTTGTTGTTGTTGTTTAGTCGTGTCCGACTCTTCATGACCCCATGGACCAGAGAACGCCAGGCACGCCTTTCTTCCACTGCCTCCCGCAGTTTGGTCAAACTCATGCTGGTAGCTTTGAGAACACTGTCCAACCATCTCATCCTCAGTCGTCCCCTTCTCCTTGTGCCCTCCATCTTCCCAACATCAGCGTCTTTTCCAGGGAGTCTTCTCTTCTCATGAGGTGGCCAAAGTATTGGAGCCTCAGCTTCACGATCTGTCCTTCCAGTGATCACTCAGGGCTGATTTCCTTCAGAATGGATAGGTTTGAGCATCTTGCAGTCCATGGGACTCTCAAGATTCTCCTCCAGCACCATAATTCAAAAGCATGAATTAGCTGTCTCATTATTATTACTACTACTCCTGTTACTATAAGTGTTGCATGTTCCCCACTTCTCTGAGCACTGGGCCGGGCAAGGCTCAGTTTTCTTTGGATGAGAGAGCACTGTAGACTCATGGTGTCTTATTAACTAATCTACAAGTACAACACAAGTGGAGGCAACTGGCACTCCTTCGAGGCAGGAGATCCCCCAGAGAGGAACCTGGGCAGGTCTCCAAGACTGCACCCTCACTTCTGGCTAACTCCAATACCTGCAATTGGAAACTTGGGTTTTTCCCTCTCTTTCTCTCATTGTGTCTAACTCTCTCTTCCAAACTGCAAACACCTTTTCCACACCTTGTCTCTGGACCCCCTCCTGAGCTGGAGGGATGTTGCCTCCTACAAACTCTTGATGGGTGTCTCATTCAAAAACACAGAGATTACCAGCTATCAGAACACAATTGCCTAACCAATTTATGCTCAATGATGCAACATTAATCAGCTTTTCTGGGCTATTATCCAGTAATCTTCCTAACAAAGCAGCCAAAACAATAGGTTATAGGCTGATGTCCTCCAGAGCTGAGCCAGGGCCAAACAAGAAACTCTTGCTCTGCCCCCAACACTAGAAATATATGTAAGCAGAGGTGGGGAATCTGCAACCCTTTGGGTGCTGCTGGACTCCAGTTCCCATCAATCCCAGCCAACATAGCCAATGATTGGGGATGATGGGAGTTGAATTCCAGCAGTATCTTGTTGTCGTTTAGTTGTTTAGTCGTGTCCGACTCTTCGTGACCCCATGGACCAGAGCACGCCAGGCACTCCTGTCTTCCACTGCCTCCCGCAGTTTGGTCAAACTCATGTTAGTAGCTTCGAGAACACTATCCAACCATCTCGTCTTCTCTCATCCCCTTCTCCTTGTGCCCTCCATCTTTTCCAACATCAGGGTCTTTGCCAGGGAGTCTTCTCTTCTCATGAGGTGGCCAAAGTATTGGAGCCTCAGCTTCAGGATCTGTCCTTCCAGTGAGCACTCAGGGCTGATTTCCTTAAGAATGGACATGTTTGATCTTCTTGCAGTCCATGGGACTCTCAAGAGTCTCCTCCAGCACCATAATTCAAAAGCATCAATTCTTCGGCAATCAGCCTTCTTTATGGTCCAGCTCTCACTTCCATACATCACTACTGGGAAAACCAGCAGTATCTAGAAGGCCACAAATCCCTCACTGCTGCTGAAAAAGAAGGACATTCTACACATGCTCAGAGGCACTGCCCTGAGCCATGAAACAGAAGGTTCTGATGCTAAGCCCTGGTAAGCCCCCATCCCAGATTCAGTATCCCTTATCCCAGGTCTGAGGAACCTGTGAGCCTCCAGATGTTGTTGGACAACAACTCCTCATCATCCTTGACCGTTGGCCATGCTGGTTGGAGTGGATGAAAGTTGCAGCCCAACAACATTTGAAGGGCCATAAACTCTTGCACCCCACCTTCCTTCTTTGCAAAGCAGCCTGTATCACTCTTTTCTCAGAATGCTAAAACTTGGGTTCATCTGGTGATTGGGTTCATCTGGGACTGACAAAGAGGAAGTAGTCCTACATGCTGTGTGTAATCAGATTGTGAAATTTGCCGCCATGAGATCCGGTTGTGGACACCAACTTAGAAGGCTTTAAAGGACAAATGGGGGCTGCTAATCATGAAGTCTGTATGTTATCTCCAGGATTCTGAGCAGCACCATTTTCATAGAATCATAGAACTGTAGAGTTGCATGGGACCCTGATGATCATCTCTAGTTCAGTCCCTGCAGTGCAGGAATATGCAGCTGTTCCATACGGGGATCAAACCTGCAACCTTGGCATTACTAGCACCACACTCTAACCAACTGAGCAATCCAGGCATAACACTATGAGATACCCGTATGATATCTATCATACAGTGCATATGCTGTCTCTATACAATCTCTCCAGGGTTAGCAACAATATCATTCTCATAATATGTGCCACTGTTTTGATCCAGCAGTGGGATAACTCCTTTGGAAATGGTTTGGAGCTTTGAAACCCTTTTAGTTTTGTGGGGTTTTTTGGCTAAATATTAACAAGTCACTTCAGACTTAATCCTTTTCAGACTTGTAGAGCCATTGAATTCTGTCGGAATTAAACACTTATACGATATGTTACAGGATTGTGCCCATCACCTGTTATGAAGAGTATATGATACAGGTTTAGCATTCTTCAATGGTATATGGCATGGGATACATGCACTTCAAAGATACATGTCTTTTAAGAGCATTTAAGGCAGATGCGTTAAGATAATTATAGCAAATTGGGGGGATAAAAAAAGATGATGAAGGCTTGTTTAATAAGTAATGAAAATGAGAGCTACTCATTGAAGAAGAACAATTATATATAAAATGGACAAAGACAATGCAACAAGTTAAAGGCGACGTAAAAAAGCCAGAAGAAGGAAAGAGGGAAGTCAGCTCGGGAGAGCAAGAACAAATGTGAAATATAATGTATTTGTATGTATAGTATGTAACTAAAAATTCAATAAAGATCATCTAAAAAAAATAAGAAGAAAATTAGAACTACTGTACCTGTAGCCTGTGGGGGGAGTTTTGGGGGAGGGCAGTAAGCAATGGAGAATGCCACAGTCCCCTGGAATGAACCGAACTCAGAAACCTGAACTCAGGCGAGTCACCTTGGTTCATAGCAATGAAGTGGCAGGAGTATATCTGGTGAAATATTAAACCAATTGATAGGTCCACACTGCTAGAATTACTTTATAGATAGATAAGAGGGACAGCGGTGACATGAGAAGACCGGGAGGTGATATGATAGCCATCTTCAACTATCCAAAGGGCTGTCACATGAAAGATGGAGCAAACTTGTTTTCTCCTGCTCCAGAGGGTAGGACCCGAACCAGTGGCCTCAAGTTACAAGAAAGGAGACTTGACATCAGGAAGAATGTTCTGATGGTAAGAGCTGTTTGACCGTGGAATGGGCTCCTTCAGAAGGTGGTGGACTCTCTGCAGTTTCTAAGCAGAGGTTGGCTGGGCATCCATCATGGATGCTTTGGTTGAGATTCCTGCATTGCAGGGGGTTTGGACTGGATGACCCTCGGGGTCTCTTCCAACTCTACAATTCTACTATTCCAATAACTAGCAATCTGCGTGTTTATGTGTGAGCTGCTCCATCTCTAAGCAGTGCTCATTCATTATGACAGACACAAATAATCCCACATATGGATGCACTCTGCAGATGTCATAATGAATATGTGTAAGGTAGTGCCCTCAGGGTAGGACTTTGGGGAAGAGGTGAAGGGCCCCACTCCACAACATGTACATCAGGGCTCCAAAACACAGCAGGACTGGCTTGCCATAAGACCATTAAGTACAGAGAAGAGCCCCACCACCATACCCAAAATGTATTGGAACAGAGTAGCCGAGTCACATATAGGAGGGTGGCAAAACGAGAACGAGCCTTTTCTGTAGGGCCTCCCCATTGGTAGAATGCTCTCCCCAGGAAGGTTTGCCTGGTGCCTTCATTATATAGTTATAGGTACCAGGCAAACCTCCCTGGGGAGAGCACTCCATTAATCAGTCTTGGGTGGATTAATATTCTACAGCCTTTTAAAGGTGTCTGCGGGAAGAGGGGAGTTATTGTTTCATTGGCTTGGTTTGATTATTTACTTGAGTTTTATATTGTATTTTATTCTGCGAACCTCCCTCCTGAGATCTTTTGATTAAGGGCATAATAATGAGGACACAGTGCAGGCAGGCAAAGGCACTGGAAGAGAGAACAGAGGAAGGGCAGTGAGGGAAGCGGTCTGGGAAGATGGTGGGGCTATGGATAATTTTATGGGCCAGATACAAAGGCTTAGAGGGCCACAATTTACACCTGAGGCTGGGGTTCCCCATCTCTGCATTCAATTTGACGAAGAATTGATGCGTTTGAATTATGGTGCTGGAGGAGACTCTTGAGAGTCCCATGGACTGAAAGAAGATCAAACCTATCCATTCTTAAGGAAATCAGCCCTGAGTGCTCACTGGAAGAACAGATCCTGAAGCTGAGGCTCCAATACTTTGGCCACCTCATGAGAAGAGAAGACTCCCTGGCAAAGACCCTGATGTTGGGAAAGATGGAGGGCACAAGGAGAAGGGGATGACAGAGGACGAGATGGTTGGACAGTGTTCTCGAAGCTACAAACATGAGTCTGACCAAACTGCGGGAGGCAGTGGAAGATAGGAGTGCCTGGCGTGCTCTGGTCCATGGGGTCACAAAGAGTCGGACACAACTAAACGACTAAACAACAACAACAACAACAACAACAACAACAACAACAATAATATCCAAACCCAACCAAATACTTTTGGCACTTGTGGCAGAAAAGCCTTCAAGTGCCTCTCCCTTTCCCAGGCAGTAAAAAATGAACTTAATTAAATTGCCTTTGTGTCGTATCCAGCTAACATGTCCTGCCAGTGCAAGGATTTCCACTTCTGCAATGAGACCTCCTCACTTTTCTTTTCCCTGTAAAAAGGTAACAATGCAGAAACAGCCGCCCTATATCCCTCCACTGTATACATACAGAATGCTAAAGGCTGAGCTATGGTGCTTCAAACCATTTTCCCTGGCTCAAATTAAGCCCCACCAGAGAGCCAGAAAAATCAGGCTATAAAAAGCAAGTGAGGGGAAAAAGAGGAAGTGATGCAAGTAAATCTGAAGAACAGGCAGACACTGCAATCCAGGATGTGAATGTATGCTGCGCCATCAAGTTGCAGTTTATTCGGGGTGGTATGTTCCCCTTCCTGTGAAATCTGATGGCCGAACTACCCTAGCAGTCCCGCCCCCCCCCCGAAAGGGACCAGCATCGAGGCTGCAAATGCGAATTTCACTGCAACCTTAAAAACATTGCAGTGATACTATTTGTTTTCATTATCAACTTCACGAGGTTCATATACTGCTTGGTTAAAATAAAAACCTCAAAGTGGTTTACAGAAAGAATAAAACAGGGAAAGGCAAACATTTAAAAACAGCTACTTGAAACATTAAAAAAGTAATCAAAATAAACGATAAGCTGAAATCCAGATTAAAACACACGTCAATATTCTGCATGTGTCGGGACACATTTGCCTAAACTGAAATGTTTTTCTCAGGCATTGGAAAGAATATAGGAAGGTGCCGCCCCGATGTCTATAACAGACTGCAAGTTCTTTGCTGCTTAATGTATTTATTTAATTACATTTAATTAAGTCATTATATGCTATAATGCAATTAATTATATTTAAGTGTCACCCTTTCCCCCAAAGGAGGTCAGCGAGCATAAAGTAACAGAATACAAATCAATTATGTTAATGCCTAAAATGCATAGAACGTCTGGGGAAACCTTTTCAGCCTTGGGGCCACATTTGCTTCTGGAAATCCTTCTGGGAGCCATATGCCAATGGTGGCAGGGCCAGGAGCAACGATGCGTGGAGCAATGACTGTAAATTTTACCTTTGTATAGTAGGCCAGTTTCTACACATGCTCCTCTTTATTGTCCTTCCAGGAATGCAAGAATACATCATCAGAGTTCAAGAATACATTGCAGCAAGTCAAAAAAACTTAGGAGCAATGCAGGGTCAGCAAGAGGAGCGGCCTGGGGAAATTTCCAAGGGCCACATCGCAAGGCCAGAGAGGCCTGAGATTCCTCATCTCTCTCTCTCTCTCTCTCTTTCTCACACACACACACACACACACCCCTACACGCACAGAGTGCAGGTCAGCCATGTTGGCAGTTTACTCAATTTTCCTGGTGTTTCTGTAATAGCTACCGTATTTTTCTCTCCATAAGACGCACCAGACCATAAGACGCACCTAGTTTTTGGAGGAGGAAAACAAGAAAAAAATTATTCTGAATCCCAGAACCCAGAACAGCAAGAACGATCACTGCGCAGCGAAAGTAGCATTCCCTCTTGCTGTTCTGGCTTCTGGGATAGCTGCGCAGCCTGCATTCGCTCCATAAGACGCACACACATTTCCCCTTACTTTTTAGGAGGGAAAAAGTGAGTCTTATAGAGCAAAAAATACGGTAATTTCTACATTATATTGGAATACGTTCTACATTATATTGGAACTTTCATGTTTAGTGCTCATATCCATGTTATTTGATTCCCTCCCCCCAAAAATTTGCACCCCCCCTTTGCCAGGAAAATTGTGGGAGTGAAGGGACATTCGGGGCAGTATATGCTTCTTTCCTGCCATTTTCATGAGGGATTCATGGGGGACCAGAAGCACCTATGTGGAGAAAAGGTGGGGGAGTAGCAAAGTTGTCCAGTGAGGCTCATTCTTGTGTCACACCGTATCCAGGGGCGGAGGAAGGGGGTGGGGTGGAGGGCAAGCCACCCCGGGTGTCACCACTGAGGGGGGTGTCAAAATGCCGGGCGGCATTTGCCACGTGGCCTGCAGAGCGCCCGAGCCACGCATCTCTCCTGGAAGTGATGTGGTGGCTTGGGCGCCCACAGGCTCCACGCTGCCCCAAACTGTCTGCCTGCCACCTCCCCCTCAGCTGTAGGGCGGCTGAGTGGGAGGAAGCAGGCAGACTCCTCGGAGGCCCCACGGAGCGTCATGCCCCAGCTTGCCTCGCCCCACGGGCGTATCTACTGGTGTGGATAAAACTTAGCGTGGCATGCTGGTATATTGGTAAAGAAAGCCACAGTTCCATAATGTAACAGGTACTTCAGTGTGAAAGGAACGTTAGAAAATGGAAGAGAAGTGCTAGCATTGTAACTAGGAAAACAAACGTAATATTTTGCATGTCTAATGCACCCCAGGGCCTCAATGGGAACAACTTGCATGCCAACAGGAAAATGTCCCAGAGTATTCAGGAATCCCTTAGATTCGAGAATTTTTTAAGGAGTGGAGCATCTTAATGCATCCTCTTGCTGTACAGGGAGATCAGTCACAACCAATCTAAACTTCACCAAGGCATGATCTGTCAGTGACAGCAGAGTGACATTGCCCTCACCTCCAACCCAACTGGTGGGAAAACTGAGAGTATGATTTGCAATCTTCATTGGGCCATTGATGTACTGAGACAGTCACATGGTTGCTATGGTAGGCATGAAGTCCTGATCTAAATCAGACAAGGTGGGCCTGGGGTTCTCCAACACCATGCCTGAGACCATCTCTGTCATCTCAGTCAGGGATGTTGCTGAGCAGTTGGGTAGGTAATACACCAACAAGACCCCCTTCTTGTCTTTCTGGCCAGGGATAATTTTTCACTGCTCATCCCCAGGTGGACTGAGTTCCTGGTGAAGGACCTAGAATCACTGCAATGCTGCTGCTGTACAGAGTAGCCAGGCAGCAAAGCTGGGTCAAACCTGGTCACCTCATCTCATCTACCCAAGTCTTGGAAGTACACACCAGATGATCAGGCTTCCTCAAACCCGGCCCTCCAGATGTTTTTGTTCTACAACTCCCATGATCCCTAGCTAGCAGGACCAGTGGGCAGGGATGATGGGAAGCGTAGTCTCAAAACATCTGGAGGGCTGAGTTTGAGGAAGCCTGATCTACATTATCTACAATCGTAGCATGGATGAGGGTTGTTATTGTGAACTGACCAATAGCACCACCAGATAGGACTGGATAGCATGGTAGCTCAAGCCTGATTGGTTGAGGGATGGCCCAGAGAAGGCAAGAACTTCCAGACCCTTATTGCCTCCTCTCCAGTGATGTCATGGTTGATCCCTTGTGGCAGTCACCCTCCTGTCAATGGCCTGGCCAGTAGTGGCATCCCAGGAGTCATGATGCTGTCTCTTCACCCAATCATATCTCTTTTCAGACCCACAACGCATATAAATAAAAATAAAAAATTGAGGAGGGAACTTTGAGGTGTGAGGAGAACTAACCTGGGACTAGTTGCTGTTTTGTTTTGTATTTTTTTTTTTCCATTTCATTCTGCTGCTATTATTATTCCAAAATAGTCATGTTTTTGAGCTGGAAGCTTTCCCGCACGGAGGACTCTTGTTGCCGACAAGTGCTTAAGCGTAATCCTCTCCTGCCTTGCCCACCCATGTCTAATCTTCATTCAGAATGAAATCCCAACGAGCAGAATAATCGCCGGTTTAGACAGTATTAACATTCAGAAAGCAACAAAGAAAATTGCCAGTGGTGCCACTTGTCAGCTGCAAGTAGGATTGACAGGCTGGAAAAGTTAAATTTGCAGGAGCGAACCTTGGCAACCATCTCGCCCCTGCAATTGCTATGCTTAAAAGTAACAAAAGAGGTGTTCAGATGAACCCCCTTCTGCATTAAGGCAGGGGTAGGGAACACTTTTAGTCTGAGGGCCACATTTCCTTTCAGCCAGCCTTCCAAGGGCCTCATGCCATTGATGGGCATGGCCAGAGGCAAAGAGTGGATGGAACAATGAGCTCTTAAAAGGTAAAGGGACCCCTGACCATTAGGTCCAGTCGTGGCCGACTCTGGGGTTGCGGCGCTCATCTCGCTTTATTGGCCGAGGGAGCCAGCGTACAGCTTCCGGGTCACGTGGCCAGCATGACTAAGCCGCTTCTGGCGAACCAGAGCAGCGCACGGAAACGCTGTTTACCGTATTTTTCGCTCTATAAGATGCACCAGACCACAAGACGCACCTAGTTTTTGGAGGAGGAAAACAAGGAAAAAAATATTCTGAATCTCAGAAGCCAGAACAGCAAGAGGGATCACTGCGCAGTGAAAGCAGCAATCCCTCTCGCTGTTCTGGCTTCTGGGATAGCCGTGTGAAGCCTCTTCAGGGCAGGGGGAGCCTTCATCCTGCTGCCCTGAAGAGGCTTCGCGTGGCTATCCCAGAAGCTAGAACAGCGAGAAGGAGTGCTGCGCAGTGATCCCTCTCGCTGTTCTGGCTTCTGGGATAGCTGCGCAGCCTGCATTCTCTCCATAAGACGCACACACATTTCCCCTTACTTTTTAGGAGGGAAAAAGTGAGTCTTATAGAGCAAAAAATATTACCTTCCTGCCGGAGCGGTACCTGTTTATCTACTTGCACTGGCATGCTTTCGAACTACTAGGTTGCCAGGAGCAGGGACAGAGCAATGGGAGCTCACCCTGTCGTGGGGATTCGAACCGCCGACCTTCTGATCAGCAAGTCCTAGGCTCTGTGGTTTAACCCACAATGCCACCTGCGTCCCAATGAGCTCTTACTTTTGTGCATTAGTCTATGTTCCAGTCACACGCAACCCAGAGATTTCTACACCTGTGCACACCTCCAGCGAGGTAAGCATGAGGTGTTATCACACTTCAAGGACACAAGCAGCCAGGCAAAGGCTGAGAACAGAACAGAGGAAGGGCAGTGAGGGAAGCGGTCTGGGAAGATGGCGTGGCCATGGATAATTTAATGGGCCAGATACAAAGACTTGGAGGGCCACATTTTACACCTGAGGCTGGGGTTCCCCATCTCTGCATTCACTAAAGGCTTGTGTGGGACATGCCAGGCCTTGCAGGATAGCCCCTCTCCTTCACTGTGTCTGCTGGTCACTGTACCTGCTGAAAATCTTAAAGACGCCCTTCGATGGGGAGAAGAAACAAGTCCCTTGACATTTCTGTACACCAGACATTTCGAGACTTCTTTGGTAAACCACACTCTTGCCTTTCGCTGATGAATCATTTCACTGTTAGTCCATTCATCCTTTTTTTCTAGAATCAAGTGACATCAGCTAAGTTATTTTTTCCCAACACACGTCTGCATTTCCCCACCTTCTTAATTATGGTTAACATAGAAGGAACTTCTACTGTTGGTCCGCCCATCTCAGTATTGTCTACACTGACTGACAGCAACTCTCCAGGGTTTCAGGCAGGACTATTTCCAGCTCTGACTGGAGATGGAAGCTGGGAGCTTCTGTGTGCAAAATAGGTCTTCTCCACCAAGGTCCACCCTGGCTTCCATTTTACAGAAGATGTTACAGCACTTCAAATACTGGTTAAAATTCAGATTAGGCGATGGGATTTGTGGCCTATGCCTGGTGAGAATGTGTCGGATGCTGATATCGCTTCTTGCTTTTCTGGATGGAGGACAGAGAAATGGGTTTAGAAACTTGCCTGCTGCACAAAGGCAAGATTTACATGCGCTGCCCCACCAGCATATGACCCTGTCCACTGGCATGTGGCCCTTAGAAGGTTGCTCAGAACAAAATGTGGCCCTCTGCCTCAAAATGGTTCCCCAGCCTTTTTATGTGTTTTAGTCATTAACTGAATTCACTCTCCACCCCTGGCATAAAAGGTATGTTTCTAAAAAGAGAGACAGGTTTTTGTCCAAATCCCGTTGGGTTCCATTTAAAGGTAAAGGTAAAGGACCCATGACAGTTAAGTCCATTTGTGAACGACTCTGGAGTTGCAGCGCTCATCTCGCTTTACTGGCCAAGGAAGCCAACATATGTCCACAGACAGTTTTTCTGGGTCATGTGGCCAGCATGACTAAGCCGCTTCTGGCAAAACCAGAGCAGTGCATGGAAACACCATTTACCTTTCCACTGGAGTGATACCTATTTATCTACTTGCACTTTGACGTGCTTTCAAACTGCTAGGTTGGCAGGAGCTGGGACCCAGTAACGGATGCTCACCCCGTTGCGGGGATTCGAACCGCCAACCTTCTGATAGGCAAGCCCTAAGCTCAGTGATTTAGACCACAGCGCCATCTGCATCCTTGGGTTCCATTTAGGGGTAGGGAAATGGTGCAAATTTTCATTGGACGGCTGTGTTTTGCTTTGTGTATTATTTCAGAAAGTGCAAATTGGGTTGGTTCGCCTTTTAAATGTGATCGGAATTCAATTTCTCCCCCATTCCATAGTTCCATTAGCTCCATAACACACCGTTTTGCAAAGCTCCATACAACTGATGCACTCTTGGAGCAAGACACCCATTTTGTTCTGGACCTATCTGTAAAAAACAAAAGAAAACAACAAAAGAGTGTGCATTTGATAATTGCCATGTTAGGAATTTTGAGTTGCAGCGGCAGCAGGGTGGGGGGCAGAGGGGGATTACAAGGATTTGTTTCTCTTCCAAACTGGTCTTTTGGAGGAATGTGCCTTTAAGGGTTACTATAGCAATGCTGGCTGCTATTGAAACTGTAAACATTAATGATGACTTGGAAGCTGACCCTGCAAAAACATTTCTCTCCTTTGGAGCAAGACTTGCAACAACACTGCCATAATATGCAACTCCTACTGTGAACACCAGGATTCAGAGGTTTTCTTTTCTTAAAAAAAGAAAGAAAGCGAAAGAAAATGGAATGCCTTGACATCCTGGATAGATAGTTCAATTCCAGCAACGGGAAAATAATACATTCTAATTTTATAAGAAACCAAAGTTCCTGCTTCAGCATATTTTGAGAATTCAGCATGTATTTTGGGAGTCTGCAAGGCTGCATTTAAAAAACACACACACACCATTTGCCTGCCAAGTTCCAAATCTCCCCCCTTGTTCCTTTTCCCTTCTCTTTTGAAAACTTGAATGTCAAGACTCAAGTTAAGCCCGTGGCTGGAGCTGAATTCTTTATAGGCTGGGTGTCAGGCAGAAGCTGGCGTTTCATTGTTTCTGGAGAGGGCAGAAACAAAGAGATTCTGGTGTAGTAGTGGGGAAGGAAGATTTATGGCAAGACCCAAGACTGCTCTTCAACATTGCTAGAATTGCCAGCTGGCTATGGCTTTGTTGGGCGGGCAGATTGCTAGCTATTAGAATCATAGAGTTGGAAACTACCCCAAGTCCAATCTAGTCCAACCCTCCCTCTGCAATGCAGGAATCTCAACTAAAGCATCCTTGACAGATGGCCATCCCACCTTGCTTAACCTCCAATGAAGGAGAGTCCACCACCTTCTGAGGAAGTCCACCCCACTGTCGAACAGCTCTTATTGTCAGAAAGTTATTCCTTTCTCATAGTTGGAATTTCCTTTCTCATAAACTGAAGCCATTGGTTTGGGTCTTACTTTTCGGAGCAGGAGAAAACAAGCTTGCTTCATCTTCCATGGAGCAGAGCTTGAGATATTTGAAGATGGCTATCATATCTCCTCTCCAGGCTTACTCTGTGGTGGTTGGTTGACATTTCATCCTTGTGAGAGAAATGTTTAGGAAAAGGGTCGGGGACTGTTTGCAGCCTGAGGGCCGAATTCCCTTCTGGATAAACTTCCAGGGGCCACATGCAAAAGTGGATGGAGCAACAAATGTACATTTCGTCTTTGTGCAGTAAACTGGTTTCTACACATACCATACACGCATTATCGGAGTTCAAGGTCATGTTCCAGTCAGGCAAAAGTGATGACGGAGGGCAGAGTCCCAAGAAGACCTGGGCAGAGTCCAAAAGGGCCAGACCAAGAGAACTGGAGGGCCACATTGGCCACTGGGCCTGAGGTTTCCTATCCCTGACACACATGTCTAGAAACAGGATGCCACCTAAGTCCTGCTCCTCTACTTAAAACTGGGGGATAGTACCAAAATCTCTTAGGAGGCTCAAAGATCTTAGGAGCCACCCTCCAACCTACACCCTTCCACCTTTTGTTCTGCATTGATCTGCAGACCAGGATGCTCTTTAGCAAAGTGCATAACAGTATATAGTGTGTTAATGGTTTGCCATCCGTATCTTGATAATCCTGGGATTTGTGCCAAGTGGCTCTCTTGAATGAATGAGCCTTTGAATTACTTCCAGAAGGGTAGACACAGATAATATTGACTGGTGGTTTTTTGGTGTTGGCATCTTTGTTTTTCCAAAACCATTTTCATCACAACGCAATTTCCATTAACGCTGCTGAATCATTACATTTGGAAGCCACCCAGACAAGGAGACGTCTTAAATGGAGAATTAAAAATTGAGAAGCTTACATCATCGGGTGCAGAACAACGCAAAGGCTCACATGAGAGTCTGGATGAATTCAATGAGGGAGGAAAAAAAGCAGAGGGGTGGTGGAATGGGAGGACAATTGATTCAGGAGCAGAAGGAGTTAAAGAAGAACCACAATCTGAAAATAGGGGAGTTCTGTTTACATACTGGCAAAAATCTGCTTCAGAATTGGAACCAGTGACTGAAAAGAAACTTCTAGGGAGGTAAAGTGAATGAATCACCCGTATTAGAGACCGGGACAAGTCAGAACCAACCTCGCTTCCCTCAAAATTGCATTAGTTGTCGTATTTAGGGTTTTTAATTTGGCCTTTCAGACTTAAGCTGTTAGCTACAAGCCATGATCTGGGCTTGATGTTGTTCTCCTGGGGTGAACTTTCCATTTGTATGCTAATGCATGTTTAATCAGAGCTCACTTAGCTGCACAAAGGAAGAGTTAATTGAAATTCTCCAAGGGGATTTAGAAACAAACAAGGTACAATCCTGCCTTAATAAAAACATAAATGATGGGCTAATTATATATTAATGGGGTTACAATTAAGACAGAAAAAGAGATAGCATCGATGAGAACTATTTTTCTTATACCACCCACCTTGTGTGTCCCCCCCCCCCCCAAAAATTGTTTTCGATATTAGGGTAACTATTGAAAATTGAGTCAAGTTCCAGAGGTGTTGAGAGTGAATCCCACAGTTAGCTTTCTAAGGATTGTCACATCAAGTTGTTCAGCAGTGGGTCTTCAGTTTGTGTTCTACACATGCCTATTGGCAAGTTATTATGTTGGCAGATTGCTTTCAAAGAGTTGGGTTAACCTCAGCCTTGCCCTCCTTCATTCATCAGGGAAGTGTCCACTTATTTATAATGATCTTAGAAACAATGATATTCAACCATTGTTAAGATTGCAGAAAAGAAGATAATCTCTTGCAAAGACTCGTATTTTGCTGTCTGATGTAGAGAAGTAAATATCTAAATTTCTTTCTAAGGCTCTACATAAAACTTAAAGCGGGTATGGGAAAGGATTTATCATTTAAAGGTTAAGGAGTACAAATGTAAGTCACTATTACTACTACTACTACTACTACTACTACTACTATTTTCATGTGTATAATGGCTGTTTGCTAAAACACAGCAAACTGACTGACTGTAATTATATTGTTGCATGCCACCCCAATCTCTGAGCAGTGAGAGATTCCAGGAGTTCCAGAGTTCTTGTTTCCTTCAGAATGAGGGGCAGCGGAGACTGTGGTTTACAGTGGTGCCTCGCAAGATGAAATTAATCCGTTCCGCGAGTCTCTTCGTTTTGCGGCTTTTTCGTCTTGCGAAGCACAGCTATTAGCGGCTTAGCGGCTTAGCGGCTATTAACAGCTTAGCGGCTTTAAGAAAAAGGAAACAAACTCGCAAGAACTCGCAAAACGTTTCGTCTTGCGAAGCAAGCCCATAGGGAAATTCGTCTTGCAGAACAACTCAAAAAACGGAAAACTCTTTCGTCTAGCGAGTTTTTCGTCTTGCGAGGCATTCGTCTTGCGGGGCACCACTGTATTCATTAAATTTGTGTGCCGCCCTTCATCTGTGGCACCACTGTATTTACGCATATATAAAACATGAGCCTACAATGTAGACAGGGCTGTCTTTAGCATATGTGCCTCCGGGGTGCAAAGATCGAATGATCATGTGTTGCTATACATTGTGAATTGCAAATGAATACAGAATCCAATTAAATGCGTACAATGAAAGGTGGCTTGCCACTGACCAGCAGACAATGGCAATGAATAGGTGTAAGAAGATCAAATTCCTGGTAGCATACCTTACAATCTATCACGGTGGGACAGGTTGCAGAGAATGGTTGGTCTCCCCCCACCCCCGTTTCTATACCGCTTTATATTTCTAAGAAAAATCTCAAAACGGTTTACAGCATATTAAAACATCAATAAAACAATCCGGAATCAAACATTTCTGAAGAAAGACAAATATAAAATACAGTCAAAGCAACATAATCAACAAGAAACTAAAATATTATCTTAAAGGTTTCAAATACACATTTAACACAAAAAAGTTAACACAAAAAATCTTAAATATTTCAAAAAAAAAATTGCTAAGTGAAGTCAAATATAAAATGCACATTTAAAACAGCATAATTAACAAGAGAATAAAATATCATCATAAGCATGACATGGCTGTTTGGCAGGCACAAAAAGATGGGGCAAAAGAAACCAATAATTAGGATTTATTGTCAGGCATAGTGATGTCCCTCTGGTCTCACCAGGTGCCTCATTAGTAGGTCTAGGTGAGTCTGGGTCCCGCCCCCTAGGCCAGGTGGAAAGGGCCTTGCAGGAAGCAGCCGGGCGCTGGTTGGCTTGCTACTCAAGAATCTGGGCAATTAATACAATCCCATGCTGGTTCCTAAGTATCAGCATTTTAAATGCCTGATTCATGTTTATTTATTTGGTTGCATATTCTGTTCAGCCTACATATGTGTGTGCAGGTGAAAAAAGACCAGATATTGTTTGGTTCTGTGATAATATTGCCAAAGCAAATATGAGGACCAAGCTGGAATCCAAGCTAGTGGTAAAACATACCTTCCTCCAGAACAAGGATCTGGAACTTGCAGCCCTCTAGATGCTGTTGGACTCCAACTCCCATCAGCTCCAGCCAACAAAGCCAATGGCCAGGGATTATGGGAGTTGTAGTCCAACATCGTTTGGAGCACCACAGGTTCCCCCTCCCTTCTCTAGAAGGATCATCTTTGCGGATGGGCTATGGACCCTTGATGATGTGCTGGAGATGCTTTGGTTGAGAACTTTAAGGATAAATGGCATTCTGTTACCTTCTCGACTGGACCTATAGCTGCCTGGTCGTATTGACCTAGTTCTTCACTTCCCCAGATAGTATGGTTGTTCCGAGCACCGCAGTTTTATTTATTGTAGTTTTAATACAGAAGACATTTCCAACTTTTTCATATTTTCTCTTTCTTCAAAGGCAACTGGACATGATGTTATCTCAACTTTAGTATCTCCCCAAAACAAAACCACTTCCAAACAGGGGGAACAAGATAAGTATCCAGCTGATCATCATTCCATAGTGTTTAACTAGAAGACAGATGTGTTGTTTGTTTGGATCAGATGTCTCAGTGTTTTGCACTAATACCCCAAGGCTATTGCTTTATCTGAAAGTGCTGCTTTCCTGAAGCAGGAAAGCCAAGCACATCCTTCTGAAAGCATGGGCTGAGGGTTCTGCCATAAGCCTTTCACTTTAAAATGAAAAAGAGCATTTAATATAGGGCAAATAATTTCATGCCTGAGGTTCTGTGCCTTGCATATAAAATAAAGCTGAGGATTTTAGGCCAACTTAACATATGGCTTATAACAGTAGAAGAACTTGCATGATCTGAACCTTGTTGTGTAGTGAAGCCAATAGCCAAGCCATTTTCCTTTAGATTAATGCAGGGGTAGGCAGAAGGTAGATCAGGATCTACTAGAACAAGGATAGCCAATTGGATGCCTTCCAGTTGTTATTGGACTACGACCCCCATCATCCTTAACCATTGTCTGTGGTAGCTGTGGCTGATTGGAATCCTACAGTGACTCAGGTCACCATTTTTGCTGCCCTTGTCAGAGTAGATCCTTGGGTAATTTGCTGTAGATCGGTGAGGATTTTGGATTCCCATTTGTTTAACAGCAGCAACAAACTGACTTATTATCACCTAAATGAAGAAAGCTAACCAGGAGCAGGCTTTTGTGTAGAAGTTCTGTGAGCTCATTTCAGTTTGCATACTAAAATAAAATTATAGGTTCTGAATGTGCTAAAAGTTCTTTAATTCTAACAAATATTCCTTTGCACCTGGCTCTGTTTGGTGGATCTTAAGAGAACTGGTAGGGATGCGGGTGGCACTGTGGGTTAAACCACAGAGCCTAGGACTTGTCGATCGGAAGGTCGGCGGTTCGAATACCTGTGACGGGGTGAGCTCCCGTTGCTCAGTTCCTGCTCCTGCCAACCTAGCAGTTTGAAAGCACATCAAAGTGCAAGTAGATAAATAGGTACCGCTCCAGCGGGAAAGTAAACGGCGATTCCGTGCGCTGCTCTGGTTCGCCAGAAGCGGCTTAGTCATGCTGGCCACATGACCCAGAAGCTGTACGCTGGCTCCCTCAGCCAATAAAGTGAGATGAGCTCTGCAACCCCAGAGTCGGCCACGACTGGACCTAATGGTCAGGGGTCCCTTTACCTTTACCTTTAAGAGTACTGGTAAAAAGAACAAAGTACAGCTGACAAGTCACAGGTCACCTCTATTATTATGCCACGGCATTCCACAGGTAAATGAGTAAGACTTCAGGAATGGTCAGAGAAATGGAGTGATGTATTTACGCTTACAGCCATTTGGTCCACCTATCACCTATAAGGCAAGGGTAGCCAATGTGGAGCTCTCTAGATGTTGTGGACTATAACTTGCATCAGTCCCAGCCAGCATAGCCAACGATGACGAATTGTGGGACTTGTACTTCAAAACGTCTGGAGATCAACATATTGTCAACACCTGACGTCAACAAATGATAACATCTGGGAACTGTCTGGATGCTTTTATAGGGAGTATGAGAAAACAAATATGGATCATATAAAGTTGCCAGGTTGCATATGTGTATATATGCAAACAAATGATATCAATTGATATTGGTTAGGATTAATCTAGTTAGGATTAATCTAGGGACTAGGATTAATCTAGTCCCATCAGCAGAAGCCTTGTTCAAGGACTTCTGCTTGCACAGTAGGGCTTTCCACCTTTTCCTCCCCCAAGTGCCCCTAAAATTGTCTCTGGAGAGTGTTGGGAGAGCATTCTGAATAGTGCATTGGGGAAAAGAGTCGGGATTGCTCCATCTGGCAAGTTTGCTGATGAAGTGATTAGAAGCGTGTGACGCTGAATTCTTCCCATTGTGTTTTCATGACTCAGACTGCATTTCGTAATGAATTTTAACTGCTGCTAGCTTAGTATAACTGAAATGACTTGCTGCTTTATTTTCTTCATTGATATCTCACCCTTTCCCCAAGAAGCTAAATATCTCTCCCCCCCATCTTATCCTTACAACAAGCCTCCACAGTAAGAGGACTGACTACTCCTAATCTATATGTTGTCCAATTCTGTTGCTTTAAGGGAGGTTTCCTCCTGCTGATTCCTGGAGCTCAGGAGGCTCTGAGTTGCTGAAAACCCCATTGAGAAGAGTGGGTTAGTGGTCCATGCCACAATGGCTGCTTTCTCTCCCTTGGAAATATTTTTAGCTAGATATTCTAAAATAATCTTATGGGATTGTTTTGTTATTGCATTCCAGTTCTAAATAGGAAGCAGATTCATGTGTTTTCCTGGAGTTGGCATCAAGGCAGAAACAAGGCAGTAATAATCAGAATGGCTTTGGAGACCACAGCGGAGCGGTTTACCGCCAACGCCATGATCAGCGAAAACTGGCACGCTGCCTCCTCCTTTCTGCCTTCAGTGATATTATGGAATTTAAAGACAACTGCCTCAGGGCAGCTGCAAAGAGTTACCAAGCATTTTCATGGAACTGAAAAATATTATGCATTTGATCTAGAATGGATGGGGGGGTGGAAATCATGAAACAGGATCTCATCTTTTCTTAACCAAGTAAATCCTCAGCAGAGCCCAGCATTCAAAGTCACTGGGGCCCAATGGTGAAGCTTTCCAATCACTCAATAAAGTTTTCAGGAGCAGGTTTGGTATTTGGAAAGAGAGAGAGGAGGAGGGAAGGAGTCTTCCCCTGTGTTTTGACTCCTTAATGGAACAGATTCCCCGCATTTCCCCCTTTTCCCCCAAACGTCTTCGTATTTCAAAGCAGTACGATCTGCTTGCCAGAAGCAAAGAAAATGGTTCAGTTTGTACTTTCGACAAGGGGGAAAAATTCCATTCAGATGAAGAACTTGTTCTTTCTCGATCCAAACGCCGTAAGAGAGGCTGTTTCTATACCCTTTTCCGGTTGTTGGATGAGGACTCATTTGTTGGGAATGAGGGCTTGCAAGCAGTGCTGAACCCATCAGAAACAGAACTCATTTGGGAAACAGAATGAAGAGAAAAGCCATTCACAGCAATATAGAAAAGCTTAATTTAAACTAGTGACAAGAGAAACATGTTTCCTGGAGAAACATGTAATCGTCAACCTCCGTGCATGATCATTAATGACTTTCCCGTAAGAGAGCGAGCAAGTTATGGCATTCCAGACATGTCTGCAAATATTACCCCAGTCTATTTATTACTTGGTGGCCTGAAATCACATTATATGGACTTCTGAAGGTCAGCAAGTTATAGAGACTTCCAGTCACTTGTTAACTATTTGCTTTTCATTCATCACTGCAGTAAAACAATAACTTCTGAGGCTCATCTGCATAAAGTCGTGACGTGCGGAGTCGATAGACCAGAAAGGAGCAGGCAGCAGGTTGCAAAATGCATGAGGGTGAATTGCAAAATCTAGCAGTGAATCCAGCCACACACCTTGAGCAGCAGTCAGCTCAGTCAGCAAAAATCAGGTGGGAAGGCTTTGCATTTTAGGCTGCTGCTGCTGAGGCTTTGTGAATGGGAATGTTCTCCTTACCTAGGACAAGCATTTGGCCAAGTCGTCTCTGACATGCTATTTCTCTATGGCTGCATTTAGTAGTAGAGGGTCTCATGGAAGCTCTTATTCTGGTGTGAAAAAAATGGTGGTCACCAACTGATCAGAGCCACTGGAGGCCTCCTGTGAGTTTCAATCCCCTGAAAATTGTGTGGCACTCTTGAAAATCTCCAAAATGTCCCCCCTCCAATTTTTCAGCTAGTAAATGGGGTGACAGAATGGCAGAGACCATTAGGGCTCAGTTAAATCCAGATTTTTGTTGTTGAACAAGCAGCCCTGTTATTCTTCCTCCCAACTGGTGTTGGTTTGAAACCATTTGGCACAATTCCCCCATGCCTCGAGCCCAAAGACGTTCTATCAATGCATTTTGATCCCAGGTATCACATGAAATGAATTGGTCACGAGACAGTGTGATGATGTCAGAGTGCAGGACAGCCATATCTCACGGTACGTAATGATGTCATGCTGTCACCATGAACATAATTAAACAGAGCCAAGGATTCCAACCAGAAACCACTTTAAAAATGGGAATGTACTACATTATGTCTTGATGGATTGCATGATGACATCAGAAGCTTAAGTGAAGGACTGCACAATTCAAATTGTCTGCAGAATGAATGGGAAGTGAAAGATGGTCACAGAGAACAAAGGCCCACAAGGGGGGACAACATAATGGGGAGGGGGGGAAAGAGGTTTGAAAGACAGTAAGGGGGATTCAGTTTGTCCCTAATTGAATCCACTTGTTTTAATGCAATCTTGGGTTTGAATTCGTAAGTGCTGTCTGCCTAAGATAAATGAACTTGGCGTTGCTTCTTTGCTGTAGTGGAGATGATGAAGTCATTAATGCAGAATGTTGCTTTGGGACAGCTGCCTCCTGCTTTGAAAAAATAAACTTGTCAGCTTTGCTTCAAGATTCATATTCTATAAATGCCTCCGCTCTGGCTGATTGGAATTCACGTAGCAGCAGGAACCAACCTTTGACACCGTAATAATGTCAGTCCACCATATTTTCAGTTTCCAGCGCTCAAAGACTTCGGCGATGTTTTCTTTTAATCTCCGAGCAAGTTACAGGACCAAATTCCTAAAGAAAAGAAGAGAATGAAAAGTTATACCTACTTTTATGGGTATTGGGTTGGATCCAGACTTAAGAACATAAAATCCAAGCATTCTGGACATGAATTAAAAATATTAATATCCTGACTTTTAATCTCCTGCCTAGTAACCTATATTTTGCTCCCAGGAGTATATAACCCCACATAATTCTCACCAATATGCATCACGACCACTGACTCACCCCCAGCCTTATCTACCAGACCATCTAAATGTGACATGAGAATTGCAACCTTTGAAGTAGGCAGGAAAGCTACCATGCAGTCTGCATGTATCTTTGCAGTTTTATATTGTAGAAATATCCTTGGACGATGGGAAGCATATAAATTTAATTAATAAATAATTGTCCACCACAAATCCAGCTATGTCCCTAATGATTGAATCAACTGCTACCAGGAGCCATTGCCAGGGTCCCTTCTAGGTGATCATTTGCCTTTTCCTTAGAGTGACTCCTTTTCTAAGACCTTCCTTCTCTGTGACTTTGTGGGAGTTGACACCCAACACCAGCACCACCACATCCCTGAGGGACTCATCCACCAACCCCTCTGATTCTGTCAGCTTCTTTAAGCCAGATGTTGTTGTTTAGTCGTTTAGTTGTGTCCGACTCTTTGTGACCCCATGGACCAGAGCACGCCAGGCACTCCTGTCTTCCACTGCCTCCCGCAGTTTGGTCAAATTCATGCTGGTAGCTTCGAGAACACTGTCCAACCATCTCGTCCTCTGTTGTCCCCTTCTGCTTGTGCCCTCCATCTTTCCCAGCATCAGGGTCTTTTCCAGGGAGCCTTCTCTTCTCATGAGGTGGCCAAAGTATTGGAGCCTCAGCTTCAGGATCTGTCCTTCCAGTGAGCACTCAGGGCTGATTTCCTTAAATCAGATACCTTGGCCTAAAGGAAGCAAATATGTTCCCTGAAGGCCAGGAGCTTATTGTGTCAAGCACACCTCCATGACTTCTGCTCAGCAGGAAGATAGTGGTATACCTGACACTCTGTAGAATATACTGGATAGCACACACCCCACACACAAACACATGTGCGGCGTTGGTGATCCTTTACCATTCATGTTTCAGTTCTTTCATGTATTTATTTCATAAAATTTATATACTGCTTAATTGCAGAAAAAACCCACAGAGTGATTTACAAGAAAACTTATCACTAAAAAAGTTACAATCGTAATTTTGCAGTTTCTCTAGCTCATTCCGTTTTTTGCTGTGTAGCGGTGTGGTTTTTTTTTTGGTTGCTATTTTGGATGGCCTGATTCAGGGCATGCATCGTGCGATATCATTCCCTTTCCTCCCAGCAAAGATGGTTCTTTAACTAGAACATGATTTATTTGTGTTGGGACCCGTCCAATCATACTAAATTGAGCTGTAGTCCGAGAGACTTGGCCGCTCTACCTCTTCCAACTTGGACTACCCTGCTTCCATTGTTCTTACAGTAAGGCAGCGCAGTCATTTAAGGTTCTGAGCTGCTCTTTGCCAAATACCATTATCCTTTATTAGTAAGAGATAGGCTTTGCAGAGACTCCGAAATGCTCCACTTTCTCTTGCTATCACTTGCCATCTTGAGCACACACTTGTCAAAGTTCTTTGCTCCTGATTCAGCAAAAGTCAGAAGCTGAACCGGTTGTGGGGGGAAGAAACCACCCCTATTTACATTGGGCTATTTGTGTTTGCAGAGGTGGCCTTCAGGGAATGCATCCAAGTGATCTAGAGAAAATGTATTTCGCAAAGAAAAAGGAAACAGCAGGAGCATCCTGTATTTCTCTGCTGTTCAGCAGGAGCTCCTGCCAACATCAACATCAACCACTCTCAGTTACATTTTCCCTTGTTTTTACATTGTGCGTTTGGGCTTACCATCAGCAATTGATTGTTGTCTCACCATCCCACTCCGATGTTGATTATAGGCATTTGCAGAGGCACCCTCCAACATTCCACAAAATAGGGACATTGTGTAATAACCTCACATATAGTTTGCTTGCTGAATTCAATGGGCTTAATCCCTAGGTAAAGGTGCACAAGATTGCAGCATAAGGGCCAAGCTATATGCAACATGCAAGACGCAACCCTAAACCTTAGGAGACCCTAACCCCACTGGCCTGAGAGTAAGCCCCATTGAAATCAATAGGACTTGCTTTTAAGTCAACATAGGAAGCTGCTGTATATTGAGGCAAGCCATTGGTCCATCTTGCTCTCAGTTGTCCATGTTGACTTGCAGTGGCTTTCCATGAATTCAGGCAGGAATGCCTCTCCCAGCCCTACCTGGAGGTGCAAAGCAGATGATCTACCTCTGAGTCACATTATTTATTATTATTATTATTATTATTATTATTATTATTATTGATTTCATGTATGATTCGCTTCCCATGAGGAATCCAGAACTCAGTGGGCTAGTCTCCGGGTACACATACATTGGGTGGCAAGGTAAATCATGTCTAATTCTGCCCCTCCCCAATCATTTTATTTATTTCAAAATGCAGCCATTGAGGCTCCAGTCTGCAGCAGAAGATCTGCATGAAGCAAAAGGGCTTCTTAACCTCTTCACTGCCTGATCTTTTTCTGCTAAAAATGCCTCCCCAAAATTTCTCCCCCACCACATTTTCAGGACAAGACCTCTTTCTCCATGTTGGAAATAGAAGCATTGGGAGCAGGGAGATTTAGCAGAAAAATCACTGGAGAAGCAGCTTTAAGAATGTTTCCCTTGCTACTTTTTCTTTTTAATTACCCAAGGCATCCTGGGTAGGAATGGATGAATGGATCTTGTTGCAGCAGGAGGGGGAGACACTGCTTCTTCTTCACTAACCTGACTCATCAATTACCCGGATATTTGTTGGATGTCAAACTCAGCCAAGAGCATAAGGTCAAACAGATTCCTCACTGGCCTTGCAGACAACTTCATTGTCCAGAAAGTGGGAGAAGCAATAAGAGGAACAGCCATTTTAGATCTGGTCCTAACCAATGTTGATGACCTGGTTAGTGGGGTAGAAGTGGAAGGATCATTAGGCGCAAGTGATCATGCTCTTCTGAAGTTTACTATACAGCGGAAAGGAGCAGCCAAGCATACTAGGACTCAATTTCTTGACTTTAAGAAAGCTGACTTCATAAAACTTAGGGAAGTGCTGGGTGAGATCCCATGGACAGTAATACTAAAAGGAAAGGGAGTTCATGATGGCTGGGAGTTTGTTAAGAGGGAGATACTAAAAGCACAACGTCAGGCAATACCAATGAGACAGAAACATGGAAGGTGCCTAAAGAAGCCAGGGTGGCTATCTAAAGAACTTTTAACTGACTTAAGATTAAAAAAGGATGTGTACAAAAAAATGGAAAAGGGGGGAAACCACCAAAGAGGAATTCAAACAAATAGCCAGCACGTGTAGACACAAAGTCAGAAAAGCTAAAGCACAGAATGAACTCAGGCTTGCTAGAGAGGTTAAAAGCAACAAAAAGGCTTTTATGGGTATGTCCGTAGCAAAAGGAAGAACAAAGAAACAGTGGGGTCACTCAGAGGAGAAGATGGTGAAATGCAAACAGGGGACACAGAAAGGGCTGAACTCCTCAATGCCTTCTTTGCCTCAGTCTTCTCCGATAAAGAAAGCAATGCCCGACCTGAAGAATTTGGAGCAAATGATTCAGCAAAGGAAACACAGCCCAGAATAACTAAGGACATAGTACAAGACTACTTGGCTAGTTTAGATGTATTCAAGTCTCAAGGGCCAGATGAACTGCATCCAAGAGTATTAAAAGAACTGGCAGATGTGATCTCAGAACCACTGGCAGTCATCTTTGAGAATTCCTGGAGAACAGGCGAAGTCCCGGCAGACTGGAGGAGGGCAAATGTTGTCCCTATTTTCAAAAGGGGAAAAGAGAGGACCCAAATAATTACCGCCCAGTCAGTCTGACATCAATACCAGGGAAGATTCTGGAGCAGATCATTAAGCAAACAGTCTGTGAGCACCTAGAAAGGAATGCTGTGATCACCAATAGTCAGCATGGATTTCTGAAAAATAAGTCATGTCAGACTAACCTGATCTCGTTTTTGACAGAATTACAAGCCTGGTAGATGAAGGGAACGCAGTGGATGTAGCCTACCTTGATTTCAGCAAGGCATTTGACAAGGTGCCTCATGATATTCTTGTAAAGAAGCTGGTAAAATGCGGTCTTGACTATGCTACCACTCAGTGGATTTGTAACTGGCTGACTGACCGAACCCAAAGGGTGCTCATCAATGGTTCCTCTTCATCCTGGAGAAGAGTGACTAGTGGGGTGCCACAGGGTTCTGTCTTGGGCCCGGTCTTATTCAACATCTTTATCAACGACTTGGATGATGGACTCAAGGGCATCCTGATCAAATTTGCAGATGACACCAAATTGGGAGGGGTGGCTAACACCCCAGAGGACAGGATCACACTTCAAAACGACCTTGACAGATTAGAGAACTGGGCCAAAACAAACAAGATGAATTTTAACAGGGAGAAATGTAAAGTATTGCACTTGGGCAAAAAAATGAGAGGCACAAATACAAGATGGGGGACACCTGGCTTGAGAGCAGTACATGTGAAAAGGATCTAGGAGTCTTGGCTGACCACAAACTTGACATGAGCCAACAGTGTGACGCGGCAGCTAAAAAGCCAATGCAATTCTGGGCTGCATCAATAGGAGTATAGCATCTAGATCAAGGGAAGTAATAGTGCCACTGTATTCTGCTCTGGTCAGACCTCACCTGGAGTACTGTGTCCAGTTCTGGGCACCACAGTTCAAGAAGGACATTGACAAACTGGAACGTGTCCAGAGGAGGGCAACCAAAATGGTCAAAGGCCTGGAAACGATGCCTTATGAGGAACGGCTAAGGGAGCTGGGCATGTTTAGCCTGGAGAAGAGGAGGTTAAGGGGTGATATGATAGCCATGTTCAAATATATAAAAGGATGTCACATAGAGGAGGGAGAAAGGTTGTTTTCTGCTGCTCCAGAGAAGCGGACACGGAGCAATGGATCCAAACTACAAGAAAGAAGATTCCACCTAAACATTAGGAAGAACTTCCTGACAGTAAGAGCTGTTCGACAGTGGAATTTGCTGCCAAGGAGTGTGGTGGAGTCTCCTTCTTTGGAGGTCTTTAAGCAGAGGCTTGACAACCATATGTCAGGAGTGCTCTGATGGTGTTCCTGCTTGGCAGGGGGTTGGACTCGATGGCCCTTGTGGTCTCTTCCAACTCTATGATTCTATGATTCTATGATCTCTGCTTCTTGGCCTCCCTCCTCTCCTGCTTCTGCTTCCACTTCTGATTCTGGACTTCTGTCTGCCACAGACTCTCCCTCCTAACTAAACCCTGTTACCTCTTCCACTTCCAATGCAGCCTCTTTCCAGTCTACTCCCTCTTCTACTCCCTCTTCTCCCTCTGACCACTCATCGTAATCCCACCACCAGTTTCTCGACTGTGAGCCTTCTTCCCATGGAGGTATCCCAGCTGGTGCCTTCCACCATTCTTCTGCATCCTACCAGTCCATGACAACTAGGTTGGCTTGAGAATTTATCTGCCAAATTCAGTGAAGTGTGATACTTCGGTTTTCACATTGTTTAGGGAAATGCAGATTAATATTTAAGATGCGAATAGAACCAAATGTTCTCCCCCGTCCTTAGTCATCTCATAGCTCTACCCCTAAGGATCAGCCATCAATCTCTACTTATGTTTAAGAAAATTGTTACAAAGCCTTGCTTTGTTAGTTTTATGATCCTATAAACTGTTTTTTCTTTGACTTTTGCGGAATTGGGGATAGTCCCTCTTGATACATGACAGATGGAGTATTCCTTTCATCCTTGAAATAATTTTTATGGCACGTTATGAATAACTGGTAGCAACTCCCCTCTGCCACCCCTCTCGCAACATCACAAGCATGGCTTGTTATGTTAAGGACATGTTTTGAAGAATATTTCAAAACAACAAGGCTGGAATCTGATGTGGCAAGAGATGTTCATGACTTTGCTCTTGGACCTGCTGCATTGCCTATGACTTTCATTCCAGGAAACCCTTCTTGAAGAACAAACAGAAGTTTTGTACAAGTTGCATTTTTGGAAGGAGTAGGATGAGTAACGGAAGACAGTTACTCTTGCTCAATACCGAAAGTGGGAACTTCTTCAGAACAAAAATAATTGGGAAACATTTCATGCACTGGAAGGGGAACCTGCGTTCTTGAAGAGTGCTTTATATTTCTTTCATTTCTAGCTTGCTTCCTCCCCATGTTCTCTGGGTTGCAACAATACATCCTACACATACTACACTTGATCTTAGCCAAAAGGCCGAGAAGAGACAACACATCATCAGTATCATTATCATAACAATTTATTCCTCCTTCTTCACCCTGAGGTCCCAATGTGGGCTTCAACAATTAAAACACAATGTTAAAACAGTTTCCAACAACATTCAACCACAGAAATAAGGTAGTCCCGAAAAGTGTCAAAAGTGAAAAGGTGTGTCTTCAGAATTTGCCAAAAGTTGTCTAATGAAGCTGTGGGTAGGGAGTTTCCACAGCTTAAGGTAAAGGTAAAGGGACCCCTGACCATTAGGTCCAGTCGTGACCGACTCTGGGGTTGCGGCGCTCATCTCACTTTATTGGCTGAGGCAGCCAGCGTACAGCTTCCGGGTCATGTGGCCAGCATGACTAAGCTGCTTCTGGTGAACCAGAGCAGCGCATGGAAACGCCGTTTACCTTCCCGCCGGAGTGGTACCTATTTATCTACTTGCACTTTGACGTGCTTTCAAACTGCTAGGTTGGCAGGATCAGGGACCAAGCAATGGGAGCTCACCCCATTGCGGGGATTCGAACCGCCAACCTTCTGATTGGCAAGTCCTAGGCTCTGTGGTTTAACCCATAGCACCACCCGCGTCCCCTTCCACAGCTTAGGGGCTTCCAAAGAAAGAAAGAAAGAAAGAAAAGTATTTTCCTGGGTTATTACCTCCCAGAGCTTCTGAGGATGGTGGAACAACCAATAGGGCCCTCTCTGCTGATCTTATTACCCATGAGTGTTTGTAGCGAAGGAGGCAAAAACCAGAGGATAACAGAATAAAATACCAATTAAACTGTAGCGTAGCAGTAGTATGAGTAACTATGTAAAGGGACCGTGAGCACAGGTTGTACTATTCATGGGGAGAAAAATAGACAGTGCTGAGGTAAAGCACCAGGATCCCCACCAATCATTCACGGGGAGCTGCCAAGCCTCAAGCTGACCCTAGTGACAGTCCCCTCCACCTCTCAGTGACAGTTGACTGTCATTTTAAATGTCCCACAATGCCCTGGAGTACTCAGTGTTGCTCTGGGACGTTCTGAAATTTTAAAATGGTGGCCAGGAGCCCAGTAATGTAGGAGCTAGAGGTGGCGCACCTTGCTGAGATCCCCTCAAACATGGAGGCAACCCTGCTGAGGCAAAAAAAAAAAAAAGACAAGAAGAGAGGAATGAAAATTAAACCTAAATTGGTGAAATTGCTCAGTATTATACCAAAAATAACCTGCTGCCCTGTTAGTGAGAAACATTTGCCTGTCATTATTTCTATATCTCAACCTTTGGAGGCCCTGAAGAGTTGGAGGCTCCAGAACATTCCATTTCAGGAAGGGTTGTGAAAGGCTAGATACACACCATCAAGGAATTTAGGAGAACTTTGATCGACTCTTCAATAATGAAGATGCAACTAAATCCAGTGCCAGCCTGGGGTGATACAATATCATAACATGCCAGGCTCTCTCTTCTCTTCAGAAATCTGATTGAGGGGGAAACAGCTGAGGAAAGTTTCAGGAGGGAAAGCAGTAGGGAGAAGAAGGGTTAAGCACCCCTCCCACTGCTTTGCTCCTGTGAACCAGCCCTTCCTAAATACTGTTTTGCAAAGGAGAAGCAGAAGCAGCACCCATTTCCAAAAACATATGAAAGTTGGGAGGTATGGATTTGTTCTAATTCACAGCAGCGAAAGCAGCGAAATTGGTTTTTATTGCAACTCAGTCAAATTCAGTGGAACTCAGCTCAGTTACAACGAATGTTCAATCACAACCATTCTGTAGAAATGGATGTACAGTCGATAGGAAGGTCAGCAGTCTTCACTGATAAAGCGACTTCCGGGACCTGGCAAGGAGGTGGGGTTGCAGGCTTCACACCCACCCCACGTGCGCGGGGGGCTGGCTTCCAGCCCCCGTGAGAACGAGGGAATCCCGGCCGCGTCGTCCACCCAGCCAGCCAATCGTGTGGCTGGGGGGGGGGGAGCGTAGCCTGCCCTATTTAGGGCCGGCACGGCCGGGGCTCGCCCTCTTTTTGCCGGCCAGCCAGCACGTTTTTTGTCGGAAGGTTTGTATTAGGGTCTTTTCTCACCCTTTCTTAGGTTTATTTCTTGCAGGGGTAGACCGTTTGTCCTTGGATCGCGGCAGAGTCACGGCTTCCCTTGGGAACATTTATCCAGCGGATTCGCCCGCGCTACGGTGACCATTCGTCCGGATAGTCGATAGGATAAATGCCTAAGCCAATGCCTCTCATTCCTGAAATCAATAAAGTTGTGGCCTAATTCGCCCATTTAACCTTAATTCTGGTGTCCTGTGTCTTTATTTCTCCCTGGTGGGGGGCGGGAACTCGCCACACAAGAACGTAAGATGGGATTAAACCCATCTAGTCCAGCTTCCTGTTCTCACAGTGGCCAACCAGGTGCCTGTGGGAGGCCTGCAAGCAGGACACAAGGACAGGAGCACTCTCCCTGCCTGCGGTTTCTAGCAACTGGTATTCAGAAGTGATGCTTCCTCCAACTATGGAGGTAGAACATAGCCATCATATCTAGTAATGGCTGGTAGCCAGTTCTCCTCCATGAATTTGTTTCATCCTCTTTTAAAGCCATCCAAGTTGGTGGCCATCACTGACTCTTGTGAGAGCAAGTTCCATAGTTTAACTATATGCTTCATGAATTTGTACTTCTATCTAACTGTCCTGAATCTCGGATTCAGGAAGAGGCCGGAGAGCTATGTGCCATGCATTCAGCAAGGTGTTGACTTCCAAGGCCCTTCCAATTCTGTGATTCAGGCCTAGGGAAATCAAGCTCATTGGTTCTGCACCTTTGTGGTGTAGAAGAGGGACAAGGCATATCTGCTGTCAGGATGCTGTCAGCAGCTCCCAGCTGGTTGCCCAGGAAAGTACAAAGACAAGGAAAAGTTTCTTACAGTCCTTTTTTATTTCAAACTTTACAGAGAGAGGCTATAGAACCCAGGCTCTTGGGTAATGGCATTGGCCCAAGTGAATCTCCACCCCCCGTCTCCCCCACTTCCTCATTCATCATCATCATCACCTCCTCTATGGGTGCTGCTATGTGCCCTCTGTCTTCAAGCTCTTTGCTCTCCTACTTTTAATGCTCACTGGGTTCTGGGAGATGGCCTGTCAGGAATGCTTTCCTTTTTTTAAAAAAATTATATATTTTTTATTAAGTTTTCCATATTTATCATTATCACATTCTATTACATAATTCTGTCACTAAAACCTTGCTCAGACTGAGCATTCCTTCCCTCCCTTTTTCTGACTTCCAAATATCTTTACTGAATTCTTAGCATTTCTATATCCACTTTTTTACCTTATATCCTCTTTTTCTACTTCACCTCATTATATGTAAATCAGTTTCTTATATTCACTTTACAAAACATTTCAACTTAAACCTACAAATGTTTTCAGATGTTTACAATGCTCTTTCATATATGATATAAATTTGCTCCAGTCCTTTTGAAACAGTTCACGCTGATTCCGGATCTTCCCCGTCAGCTTTGCCAGTTCTACATATTCCACCATCTTATTCTGCCATTCTTCCAATGTTGGAATTTCCTGCTGTTTCCATTTCTGAGCCAGAAGTATCCTTGTGGCCGTTGTTGCATACATAAACAAATTTACATCTTTTTTTGGGAATATCCTCTCCAACTAAACCTAACAGAAATGCCTCTGGTATTTTGTTGAAATTATATTTAAAAATGGGTCAGGAAAGCTTTCCAATGACAACGTGTCAGTCACCTGCTGCTCTGGCTCTCCCATTATTTCCCAACTTTCTCCCTCATCTGCTGCTGAGCTGTAACCTCCCGCAAACCCCTGTTGTAAATCTATACTGTCTTCCTCTTCCTCTTCCCTGGAAGGGCCAGGCTGGGGAGGTGGTCTCCACCATTCCTCCTCAGCCTCTGCCCAGTCCCTGGCATCTGCTGAAATTCCGTCTTCTACATAAGGAACCTTGACCTCTTTTGCATTTGACTGCCCTTATCTTACTACCGCAAGTCCTGCCCCCTTCCTGGCTCCAGCCTGCAAAGATTTGCAGGCAGTGAAAGGGGTAATGGTGATGAGGGGCTGTATCAGAGAATGCCCATCTACTTTTATTCTATAAAACCAGGACACAAAACACAAGCATAAAATAGCTAAACCTGGATGGAAAATTCTGAATATTCAGAATACAAATCACTCACACAACCTGCTTTTTTACCTATTGCTCATTTGAAGATTTGATAAATGAACAACCAATGAGCAGAAGATGCAATTTGAACCAGGCTATCAACCTGGAGCAAACAAGCAAGAAAGCAAGTCTAGTTTCACAGCAGGCTCAGGGTAGTACAATTTTGTTTCAAACCCCACCAGAAAAGAAATTGCACCCCCCCTATATTTACCAGTGATTATCTTATCAGGAGGTGCTTGCAGTCTGCAATAATACAGTAGCGTTTGTGTACCTTTTGCCCAGGTATTAACAAGTTTTAACTGCAGTTTAGTCATTGGGTTACTAAGTTGTTCTAATGTTTAACATTTCAGACAGGAAATGAAGGTAGTTTTCCATTCCTCCTGCTATCCAGAAACCACCGGCAATCTCAAGAATCTTGTCAGGGATCCTGGCAGGCAGCAAAAGGCTCTTTTTTATTCTTGTGTGGTCCCGCTTGTCGAGATCACCTCTGGGCCAAATGTGAAAGACTGGCTGGTTCTTTTTGGTGTTTGGAAGAGTAGAAGAAGTGTTGTTGCCATTTCAGCTCCTGAGAATAACAGGAAACTTTTGAGGGGAGGCAGGGGAGTCGCTGAGGTAAAAACATGGGCCATGTCACACATTTGACACACACTGCTCTTGACAGGCAAATGCAAATAGCCTTGGCAATAATTGTTCCAGTTTTAGTTAACATCCAGCCGAAGCAAGTACTAAGGTCAGCTTTAAGCTGTTCTCCATTGTTAGAACTTTAGCTAAATTTATGTCGGCTTCCTGGGAGTTGTTCTTGTGACTTATTGTGGAAAAAAGCATGGCATTGTTTCCAACACATGCATATCAGATTTGGTTTTGT